TGTCCAAATGGTAATAATCCAAATTAATGATATAAAGATTGGTTCTATCTATAGATAGAGCAATATATATATTGCTCCAGACTATGCAACTCAGGATGTATTTTGGAGAGATATTTTTAGTAGTTTGGGAGACACGTTTATTTTGGTGGGTGATTTCAACTGCCACCATAAATCCTGGGGAAGTTTCAAATGTAACACTAACGGTAATAGGTTAAAAAGGTTTATAGATAAAAAAGAAATAAATATAATTAATGACAATAAATCTACTATGTTAAATTGGAATAAAATCAGTATTATCGATTTAGCAATATGTTCTAGTAATCTACTACTAAACTGTAAAGAAGTTACTTTGGAGGATAATTATGGTAGTGACCATTATCCGCTTGAGGTTCATTTGGAATTTCCCGGAAAGGGGAGAGATAAAAAGCACATTTCAATACAAACTAATAAAAGGAATTATAAGAGAGCTAACTGGAACAATTTCTATTCCTCCCTGGATGAATACAATTTTTCATCTATAACTTATGAAAATTTCGTAGACCTTCTTAACGAGAAAGGTGATGCTAGTATTCCATATAAATCCTTTATTCAAAACGATTACATATGTCCATGGTGGGATGAGGAGTGTTCAGACATGATACGGGAGAGAAGGAGAGCCTTAAAGTCATTTCGTACAAATGGTAACTTAACTCTTTTTGTAGAATTCAAAAAAATATCAGCAAAGGTAAAACAATTTTTAAAAAAGAAAAAATTTCAATCGTTTCATAATTTTGCATCAAACCTGAACAGGGAAAATAATATATCAAATGTTTGGAAATCAATAAAAATATATAATAAGGCCATGATAAGAGAGAATTATTTCACTAACAATATGGATACATGGAAGGAGTCTTTTTTGGACTCTCTAGCTCCCCCGTATTGTGTTAATCTCCCTGACTTTGGTAACAATTGCTCAAATAGTTTTCTACTTAGAAACATATGTATATCGGAACTAACTAGAGTACTATCAAGGGTTAAGGATTCCTCTCCAGGACCCGATAATATCTCATATAGTATGCTTATTCACTCACCACTCAAAGTAAAGATGTTTTTAATTTGTTTTTTTAATAAAATTTTATCAGGAAATCAGGAAATCCCGTCAGATTGGTACAATTTCACAATCATCCCAATTCTCAAACAAGGTAAAAATCCAGATGATCCTAATAGTTATCGTCCCATAGCAATGTCATCTTGCATTAGAAAAGTATTTGAACACATTATTAAGGATAGAATTGAGTGGTGGGTGGAAAAGAATCAATTTATCCCAAATTTTCAATTCGGCTTCAGAAAAGGTCTTAGTACCTTAGATAATGTTTCAATTCTAACAAATGATATTATTGCCAATCTTCTTAAAAAGAGTTACCACACTCTGGCTCTTTTCCTAGATATCTCTGCAGCATATGATAATGTCCTGCCGGATAAATTGATATCAATCCTGTCAGATTTGAATCTCCCATCTGCTCTGGTTAAGATTATATGGGAATTAATTTATAAAAAACGCATCATACTTACATCAAATAATGAAACTAAAAATAGTAGAACATCGTTTAAAGGTTTACCACAGGGGTCTATTCTCAGCCCAATTCTTTTTAACCTTTACTTAAGAGATATAGAATCAGCCATAAATATTAACACTAAAATCCTTCAATATGCAGATGATATAGTGATCTATTCCTGTGGTATGGATACTAGGTTATCAGAACATTTTATTAATTACTCTTTAGAGAGTTTATCTTTATGGCTGATGGAGAGGGGTCTCACCTTGAGTCCATCCAAATCAAAGGCTATATTTTTTTCCAAGAATAGAACTTTTCAACCCTTTATTAGGCTAAATAACGAACAGATTGAGGTAGTAAATTCTATAAAATTTTTGGGAATTTTTTTGGATTATAATTTAAGTTGGTCTTCTCATATAAATGATATTGTTAACAAATGTTATAGAATATTGAATATTTTAAAAAGTTTAACAAGAGTTTCTTGGGGAGGTGACCCTAAGACACTATTAATGATATGATATGTTTGGTTAGGTCAAGACTAGAACATGGCAGCTTTTTATTTAACGCTTGCACTAAAGGTCTTTCGGAAAAAATGGACAGGATCCAATATCTAGCCCTTAGAATTTGTTTAGGGAGTATGTCTTCATCCCCTACTAATGCTTTACAGATGGAAGCATCTGAACCACCATTAAACATTAGAAGACAATTATTAGCAGATAGATTTATTTTAAGAAAATTTGCCATATCATCAGATATGGTGATAAATAGTTTGCAAAAATACGATCCCCTCTACTCAAAGAGGTCCAAAGCCCTATTAATAAAAAATAACTGCCTATTCAAATCGTTTAAAAAATATTATGAAACTTCAAAAACATTTTTAAGAAAATCCAAAACACCAATTTTTACTTATAACTTTTTTGAGCAACTTGTCCCAATTTCGGTGATATTGGAATGGGGTGTTCAGAAGAGTTCGAACACATGTCTTATAAAAAAACTTTTTGAACGGAAAATTAATAATGATTGGTCTGAATTTGTTCAAATTTATACAGATGGATCTGTTCAAAAGGTAAAAGGTTCAAGTTCTTTCGGAATATACATCCCCTCTCTTAATATTGAAAGTTCATATGAGATTGATAGTAGATCTTCAATCTTTTTAGCGGAACAATTGGCAATTTTATATGCACTTAAAATATGTTTGGATAAAAAAATTAAGAAATTCATAATATTTTCAGATTCTTTTAATTGCTTATTACAGATCAAGAAAAATTCTTGGAATTCTAAATCAAATATTACAATGTTAGAAATTAATAAAATATATTTTGAAATTACTAAAAATAAAGGATACGGAAAGCTTTGTTGGATACCTGGTCACTCCGGGATCAAAGGTAATGAAAAGGTTGATCAGTTAGCAAAAAAGGGTCAAAAAAGGGTAGAAAATTTTAAAATTCCAGCAAATGAACTCTACAAAGAGGCCAACAAACATTTGCTTTTTAGTTGGAAAAAATTTTGGTACAATTCAGTAAAAAAGAAAGGTAAAAATTACATTTTATCAGAAAACCACATATGGAAAATTCCATGGTTTAACAACTCAGAATACTTGGGGAGAGATTTTATAACAACAATAAGTAGATTTAGGCTGGGACACAATGCAATTCCAGCTCATTTATTCCGTATAGGAGTAAAAGACGATCCTTTTTGTGACTGTGGTGAGTACGGAGATACAAATCACTTACTTTTTGCCTGTAATAATAACATAAATAACTCTAATGCACTAATAAATAGCTTGGTCCAAAAAGGACATCATCTGCCTTGTAGCTTCAAATCCATTATAGCATGCGCTTTTTTAGATACATATAGATGCATTTATAGATTCCTTAAAGATTCTAATATTAAATTGTGATATGTTTAGGTTTTCCTACCGTTCCTGATTTTTTCTTTGTTTGTGCTGTTACATAACCTAAATATTTGACTTACAAAAGAAGAAACCTCCATAAACACTCTTGACGACGAAAAAAAAAAAAAAAACTAGTAGCTGGCCAGTAAGAGCTCCATTGTCTCAAGGCCAATTTCCTTTGAAAGGAAATAAATAAGTAAGAAGAAGAAGAAGAAGTTTCCCGTGTAATTTTTAAGTTTTTTAGTTTTGGTTTGATAGATTTTTTTAAATAGTCCATTCAGTTTAGTAATTAGTGAATGGATACATTTAAATAAATGTAGGTAAGTACATGTACTGCAGTGGTAAATAATAATCTAGGTAGCGTGCACAATCCATGTGGATTGTGGTAGCGTGGGATTAAAAAAAATTACAAAATATTGTTTCTTATATTTATTATCAGAATAAATTTTGTTCTGTACATTTATTGAAACTTTTATCATTTCAACATTAAAAAAGAGTATAAAATCTTAATTCTAACAGTACAATAATAAATAATTTATTAATTAGGTATGGTAAAAACTATATAGTGGTATTTTGATTGATTTCAAAAATACACAGCCATGTGTTCAATATTAAAATAATTAAGTCCCCTGATGTATCCATCAACCAAAAAAAAATATTAAAAAAATACATTTTTAAGCATTATTCTAGTATTGAACATTTAAAGAGTTGAATTCTCTTCGAGAAAAAATTGATAAAATTTGCCTATTTTTTGTATTATTGCACTTCTAACCCAAACCAAGAACATATTTTGGTAGTTGTATTGTCAAACGGGGTATCGACATCAGGACTGACATCCTAAAATTGAAAAAAAGGAAATTTTAACATTTTATAACCTTAAAATGTGTTGTTTTGCAGAAATCTGCGGATATCTCACATACAGGATTTTTTAAGAGAAAAAGTGTAAAAACATTTTTTGCGGAGAATTAAATTCTTTATATTTTTCGTTTATAACATTTTTCTGTAAAATAAATATTATGGGAGATATAGAAGATTTTAAATCATATAAAAATATTTATATACACTGTACTAAGTAACACAATTTTTTTAAACATTATTAGTGATATTTATATTTACAATTTTTTAGAATTTATTAAAAATGTTAAAATTTTATTAGTAGGTATAAACTTACCATTTAAATAAGCTCCATTCAAACCTTATACCATGCTATAAGAAAAAATACCATATTTACAAAGGTGTGAAAAATAATATACAATTTTTTAAAAAAAGCCTAAACCTATTCCATTTTTTACCACCACCAAGATTAATAATAAAAATAAGTTTTGTACCTATACAGATTTTTTATAATCTGTACAAAATACTTTCAAATGTACACACCTTGTAAGGTCTTACTTAAATATACTTCTTAATGCAATTGAGCTAAAAATACATTATGGCATTACATTGCTGGAATTATTATACAGGGTGTCTGTAAATAATAAGCCAAAAACCCTGAACATTAAGTACTGATTATTTTTTTATTTACAAAAATGAACGAAACTTAACCCTTAAAAAAGTTGTATTTTATAGACTTACGAAACAGATATCGTATTGTATATCCATTCCTTCCAACTGGTGTTTGACGTAGAATCTATTCTGGATTCTATCGTTTGACACAGATTTTTTCTGTCGTGAGATCTACCAGAATGTAGATCGCACAAAATCTTCTTCTTGCATGCCATATCACAACTTGGGCGTACCGGACTAGCTTTGTAATAATATCTAGAAATCAAAAGAAATAAATCGTTATTTTTTAACGAAATTTTTTTAGTTTCTCCAACGAAAAAAAGAAACCCGTATTTTTTCTTTTTGCTTAAATTTGTTTTGTTCACCCGTAGGAAATTTTTGAAAAATGGACAGAAACATCTTTCTTTTTTTACGATTGACAATGCGATAATTTGGCCAAAATTGTTTCGATCGTTACAATTTTTTTTAATTGTAGGTAAATCGTCACCCTAATATAACAAGGTTGTATGTTAAAAAACCGAAAAATTTTAGTTTATGCTTCTACAAGGTTTTTTGTAATCCACCCTTGACATACAACTTGAAAATACCTCTATATATATGTAAACATAGAATATACATTCTATAGAATTACTTTTAAGTGGTATGTGAAGCGTAGGCCACGTATAATCCTGTAGAAACATAGACTTAAATTTTTCGTTTTTTTTAACATACAACCTTGTTATATTAGGGTGACGAAATGTTTACTACATACAAAAAATATTTAAAAAATTAAGTGAATTTACTCCATTTTTTTAAATTGTTTTTTCTAAAAAAGGCAAAAACATTGAGGTCAAAATTTTGACATTGCCACATATTTTTTTCGTTTTAAGTTGATAATATGAACAAATTTTACCAAAAGTCCCGAGTTGGCTAAATTTGTCATTTCGGAATTATTATTTTTTAACAAAAATGCCATTTTCTAGTAAATTCGTGGTTCATCGCAAAATTTTTATCTATAGGGTCATGAAACTGGGCTGACCTTTATAAAGTGTCATTTAGAACTTTTTGACATATTTTTGTCACTCTTGGTTTCACCAGAAATGGTCTTAATTTTTTATTTTTTAATAAAACAATTTTGGTATGCATTTTTACATATTTTGATTGAAAATAAAATTCTGAATACATACATATCGTCACCTGAGAATTATAGTGTTCTATCTGCATTTTCTTTTTTTTATTCAGGTTAGTCTTGTTTTAAGTCTTAAAGATGATATTGATCTATCTATATATAATTGGGGTAGAAATTGTAAAGTTTAAGGCTTAAACTGTACAATTTCTACCCCAATTATATATAGATAGAACAATATGCATCTTTAATACTTTAAACAAGACTAACCTGAATTAAAAAAAGAAAATGCAGATAGAACACTATAATTCTCAGGTGACGATATGTCATTTGTCAATTGTTGTTGTTGTCAAAAAATATTTGGATTAAATTTTATTTCTATAAGTATCTAGAGTGCCTTGAATTGGCTTTTCTACTTTAGGATGGACCAAGTAGTCTGGAAAAAATACAATTTTATTCTTTTTTTGCAATCTTAGGAGCTTTTAAAAATTGAAAAACCATACTTTATGCGAAAAATATTTTTTTTAATAAAAGAGGGTGGTTTGTTGATCATAAAAGAAATCTACTTTTTAAAAATTTGATACCAAATATTAATGCATTTTTTAATAATATTGCTTTCAAATTCTTAATTACATTTGAATGTTTATTAGGTTTTAAAATATAAACATTTAAAATAAATTAAGAAGACTAAACCTTTGTGTTTAAAAAAGTATCAGATTTGACAGTTTGTTAGTTTGTTTTTCTGGTAAGTAAATATTAACATTTTAATTTACTATACAAACATATTCTAAAACTTTTTATAAAATAAAATAAAAATAATAATTGAGGTGGTTAGAATCAAAGGGGTGTAAGTAATTGCTCAATATTTTTGGTTTTAACACTACTAAATAAATTCATTAAAATATTTTGAAACAATTATAAAAAGTTATATCTAAAATGAGTTTCGCGACTGCCTCACTCATATCTGTTAACCCACCAAATTTTTTTGTAATTGTGATCTACATTTCTTTGAAATCGCCCTATTATAAGTTTCTTTTGCATTTGATTCATTACTTTTAGGTATGTAATACTTTTTATTATTTTAACCAAAATTAACTAACATATTACATCTACATTTACATCTTTTAAAAATAACATGCAAAAATATTAAGAATCTACATTTTACTCTAAAATCTTAATTTACTTACAGAGCAAATATGTTAAATATGTCAAAAAGTTTTAAATTACACTTCATATAGGTCACCCCAGTTTCATGACCCTAGATAAAAAACAAATTTCTGCGATGAACCACTAGAAAATGACATTTTCATTAAAAAAAAAAATCTGTTATGGTGGATTCAGCCAAATCAGGACTTTTGGTGAAAGTTGTTCATATTATTTACTTCAAATGAAAAAATGATTAAGTAGTATTAAGAAAAAACAACTTAAAGAAAAATTGAGTAAATTCACTTAATTTTATATATATTTTTGTATGTACCTACAATTTAAAAAATATATAACGGTCGACACAATTTAAACAAAAAATTAGTGAATTCACTTAATTTTTTAATTTTTTTTTATGTAGGAAACATTTACCTATAATTTAAAAAAAAATGTAACGATCGAAACATTTTTGGCCAAGTTATCGCATTTTCAAGAAAAAATGTCACTCATTAAAAGAGAAAAAGAGACTAGACATTAAAACAAAACTTACTTATAAAACAATTCAAACAATTTGGGGTCATTGGTCATCCTCTCCACAAGTTCATCCCAATCCTGAGGCCTTAAAGCGTCCATACCAAACGCTTGCCTGGCCGTGTACAATTTAAACCATATGGGATAACCATAGAGGTTGGCCTCTCTTAGATTCATAGTCCAAGATTCATGATCCACAACGGCCTAAACAAAAACGTTAAAATAGAAAAATAATATAATGTAATAGGTCATTTTTTACCCTTGTTGATTTGTCGTGATCTCCATCCACATAATAGATTCTGTAGCCTGGGTTCAGGTCATAGTATGGGGTTACAGATGGACCTACATAGGCTATGCTAATTGGACGAGCTAAAAATATAATCAGTTGGATTCGTTTACTTCAAATGCTGTATTCTTTCAATACTTAGATCTTTATGATCATAGAAGACTTCAAATTCATCATAATGGGTGTGGCCGAAGAATTGGGCGGTAATGATACTCTCGTACCTGCCTATGATGGCATAGTAATTCCTAGACCATACTTTAAGACAATCTGAATGACCTGGAGGGATGTGACCTATGATATGGACTTTTTCACCATTAAATTCGGCTGATTGTAATTCGTAGATGAACCATTGCAACTCAGTGGCTGGGTCGGTACTATTTAGTAGTAACCACCTAAGAAATTATCATATTTTATAAAAATTATTGATGAATGTAAAATTGTCTTACCAATTTTTGTTGTTGCAATAGTTCATATTAAGAGAAATAAGTCTAAATCCAGGCCTTACTAAAACAGAGTAAAAAGCGCCCCTTCTCACTGTGTTGCTTACAGAACTTGGTAGCCATTTTCTCCATTGAATATCCAATTCGTCATATAACCATGCAATTGAACTCTCTGGAGTGTCCACGAATGGAGGTGGAAAACTAAAAAAGTGAAAATTTTGTTTTTTCATCTCAAATCGACATGGCGAATTTTTTTTTATAGTTTCCGGATGAGACCTGTATTTTTTTTGCTTAAATTGGTTTTGTTCGCACGTAGGAAATTTTTGAAAAAAGGTGCAGAAACGATTTTTGACATTGTCACATTTTTTTACTTCATATTTTATCGTTTAAAGTTGATAATATGAACAACTTTCACCAAAAGTCCTGAGTTGGCTAAATTCGTCGTTTCGGAATCATTATATTTTTAATGAAAATGCCATTTTCTAGTAAATTCGTGTTTCATCGCAAAAATAAGGTATTTCAAAACTTTTTGACATTATTAACATATTTTTATCACTTCCGGTTTCACCGGAAATGGTCTTAACTTTTAATTTTTTAATGAAACACCCTATGTATTTTTACATGTTTCGATTCAAAATAAAATTCTGAATACATGCATATGTCATTTGTCAATTTTTGACAGGTCAAATCATTTTTTGATTAAATTTTATTTCTATATCTAGAGTGCCTTGAATTGGCTTTACTGTTTTATGTGGGGCCAATTGGTCAGGAAAAAATACAATTTTATTCTTTTTTTTGCAATGCTGGTTCTTAGGAGCCTTCAAAAATTGATTTTTTTTAAATAAAAGAGGGTGGTTTGTTGGTCAAAAAGAAATCCACTTTTTTAAATTGATAATGCATTTTTTAATAAAATCGCTTTCAAACTCTTAATTAAATTTGAATGTTTATTAGGTTTAAAATGTGTACAGAAGAAAATAAATTAAGAAGGCTTTGAAACCTTTGTGCTCAAAAGAAGTATAGATTTGACAGTTCGTTAGTTTGTTTTGCTGCTAAGCAAATATTAACATTTTATTTTACTATGAAAACATACCCTAGAACTTTTTATAAAATAAAATAAAAATAATAATTGAGGTGGTTAGAATAAAACGGGTGTAAGTAATTGCTCAACATTTTTTGGTTTTAAAACAACCTACTAAATAAAATCTTTAAAATATTTTGAAACGATTATTAAAATTATATCTAACCGCCCCATAGTGTGGCCATTGTAGGAAATCTCTGGCAATAAATAAAAAAACAAAATATGAAATCAAATAAAAATTTGTTATTTCTAAACATAATTAATCTGCGCATTAGTTTCTGGTGCATTTAATGCATTACTTTTATTATTTAAACCAAAAATAATTTATGTATATTTTTTAAATCTTTTAAAAGTAACACATGCAAAAATATTAGGAATTTATATATTTAAAATTTTTTACATTTTTAGAAGAAATAATTTAAAAAAAATTGAGTGAACTTCTATTTCAAGCGCGCGAAACGCACCAATTACAAAACTCTTTTAATAAAAAAAAAATTAGATAATTTATTATAAATTATTTTTTATTAAATTAAAAAAAAAACGCAAGAAATATTTTATAAAAGTATTTTTAAATTTATTGTATAGCCTAATAAAAGAAGAATATATTTGACAATTTTGATGAAAAAATAATATACAGGGTGTCCGATAATTAGCGTGCAATACTTTAACAGCAGATTCTACGTACAAAAATAAGAAAAAAAGTTCCTATAAACATAGGCCGAGAAATGCTTTCTAAGGGAACTACAGCCCCTAAATGAGGAGCCCCTGAAGATGGTTTTTATTTAATATATCCAAAACCGTTCAGGGTAGACAAGTAAAATTTTGGGAATTATACAAACTTTTTATGGCCAATAAGATGTAATAATAACAATTCAAAATTTCCATGAGGGGTGGGTCAGATAGATAGAGAATAGGGGTTAAAACCACCCTAACTTTTTGTACGTGTCTTATGCTAGGATTTGATGTCAAATTATGAAATTTCGGAATTTTACACACAAAAAAGGTCCTCTTGATGAACTTCGATAGCATGCGCATGAATTTGTTATTATTCCAACTTATTGACTATAAAAAGTTTGGTTATATCCCAAATTTTCACTTTTCTATCTTAAACAGTTTTGGAGATATTAAATAAAAACCAACTTCAGGGGCTCCCCTTTCGGGGGCTGTAGCTCCCATGGAAATCATTTCTCGACCTATTTTTATAGGAACTTTTTTCTTATTTTATTACGTAGAATCTGCTGTTTAAGTATTGCATGCTAATTATGGGACACCCTGTATAATAAATTTACTACAATTTTTTTTACAAAAAAAGTTTTGTAATTTGTTCCGTCCGTATTCTTGAAATGGCCGTGAATTAACTTAATTTTTAATTTTTTTTGTATGTAGTTAACATTTACCTATAAGTAATTTAAAAAAAATTGTAACGATCGAAACATTTTTGTCCAAGTTATAGCATTTTCAAGAAAAAATGTCCCTCGTAAAAAGAGAAAAATCGATGTTTCTGTCCATTTTTCAAAAATTTTCTACGGGTGAACAAACAAATTTAAGCAAAAAGAAAGAATAAGGGTCTCATCGATTTTCTTCTTCTCACCTATTTACGGGTGCAGACTCGTGGTTTCCTAAAGCAGGGAAAATTGGTACTCCTGGAAACATATCGGACATTTGCTTCACTGTTTCTTTAAGGATTTTCAAGTTTTCTTCCTTTGTTTGGTTCCAGATATCGTGGGGCGGTAAATCCCCGGTCCATAATATGTAATCAATATCCTAATAAGTTAAAATTGGATTTAAACATAAACTGTAGTTATACTATATAGTTTATAAGGTTGGCACTTACTGGATGGGTCTCTTGGATGTGCTGAAGCATGTTATCTACAGTTATTTTGGGTGTATCGCATTTCCTGTAGTCCCCCCACCTAGAAAAAAGTAATAATTTAATAAATTAAAATGTTTCCAGTATTGTTCGTTTTTTGCATACTTTCCAGCAGCTTGTTCTTTAGAAGCAGCAGGTCCATTTGTTAGTCGACAGCATAAAGGTTCGGCGCAATCAGCATTGCTTCCCTCCATGTAATATGGGTCATAATGGGTGTCCGATAAGTGAAGGACTTTAAAAGAAGGACCGTTCAACTAAAAAAAAATATACGTTTAAAGCCTCTTATTTTTTAGTAAAAGACAATTTTTGTGATTTAATATTCGTTGGACCATAAAAAAGAAATTCAATACTAAAAAACTAAAAAACTGCAGCAAAAACCAATTATTCACGAATTTTAAAAAATCATCCAAGAATTCTTTGGTACAAGAAATTTTTGTCAATACGACCTGCTAGATTTTTTACGGACAATTAAAACAGCATTGTTTTATGACGAAAGGCTTTTTTAAATATAAAATACAACTGTAAAACTTTAAGCTTAAAAATATTGATTTTTACATTTAAATGTAAGTTTTAAACTTTAAAGTGGTGATTTTTGGATAAAAAATTTATCGAGCATTATTTAAATGACTCTTTACAAATTTAAACCAAAACTTTTTATTTTTAACAATTTTAAATTGATACATTTTTAACACAAAATTTATAACTTTACATTTAAATGTAAGTCGATAATTTTTAATTTACAAAGTGTAAACGTAGCTTGTCAATTTTAAGCTAAAGCAGCGTTTACACTTTGTGAATTAAAAATTATCGACTTACATTTAAAATTTAATATAATGTAAATATGTTTGTTAAAAATTAATCAATTTAAATTTGTTAAAAATAAAAGTTATTGGTTTAAATTTCTCAAGAGTCATTTTTTAAAAAAATTATTGGCTAACATTTAAACCAATAATTTGTAGAATAAAATATTAAAACTTTTTAAAATATTTTGGTAAAAAAATGCTTTATATGTGTTTTTATTTTAAATGTCTTGCCACTATTTTTAAATACAAAAAAAAGTTTACTTTACCAATTTAATCTAAACAATTTTATAAAATATTTATTTAAGTTTTAAAAAATTATACTTAATAAATTATTTTTATTAAAAAATAATAGTTTTTGATAATTTTTGCTAAAATTGATTGAAAATAATATTGTTTAATACAGAAGATAGTAAATTGTGTCTTTCAATATATGTTAGTTAAAAATATTTTAAATCAAAAAATTATTTAATACATCTTAAAACTGCGTGCCATATTTATTGTTCAGTGAAATAACTTTTCCAATATTACATAAAAAAGTTTTTATACAAAAGTGCTCTTTTAGTTCCACCCTTACTTTCCAGGAAGTCCCAGAAGCCAACTGAATGGCTTGATCGGGTTAGGGGTAGGAACGGACCGCGGCCTTAAAGTCCCCTCCGAAGGACTATGTTCCTAAACCTTGAAAGGTTTCTATTGAAGATGAGCCGTTTAATTAAAATTAAGTTTCTCTTTTTTGGTTAAGCAGTGTATAAGATTGTTTTAGTACCTCTGGAACTTTTTGCTCCAAAATTTTCGGTTTTGGTACTGGAGGAAACATCACCTCCCATTCATGGTACGGATTGTAGACATCTCCGCAAGCATCACCAATCACAAAACTGCAAATCTCGTCAGGACCTAAAATTTTGTTATTTAAACTCTTCATTTTCTACATGCAGTATCTTCTTTTTTACCAATTTTGACTTTGCTCAAGACATATATGACTTCCCCAGCAAACAATTCCGTTATTCCCTCACATACCCTAGAAGACTGGATTTTGAGGTTAACGCAAAAATTGTAGATGGTTTTTTTTGATTTCTTTTTCCGATTTTCCTGTACGGGTGTAGTGCTGAAGAAGGCCGGCTCCTATATGGAAGAAAAGACAAGTTATTATTTATTTTTATTTATTTTTTTATTTATTTTATTATTTTTAATGTGCTTTCAACAGGCACCAGGCCCAATTACAGAAATACACAATGACAAACACAAATAAACAACCATACCCCTGGTGGGATTCGAACCCACGACCTCTCGGCTTGTAGTCCGCAGTGCTAACTACTACACCACCGAGGGCGTAAACCCAAATCATGCTAACTTTTAGTTTCGTAACTTTTTTATTTTAAAGGTATTAGTAATATATGTATATTATTTTGCATCAAGGAACCTTTGACAGGTGAATTGACGGTATCCATGGTTACCACGTAATCTGTCATTGTTGAAAATTTAATGGCGTCAATTTTTCAGGTTGTTATAACTGTAACAATTTAATAAACCAAAAATATTTTAGTCAAGAGAGAAACGTCTAATGTTAAAAATTAAAAAATGCTTGAATGTAAATGGAGGACACTTTAAACATTTAGTAATAAATTAGTAATAAAAATTGTTGATTAAAATAACGTTGGTTTATTAAATTATTACAGTTAGGTACTTACTATTTTTGCTATTAAAATATTTCATAAAATTGACTGCTATTTTTGATCAGTAACAACCTGAAAAATGTACGCCATTAAATTTTTAACAATGACAGATTACGTAGTAACCATAGATACCGTCAACTCACCCGTCACAGGTTTCTTGATGCAATATTTAAAATTTTAGAAATTGTTTAATATCTCTGAAATTATTAACATTAGGTATAGGGAATAGTAACATCAATCAAAATGTTTTTTAATTTAATACCTATATGATTGTGTAAAAACATACAGGGTGTTACATTTAAAATAAAAAGTTATTAACCTTTTAAGTTAGCCTAATTTGCCCTGTTTTTAGGGAATTTGTTGAAAATGTTAAAGAATCGACATGGATTACATATTTTGCAATTTTTTTTATTTATCATGTTTTTAAATTTGATACTGATTCATTATTTTTTGACCTTCTGCCTTTACATTAGTATTAATTAATAAATAAGTTAATTAAAATAACACCGCATAATTTTTTTTTTAATTGGTAAGTAGGAGTTAAATGCTTCTATGTATTTCATGTGAGAAATTAATCACATTTTCTTTCTTTGTTGGCAAGGCCACAGGTCATATAAACAATAATAGTTTTCTGTCTGTAAATCATGTGTGTATAAAAACAAAGAATCATCTATCTGATAAAAACAATGTAAAAAAAATCACCTGCTCTACAAGCGGTACAAGACACTTTGGACATCACAGAATTTTCAATTTCAAATGCTACTTGTTTTAAATTCAGCAGTTTCAGTGCTTTGTCAACGAATTGTGGAAGATGGGTCGTTTTTTCTTGATCCAATTCCCATAATAACCTTCCCTACAAATTAAAAAAAAAAGTAAAAAAACATAAAAAACTCAAAATTCATTATTTTTGAGAGATCAGTTTATAAAAATAATACATACTTACAGTGCCATTCGCTGTGGGAGGCAGTGTATGATTTCTTAATAAAGCCGACAAAATGGGTATCTTGCTTTGTTGCTCCATTTTATAATCCCAATCATCTTTGAATTCGTCATTTTTTTGTAATGTTTCGTCTGTTTGTTCTGACCCGTCTATATTTACAGGGTGAGCTTAAATAAAGAAGAAAATAATTAAATTAAAAATGTTTATTTGCTTTTTAATTCCGCACATTTTTTAAAGTTTTATCAGAACTGTATAGAATCGTGCTTTGTTTTTATATTTTACGGCTCTATACCTATGCACGACTATATTTAAAGTCAAACTCAATGGTGTCTTACAATATACATTATTTTGATTTTCTATATTCAACAGAGAGGTAGAAACTCGACCCTGTCGAATGGTGCATTTATGTCTCTAGAAATTATTGAAAAAGGGTTCAGTCCAATGGTGCAGCAACTTCGGATTCCTATTCTCTTCAGAGACATAGAAACTCAAGCTTTTCGAATTTTATTGGCAATGATTTTCGTTAATGTCCCCGAGAATTATAAAAAAACAGCGCAATCCAATATCGCAACGGTTTAGACTTCTCTTTACTCTACCAAGTTATAGAAACTGAAGTCTCTCTAATACTGTTCTAGTCAATATTTCTGAGAGTATAAAAAGAGGGTGTAATTCAATATTGCAAGAAGTTTTGATCTTTTGATGGATGCAAGTGGTTTGAATATTCTCATTTCTGCATATGATTTTGTTGAAAATAGTTCCTTTCTTTGGTTCCTTTGTCTGATTTTTATTTACCGAAACAACTGAGGTATGTAATTTTTCACTGAATTTGTTTCATACTTTTGCCGGCCACTGTATAAATGTTATTTAATTTATTTATTTATAATTGCTTGTATGAATTTATATATAGATAATTAAGTCATATGTATTCAAAATAAGGCCGATATTTGTAAATCAAATTTAACGAAATTCTACTATTTTGCAAACAAATGTGTGTACTGTGATTTTTAAGTTGAAAATAATATCTAGGTACCTACACTTTCTTTAAATTAAATTTTGCAAACAAAAAGGTGATTTTATATTTTGTACGACAAATTAATGTTGTTTATCTTGACAATCAGGTTTATAAACATGTAGGAATAGAAAACGAAAATTGCATAAATCTTGAAACTGGTTCTTTTTCCTGATACGCGTTAGGCAACACCCAAGTCAATCTATGTCACTTACCTTGAATAACAACAACTAGCGGAAAGATGCAGCAAACTCCACATATCGCCACGAGGAAGCATTTACTTAACATAGTTATCTGGAAAAAGAGAGCAAAAAACAAACAATTAAAACTCCTAATTTTTTTTGAATTAAAAAATCAATCAATTATTCTATAAGCATAAACGGTAAATTAAAATCCACGCTCAAACCATGTCAACCCACCACAGCGTTGAGAGTCGACCGAACAGAGGCGAAATATTTATAGCCTTTGAAGCTCCTACTTACCAGCAAAGAGCGTAAACTCTTTACCTACAAATATAGATGGTTATTTGACAAAACATCGTAAGCGACAATTTCGTTGAATTACCTTTTATTTTATCAAAGTGTCAGTTACGATAAGCTGCACATGTTAACATAATAGTTATCCCAATTTTGGAATCTAATATTGGTCAGTTTGAATATTTTTATTATTGGAAGGGCCTCTTCTTTTTAATTTGTTACCGATTTATAACGTAAGCGCCTATATGTTCCCGACAAATAATCGTAAGCAACTCCGAGACATGGCGTTTGCGATTTAACATTGTGTCGCTTACGATAATATTGTGCTCCCGCCTTGATCTATCAAGGCGTTATTCCCGCTCTAAACAGTTTATTCGTGAGTATACCTGCATCGTGGTGATTGCTTCCAAGTTTTAAAACAATATTTTATTTGATTATTTTTCATTCATTGCATTATTAATAGTATCCTAATTTTAATTGTTTTTACGTAGTGTGGTTCGTTAAAAGTGTTTTTTGTAGTATGTAATTAACGGTTAGATCATGGTACCATAGGTTAGATAATGGAGCCTACACAAGGAGTCCGAACATCATGTAAACAAGAATCTTCCTAAGATAAGAGGGCGCTGGTGTTCCGTTTATTCTGAAACAATTGTTTAATTTGTACCGAAACGCTAGCATCGACAATCAGCGCCGCTGGTGGTGAAAAAAAGAAACTTAATTTGTACAATTTAGAGGGCAGGTTTTGTCAATTTCCCCTATTAAGTTCGGGCTCCTTGTGTAGGCTCCATGGGTTAGATACTGGTTTGTGAATAAAAATCGTTCGTTTTTTTCAAAGAACGCTAATGTAGAATTTCATTTTCAAACATTGTTTGGCAAAATATCGTTGGTGATATTTTATAAATTAATTTTTTTGTATTTTTTTTATTTAATAATAAAAGTAAAAAAATAAATGTCGCTAACGATGTTTTGACAAAAGTAATCATCAAATCTATATTCCACAAAGTAACGTAAACTTAAGCGACAAGACTAATTTACATTTTTCTAAAGATGTTCTTATAAAATATCGTATGCCACAAAATTTAATGAAAATTTTAGATTGGGTTCGATCTTACTTAAATATTTGAATTCTACAATAATAAAATAATGCCTCACCAGTTTTCATATAAATAATTTTAAAAATAAAGCTCCCACACAAAAAAATCTCTCCTGTAAAATTTAGGTTTTGCCGCTTACGATGTTTTGTCAAATAACCATCGATATTGGAGCTTGGGCTTGCTCTAATTGGTGCTTTTATATCACATGACTGAAGATGTGGTGGGTGGCAGTTTGTGTTGCAGTGTGTGTAGAGCAGGTGTTTTTGTTTTGATTCAGAATAAATTATTTAAAACAGTTGTCTGATCTTTTATAGTTTTTTTCTCGATTAGTAAAATTTATTATTTTATTATTGTGGTGCACAGGTAGAATTAGCAGTTTTTATTAAGCAACAATTGTTTAATTTGTACCGAAACGCTAGCATCGACAATCAGCGCCGCTGGTGGTGAAAAAAAGAAACTTAATTTGTACAATTTAGAGGGCAGGTTTTGTCAATTTCCCCTATTAAGTTCGGGCTCCTTGTGTAGGCTCCATGGGTTAGATACTGGTTTGTGAATAAAAATCGTTCGTTTTTTTCAAAGAACGCTAATGTAGAATTTCATTTTCAAACATTGTTTGGCAAAATATCGTTGGTGATATTTTATAAATTAATTTTTTTGTATTTTTTTTATTTAATAATAAAAGTAAAAAAATAAATGTCGCTAACGATGTTTTGACAAAAGTAATCATCAAATCTATATTCCACAAAGTAACGTAAACTTAAGCGACAAGACTAATTTTACATTTTTCTAAAGATGTTCTTATAAAATATCGTATGCCACAAAATTTAATGAAAATTTTATATTGGGTTCGATCTTACTTAAATATTTGAATTCTACAATAATAAAATAATGCCTCACCAGTTTTCATATAAATAATTTTAAAAATAAAGCTCCCACACAAAAAAATCTCTCCTGTAAAATTTAGGTTTTGCCGCTTACGATGTTTTGTCAAATAACCATCGATATTGGAGCTTGGGCTTGCTCTAATTGGTGCTTTTATATCACATGACTGAAGATGTGGTGGGTGGCAGTTTGTGTTGCAGTGTGTGTAGAGCAGGTGTTTTTGTTTTGATTCAGAATAAATTATTTAAAACAGTTGTCTGATCTTTTATAGTTTTTTTCTCGATTAGTAAAATTTATTATTTTATTATTTTGGTGCACAGGTAGAATTAGCAGTTTTTATTAAGCAACAAGTCGTATTGAGTTTCGGTGGCGAGCCGCCACTGAGTAACTGTAAGATCAAAGGGCAATAACACCATAAACAGTTTGACCAAAGATAATTATTTAATTAAAAAAAAACAATAAAAATAATACAGATACAACTCTTTCCCAATGATTCTTTCTTATTATTTTTACAGCTATGTAGCCAAATCTAGCAGAAAAATAATTAGATTAATTTAACACTTCAAATAAGAAGAATAACGGTCATTTGTTGACCAATTTACCATAAAATTTACATTTTTTATTTGTTTAATAAATAAATAAATATTTATATAATTATCTCATATCAGTAGTTTAGTAAAAATAAATAAACCGGATGCATCAAAATTTGATAAAAAAAGCGTAATTTTTATCGCTATTATTTTTGTTGCAAAAATTGATACGGCATTAAAATTGGATCAAAACAAAGCAACTAAATCATACAGGGTGTCACCTAATAAATTGTCATCCTTTGGGGGGATGATAGTACACGCCAAAACAAGAAAGTTTTTTCTATATCATTTTTGCTTTAGAGCTACTGTTTTTTAATAAAAAAATTATAATTTGATCTATCCTATAAACCATCATTGTTTTTACCTCTAAAAACAATGATATTATTCATCCAAGCAAGAAAGAAACAGGAATGCGCATATACATAGGTATATAAGCAAACTTTTAAAATAGTTCAAAATCGGTTAGTAGATACTTTGTTATCATTGATTATTAACAGTTCGGTTGTTATTGTGGTTTCTCTGTGGCTACATGAACAGTTTAGTGTACCAGAGAGAAGTTGACACATTAGAACAACTCCTCGAACTTGTCACTGCAGCGGCAGATGAAATCCGAAATCATCCGGATATGATGGCAAGAGCGACACATCATAATTTTCTACGCCGCTGTCAACTTTGTTCCTGATAGCACACTTTATTCTAAGAATGTTTTTTATACCTTCCAGTGAGAATATTCTTAGGATCATGCTATATTTCTTCTAAAGAACATGCTTAAAAGAAATATAGTATGATCCTAAGAATATTCTTACTGGCCTATAGGCAGGTTCTTAGAAAGTTCATTTAGGAATATTCCTGTTAAGCATATTTAGTTCAGTTACCTATATAATAGTAAAATATACCATTAACTACGTATAAGGTATATACCTATATAAGTACCTAATTAGTAATTAGTATTAAATACTAAGTAAAAAACCTCGTAAAAAACACAATCCAAAATATTTTTTTATAGTTATTTGTCAAGTTAAAACAATATTCGATAAGAAAAATACTTTTACTATAGGTTTTTATTTTATGTTAAAAATAATTATTTATCAATTTGTATACCGATTTTTTATTTCCGAATTAACATTTTTATGTATAATAATCCTAACTATCTTTAACTTCAATCTAATCTGACTTATCCCACAAAATTTTCCAATTTTACTTTTTATGAAATAATGTCACACAACTTATGGTTTAGAGGTCAAATTGTTTATTTCATATTTTTAAATAATAGTTATTTATGTATTAAGGGCATAATAAGGTTTTTATGGTCCGAGGCGCTATTTCGAGCCTGAGCGCGTTAGCGCGAGGGCTAGAAAAGCGTCGTAGGACCATAAAAACCAGTTATGCCAGAAATGCATACAAAACTTTATGCACGATTAATATATTATTATTATTAATATATTATTGTTTTTAAAGACGTTTACGTCAAAGAATTTTTGTTATAATTGTCATATTATAATGTCATCGTGCATCGTTGACATCAGTCAGTTTTAAAGTTTAAAGATGAATGAAATTGAGGAAGCAACGGAAAAGGCGAAAAATTGCGGCCTGCTGCCGGAAAAATCAAAATCTTTATACGAAAAAACTTACTTCGAATATATCAAATGGTGTAACATAAGAAAGAATAGTTTTGCGCCTATTGTTTTTAATTTTTGACGTTTCATTATAGCCCGCTGGGTCATAATAACGCCCGCGGGCTATAAAAAGACGTTTACGTCAAAGAATTTTTGTCATAATTGTCATATTATAATGTCATCGTGCATAAATGTATTAATATGTCGCAAAATTTTTTAAGGGGACGACATTTCACTGTCATATTATGACAGTGAGGCGTATTTGTCGTCTCCTGAAGAATTTTACGATTGTAGAATACAACATATTAGAACGTGACTATCTGACATATTTGGGAATATTCTCAAAAGCTTCCTAGAAGCTCCATAAGAAACCTTTTAAGAACCTTCCAAAAACGTATTCTTAAAATGTTCTTGGGATGCTTTTTAGGAAGGTTTTAAGAAGCTTTTAAGATTCTAATTGCATCATTAAATGGGTATCTATTGAATGTTTTAAAAGTCCCTAAAAACATTCTTAGCAATAAGGGAAGCTTCTAAGAATATTTCATTATTCCGGGTCATATCTTCTTAGAAGATTCTTAAAAGTATTGTTTTATTCCAAAAAATAGCTGAGTATGCAAAACAAAAAACAATTATCAACAAATTAATCAAGTTTTTTGAATTTTTGGCAATTTTTCAAACAATTTATTTAGATAAGTATATTTATATTAACTATACTTTGAAAAATTGCTTTCACTTTTCACATGATAATGTTATGTAATGTGTCAACACTAAGCAAATATGATTAATTTTATTTTTGTGGTAAGATTGTAAAAAGGGATTTTAAATAGGAAAATTTTAATTATAAATCTAATTAAATGTACAGTGATAACAATTCAACATGATTTAAAGCAAAATGGAAGTTATTTTGTAAAATTTAAGATATTGTGAAGTATTTAAAAAAGTGGTAAAAAATTTGGATATTTTTTTACAAAAATTAAATAATAAGAAATGTGTATAATGCAAAAGGTGTTATAATCGACATGTTGATTCTGTTTGCTCCAGTGACTTCAATGTGGTACAATTCGGGGTCACACACACACACACACCTGATAATCTTTTTTATTGTTCGATTTGGTAACAACTTTCCAAAACGACCTTAACGTTCATCAAACTTAACTTTTATTTGGACTTGCTGGTGTATACAAAAGGGCTGCAGTGAAAGTATTCGACCATTAACTATTTGGTATTGCTTTTGTCTATTCCTACCTAGTCATTTTCCTTCAAAATAGAAAGTTATGCAACAGTACAGAGTCAAGGCGAAAGATACGAAGTTCCTTGCACTTTGGGTTATGATTATAATCAAGTTTAATATGTTTAACAGATCTGACACTTTTTTTATAGAGGCATATTTAAACCTTCCCCTCAATGTCCTTTTGTAGGAAAAGTGACAAAAGTATTCAAAGATTAAACCATAAAAAATCGTCTTAGCAAAGAAAACAAAATTAAATCGTAAAGGTGATTCTTTCTATTAACCACAAAATTAATATCGGCTTTAAAAAATTGTAGGTAAGCATCTGCGAATTGGTTACTTTCACAATTGAAATTAATATAATTAGTACAAACTGGAAAGAAATTATATTTCTTTGAAATTATGGGTTATTATTTTAACAGGATTTTTCTGGGTTCCCACAAAATGTTTGATGCTTTAATGTATCTAGTTTTGAAATAACTTTTTTTAATACAAAATTTTGTTCTATAATTTTTACTTTGTGGGTGATTCTACTAAAGTTGGACAACTTGATGTCATCAGTCAATGGAGTAGGTATTTTAATATTTTTAGTAAATATTTTAGTATACCTATTACAAAAGATCCAGGTTTTTTTAACATGTCCACCCAATTTTAAAGTATTTTTTTAAAAGCACGTTAACGTTAACTAATTAGTGGAAAAACATAATAAATATTCAAAACATCAGTACCTTGGCGTGTCACAACTCCTGAATCAAATATTTGAGTGGTTTTATTTTAAAATATATTCAATTTATCTTAAATTTTTCAATTTCACTACAAACTATAAAACATTAAATAATGTATTTTTCATATTTTATCATAGATTCGAATAATAGCAATTTTTTAAAAAAATTTAATCTTTGTACTCAGTTTTACCCGTCAGTTCTGTGTCCAATGTTAAAATTCAAAATTCCTGCGAAATATTGAACTTTAAACGTCAAGTCCTCGTTTTAACTCGAATGTTGGTAAAAAAATTACCTACAGAGCCCGCCCTTTGTACGACAGTCATCTTAAAAACAATGCAAGCGGCGAAGTAGTGGTGAATGCACGTATAGTTCCAGTCAAAATTTCAGTACTGTGGTGAGTAGTTATTTTCTTACGTATATATATTTTATTGTAATTTATATAAGGCTATATATACATATATATATGTATATATAGCCTTATATAAATTACAATAAAATATATATACGTAAGAAAATAACTACTCACCACAGTACTGAAATCACATATATGTGATTTGTTGATAAGTATATGCTATAGCATCCACTAATAAAAAATATCAGTAAAATACTTCATTCCGAATTATAATCTCAAATATGTATCCCATTTATCAGTACCGTGTCGTCAGTTCCATGTTCGATGTTTCGGTTATCTTTTTTTCGCAAACTTCAATTTAAATTCTGCTTGCGCAGAACTTGTTTATTTAATGTCATTATAAACTCAGATAAATTTGGTGTGGGTATACCCAAAATCCACCAGCCGCCACTGATGTGTGGTATTATTTGATTTTAAGATATTTAATGTATAATATGCTCAAAGTTGTAATAAATCTTATATTTTCCAATAAATTATGTATTTATTTAGTACCCTGGTATACTCGTCACTTCCCTTGCATTCAAATTTAGAAAACACAGATATTTCAGAAACTGTTTGAAAAAGTGACTGGCCCGGTCTGGAACAGTATATTTATTATATTATCTATGTTCTCATAACAAAATACTGTTTAATTTTCTCCGAAAACTATATAAACAAAATGAGGTCAAAAGTTGCCCAACTTTTGTAGAATCACCCTTATCACGAAAATCGATAGTTGTCATCTAGAAATAGCCTAAGGGTATTCTATAAAGGCAAATGGACATTATATTTCTGAATTGCCGGCTGTAATACGGCCTAATAAGCTTTGAATAAAAAACCTTTTTTATAATCAAAGCTGTAGAGATAAATGGTCAATGTACTATACACAAGAAGACTAAATAAAGGAGTTTTTACAGCTTTTTGCGCATCTGCAGCTTTATTTATAAAATAAATCGTTTTAGTCACTTAAATCCACATTTATTTTTGAAGTATTTACAAACGAAACCGAATCGTGAAAACCTGACGAACATCATCATTTGTTTAGGCTCAGCGAGTCAATAACCAACAATCAGGCAAAAATAATATGAATAAATAAGTAATTGTAACTTTCTACAAGCAGTCGTATGTTTTTCGAGAGTGATTCCTCATACTGCATGCAGTTGACTAGACATTTCCTTATGCTACTTTTGTATGCATTAATAATTTGCAACTAAGGAACATGGCGGAGTATACTGACTTTCAAACTTTGGTTTCTTAAAAAATAACCCCTCAAAATCTAACTGGTGGTTCTATATTTCCATTTGAAGAGTTTTATAAATAAATAACAGCAGGCCCTGACAAATTCGGCGGTGCCAATCTGGTAAAATTAAAACGTTGTATTTTAATTAACAAATTACTACTTTATTACAAATTAAAGTATCATTAAAAACTAAAAACAAAATGAAAAGTAAATAAGTAGCAATATAAATTGTAAGTTTGTTGTTATAATTGCAAAATTAAGGTTTAAAACTGTCATATTTTTGTGTTTCTTTAGTTGGCGGCAAGAAATTTGAATTGACAAATTTAAACTTTAAATTTGTCAATTCAAATTTCTTTCTTAAATTTTAAAGTGTTTATTGAGATTCCAATAAAAAAATACGGCAAAAATCAATTTATAGTTTACTTTTAATAGAAATACAATTTGGCAAATAACTTTAAAAATTATTTTCTTGGAATCTGTGCTGTAAAACAATCTGAAATTATTTGTGGATGTGTCTGATGCCAAAAAAATCATATATTAAATTTTGAAGACATTCTATAAAAACTCTTCAAATGGAGATAAAAGAAATATTTGATTTTCAAGTATATACCGTTAAGCCCATCATTAACCTAAATGAATGATTCCAAAGGTTCGAGAATTAATATAAGTGCAGATATTATTTAATGCCATTAAAGACGAGCATAATTAGGTAATTTTTAATGATATTTTTAATTATAAATATTTAGAGTATAATAAATTTTGTTTACAGCTAGTTGCAAACCAACCCATGAAATGATCCAATTCTTTTTAAATTTTGTTTAATTATTTAAAATAATGAAAAACAATTTTCTATTTATTTTAAAAATAAAAAGTTAAAATTCGTTAATTCGTTAACGTTATCATGATTAGGAGTTTTGATTTTTGGCAGTGTTATTTCTATAACTATATGTACCTGAAGTTGCAAACTTGTTAAACTTAAATGCCTCAAAACTTTTAAATTTCTTAAAACCATAGAAATAATACTATTATAATTATTATTGGTATTATTTCTATGCTTAAAATTTTGTTTTCTTTTAGATCAACATTTTTGTATGAATTATAATAATCTTATATAAAATTTACTTAAATGTGTTTACTTCAGATTTGTTCAAGAAATCGCATTTAATTAAAGTAAGTTACCATTGTCATGTAGATGATTATTTTCTCGAAACAGAAAATTTAGGTTAAGCTGTATTTAAACAGTTAATCGGCAAACGCGCGATGAATTAATAACAAAACACGACACTCACCTCAACGAATCAATTAAAAACAAAAAACTCCTCGCTGCTGAAACTGTCAGTCGGTTGATTTCACTTTTGTAACGCGTTACGATGCATTCATATATGGAGTTGAGCGTGCGTAACTGGGTTTTGTTTTTGTCTTTTGTTTTCGCGTGCGTCTTGATTTTTCTTGCGCGAGCTTAGATCGAGTGGTCAAGCGCACATCCGCAGACTGACTGCGGTCAAGTCGGACAGAGCCATGTCGCCACATTTTCGATTTGGGTCAAGTTCCCCCTCAAAAACGCCGCACAGTCGCTTAAGAGCCGTTTCACATGCGACTGATAAAGTCCTGACGATCAGTCCTGATGATACGGACTGACGGTCATGACCATTGTTTCACAAGCAACGTATAGTACGGAAATGTCTACTACGAGACGGTTCTCAGCGCCTCCGGAACTGCGCTGTTGCCGCTTTTTGTATAAAGAGAATAATACAACGCAAAAAAGTTCTTCTTTGCTTTCGCAAAATTTTCAAAATCCGGAACTACTATTTACGCTACTTCTTCAAATGCTTTGTTCTTTGCATCCCTATTTTTGTAGTTCTCATCATCTGCATACCAGATGCATCTTCGCTGTTCGATGCTATTTATTACAATTTCAGTATCAATGCGTAAACTACTCATTGTGCAACACTGTTTCTGCTGACCGTACGTACCATATGAAATACTCCATATAACTAACAGCCCTTAATAGTCCTGACGGTACGCAGTGCGCACGGGCTATCCCGATGCCCGTGCCGACGAATCAGTCAACCGATGAAACGCAGTGCATGTGAAAAAGTTCATTTAAACAATGGCCCCTAGTCATTAGGACTGACCATCAGGACTGATCGTCAGGACTTTATCAGTCGCATGTGAAACGGCTCTAAGAGTCTTAAGATTTTCGCATTGAATGTCGAATTTTGAACCGAAAAAAGTCATCTACAAAGAAATGGTCCAAGGATTATCTAACTAGAGGCAAATGGTCTGAGAAAAAACCTAGGTATTAAAATTGTTCTTTTAAACTTCAGTAAAATGACACTTTTTTGACATTTCACAGAATGTTAACCTAATTTTAAAAATCATTTTAGTCGCCCCTCGTATACTTTCAAAAAATCTGACAGCAGCCAGGCGGTTTTATAACATTAATAACTTATTTTTCTAGTACAATAATGCGCTTAGACAATCGATAATTTTTTTTTTACCCTATTTCATTTATATTATCTCCGAATATGCCTTTGAAAAAATCATCTGTCATTGACAGACTGTCATTTTTATTAAGTTAATATTTTTTAGCTTTTTTCAGAAGATTTAATAGTATTTACTAGACTGGGCCAAAAAAATCAACTATTTTTTTTTTGAAAAGTATATCGAAAATATGGTTTGGGGTGACAAAAAAAAATTATTGTGAAAGTTTGAGTCCATAATATTAATATTAAGAGGTCTATCATCGCAATTTTAATTTTTTTTTCCTCATCAAGTTTTTGTCACAGAACTCCCAAACCATTGAGTTTAATAAAATTGACTGGAAAACATTTTTTGAAGAAAATTGAATGCTCTACAAAAAAGGTTAAAAGTGAAATTTTTCGTCAGATGAACCGTTTCCTTAAAATCATGCATGGTATAGTTCCAAAGTTAAAAGATCAAAATGTAAAACTATAACAATTTTTAAGGCATGATTTTAAGGAAACGGTTCATCTGACAGAAAATTTCGTTTGAACCTTTTTTGTAGAGAATTCAATTTTCTTCAAAAAATATTTTTGGGTCAATTTTGTTAAACTCAATGGTTTGGGAGTTCTGAGACAAAAACTTGCCGAGGAAAAAAAATTAAAATTGCGATGATAGACCTAATATTAATATTAATATTATTATTATTATTCAAACTTTCACAATAATTTTTTTTTGTCACCCCAAACCATATTTTCGATATACTTTTCAAAAAAAAATAGTTGATTTTTTTGGCCCAGTCTAATATTTACATACATACATATATATGTCTAGAGATAAATGGTCTAAGAATTCTTAGACCATAGGTTAAGGGCCTTTAAAGGCCCTATTTAAAATTGTTTTTTAAACGTCAATAATTTTTTTTACATTTCACTGAATATGAACCTAATTTTAATAGTTATTTACGATATAAGTGGGATATCACACGTATATTGTACAAATTTTTATCTACGCCTCTAAATGAAAAAATAAACGGTAATTATTTTTGTCTAAGACTTAATTGAGGGTTATTTTGACATTTTGACTTTTTTATTTGATTGGTTAAAAACAGAGAAAAACGCGTGCGTTAATGAATTTCTTATCTCACTCAAAATGAGTGGGATAAGAAGTTCTTATCTCACTGGCGTAGATAAAGATCATTATAGTCGCCCCTCGTATACCTACTATCAAAAAATCTGACAGCAGTCAGACGGTCTTAACCTTATATAAACTTAATAACATTATGTTTCTAGTTACTAGAATCTAGTACAATAAGGAGATTTGACAATAAATCGATTAAAGTTTATTTTATTTTACCCTATTTCATTCATATTCTCTCCGCCTATGCCTTCGAAAAAAGAATCTGTCATTGACAGACTGTCATTTATATTAAGTTAATATTTTTTAGCTTTTTTTAGAAGATTAAATAATATTTCGGAAAAAGCATCTGAGTGAATCCCGTGATATTTCATAAAACTAAATGAGTTTGACCTACACTCTTATTATCAATTAATTATTTTTTACAATATTTTAAAAGTCTAAAACCTATCCTCCGTGACTGTTACTCTTTCTAGGTTAACCTATATGTTTCGAATATCTGAGGTAGTAAAAGCATTCTAAAAATATCAGTTCACTAAGTAAATTAAACACATCCAAAGCAATCGAATCAAATATAAAATATTATTAAAAATTCAAAGAAATAATTTTTATAACCATTTATGTAGTTGTTATAAAAATTGATTCTATCCTCCGTGAATCTCTTTTTGCTTTACATTTTATGCCACGGATGACGCTTTAATCATTTTAAATAAGCAAAAACCTCTGTTTGCGACATTATAGATGCATGTGATTCCTGAAGGTAAGTTAGAATTTATATGCAGGTAAGAGTGTTGCTGTTTTATAATTCAAAAGTTTAAGTTCATTAATTTGCTATTTAAAAACATATCCACGGTGAAGTGTAATATCTAGTAAGTAGATTTTTTTTTATAAATATTTTATGTATGTACCTAACCTCCGTGAAGCTCTAAAATTCTTGCATTAGTGCAGAACCACTTATGTTATCTTATTACTAGACCTGGTGGCTTCCCAAAAACCCCATTCTAGATTAACAGTGAAACAACCAAAAATAAAAAATAATTATTTTTACTATATATCTTCACCCATCTGTCATTTTTATTGAGTTAATATTTTTTAGCTTTTGTCAGAAGATTTAATAGTATTATATGTCTAGAGATAAATGGTCTAAGAAAAAACCCTATTAAAATTGTTTTTAAACGTCAGTAAAATTACTTTTTCTTGACATTTCACAGAATGCATTCTTAGCATGTGAACCTAATTTTAAAGATCATTAAAGTCGCTCCTCGTATATTTTTAAAAAATCTGACAGCAGTCAGACGGTCAACCTAATAACCTTAATAACTTATTTTTCTAGTACAATAATGCTCTTAGAGAATAAATCGATTAAAATTCATTTTTTACACTATTCATTCATATTATCTTCGCCTATGACTGTCATTGACAGACTCATTTATAAAGTGACAAGATTATGTCAAAAAATAGCGGGACATTTTGTGTAAATTTACATTAATTACAAAAATGACGCTATCAACAATAATTTACAATTTGCATTGTTAATTGTCAATTTTGTAATTAAGGTAAATTCAGGCAAAATGTCTATTTTTTGACAGAATCTGGTCACTTTAATCATTTATATTAGGTTAATATTGTTTAGCTTTTGTTAGAAGATTAAATAGTATATGTCTAGAGATAGATGGTCTAAGAAAAAACCCTATTAAAATTGTTTTTTTATACGTCAGTAAAATGACAAGTGACGCCATTTTTTGGTTCACATTCTACACATTTTCTGCATTTATGCAATTGTAATTTAAATTTTTAAAAATAAAAAAATCATTTTTTTGAAGAATTATTTTGCAACTTGGAGCACTGTGCGTTTGTGGTCAAGTTTCTCCAAAAGAATGCTGCCTGGAACATCACTGCTTGATTCTTCTTTATATTTCAGGTATAGAATGGACGGTGATTTGACGCGCTTTTCTGCATAAATGCGTCATCAAATTTCATATGTGAACGACTTTTTTGTTTTTAATTGTTTTTGTCAGTTTTATACCTATTAAATATAATTATAAAAAAAAACAATTATTTTAGATAAAAATAAGATTTTTTACAAAAATCGCCATAACTTTGATGAATACTCTTCAAAAGGGAAAAAATAAAACCAGCAACAAAATATTAATTAATAATTTATTGAGATAAAAATACAATACAAGAGTAAATATTAGCTAATAATGATAAAGCCTTAACAAAAATAATACAAAATAAATTTTCTTGGCATCTTGTTTAATCGTAAATTAACCAAAAATAATTCGAATAAGCACTAATTATTATAAAACTAGTTCCAAAGATAAAACTTAAAGCTAAAAAGTTATTTTCAAGTTATTAAAAAAAATCAACATGATATGCTATTTGACTATTTAAATAAATTGAGTGTTTTAACTACAAAATAATATTTGGGGTCAATTAAAAATAACAACATTTAATATTGTAAGTAGATTTTATTAATTATTACGTCAATCTTTAAATTAGTAAAAGCAATTCTACATTCCGAACAACAAAATGATTGTCAAATAAATCGTGTTCAATAAATACTTGAGATTAATAAAATTCCCTCTATGAAAATTGTTTGCGAATTTCTTAACTCTAAAATATCCCGGCATTTCACGCAAACAAGTCCATAGCTCCAAATATCTTAAGTAGAATTTAATTTTTTTTAATGAGAATTGCTTTTACAAATGATATATACTTGTGAAGTTGCACTATTGTAATTATGACTATCTTTCCCATATATTTCCCGTTTACTTATATACTAAAAACGACAAAAAATTGTCGATGTTTTCAATTTGTTCGTGTTACATATTCAACCCGAAATTATTGTCGAGAATTAATGAATTATATGGGTGAAATAAAGAAAGATTGTTTATTTTTATTAAGTTATATTGTAATATCGGTAACACGAAAAATTGAATCTTACATCTAGTTTTCACACTATAATTATTTACCACAATCTAAACTTAAAATATAATAAATTAATTGATTTGAAAATATATGCTACATCTTAGTTTTATTAGGTAATAAATGGCTTGCGGTTTTTACTTTGTATTAGAACATTATTTATTAACTTTTTATTTATTTATTAAGATACATGTATTTACATTGTTTATTTAGAATTTTGTGCTCTCAGAATTATTTCTTTAGTAAATTCGAACAAAATAAATAATGCTCTAAAATTTTACATAATATGGAATGTCGTCTAAACGTTTTTTTTTCTTTACACTTGTTATTGTCTAGACACTTTTTCGATATATTTATGATCAAGATATGAATAAATAATATGTTATTTGAGATTATTTGTCATACTTTTTATTTGATTTGATAACTGCGTATTGACAAACCGAGGCGTTAAAATCATAATAAAAATCGGTTCAACAATTTACACAGGGGCAAACACAGAAGTGCCATCAAAGTTTGCAAGTGAAAATAAGTTCGATATTTTCGTATATTCAACAGCTGAAAAATGAAATTTTGAATAAATATAAAAAGAATATATTTATTAACATTTTTCACTGTATGTTTGATGACACAAAAGCTGCTTATTAATACAGGGTAAACAATTGGTTAATTTTTAAAGCTTGATTTGCATTGGGCATTACCACTTCCACACCAAACCCCAAAAAAACTACAACTTGCCTGTTGGAACAAACCTTATATTATTTAGGCTTGTTCCAACGTGCAGTGTAGTTGATTTGTGAAAGAAAGTGTATATTGGAAGTGGAAAAAAATTAATTACAATACACCATAATATAAGACACTAACTACTAACAACCCAACAACAATTAACAATTATTATGTGTTTAGTGTGAAGGAAAGCGCGCTAACACAGAAGTGGCTTTTATCGCGAAAAAATTATTAAAACTAAATGACGTCCTATTATTTATTTCTTTTACTTTATCACATACTATACAAGGTGTGCCTCAAATGCATGTAGAAAATGACACGACATTTCTTAATAAAATCAAAAACAATCTTTCAACTTTGACATCATTAACTTTTGTCTCAGGAATGTGGTATTATTTTTTACAGGTATTTCAAGGACACCTTGTATACACCCGGCATATATAATTACCCACATGGTTGTCGATTAATAAAAACAAAATAATTTTGTAAAATGGTTGCCACATTGCTGCCATACCTCTAACAATAAACACTACCCGAAACAAAGTATAGTGCATCCATTATTGAACACACTATATAAGCAAATAAAAAATCGTCAAAAACTAAAACTAATTGGCCGATAAAAAATAATCGGGCAGCGCCTACATAAATTGATTTGCGTAATTCATAGCAGAATTAATTCAAACACCGAAATGTATTTCCCGCCATACTAAAAACTAATTGATGATAATGTTCCACAAAAATGACTAGATTTTTACCATAAATACTTATATATTGAACAAAAATTATTGAGCATAAAATTATTACACTGCGCGTCAAAATTAACGCAAAATAGGTAAAAAAAATTTAACTCTAAAACGCCTTTACCAATCTTTATGAAATTTTGTATAAAAATACTTATATCTCAGTTTACGTGTTCGAGGGTTTTTCGAGAATATATTTTTAAAGTCCTTTTATTTAATAATAAAAAAAACGTTCGAAAAATAACTTTTAGGGAATTTTTTTTAACTAAATAAAAAATATACTGATACATCGCTTCAAAGTTGGTAAAAATGACCCCTTTTTTATTATTTTGCTGAAGTGAATATTTTTGACGACTTGAAGCGCCGTATTTTTGTAACTGTTTGTTTGATTTGTACCAAATTTTCAGGGTATACTAACAAAAATACGGTCTTTCACAGCATATTTTTTATTTACTTATACAAGTTCTTTTTGGAGCCTTTTTTATTAATAAATAAAAGGGCTTTAAGGATTTTCTCGAAAAACCCTTGAACACGTAAACTAAGATATAAGTTAAAGTATTTTTATCCAAAATTTTATAAAGGCGCTTTAGAAATTTTTTTAACTTGTTATGCGTTAATTTTGACGCGAAGTGTATTTCTTGATTGGCTGGCCAGATTGGGGCTAATACAAAACAGAACTTTGTCAAATTAAGTCTGCTAGGTGTAAGCTCCATTTTTTATATACACTTTTTATTGTTTCATTTCTGTAAAAACGGAATTTTAATTGCCCCAAGTCTTCCAAAAGACTCTTTTGGACGTTTCTACGGTTGTTTTTTAAAATTCTGAATTGACAGAAATGATAATTTTTGTTCCTACCCAAAGTTCAAGTGTAGGAACAAATCTAACAGCAAAAATTTTAAAAAGTGTGCCTTAAAAAATATTGTTTCCTTCAGTAGGGTTTTTCGAATTATTCGTATATAATATAAGTTAAAACTAAAAAAAAAATTTGTACCACACTCATTAAAAAGTATCATCAACCTTTCTTTCCCTAATTTTTTGATGGAAGGAAAGAATGTCACGTCACGTCATATTTGGTCATCATAAGATTATTTTTTTTCTGTACTGGGCTTAATAGTAAAAAGTTACGCAACGTAGCAGAGACATTCTTTATGCTGACAGCACTGAATTGCATTGATCAAAATTTGGTCTGAAGTGTTTTTTTGTAGCTTAATTTATGTAGTTTTGTGTATCCTTAAGATTAAGTTTTCGAGAGACGCCCATCTTGTGCTCTCGATTTTGGCATACTTTTTTTTTCGTTTTAAAAAACTTCTTAAGCAAAGTACATGACCTTTTTGGTGTCGGCGTGGACTGTAATGGCCCTCGCCATCGCACCAGGCGTGCGATCTTCAGAGGACCCCGATTGGTGGGAACCTTCCCCACTGAAAAAAGTACAATTGTTGTAGTTTTTGATCACAATACAAGCAACCAAACTTATATGGAATCACACAGTAATTACGATAAACATTATTCCACTTAAAAAAAGTGATTTGGAAATAAAAAGCACTTTATCTGAACCAATTTTATTACAAGAATAAAACAAATTTTCTAGAGAACAAATTACATAAAATGTGAATTTCTCTGATTATTTCCCTCCAATCACAAACGCGCAATTTTAAGTTACAAATGGTTTCTAGGTGGAAAAACTGTATGACAGCACCTGTCAGAAGTTTTTTCGAGTTTACTCGCGGCAAAACGTGACAGCTGTTGTCACCAAAAATTGCAATTTATATTTTAATTGTACCATAAATAATTAAGTTTGTAGTATTTTGTGATTAAATAAATTACCTTTTTTTCAGTTTTCAAATTAATACCTACATACAGTGTGACCCATTTGTTTGCGACTCAACCCTGTAAAATCTTTATTTATTGTGCGATTTTAACAGGATTTGTTTTAAAGTGTAGATCTTAATAAACTGTATTTTTGGAGCAAAAAAACGCCATATTTTTACAAAATATAAGGCCTACTATGTCAGTTTTTAAGAGTAAATTTTTAAGAATTTATATTAGCAATTTTTTTAAACAAAATCTAAGCACGGCACTGGATTCGCCACCCCTCAAAACAACCCTATATAGTAGAAAATGCACAATAATAAATAACTACAAAAATTTATTCTGTCCAGTTATGCAAGAAAAAATATTTAAATAAAATTAAACTAATACTAACAAGGTACTATTACTATAAGTTTTATTTTATTTCTATGTTTTTTTCATGTTTAACTTGACAGAATAATTTTTTTTAGTTATAATTGTGCATTTTTCTACTTAAAGTTTTTTAATAAAATTTAGTAAAGGGTCCTTTTGAGGGGTAGTGAATCCAGTCCCTTGCTTAGATTTTGTTTAAAAAAATCGCTAATATGAATTCTTAAAAACTGACATAGTAGGCCTTGTATTTCGTACAAATATGGCGTTTTTTGCTCCAAAATTACAGTTTATCAAGATCTACACTTAAAACAAATCCGGTTAAAATCGCACAATAAATAAAGATTTTACAGTGGTGAGTCGCAAACAAATGGGTCACACTGTATTTATTATGTATGCAAAATAACTGTTACTCATGAAATAGTATTGGCAAATACCATTGGGGCATCCTATTTTTCCTGTGAAAAAAAATCGAAAAAACACAATGCTTATGATATTACTTACGAGAATAAACAACAATAAATTAGAATTTAGGAATTTTTATTAAGTTAAGTTATTTATTTCTTCTTGTTGAATTTTTCCCACCCCTCTAAAACTACTTCTACTAGTTGCTTTGCGTTGCTGGGTTGTTTTAAGAGACTTTAATCCTTGCTTTAACCTTATCCCTTAAGTTCTTAATTGGATTAAGATCCAGTGAACAAGAAGGACACTCTAAAACAGTCACTTTCCATTTCTCAACAGTTGCGGCATAAATTTAAAAAAATTGCAGAAGGGCGATTCCATGATTACGGACGGGACAAACAAAAACAAGACTAAATGTTTTATGAAAATTTTTGAAGATGTGTTGTTCCTATAATAATAATTTTATGCCAGTCCTCAGCAATGAAATTAAGTAATAATAACTATTATAAAATTATTATTTTATGAACAACACATCTTTAAAAAATTTCATAATACATTTTGTCTTGTTCAGTAATCATGGAATAGCCCAGAATACAGTTAAATTGGTATTTGAAGTATTAAAACTGGACATTTGAATATTGAAGAAATGTCTTATTTTCGATCCAGAATTGGCCTACGATCAGACGACCGGTGAATTTGTATTTTAAGAGGTCGTGGAAGGCAAGCTAGACTCTGAGCTGGACGATCGGTCCCTCAAGGCAAAGAAGGAAGTGTAATGTTTTGGGGTGGCTTTATGATTGGTGAAAACATTCCTTTGATTCCCATTCCAAGGTGTGTGGATTTAGTTCTACAACCCGTAGTAAGGCTCTGAAAAAGTGCTTTCCGTGATTTATACAGGATAATGCACCTCCATTTACCACCAGTTGCCAAAAATTGTTTGGAAATGGAATGATCTTAATTGAATTGAGAACTTGTGGAATAAGGTTGAAAGAAAGATTATAGCTCCTCAAAATTGCCCTGGCAATACATATAAAGGAAGTTTTAGAGGGGTGAGGAAATGTTAATAGAAAGCATGCCTCGTCGAATTAATGCTTGCATTGATGCCAAATGTGGCAATACTGATTATTTAATTAACAACAACCTATTATTTCTTCTCAATTTTTAATTTACCATAAAGTTTATTCTCAAAGAAATTAAAATTTTTTGTTTTTTTTTAATACAATTTGTTTTAATATTTTTTATCTTTTTTTGTAATAAAATTGGTTAGGATAGGGTGTTTTGTATTTTCAATTCATTTTTTTAAAGTAAAATACTGTTTTTCGTAATTACTTTTTTACTCCGTCTGTTAAATGAATATATACTTTTTTTCGTGCAAGAATGACTTACCTGTCGTGCTCTTTTTCCACAAGGTGATACCTGGCCCGGAACGCCACCAAATGCGCGTAATAAGCTGGCGCTGGGATCGACACCGACCTTGTGCATCTCACGTAAGTGTGACACAACTGGTAGGTTAGGCATTGAAGCTCGTCAGAGTCCAGATGGGAGTCGTCCCACAGTACGTGGTAATGCGATGGACGAGAAGTACCCTTTAGCAAAAAAAAAAACAATAAACGTTTTTTCATACTAGACTTGGAACTTGACCGTGCAGTCGTCATATTATACCGACGTCTTCTTACCTGAATACCCTGATGACTGCACAAATAGAAATCGAATTCCGTGGGATGGGTGATACCGACATCCACCGTCGTACCGGCGGGAATGTTGCCACTCTTGCCGCTTTGTTCTTTTTTATCCGCGCAAAACAATCTCGTGTGATGCCTTTTTTGCACCACTATAAAAGTAATACCTGCAAGAGAATTATGTGTTTTTAACATTATTAAGTATGGGACTGTTTTAAGATTTGTAGATAAATAATTATTTACAACTTTGTTAACTCTTCTATAGTAACTAGAGATGGGAATCGAAAAGTTTCCATTTTAAGGAAACTTTCCGTTTTGGAAAGTTTCAAATTGGGAATTTATTTTCATTTTGAAAGTTTCTTTTAAGCTACCGGAAACATTCCTTGGAAACTTTCCTTGTTTTTTTCATTTAAATGTTACCGCTGATTTTCGTTAAGGCAATGATACAAGGCCAAGAAACTTTGAATAAGAATTTAATGTGTGTTAATTTAAAGCAGAAGCAGAAGTATAAATAATGTAAGTTATGTTACATAACCTCAATGAAACCGGATTATTCATCATCACAAAAAACTTAAAAAAAAGGTAAACAAAATAAAAACAATAAACAAAGTTAAAATCATTCTTAAATTTTTGTTGTTTATTTATAGGCATAGCACAATACCAAGAAAAAAATCTAGTGTTTGGAATTATTTTTTACTTTATTTTTACTTTTCAATATTCCTATATATTAGTTACTTTGTCCCTTTTAATTTTTTTTACGTAATATCTAGGATTTACTAGCAGTGAATTTCTAATAGTAAATATTTTATTTTTATTTTGTAGGTTTCAGTATACAATAAGAATATTCCAAAGTAAAAGATACTAAAAATAGTATTGCAGTTACATTGTTATAAACATTTTTTTTATTTTTTTTCTAAATAAAATTTTACATAAAGTTAATGTGTTATATATTTTTGCAAATCCCTGGCATAAAAAAATATATTTTCGCAATAAAATTTTTTTTTGAAACTTTCGGAAAATTTCGGGAATTTTCGTCAAATGGGAATTTTCCCATCTCTAATAGTAACTCGAAAAAAGTCTATATTTTTTAAAATTATTTCTTTTAGGCTCCATTATCACAGAAAACTAACATCCTATAGGTTTATATACAGGGTGGCCAATCGAAAACGTACCGCAAGGCATTACATGCTGGGAAAGAACTTTTCTGCAAAACCCAAAAACACATCAAGTTTGTTTGTCAGGGGGACAACTTTTGACACAAAAAGCAAAATCTTCAAATCCTCCAAATTTTTTCAAATGGGAATGGGGGTCAAATTACACCTCATTAAAAAGGGTTTTTGATTCCCTATACATTAGTTTTAGAAAATCGATTGTCTCGTTTAGAAATTATGGAGCTTTGAAATACTACATTTGAGGAAAAATGGACAATTCGATTTAATTTTACTTAAAATCTCCTTAAATTCCTACAAAAGAGTTCGCTGTTTTTGCTGGTATTTTTTAGGCTCGTATTAGTGACTAAATAATTATCGGGGTTTTTGCTTCACATTTAAACAGGCCAGGTGGTTGTATTTAAGTGTTTCAAACTTGTTAAATATTTATAAATTATTCAATTATGGTATCCGGTAATAAATGAACCTACGGATAGCAGTATAAACAGCACAACGGTTTTTGTAGTGTTCATCTTTTACGGGAGGAAGGAAGGCAATCTATAAATCAGGCTTTACTCGCAAAATGTGCGAAATTTTTTAAATGACACGTTTCCAGGACGCTGGATAGGACGAAGGGGTACCATTGAATGGCCTCCTCGGTCACCCAACTTTAGTCCTTTAGATTTTTTTGTGGGGGCACATAAAAATCGAAGTTTACAGCACTCCACCTGACACATTGGAAGATCTGCGAGGACGAATCATTGACGTATATCGCAAAGTGACACTGGAAGTGCACCAGAATGTACGGCAACGGTTTGATGATAACCTGTTAACCTATTACTGTATGCATATTGGCGTACATCAGTTTGAACATTTACTTGACTAATACGATAAGTTTATAAATAAAATTAAATCGATTTTTGAATTTTTCGTCAAACGTATTTCAAAGCTCAATAATTTCTAAACGAGTGAAACGATTTTCAAAAATTAAGCAGCAAAGTATGGGAAATGAAAAGCTCTGTTTAATGAGGTATTAATTACTTGACCCCTAATCCCATTTAAAAAAATTTGGAGGATGACACCCCGACTTAGGGGGTTGATGAAGATTTTGCTTTACTATTCAAGTAAAAAGTTGTCCCCTTGACGTGTTTTTGGATTTTGCCGAAAAGTTTTTTCCCATCCTGTAATAATATTACCAATGGGTTTCATTTATTAGTTAAATTGTACTAAAAATAACCTTTGACTTTACCTTAAGGTTATAGCAACCGGTTTTTAAATTTAAAGGGTAATTTTTTACTTCATAGTAATGTTTAAAAAATGTTAATGGTTAAATACAACCAACTGGTTAAAAAACAAGTTTAAAAAAACGTTTTAAACTTAGATTTTGGTTAATTTACTTAGGATGATTGTTCTTTAACCAATTGGGTTTTGTCTCAGGAATATGTGGTATTATTTTGCAAAGAAATTTCAAGGATGCCTTATATATATATATCTATGGTCTGAAATTGTTTCATTTTCATACGCCTTTTTGTTAAGCTACCGACTAATAATTGTGTTTTCATTATTTATTGTAAAATCATATTTTATACATTTACTATGGATGTTGGACCAATAAAAATTCGTTATAATTTGCTAATTTTTGCGATTTTCAGATAGACCCTTATTTTGGAGAGTTTTTTTAGGAATTAAGTATTTAAAAAAGAGAATACGTAAACATTGTTTTAACTTCTTGGACTTTTATTATCTTAGAGAATTTAAAAGTTTTTAAAATTAGCTAACTTGCCCTCCAAAATATTCGGTGGAGGAAATTATGTAAAAAAAGTAAAGTTAAAAATTTAATTCATCCTCAATTTTTGTGAATCAAAATCTAAAAACATGAAAGTTTTTATATGAAATGACTAGGGTTTTAAAATTTCCGAAAAAATTGAGCCGGCGGAAAAAACCCGTTTTTTTCCGGGAAATTTGGGAATTTTCGGAAAAATTGACTTGCATTTTTTTAAAGGGTAATACGAAAAAATGCAAAAGTTAATATTTCTAAAAATTTACAAATTTTTAAGGATGGTATCCGTACACTGATATCGAGAGAAAAAACTTTTTCTACGCTAAATGGATAACGCTTATCGAAAAGGAACCAAGCGCCAAAAATTTTTTCTGGGCTTGGTAAAATTATTTGTAAAATAACTCATATTTAATATTGCTTAAAAGTAGAGATGCGACTTGAAAAAAAAACGGTCCGTTTTTTTTTGTTTTTTTTTCAGGTTTTTTTTCGTTGTTTTTTTATAAATGGTTTTTTTTTCGCATTTTAGGTTTTTTTTCAAGATTAGTCCCATTTGCCTAATTTTTTATGTTTCCATGGACTAAAATTAGCCACTAAATCACAATTAGTAAATGTAAATACAGTCTCGCGCTATGCACGCGTCACCACCACCGAATTGACCAATAAGGGCCGCGCTTGTTTTGATTTGGTCCTAAAAAAAGTAACACTACATATAATATTTTTGATTCAGCGCTTGATTTTTCAAAAAGCTACCAAAAGCACTTTTTTCATGATTTTTTAAATTTATACTATAAACTATAAACTTCAAGCTTCAAATTGCTTTTTTTACGGCTCCAATACGACCATTTTAACAAAGATACAGCTATCCGAAAAATCGGAAAAACAATTTTTTATCCTTTAATTTTTTGTATTAGTGTAGAAGTTTTACATTGCTATTGGTTTTTAATGTGGAAACTACCAGATTTTTTTAGTCTTGGTCAAAATTTTCAATAATGAAAAATGTAATATATTCTACATTTTACTAAAAATTTTATTTTGAAAAAAAAAAACAAAAAAACCGTTTTTTTCTAGTTTTTTTTTCACATCTGAAAAAAAACCGTTTTTTACATCTCTACTCAAAAGGTTAATCATCATTTGGAACTTTTCACAAAAGGATTGAGAAGGTTCCCAAATCATTATTAATTTTTTGAGCATAAAATGAGTTATTTTGCAAATAGTTTTGTTTATCCCTGAAAAATTTTTTGGCGCTTGGTTCCTTTTCGATAAACGCTATCCAAATATAATAATATTATGCTAATAATAATAATTATTCATTTTATTTTAATTAAGTAAAAATATTCTACCGGGTCGAAAAAAACATTTTCGGTACTGTATTAACATAACTTTCGTTTTATTCGACACTTTGATGTATAAAATTAAAGTTTTGGATATTTTCAATGAACTCCTTTTTGCAAAAAGACCCAACAAACAGTATATTAACGTTTACGTTTATTTTCTTAAATCAATTTAATTTAATTTAATGTGTTTAGTTTTATTTATTTTTTTTTTAATTAAAATAATAAGTTGTTGATTGCCACTTTTTTCAAATGTGAATATTTCCCAAAAAAATTCCATTTTTCCGAAAAAACAGTTTTCCCCCAATTTTTTCATTTTTTTTTCGACACTTTAAAACCCTAGAAATGACTAAACATTGATACAACAATACAGCTGTACAAAATTCGATTTAGTTTGTCGGCATACCTGGCTTGTACTCCGCCTCCAGCTTGATGCAGGCCTCCCTGATGGCGGTGAGCTCGTGCTGCAGCAGCTGCAAGAACTGGCCCTCGCTGACGCCGTCGCGGTACAGGATGATGCGGTGCGGCTTGTAGCCGCCCGTCGACTTGTAGAACATGATCAGCAGCTCGCGCACCATCGAGCTGAGCTCCTGGATGATCTCCTGCCGGTGCTGCTGCACGCGCACCGTGGCCGCGTAGCGGGACGGGTGCGCGTCCATCGAGCCGACGACGGCGGCGATGGACGGTTTTTTGTTGTCGCCCGCCGGCGGGTGGGTCACGTCGGCCCCGAGGAATATGATCGGCTCGTTGAATATCTGTGAAAAATCGTGAACGTTCAAGTTTTGCTTGTTTTTTGCTCTTATTATGATTACCGCCATATGATTTAGTTTGATTGAAGAGTGATAATAGTTATTTACGATATAAGTGGGATAAGAGCTTTATTAACGTACGCATGCGTAGCACGAGTTGGGCAATCGCAAAAGTACGTTAATAAAGCGTTATCACAGGTATATTGTACAAATTTTTATCTACGCCTCTAAATGAAAAAATAAACGGTAATTATTTTTGTCTAAGACTTAATTTAGGGTTATTTTGACATTTTGACTTTTTTATTTGATTGGTTAAAAACAGAGAAAAACGCGTGCATTAATGAACTTCTTATCTCACTCAAAATGAGTGAGATAAGAAGTTCTTATCTCACTGGCGTAGATAAATAAATAAAAGAAGACTATGGCACGCCGTTTTAGCATTTACTAGATAATAGTTTGAAGATGAAAGTTCAGCACTTTAATAAAGTTTTAAAATAAATTTACTTGGAAGTAAAACGGTTCAAGTGCACTTTTTTAAATAAATGGTCTAAGTGCAGAATATCACACCTAAAGAATATTTTAACTTAGTGATAAAATTATACAGGATGTCCGGGAAAAGGAAGTCAATCCGTTAACCATATATTCTTTGAGTTAAAACAAGACTTTCATAATACCATTTTTCAATTTAGAGCTTCATGTTCGATATACAGGGCGACAAAGTTTGAAATTTAAAACTGATTTTTTTTAATAAGTCAAGTAATTGATAAGATATTAAGTTCAAATTCGGTACACTACTTCAACATAAATAGTTACATTTTTTGAGACCAACAAAACAAAAAACAATTGTCAAATAATCAAAATAGGGGGTCCAGTACTCACTGACTCCCCCTATTTTTAGTACGTGCGCCAATGACTTCCAAACGGTATTTTTTCAGGTAATCATTTATTGTTACAAAAAATTTGTCTCTTATAAAATTTTGATAAAATGATTTGTTTTAGAGATAATTTGTAAAGTATGGGTCAGTCCATATCAAATCAACTAGTGCTGTCAACGATTATCGATTAACCGGTTAACCGGTCATAATTTTATTATAACCGGAAAATGAGGGTATAACCATAATCGGTTATCGGTCAATCGGTTACCGGTTACCAGTTAATCGGTAACCGATTAACCGGTTATGGTTATTATCTGGTCATATGGTTAATCGGTCGACCGATAGGTAGGTAAAGATTTTCTCTGCCCGCTTCTGTACCGGTTTCGGGTGAATCCCCGTCCTACATGCTTACGGTTTTAATTTCAGTTGCATGAGAGTAGTTCGATGATCCACGATGCAACGTTGTATGTTATTTTATTAGATTAGTTCTTATGTGCCTTTAAAAATGTTTGTTTGGAATCATTTTATTAAGAACATAGAAAATAATGTCGCTATAGGCAAAATATGTCAAAAGAATCTTAAATTTAGTGGAAGCACCACATCCCTTCGACATCATCTTTTCCATCATGGAAATTCCATGTGCACGGAGTTCAAGATGTTTATTACTACTTACTTAAGCCAAGTTGTTTCAAATTATCAAATTTTTTTACGAGGGAAAAGTAAGTAAAGGGTGGGCCATCTATAAGTTGAATTTTAAACTACGTGCTATTAATGAAGCTTTCAACTTAAGCGCCATGAATTGTTGACAGTGGTTTAGTTTTAACCTTCCGATTACAAAATATGCACCGAATAAATTTGGATCAACGTTTCGAAATACTCAAAACTTACTTTGAATGTGACTGTGATCGCAAAGACGGCATGAAAATTGCGTTTGGAAGAAATGAGGCGCCGTCAAACCAAAGTATTACAAATTTGATCAAAAAATTGCGCAGAAATGGAATGCTGGTGGACATAAAACATGTTTCGCATGCTCGTCCTAGACGTACACCTGAAGCAATCGCTGCTGTGGCCGAAAATGTACGCATGAACGCGTCAATATCAACTCGGCGCAGATGTCAACAACTCGGCCTTTCCCGTACCACTCTGAGGATGATTCTGCACAAAGACTTCGGTATGTTTGCGTACAAAGTCCAGCTTGTTCAGGAGTTAAAGCAAGTTGACCAACCACAACGTGGGCTTTAAATCAGTTGAACGATGACCCTAATTTTGCAAGAAAAATCATCTTTTCAGATAAGGCGCATTTTTACCTCGGAGGTTATGTCAACAAGCAAAACTGTAGGATTGGGGCCACGGAAAATCCACACGTCACCGTAACAAAGCCTATTCACCATTTAAAACAAAACATTCAAGCTCAAATTGCCTAAATAAAGCAGCAAACTTTTGCTCGAAAATTGGTGTTCCAGGATGGGCTACTGCCGAGCCAGCTGAGGCCACTTTAATAAAATCATTTTCCATACTTAATCGGAAGAAACATTGTATCAAATAAAGCAAAATTCGTTGAAAAAAAATCAGTTTTTCTTGTTCTCATTGCTATTTTATAATTCAACATAAACATGGCCCACCCTTTATTATTAAATTAAATTATTAAATATCTATAGAGGTATACCTAATATATTGTTTTAATAATAATATTCGGGAGTGTAATACGCTTAGTGAACATTCTTAAGCAAAATTTTAGAATCTGATCTATAAAAATAATATAAAGCTTTATTTTATTTTGGTGCACCGAACGTTTTAAATAAATATTTTTTCTGAATCAACTGCTCCAACTGCATAACATAAAATGTCCATATCTCGCAAAACACGAAAGAAGCAGTTAATTCAACGAAAATACGTTTGCACCTCTGGATTAAGCGGGGGATCCGTCATTCGAGGGGGGCCCCATAGTACAGAAATATTTTTTATTAAATATATAACCAATATGTTGTTTGTCGGCTGGCGACAGCAGTTTTACTTATGAAAAGATTATTGATTGTATTACTTTTTAATAGTTTCCGATAGAGCGAATTACGATAGGCGAGCAGCGAAGGCGTCAAAACATAGAAATAATACTAATAAATTATTAAAAAATAATATTATTAGTAATAATATTATTTCTATGCGTCCAAGGATTGCTTATTACTTTTTTTAATGGCTTTAAATATACAGAGGGCGGCATAAAATTAACGTTTTATTTCTGGATAACATTTTTTTTGGTATTGTTGTTTAGTTATAATAATAACGTAAGTAAATACAATTTTTTTAATAGTGTATAATAGTATATTATTATACGAGAGATAATGCAGGCTATTATTTACGAGGATGAGGATTTGCATTTCAGCCACCTCTACTCCATCAGAACGGGTACCATAGTATCTGCCAAGAGAAATTGTTTAAAACCAGAAAAAGTAGATAAGCTAATATTTTTACACAATAATTTAAAATAAACGTTTGAGCATGTATTAAACAATTATTATTACTTCTTTAAATGTTTTATTGTTGTTCCCCATTGCTTTACTCCAATTCTCATGATCTTTTGATGATTTTTGTATTTGTGGTGTTTTATTTAATTTAGACCATGATCGATTAATTATATTAATTAAATTCGGTTATAAATATTAATCGATCATGGCCACGGTTAAATGGTCATGGTCAACTGGTTAATAATGACCATTTAACCGTGACCATGATCGATTAATGACCGGTTATGCAACATATTCAGTAACCGGTCATTTACTTAACCGGTTAATATTCCATGACCGGTTAACCGGGAAAAATTTTAACTTTTGACAGCACTAAAATCAACCAAAGGTTCTTCACCCACCATCTCCGATTTTAATATTTTTTGGTAAATTTGTTTACCTCACTAAAAAACTCAAAAATCCCATATATGAATTTTTTTCAATGGGTAGTTTTTGTTTTATTGATTTTTGAAAATAAAAAAATTCCGATAAATTTGGGTACTTAAAAAATAGCGATATCTTGTAAACTATTAAAAGTAGAAAGGTGAGTGCTGGCTTATTTTAAAGGCCTATTAGAGACCTTGTTTATGATATATCACATGACCTAAATTTAAAAAAAAATTAAATTTCAAAAATTTGATATGGATTGACCCATACTTTACAAATTATCTCTAAAACAAATCATTTTATCAAAATTTTATAAGAGACAAAAAATTTTCAACAATAAATGATTACCTGAAAAAATACCGTTTGGAAGTCATTGGCGCACGTACTAAAAAATAGGGGGAGTCAGTGAGTACTGGACCCCCCTATTTTGATTATTTGACAATTGTTTTTTGTTTTGTTGGTCTCAAAAATGTAACTATTTATGTTGAAGTAGTGTACCAAATTTAAACTTAATATCTTATCAATTACTTGAATTATTAAAAAAAATCAGTTTTAAATTTCAAACTTTGTCGCCCTGTATATCGAACATGAAGCTCAAAATTGAAAAATGGTATTATGAAAGTCTTATTGTTTTAACTTAAAGAATATATGGTTAACGGATTGACCTCCTTTTTCCGGACACCCTGTATAACTATATTTTACATTCCCTGGCGCCATTTCTTATCGTCTTTAAAAACCTGTCAAAATATTTTAAAATATTTCTTTGGTAAAACGATTTAAGTGCACCTTTTTGCTAAGGCTATTATCAGATAATAGCCTTAGCAGTAAAAGGTGCACTTAAATCGTTTTACCAAAGAAATATTTTAAAATATTTTGACAGGTTTTTAAAGACGATAAGAAATGGCGCCAGGGAATGTAAAATATAGTTATACAGGGTGTCCGGAAAAAGGAGGTTAATCCGTTAACCATATATTCTTTAAGTTAAAACAATAAGATTCTATGCTGCTAAAACCTTGACAAGTAGCTCGTTTCGACATGTTGTGACTGGGGTCGGAACGACATCGGCCAGCGTTACGATTATAGCATCGATCCAGACTGATGAGGATTCAACATAGTAACTATGTTCCTGACATCAATGAACAAGTAGAAGAAGGCCATTTAACTCCAGCAAAAACTAAAAAAAGCCTCTAAGCACAAAAATTTACTTAGGTACCTTATTGGACTATATTCCGCCAATTTACCACTTATTTTATAAAAACATAGAGCACGATCGAGATCCATCAGAAAAAAAGAAAAAAACTAAGACCATAGTATTGAGCCAAAAAAAATCCAATTTAGATCAACCCCAACCAAGACCAGCTAATTCAGATGAAGAAAGCGTTGTATTAGATTCTGATTATGAATAAAACTTTTTGTTGTCAAACTTCCCAGCAAACACACTATTCCGGCCATGCAACGGCCCATTAATGTGCCATTGCATGGTAGTGTGTTTGCTGGGTAATTACCCAAATTTTAAAAAATAAAGTTTTGTTCTAGTACAGTTAGTTATTGCATTTAAATCATTTTACCACTAAATGTTGTCTTACATGCATGACGATTCAAGTACATTTTTGTAAAAAAAATTAACAAAAAGCGAAATTGAAAAATTCCTTTTTCTTTATAATCCTTTTTAGTCTTTAAACAAAACTAAAATATTCACACAGTTTTTTAAACTCTTTTCTATAATTTTAAAAAGCAAGTTAACTTTAAAGCCATTTATCTCAGAACTAACAAAAATGCACTTAAACCCTTTTACTTCTAGGCCCCTCAATTGATAGTCAAACAATTTTTAAAATATAAAACTTTCAGCCTAAAAATATTGACTTTTAAAAATTTTAGTTCAAATATTTTATTCTACTAAATTTTCGGTTTAAATTTGTAAAGAGTCATTTAAATGATGGTCGATAAATTTTGAATACAAAAATTCTCACATTACATTAAGTTTTAAATTTTAAAGTTTAATATTCTTTTTCTACTTCTACCTTTAAAACACAAATTATCGTATACAAGGCTTAGCCCCCCTCTAGCAATTAAACCCTCCTTCCCCTTTCTAGCCTTAAGTGATTTATGGACGTTCCCATTTCAAAGTGTGTTAAAATCCAAATAAAAAAACGAACTGTTTTTTTCATTAATAAAAGTTTGTGTAGCGGTCCTTTAAACCCCCCCTCCCCTTACTAGCGCCAAGTGATTTATGAACGTTCCCCTTCCAAAGTGTGTTAAAATCCAAATAAAAAAACGAACTTGATAAAATGATAAAATTTAGGGGATTATTTATGGTTTAATACATATGGAAGAAACTTTCATAAATTTTTATTTAACTTTAAGCATTTTTCAAACTTATGAGATAAGAAACATTTAAAAAAACGATTTATCAACCAAATTTACACAATACTAACAAACACTCATGCATTTTTATAATTTACCTTTGGTCTTATAGATGGCACCAGGATGCTGTTGATACCTCCCAGTTTCACGTTGATTTTCAGGCATAAGTTCGATAGAGTTTGCGGGGAGGTTTTGTTAACGTTTTTGGCCTGAACGCATTGTGTGGCCATACCTAAAACGGTGTCGCCAACCCTCTTTACTTCAGCTGCAACGAAAAAAAATTTTTTTTAATAAACTTCTGGATTTTTTTCTGACATATTTTACCATATACAGGGGTTTTTCCGGGTAGTACCACAACGACGAGCTGAAGCGACTGGAATGTCGTTTTTAGGTAGCGGAACATCGGTTCCACCTGATCCGGCCCTGTGGCGTATTTACAGAAACAGGGCTGTCCAATTATGGGCATGCCGGCGTCGTTCGAGATTTTCTGCAATTGTTGAGTAAAGTTTCTACAAAAAGAAACGTATTGCATGAAAAACGAAATTTTTTGTGTGTTTCCACTCGACTGCGCCATTTGCGCTTACCTTAGAGCATCTTCCCTGACAGTTCGTTGAGGTGCAAAACAGGCGATTGCCCAAACTCGAATTTCCACGCCGGTAAAAAATTGCTTTCCACGCATATCCCACACGCCTTGGTTTGGCATGGCCTGTTGTTTGCTCTAAAATACACATTAACACTAGTACCAATCTCTATTTAAAGTTTATTTTAACTGTGTGGCGCTGGTCAGTAAGATTTAGCGTTTTCGAGAATAAAAAGCTCTAAAAATTGTTAAAATTAAAATAAGGCAAATATTCCTGATACCGAAATAATGCTATACAGGGTGTCACCAAATAAATTGTTATACTTTAAGGGTATACAAAAGTTGATAAAAACCAACCCTGTAAAATGAATAGACCAAGGTGCAAAAAAGATGTGACCATTTAAACGTATGCAAAGTGTCGCAAACAGCGCCTTCTACAATCTACATTCATTTGTTTTAAGAAATTAAATTTTCCTGTCCTAAAAATTTACAAATATCAATTTTCGTGCAAAAACGTTTGTTTTTCCCAAAGTTATTTAATAAAATCGAACTTACTTTGACACTCTGTAAATTGGTCTCAGGAATATGTCGTACCTTGTATAGTGACCAGTGCAATCTATGCTATATAAAGCATAATTTGAGCATTAAAATTTAATTTTTTCTAGTATAATTTAAACATAAAAATATTTTAAATAAGAGATAATTTTCTCAAGCAAGATTACAGATATGAAAACATTATTGGTGTGTTAATTTAGGGATTTGAAAATAAGCCCAAAGAATCATTGATATTTTTTCTCTTCATTTGTCCCTTCACTCTGTAGTCTAAGTTACACACTCAGATGCACTAAGTACTGTAATTTACAACAATCATGCCAAAAATTACACCCATTGCTTTAGAATAAAATCTTTCAGCAAATGCTAATATAGTAAGTAACACAGGTCTACATTTTTTCTTTTTTTTATTAAATCATTTTATTCACAGTGGCGGCTCGTGGGTGTATAGGAGGGTGAGGCTACATGAGGTTAATTTTGTCTAAATTCGAAAAAATTTCCACTTCACCCGGGGGTATTATTCTGCGACGCGTTGACCTTTTTTAAAATGGCCGCTAGCCCTACTAAACCATTATAAATAAAAAAAATTAACTAAAAAAAAACAAATTGCGAAATTCAAAAACATAAAATTCGTTTTTTAAAACTCTAAAATATATATATGGAACTTAAAAATATAAAATATCCGAGCAATCGGAATGCCCACCCCCTGAACTCCAATTTTTTTTGACGCAGCCTAATAAAATACAATGCCAACAGAATAAGCTTTGTTTATAAATAATTCCGTATAGCCACATAGGTTTCGTACCAAGATATTTAAAAAGTTCGTGAATATTGCTTACCCCTACCTCTTATCGTTAAATATTGATGAAATTTTTGGCGTTGGACGAGTGCCCAATAGCTGTCTTTTTTCAGTTTAATTTCTTCTTAAAAAAGGCGTTTAAATTATTGAGAGAATAATGTCATGAACAGGATTCGTTAAAAAAAACAGAAATATTTAACTGAAGAAAAGTCACTGGTATTTTGAAAACCTAACCCTACTTGAAACTCAATACGACTTGTTGCTTAATAAAAACTGCTAATTCTACCTGTGTAGCGTGCATGTTCCCCCGTGCACCACAGTAATAAAATAATAAATTTTACTAATCAATACCAAAACTATAAAAGATCAGACAACAGTTTTAAATAATTTAATCTGAATCAAAACAGAAACACTTGCTCTACACACACTGCAACGCAAACTGCCACCCACCACATCTTCAGTCATGTGATATAAAACCACCAAGCCAAAGCTCCCACCATATTGCCTCAAGCAGCGACAAATAAACGCGAACTCGCCGAATTTCAATCGCAAATAACTTTTTTACTTGTTTTCGGATTTAAACAAACATTAAAGAATATTGTAGATACATTAATGGATAATCGCTCACATTTTAAAAATTACTAAAAAATACACGTACGTTTATAATATACAGGTTTAAACAAAAAGATATTTTTTATCATAATTTTAAGACACTCTGTAGAGTGGCAAAACCGTATATTGTTCTTAATTAAGTTTTAATTATTAAGTCACATCTATTTTTAACAGTTTTGTTTTTGGTTCACCTTGATATATTTATTTTTGTGGAAAATATAGATTTTTAAAAAAAAAACATTGCAATTTCCAATATTTTTCCTGTATGAAGATCTAAGGTTGCTATGGTCCATCCATAGCCTATGGAGGATGACAGTGGCAGTTTTTGTTGAATCATCCCATACTTAGACATGTCATATACAGCTTTCAAAAGCTATCAAATTGTTTTTTGTAAATTAATGTGTTAATTTTGAGGTCGCCTCTTACTTTTAAAAATGTCTTCGACTCATGTTGCCCTTTGTACTTTACTTCTTGTGACGTTTAAAACACTTGCCACGTAATACTGTGACCGTCCATCCTGGATTAAATTAATAGCTCTGGCAACATCAGTGGAAGACATATCAATTTTATAAAGTAAGAAGACACCTCAAAATTTAAACATTAATTTGCAAAAAACAATTTGATAGCTTTTGAAAGCCGTGTATGACATGTTTAAGTATGGGATGATTCAACAAAACTGTCACTGTCATTCTCCATAGCCTATCGATGGACCATAGCAACCTTAGTTCTTCATACAGAAAAATATTGCAATGTTTTTTTTAAAAATCCATATTTTTCACAAAAATAAATATATCGAGGTTAACCAAAAACAAAACTGTTAAGAATAGTTGTGACTTGATAAATAAAACTTAATTTAGAACAATATACGGTTTTGCCACTCTACAGAGTGTCTTAACCAGGGCCGGATTAAGAGTTTTGAGGCCCTGGGGCCGACATTTGGTGGGGGGCGTCAATATTTCTAAAAAATTTGACACTTTAAAACTCATGGTAATTTTTTAAGCTAAAGGAATTGTACGTGATTTTTTATTATCTTTAAATCATTTATTATTTAATAAACCATATAAATTTTTAATAAAATCGGCCAAAGCGTTTTTAAGCTATAAATAAAAAACTCTAACTTTTTTTCATATTTTGATGAGAGGAATTTCCCCTGAGCTTTTGTCACCACAAGTCTGAATCACCCTGTATATTTTGAATAATACGAACATAACCTTATATACATTTTTTTACCCAAGTCTGAGAAACTATAAAAACGTAGATAGTAGAATAGAATTGTGAATGAAAGTGTTTTTATATACTTTATATTTTATATATTTTGAATAATACGAACATAACCTTATATATATTTTACTCAAGTAAAATATAAATTGATTTATGATTTATTTGTATTTTTAATACTTACCGCAAACTGAAAAAAAGTGCGTCAAAAGTCCTATTATTTGTCTGTTTTTTATACAAATCATCAACAATAAAACTATGTTTTGTCCAAAGAGAAGCACGAAACATTATTTCGGAAACACCGGAAAATATTCCACAACATGTTGTGGAATATTTTCCGGAGTGCACTCCAATGTACCATTAAAAATCTGAGACAAAAACTTACTTTAATATTAGATTATAAGTAATTGACTGTTTGCCTGTTTTTACAAAAACGTTACGAAAAGCACTAAAGGAGCAACTGCTTAAAATTGTTTTGAGTCATAACATATTTTAAGCAGGGCTTATGGTAAAAAACATATTTTTGTTTAAACCTGTATTATACAGGCTGTATATTATAAACGTACGTCTATTTTTTAGTAATTTTATAAAATGTGAACGATTGTCCATTAATTTATCTACAATATTCTTTAATATTTGTTTAAATTCGACATCAAATAAAAAAGTTATTTGCGATTGAAATTCATCGAAAATTTGTGTGGATCGATTATTTTGCCTATGAGTGTATTAGTGGGTAAATAGTTTACGCTCTTTGCCGGTATTTGATTGATTTTAACTTTTTATTGTGTAGAACTGTAGTAAAAGTACGCTTGTAATGTACCCTGACGAGTCCCCACTGTTTTATTATATATTTTCTGGGAGGAAAAAAAAAATTAAAAAGGATATTAAAGAGGAAGAGTACGACTTTCAGGCATAATATGGCATTCAGAGGTTTATGGGAAAAAATTAACAAAACCCGTTTTTGTTTAGAATTTCTTAAAAACCGGACGTAATTTGTTTGATAGGTCGAAGTTTGTAGACCTGTGTAATAATGAACTACTAATAAAAATATAAATGCAAAAAATGTATTACCAATTATAAAAAAATAAAATACTTTAAAATAAGTTAGTAATGGGGTAGGAAGTGGTTTGAAAGGAAAACTGTTTTGGGTAGTTCTTGTAACTTATTAGTCGCGGCCAAATCTGTATGGATTTACTATGCTCCACACCTCAAAGTCCCACCACGTGACCACGTATGGAACACAAAGTATTATACTATAATAGTCAATGAAAGAAATAATATTTATAGTGTTACCGCTTATGTTTAAGCGTTAAAATTTAATAAATCTTTATAGTATCACAATAACAATGGTTGGTTTAAGAATTTAGGAATATAAATACTGCATTTAATGAAATTCCAAAGTGTAAGGTGCAATATAAGTGATATTTTTGTGCATTGGGTCTACATTTCTCCATAAAATATTTTTAACTAAACAGCATTTATTAAAAAAAATCTAACTTCTCTATTATGAAGTAAGAATATCTGTATCAAAGGTAGTTTAATGTATTAGAACAAAAAATATCATCTAATTTTGTATTTTAAGGTTAGAAAAATCTATTTTGACCAAAATAAATAAGTGGATTATTTGGAAGAGTTTGTTAATATGGTCATAAATAAATATAGATACTAAATAATTGTTGAATATGGTTCAAATTAAATTGAAGCTTTTATATTTCTAATGACAAAACTTGTGCATACCTATCGGCATACCTACTTTAAGTTAGATTATAAGAAAACAAACAATTTTTAGAGAAACTTGCAATGTGAAAATATTTAATACTTCCATGACATGTGATTTATTAAAATATTAAAGTTATAATGATTTTTTGATGTAGATCAAATTCAGTCGAAGCTTTTTAACTATTTGTATTGACAAAACTTTATGCTGTATAAGAAAAACTTCCACATTTTTAAATATCAAATTATACTGTCTTTTAAATAATCCAAAATACTTATTTATTTTGGTCAAAATAAATTTTTCCTATCTTTAATAGAGATAATCCAATTCCATAATAGAGAAGCAAGATTTTTTTAATAAATGCTGTTTAGTTAAAATTATTTTATGGAGAAAACCAGATATTTGGACCAAATGCACAAAAATATTACTTATTTGCCACCATACACTTTAGAATTTCATTAAATGCAGTATTTATATTCTTAAATTCTTAAACCATCCATTGTTATTGTAATGTTATAAAGATTTATACATTTTTAACGCATAAACATAATATTATTTCTTTCGTTGACTATACTTTGACAGATACATAACCTGAAAAGCCTTAAATGCCAAATTTTTAAAAGACTATAATGACGTCAGCATTACCAACTGAATTGTAGTTACTGCAGTTAAATTTGCTTTTTTAAGGCGTAACTCTGATTTGCTATAGGTTTAGGTATTTTTTAGAGTAATTGCTGGCGTTTTTGGTAAAAAGTCGGGGATTTCGGGAGAAGCTTTGGGTATCGGGGAGTTGTAGTAAAAAAATAATACAAGTGTGAAACTAACGTGCCAGCCCACCTGCCCGCTGAGGGACGCAACTCGGCCTCCGTATTGGAGCTTGGGGGGCGGCAAGACCCGCCCCCGCACCTCCATCATGTTGTTGCTGATCGTCAGCCCGAACTCCTGCACGTAGGCGTCGTTATTGAAATCGGCCCGCTTCACCAGATTGTTGATCTCGCGTTCCCGATCCGGGGCGGATCTAAAAAGGGTTGCCGGTTTTTTAAACTATTCATAATAATTTTAATAGTGTAGATACGAAGGGTGTTTTTTTTGTTATCCTTTTACGCGGAAACTGAGCAACGGATAGACTTGATTTTTTGCATAGATAGTTTATGAGCGGGTTTTTTTTATTTATTATAAAATACCCTAAAACTGCATAAAATTGTCTATGCTGTTCAAAATTTTTGAATAGATTCTAAAACTGTATGAGAAGGATCTAAAATGTCCTAAAATGTCATTAATTGTATATGATCTCTTTAAAATGTCTAAATTATGTTATAAAACTGTTTTAGAACTAATTAACCATTAAAATTTTCAAAATATCCTAAAACTTTATAAAAATTATGTAAAATGTCATAAAACCTAAGAATGATCAAATATAATTTATGACATTTTACATAATTTTTATACAGTTTTAGGATATTTTCATAATTTTAATGGTTAAATAGTTCTAAAACAGTTTATAATATAATTTATACATTTTCTAAAGATCATATACTAAAACTGACTAAGAATGATCTAAAATGTCCTAAATTGTATATCTGTTTAAAATGTTTAAAAATATTCTTAAACTATATAAGAATGATCTAAAATATCTAGAACTGTCAATGATCTAAAATGTTATTAATTGTATATATAACTATTAAACCATTAAAATTGTTTAAAAATATCGTAAACCTATATAAAAATGAACTAAAATTTCCGTAACTGTATAGGATCTGTTTAAAATGTCTAAATATAATCTAAAACTGTCTAAACTATCAAACAATGAAAATTCTCTAAAAATATTCTAATACTTTTTAAGAATGATCTAAAATATACTAAATTGTCCATGATCTGTTCTAAATGTCTAAAAATATCCTCAAACAGTATATGAATGATCTAAAATGTCCTAAATTGTCCATGATCTGTTTAAAATGTCTAAATATATTCTACAACTGTCTTAGAACTATCAAACCATTAAAATTAAGAGTAATCTAAAATGTCATAAATTGCATATGATCTGTTCAAAATGTCTAAAATATCCTCTGAATATATTCTAAAACTGTATAACAATGATCTAAAATGTCATTAATTGTATATGATCTCTTCCAAATGTCTAAATTATATTATAAAACTGTATAACAATGATCTAAAATGTCTAAGAATGATCTAAAATGTCCTAAATTGTCCATGATATATTTAAAATGTCTAAATATACTTTTAAACTGTCTTAGAACTATCAAACCATTAAAATTGTTTAAGTTTTAAAACTGACTAAAAATGATCTAAAATGTCCTAAATTGTATATGGTCTGTTTAAAATGTCTAAATATATTCTAAAACTATATAATTGCCTAGAACTGTTAATGATCTAAAATGGTATTAATTGTATATGATCTGTTTTAAATGTCTAAATATATTTATAAACCATTAAATTCTTTTTTAAATATCGTAAGCCTATATACAAATCAACTTAAATGTCCCGAAATGTATAGGATCTGTTTAAAATGTCTAAATATATTCTAAAACTGCTAAAACTGTCTTAAAACTATACTATAATACTTTTTAGGAATGATCTAAAATGTCCTAAATTGTCTATGATATGTGCAAAATGTCTAAAAATATCCTCAAACTATAAAAATGATCTAAAATGTCCAAAATTATCCATGATTTGTTTAAAATGTCTAAATATATTCTAAACCTGTCTTAGAACTATCAAACCATTTAAAACTAACTAAGAATAATCTAAAATGTCCCAAATTGTATATGATCTGTTTAAAATGTCTAAATATTACTCTAAAACTATAAAATTTTCTAAAAGTGATCTAAAATGTTATTAATTGTATATGATCTTTTTTAAATATCTAAATATATTTCTAAACCATTAAAAATTTCTAAAAATATCGTAAGCCTCTATACAAGTAAACTAAAATGTCACCTAATGTATGGGATCTGTTTAAATGTTTAAATATATTCTACAACTGTCTTAAAACTATCAAACAATAAAAATTGTCCAAAAATATCAGAATACTTTTTAAGAATGATTTAAAAGGTTTTAAATTGCCTATGATGAGTTCAAAATGTCTAAAAATACCCTTCAACTATAAAAATGATCTAAAATGTCCTAAATTGTCCATGATCTGTTTAAAATGTCTAAATATATTTTAAAACTGTTTTAGAACTATCAAACCATTTAAATTGTTTAAATTGTTCTAAAACTAACCAATAATAATCTAAAATGTACCAAATTGTATATGCTTAAAATGTCTTAATATTTAATATTCTAAAACTGTATAATTTTTTAAGTAAGTGTCAGTGATCTAAAATATTATTAATTGTATATGATCTGTTTTAAATGTCTAAAAATGTTTCTAAACCTTTAAAATTTTCTAAAAATATTGTAAACCTACATACAAATTAACTAAAATGTCCTTAAATGAATAGGATCTGTTTAAAATGTCTAAATATAATCTAAAACTGTCTATAAACCATTACAATTTTTTAAAAAATATTCTAATACTGTCTAAGAATGATCTAAAATGTCCTAAATTGTCCATGATCTGTTTAAAATGTCTAAATATATTCTAACATTTTTTTTTAAGTCGTTAACCTATATCCAAATGAACTAAAATATCCTAAAATGTATAGGATTTTTTTAAAACGTCTAAATATAATCTTAAACTGTCTATAAACCATTACAATTTTCAAAAAATATCCTAATACTGTCTAAGAATGATCTAAAATGTCCTTAATTGTCCATGATCTGTTTAAAATGTCTATATTTTAAAATTGTCCATAATATGTTTTAATAATATTCTAAAATGTCCTAAAAATGACTAAAAATGTTTTTGCACAGTTCCTGTGAGATAATTAAAAACACAATCTTATTAAAAGCTTACCTGGCCGTAGCTTTGATCATCGTCGAAGTTTGCATATCGGTCAACTTTTTAATACATCTCTGTCCGGCCACAATATTACAGACCTCCAAAGGCAAATACGTGTGTTTGTGTTCTTGCCCGACCTGCAAACACGGCAAATGCGGGTACCGCAACTTCATTTTGTACTTGTCCAGGAAATATTTCGCCACGGTGCACTCCACCGTCTGACCGTTCTCCAATTGCAGGGGGAAACTGAAAAATGTTTTTAGAGTGCTTAGCTTCAAACTCTTCGGTCCAAGGTATCTACCTCTGCATTTGCGCCGGCCGCCTCGTCACGTTGCACACCCTGTACTTCCGCCGCATGCTGCCGCAATGTGTGATCTCGATCTTGAGGCCTTTAATTTCTTTCGTGAATTTCACCCTTTGACTGTCGGTCAACGGTTTGCGTTGCTCGTTTATGTCCCTGATGTCCAACACCTCGCACATAAACTCTATCACAGGCTGCGCTTTGTAGAAAGCCGTCGCAGAAACTAAAATAACGAAGATTTGCGTTAAAGATGAAAAATAGTATATTATGTATCAAGTTTGATAAACGCCATTTTATACACGAATTTAATTTAGGCTTAAGTTAATGAGTGTATAGAAAAGTTTATAAACGAGGTGCATACTATACTTTTTCTACGACAAATACTTATTATTATCTTGAAATGATTTAAATCAAAAATTTGTATAGAGCGCCATCTATGAAACAACAGGGGAAACTGTCAAATGTCACATTTTTACATTTTATAAACACAATTATAAAGGTTACAAATAGAAATTTTTCTTGAAAATTGACAGTTTTTCACAGTGAAAGTAAAGGAAATGTTTTATGAGGACTTTACAGTAGAGTCCGTGCCCGAATTTAAGTTATAGTTTACTGCCGTCAGTACAATGTTCATATAAACTTTTCAAATATTGGCGTTGAGAAACTATTTAATATTTTTGTATTTTTGTATTGAGATAATAAAATAATTTTCACATTTAGTATTATTTTACAAGAAAGGCACTTTATTTTAACGATTGTATGACATTTGACAACTGTCAACTAACTTCAGCCCGTGACTAAAAACCTGTTGCTAACTTCAGCCCGTGACTAAAGCGCCGTAAAGCCACAACTTGTCAATGTGTATTTAAAAGGTCACTTAGTGTCATGGAAACATGTACGATAAAGGGCGTTTTAAAGGTGGGAGTAGAAAAAATATTGTATATACTATTGTATATACTACGGCTAACTAGCTTTATCGACCACTTTGCCTAAGGACACCATAAAGCTTACTTAACTTAAGTCTATGTTTCTACAGGATTATACGTGGCCTACGCTTCACATACCACTTAAAAATAATTCTATAGAATGTATATTCTATGTATACATATATATAGAGTTATTTTCAAGTTGTATGTCAAGGGTGGATTACATAAAACCTTGTAGAAGCATAAACTCAAATTTTTCGGTTTTTTAACATACAACCTTGTTATATTAGGGTGACGATTTAGCTTTAAGGAGGTGTCAGAGGAGGATTTATGAAAGCTGTGACAACCTGATTATATCACAGTTCAACACAATTTTCCTCCCATGAAAAATTTTAACAGATTTTAAAAATAAAGGTTAAAAAAACGTACCCGTGTCTCACCGTTTTACGAAATCACGTCATTTAAATTTTTTACACAGCCATTCTTATTATTTTAACCTAAACAGATTTTTAATTCTCTATTTTGTTAAAAACCATTTTTTTTCTTCAAATATTTTTTGTTTTTAAATAATACAAAAATTATACTTAAAGAAAATAACAATTTTATTTTTTTTTAAGTCAAAAAAAATATTTTTGGTTTTAATTTTTAATTTGTTTTAATAAAACAACAGATTTGTATTTATCTTATATTAAATATATGTTGGAAACAAATCTTGATCTTTTAGTTTGACGATTATACATTGCTTTAGAATCTATAGTAGTATCACAACCTAAAAAACATCACTTGATATACAGGGTGTTTCGCATTCGTGGTCCATTGGAAGTTTCTGGGGAACGGAAAACATATCGTTTTGAAATTTAAAAGCGTTTATAATACATTTAAGTCTATTTTTTTATATTTTGAACAAAACGCCACTTCCAGTTTGACCGGAACTTTGTTATTTCAAATAGAACACCCCACATACTTTTACATTTTTAAATTCTTCATAAAATTCTGAGTAAAATTACTAACCATTTCCTATATCTATAGTAAATAGTTTTCGAGTTCCCTATACCTAAAGTTAATAATTTTAGAGATATTTAACAATTTCATTAATCGAAATGTTTTTAATTTTCTATTTGATTATGTAAAAACATACAGGGTGTTTAATTTAAAATAAAAAAGTTATGAACGTTTTAAGTTGGTCTAATTTGTCCTGGGTTTTCTCGGGTAATTTGTTAAAAAAATGTTAAAAAATTGACATGAAATCTTTTAAACAATGTTTAAAGATTCCAAAAATCCACCACCATTTCGGCAAACCTAATAGCAAACAATTTATAGGTATTTTTGATTGACGCGCATTTGTCAAATTTTAACGAAAAAAATTATAACTCGAAAACTATTCAATTTAGGTATAGGACATGGTACAGTAATTTTGCTTAAATTTTTTTGTAGAATTTAAAAATGTAAAAATATATAGGATGTAATATTTAAAATAACAAATATGATGTCACTTCCGGCCAAACCGGAAGTGGCCTTTTGTTTAAAATATTTTAGAAAAATAGGATTAATTGAATAATAAAAGCTTTAAAAATTTCAAATCGATATCTTTTGCCGTTCCTCAGAAACTTTTAATGGACCACGAACGTAAAACACCCGTATTTCGAAAATTTGCAACACCCTGTATATAGAGATGCGACTTGAAAAAAAAACGGTCCCTTTTTTTTGTTTTTTTTTTCAAGTTTTTTTTCATTGTTTTTTTTTCAAGATTCGTCCCATTTGTCTAATTTTTTATTACGTAATACCGTACGGTATTCGTTAGGATTGAGCGTTGCACGTTTTTCATCTAAAAATCTCAAAACTAGAGCTTCAAGCTTCAAATTGCTTTTTTTACGGCTCCAATACGACCATTTTTAACAAAGATACATCTATGCGAAAAATCGCAAAAAATTTATTGTATTAGTGTAGAAGTTTTACAATTGCTATTGGTTTTTAATATGGAAACTAATAAGAAATCAGATTTTTTAGCCTCAGTCAAAATTTTCAATAATGAAAAATGTAATATATTCTACATTTCACTTTATTAGTAATATACATTTTACTCAAAATTTCAATTTGAAAAAAACAAACAAAACCGTTTTTTTTTCATGTTTTTTTCACATCTGAAAAAACCGTTTTTTACATCTCTACCTGTATATAATTAAAATAATTTTAAAATAAATAAATAATTTTAATGGTTGTCCATTTATTCAATTAATAAATTTTTCTTAAAAACTTAAAAATATTCTAGCCGTTATCGAAGCTGTTAAAATATGTGCCGAATACCGTGAATAACTTTAAAAAAATAAATGACGTGATCTGAAAAAACTCTGAGACACGGGCATCATTTTTTTAAGTCAATTTTCAAAATCTATAGGAATTTTTCATGGGAGGGAAAAAAATCAAATTTTGACGTACTGTGTAATAAGACCTTTTAAATTAGGCAAGGGTTTTATTATCGACGCAAAAATAGGCCTTGAAGGCAATAAAAGGACTCACCGTCAATGTTGAGCATCATTTTCCATTGACTGGGCCTGACGGACTGATGGAACCCGAACCACACCTCTCTACCGCCCCCTAGCGGATGATAGTAGCCCTCGGGGCTGCTGAAAAAACTCCTACCGACCGGAGTGTAACTCATCGACGGTAAATGCCTCATAACGACGTCCAAAGCCAGTATGGCCTCGTAGGGGATCTGTCTCGTTCTGCCCTCCAGAGCCTCTTCCAGACCGTAGAGCGACACTTGCGCCACCCATTTGATGGTGACGCGGAAAATTCGGTCCTTGCCTTCCCCGGGGAGAGTCACTTCGAGTTCTTCGCGGCTGTTTCCTATCGGTAGAGGGTCGCGGGTGTACAGGTTGTTTCTACCGTCGAAGACGGGTTTTAGGCTGCCGAATATTTTGCCGTACGCGTGCACCATCGTCTCTATGATCTCTCTGTTCACCTGAGAAAGTAAAAAGTGACTTTCTCAAGCAAGTCTTGACAAAAAATTGTAACATGACCTTTCCAACTCCAATCGACCAGACAAAAAGGAGTAGGTCGTTATTTAGCCGAAATTTTTTTACAGTTTCTCTACCGAAATCGATGAGATCCGTATTTTTTCTTTTTTCTTAAATTTGTTTTGTTCACAATTTTTGAAAAATGGACAGAAACATCGATTTTTCTCTTTTTTTTAATTGTAAGTAAATGTTTACTACATACAAAAAAAGTACAAACATTTTAAATTGTTTTTTTTAAAAAAGGCAAAAAAAATAATTATAAATTTTGACATTCCCACATTTTTTCGACTTCATATTTTTTTCGTTTGAAGTTGATAATATGAACAACTTTCACCAAAATTCCCGACTTAGCTAAATTTGTAGTTTCGGAATTATTATTTTTTAATGAAAATGCCATTTTCTAGTAAATTCGTGGTTCATCGCAAAAATTTGGTATTTTATCTAGGGTAATGAAACTGGGGTGACCTCTATAAAGTGTAATTTAGAATTTTTATGACTAAGCATTTTTATATATTTCGATTCAAAATAAAATTCTGAATACGTACATTAGGGTGTTTCATTTAAAACGAATATTTTTTTTTCTTGCTGACACATGAAAATTTGTTTTTTTAGGTTGAAAAAAAAAATTCCCTGAAAATTTGAGCCCTTAATTTTGATTCTAAGTACTTCCTTTTTAATTTTGTAGTTTTTCCATATAAAAAGCATGTATTTTTAATCATTTTTACTTTAAATTTCTATATTTGGGCCGGGTTTTGAATTATAATTTTTATCACCATAATTTTCTGCATAGTATTCACGGTTTTTGAAAGGCCCTGCATCAATTTTGTTTTTGATTTATTTACGTTGATTGTAGTAGCTCCAAAAGTCGTTTTTTCACTCTTTTCACATATTTTTGAGAAAATCGAGCGAATGACTGGTTTTACCGAAAAAGTTCAAATAAAAAAGTTGTAGAAAATTTAGTTTTTGACAAAAAAGGTTTTCACGTTCATATCACTAAAGTGCTTTGTTTAAGAGATATAAGCAATATATAGTTGTTGAATCAAATTACATAAATTTCAATAAAACCTATTTTTTTCTTTGTTTTTGGTTATTGAATTGCTTATATCTCTTAAACAAAGCACTTTAGTGATATGAACGTAAGAACCTTTTTTGTCAAAAATTAAATTTCCTACAACTTTTTTATTTGAACTTTTTCGGTAAAACCAGTCATTCGCTCGATTTTCTCAAAAATATGTGAGAAAAAGTGAAAAAACGACTTTAGGAGCTACTACAATCAACGTAAATAAATCAAAAACAAAATTGATGCAGGGCCTTTCAAAAACCGTGAATACTATGCAGGAAATTATGGTGATAAAAATTATAATTCAAAACCCAGACAAAATATAGAAATTTAAAGTAAAAATGATTAAAAATACATGCTTTTTATATGGAAAAACTACAAAATTAAAAAGGAAGTACTTAGAATAAAAGTTAAGGGCTCAAATTTTCAGGGATTTTTTTTTTCAACCTAAAAAACAAAATTTTCATGTATCAGCAAGAAAAAAAAAATGTTCGTTTTAAATGAAACACCCTAACGTACATATGCCATTAAATGACAAATTTTGTCAGGTCAAATAATTTTTTGATAAAATTTTATTTCTATATCTAGAGTGCCTTGAATTGGCTTTTCTGCTTTATGTTAGGCCAAGTAGTCAGGAAAAAAATACAATTTTATTATTTTTTGCAATACTGGTTTTCAGGAGCTTTTAAAATTGAAAAACTATACTTTATACCAAAACAATTTTTTTAAATAAAAGTTGGCCATAAAAGAAGAACTTTTTTTAAATTTAAAACCAAATATTAATGAATTTTTTAATAATATCGCTTTAAAACACTTAATTTTTGATGTTTATTAGGTTTTAAACTGTGTACAGAAGTAAATAAATTAAGTATCAGATTTGACAGTTAGTTAGTTTGTTTTGCTGGTAAGTGAATATTAACATTTTATTTTGCTATGAAAACATACGCTAAAACTATTTATAAAATAAAAATAATAATTGAGCTGATTAGAATCAAAGAGTTGTAAGTAATTGCTCAACATTTTTTGGTTTTAAAACTACTAAATAAAAAGTTATATCTAACCGCCCCAGTGTGGCCATTGTAGGTAATCTCTGGCAATAAATAAAAAACGAAATACGGTAGCTTTAACTCACAATTTTTTATTGTAACGGACACTACAAAAATTGCCGAGTAGCGTGGAATGGCTGATATGCCAAAAAGTTCTAAATTACACTTTATAAAGGTCACCTCAGTTTCATGACCCTAGATAAAATACAATTTTTTTTAGATGAACCATGAATTTACTAGAAAATGGTATTTTCATAAAAAAATAATTATTTTGAATAAGTACGCTGCCGTGCTTAATGAAAACGCCGTAACCAACAATTTTGAGATTTTTGTTTTACGTCATTTTCTACTAGAAAAATTCATCCTGCGTCTATCCCCGGTACTCAAAAATATATATGAAATATAGATACGGTTTTTTGAGTACAGGGGATAGACGCAGGATGAATTGTTCTAGTAGAAAATTCCGTAAAACAAAAATCTCAAAATTGTTGGTTACGGCGCACTGTGTCGTATTTGACCTGTATAGGTGACCAAAAGTCGATTTCTGAAGTTGCCCTTACAGCAAAAAAATATACATAAAATTGATCATTAGGCTTTCCTTGACAATGTACAACCATTTGTTTATTTATAAAATATTAATAAGGACCGTGACGTATAAAATTTTAAAACAATGCACAAACACATTTTTTTATATAAATAACTCGCGCTTGGTAAATATGCGATTAAAACTATAAATTATAATTAACAGGAGTTATATTTGGTAGATTGCTTTAAAATAAATGTCTTTTAAGGTATAACGTTAAAAATTAAAAAAATATTTTATTTTATATATAGTAATAGCCGTTCAAATTTTGTCATTTTTTTAACGTGCATTCAAGCAAACTTTTTGCAAATAGTAATGGTGCCCCAGGTTGCCCCAATTTCTTTTGTGTGTGGAAGTGTTCGTTAATATATGAATAATGGTCGTTATTAAGGATTTTGGCGGGAAATGTTGGGAAACTTGGCTACACTTGATTTTATGTCAAAAAATGTGTATTAGAGCTCATTTTTTTAAACTTTTGTCTTTATTTTCCGATTTTTTTAAATCTGGCGCCTTAAAATTAATTAAAAACATAAAAATAATAAATATATATTAATTTAAAACTAATTTTTATAGCCTATAAAAATAACTTCTTAACTTTCTTGCTAACAACATCCATTTCAAATACCCAAATTTAGCAATCTAACGGATTTGAGAAAAATGTATGGCAGATAAGGTATCTAAACAGAAAACTTTAAGAGTACAAGTGCGGAATCCCTTTTAGCTCGGCAAAAGGCCATTAACACGTTCGTATCGACCCCGTAACGCATTCTCCTGCTGTGCGGCATAAAATAAAGCATACCCTTCTTAAAATGCGGAAGCAATAACTCAGTCAACTTTAAAGATATTTAAATGTTATTGGTACATATCGAATCCATACTTTATTGTTAATTTTATTCGCCCCAAAAATAATACGGGATATATACGGCCCGTAACGCACTGGATGATAAATTTCTCACTGTGTGCGGTACGGGGTTCATCGTCAAGCAGTGACTTTTGATGATCTGCGCATAACCTAAGTATCTTGGCTATAAAATTAATCAAAAAAAGTGAAGGTTTTTGTTTTAATTCTAATTTTATGTCATAAAATTAATATTTTTTTACAAAAAAATAACTTTTTTAAATAAAAATAATTAAATTCTGTAAATTGACTATAATAAATAGAATTCGAAAAAAAATTCAGAATTTTCAGAACAAGAAATACACTTAGTAATAAATTTGATGAAAAAAGTTATGGGAAAGTTTTTTTAATTCTTATTTTATGCCATAAAAATAATATTTTTCACAAAAAAAAGATTTTTTTGCAATAAAATGAAAATTTCTTTAAGGAGCCCCGTGCGGTCGCAGTGAATTATAAAACCAAGCCTCTAGATTACTTTGCCCACTTAATTCCTCAGTACTTTAATCATGTACAAAGTTACGAATAAAAATGCAACACCGTGCATACGGGACACATATACCCCGTAACGCACTCTGTGCAAAACTAATACGGGGCAGTTCTGACCCGTAACCCACCCAGAAATATACTTTAAAAATAACAACCGCAGCGAACGTGTTAAAAACATAAAAAAGTACGTAGAATAAAAAGTTGTAAAAATCGAAAATAATAAAATTGGTATCGTCCCAGAAAAAATTGAACACCCTGTATAATTTAAATTACAACATCAAAAAATATGTATTAATTCAAATATTTTTGTTCCCTACAAATTTTTCATGACTACAGTTGTTTCTGAGATAGGCATATGGGATATCTTACGTGGTTCACCCTGTACTTAGCCTCTTTTAATCCTAACTAATGGTTAAATTTAATAAAAATTATCTTTTTGTATAACAAAAAGGCATTTTCAATATGTTTTTCAACAAAAATATTTTTGGTCACCTAATCACTCTGTTTACGACATAGTGCGGCGTTTTCATTAAGCACGGCAGTACGAATTTATCCAACTCGGGACTTTGGGTGAAAGAAAAAAATATGAAGTAAAAAGTCAAAATTCTGACCTCAATATTTTTTTGACTTTTTTAGAAAAAACAATTTAAAAAAAATTGAGTGAATTCACTTAGTTTTGTAGTAAACATTTAACTAAAATTTAAAAAAAACTGTAACGATCGCAAAAAAATACGGGTCTCATCGATTTCCCTAAAGAAAGTGTAAAAAAAAATTGTTGAAAAATAACGACCTTTTTGCCTGGTCGACTTGAGGTGGAAAGACCCAACATTAGTGATGCATAGGGATGTAAAATGACGGTCATTTATTTATGTGTGACATGCATTTATTTGTCATTTTTATCATTTATTGTCATTTATGGTCATATTTATTTCCTTATCTTTAATGTATAATTAATAGACATAAACTTAAACATAAATGTATTTAAAAAAAACAAAATTGAAACAAAATCAAAAAATTAAATAAAAATCCTAATAGAATATAAAGATATCCAACAACTGGTTTAAAACCAGTTATAATCACATTTTTTATATATATTTTTGTGACTGTCATATATTTTAATAGCGGACAGTTATTTTTTTGACAGGCAGAAATTTCAATTGTAAATAACTAATGACAAGGGTGTCATAAAAATAAATGACATGACTGTCATTTTCATTATGACCGTGACACAGTGTTACCAGATTCTGTCAAAAAAAGACCGTACGTTTCGTTCAAATTTACCTTAATTACAAAAATGACTCAATGGACAATATTAAATAACGTCAACTTGACATAATTGCGTTTATTTGCATTGTTTCATTGTGTCATTTTGTAATTAAGGTAAATTCGAATGAAACGTACGGTCCTTTTTTGACAGAATCTGGTAACACTGCCGTGACATGACATTGTCGTAAAAATTTGCTTAAATCCCTAGTGAAGCAAAACAATGGGGTAGTTAAATTTTTTCTGACCTATACTTTTTATTGTTTTATTCAAGGCGTTTTGTAATTTTAAACATTTCTGTGAAATCGGAATTTCAATTGAGTTTACCGTTTTCGAGATATTTACAAAAAAAATCTCCTAATTACGTCACTAGGCTATTGACAACGTTACCAGCTTTTTCTATGGTTGCCAGTGTGTTTAGTTTAAGATTCTTATGATAGATGGCGCCACGTTATAATATTTTAGTTTTAAAACCACTTGATCTATAATTTTAGTTGAGAAGAAGAAGAAGAATTGATTTTTTGACGTTTATTTTTTCGGGTTATGTTTTTTTTCAATTTAGATTATTGAAAATCAATGTTATTGTTATGTTATTTGTAATTGATATTAGATAAGTGATTTATTAATAACGGACTCCAAAGCAGAGGAATCTTGTGGAATGGTTGGTTACATTGAACATTGGAGCTTTTAAACAAATAAAGTAAGTACTATGCTCCACACTTCAAAGTCCCACCACGTGACCACGTACGGAACGCAGTCTTTTGATAATTTGTCATTTAAGGCTTTTCAGGTTATGTATCTGTCAAAGTATAGTCAATGAAAGAAATAATATTTATACTGTTACCGTTTATGTTTAAGCGTTAAAAGTTTATAAATCTTTATAGTATCACAGTAACAATGGTTGGTTTAAGAGTTTAGGAGTATAAATACTGCATTTAATGAAATTCTAAAGTGTATAGTGCCAAATAAGTAAAATTTTTGTGCATTTGGTCTACATATATTATAATACCTATGTTAATATATTATATCTGGTTTTAGCCATAAAATAGTTCTAGCTAAAAATCTAGCTTCTCTATTATGGAATAAGAATATCTGTATCAAAGGTAGGTTAATATATTATAACAAAAAATATCATCTAATTTTGAAATTTTAAGGTTAGAAAAATCTATTTTGATCAAAATAAATAAGTAATTTGGATTATTTGGAAGAGTGTGTAAATATGGTCATATAAATATAGATACACTAAATAATTGTTGAATATGGTTCAAATTAAATTAAAGCTTTTATACTCGTAACAACAAAACTTGTGCATACCTCTCGGGATCCCTACTTTAAGTTAGATTATAAGGAAACAAACAATTTTTAGAGATACATGCAATGTAAAAATATTTAATACTCCCATAACATGTAACTTTTGAAATTCTTAAAAGTTATAATGATTTTTCGATGAAGATAAAATTCAGTTAAAGCTTTATACGTAATTGTATTGACAAAACTTTATGTAGGTATACTTTAAGCTGGATAAGAAAGACTACTACAAGTAAAAATATTAGATAGAATATACTGTGGTTTTATTTAAATTTTAAAATTTATAAGGTTATTTATACCTAATGATTGTTCGATGTAGATAAAATTTTGTCGAAGCTTTTATAGGTACTTGTATTGACACTATGGGTATATTAGCTGACAGTGTAAGGAACTTTAGGAAGGTTACCTATTGAATTTACAGTTTTTTAAAATTAAGTATCTAATGGTTTTATATTTGAAATTTGCAAATTTTAATAATTTTAAGGTGTTGTTTTTAGATTCCTTCTTTAAAATAAACCCCTTTTAATATTAAATTAATTTGAAAAATCTTAAAATAGTTAAGTTTTACAGTTGAAAATATTTATGCCGGAGTAAAGCAATATTAAACATTGTAAAAATTTCAAAAATCACATGTTATTTATTTATTTAACATCCAGAGTATTAAATATTTTTACATTGCATGTATCTCTAATAATTGTTTGTTTCCTTATAATCTAACTTAAAGTAGGGATCCCAAGCACAAGTTTTGTTGTAAGGAGTATAAAAGCTTTAATTTAATTTGAACCATATTCAAAAACTATTAAGTATATCTATATTTATATGACCATATTAACACACTCTTCCAAATAATCCAAAATACTTATTTATTTTGATCAAAATAGATTTTTCTAACCTTAAAATTTCAAAATTAGATGATATTTTTTGGTATAATATATTAACCTACCCTTGATACAGATATTCTTATTCCATAATAGAGAAGCTAGATTTTTTTAATAAATGCCGTTTAGTTAAAACTATTTTATGGATAAAACCAGATATAATATATTAACATATTATGTAAACAAAATGCACAAAAATTTTACTTATTTGGCACTATACACTTTAGAATTTCATTAAATGCAGTATTTATACTCCTAAACTCTTAAACCAACCATTGTTACTGTGATACTATAAAGATTTATAAACTTTTAACGCTTAAACATAAACGGTAACAGTATAAATATTATTTCTTTCATTGACTATACTTTGACAGATACATAACCTGAAAAGCCTTAAATGACAAATTATCAAAAGACTGCGTTCCGTACGTGGTCACGTGGTGGGACTTTGAAGTGTGGAGCATAGTACCTATAATTATAATCATATTTTGTCGTAAATGCATTTCATTAGTATAATGCCTAGTTCTTTATATTCTTTTAGATATATCTTGGACTCTAAAATATCAAACAGTTATATGATACCTTGTAATAAGGAAGATAGGTACTTAATGAGTTTGGTGACCATCTTTCACTCAACTGACAGTGACAGTATTTTCGGGTATTTTCTGATATAACCGAATGAAATCATTAACAAGACAACTTGACAACAGGGTTATTTTCAACCATGGCGAGGTTTGTGACGTCATAAAAATTTATATTTTTTGTAAATATCTCGAAAACGGTAAACTCAATTGAAATTCTGATTTCACAGAAATGTTTAATATTACAAAACGCATTGAATAAAACCATAAAAAGTATAGGTCAGAAAAAATTTAACTACCCCATTATGATTTCTCTTTGATTAAAAAAAATCATAAAACCACATCCAACAAGAGGTTCTCTTACCTTTCTGGGGCACTTGTCGGGCTGTATGTTGACGTCGTAGTGATGGACGAAGCCGCGCGGCATCGAGATCTGGAAGTGGTTGGCTTTGAGGCCGATGGGCCGGCCCTCGCGGCCCAAGTTCGGCCTGCGCGGACATTGAAAGACGGGCGGGTCTGTGGGCGGCGCGACGGCCGAGAGGGCGCCCGCTACCGCCCCCGGCAAAGCTACGGCAGTGCTGCTGCTCCCTAGCGCCCCGCCAGAAGCACCGGCTACGAAAGAATAATGACTTTAGCTTTTTCAAATGCGTCTTCAACATCCTACAATGTCCTTAAATGTATAGGATCTGTTTAAAATGTCCAAATACAATCTAAAACTGTCTTAGAACTATTAAACCATTAAAATTGTTTAATATGTTTTAAAACTGACTAACAATGATCTAAAATGTCCTAAATTGTATATGATCTGTTAAAAATGTCTTAATATATTCTAAAACTATATAATTCTATAACATTCCTAACGCAATTTTGACATTTTTAAATATTTTGAACATTTTAACTGTCAATAATATAAAATGATATTAATTATATATAATCTGTTTAAAATGTCTAAATATATTTCTAAACCATTAAAATTTTCTAAATAATATCGTAAACCTGTAAACAAATCAACTAAAATGTCCTTAATTGTATATGATCTGTTTAAGTGTAAATATATTCTAAAACTCTTAAAACTATCAAACACTGAAAATTGTCTAAAAATATCCATAAACTATATTAGAATTATGTAAAATGCCTTAAATCCATATAAGAATGATCCAAAATGTCCAAAATTGTCAATGATCTGTTTAAAATGTCAAAATATAATCTAAAACTGTATAAGAATGATCTAAAACTTCCTAAATTGTCCATGATCTGTTTAAAATGTCTAAATATATTTTAAAACTGTCTTAGAACTATTAAACCATTAAATTGTTTAATATATTTTAAAACTCACTAACAATGATCTAAAATGTCCTAAATTGTATATGATCTGTTAAAAATGTCTAAATATATTCTAAAACTATATAATTATATATGATCTGTTTAAAATGTCTAAATATATTCTAAAACTATTAAAACTATCAAACAATGAAAATTGTCCAAAAATATCCTAATAATGTCTAAGAATGATCTAAAATGTCCTAAATTGCCTATGATCTGTTCAAAATGTCTAAAAATATCCTCAGACAAGAATTATCTATAATGTCCTAATTATAATATAAAACTATCAAACAATAAAAATTGTCTAAAAATATCCATAAATTGCATTAGAATTATCTAAAATGTCTTAAATCTATCTAAGAATGATCCGAAATGTTCTAAATTGTCCATTATTGTATAAAATGTCTAAATATATTCTAAAATATTTTTAAACATTTTAAACAATCTAAAGTGGTTTTTAAACATTTAAGGATGTTTTTAACATTCTTAAATTAATTTTGAATTTTTGTGATTTTGGTTGAACCATTATCATATGTGAAATATTTTAGCCTATTAAATGTATAAATGTCTAAATATAATCTAAACCTATCAAACAATGAAAATTGTCTAAAAATATTTATAAACTGTATTAGAATTATCTAAAATGTCTTAAATCTCTCTATGGATGATCCAAAATGTCCTAAATTGTCCATGATCTGTTTAAATATATTCTGAAACTATATAACTCTATAACATTCCTAACGAAATTTTGACATTTTTAAATATTTTGAACATTCTAAAGTGGTTTTTGAACATGTTTTTAATAATGAAATGTTTTTAATAATTTTAAAGTAATTTTGATATTTTTCTGATTTTGGTTGAACCATTATCGGATGTGATATATTTTAGCCTATTAAATGTATAGGATCTGTTTAAAATGTCTAAATATTATCTAAACCTATCAAACAATGAAAATTGTCTAAAAATATCCTTAATCTGTATAAGAATTATGTAAAATGTCTTTAATCTATCTAAGAATGATCCAAAATGTTCTAAATTGTCCATAATCTGTATAAAAATTTTAATGTCTAAATATATTCTAAAACTATATAATTCTATAACATTCTTAACGTAATTTTGACATTTTTGAATATTTTGAACATTCCAAAGTGGTTTTTGAACATTTAAGAATGTTTTTAATAATTTTTAAAGTAATTTTGATATTTTTGTGATTATGGTTTAACCATATAAATAAAATATTTTAGCCTATTAAATGTATAAATGTTTAAATATAATCTAAAACTATCAAACAATAAAAATTGTCTAAAATATCCATAAACTGCATTATAATTATCTAAAATGTCTTAAATCTATCTAAGAACGATCCGAAATGTTCTAAATTGTTTATGATCTGTATAAAATGTCTAAATATATTCTAAAACTATAAAATTATATAACATTTCCAACGTAATTTTGATATTTTTAAATATTTTAAACATTCTAAAGTGGTTTTTGAACATTTAAGAATGTTTTTAACATTCTTAAAGTAATTTTGAATTTTTGTGATTTTTGTTCAACCATTATCAGATGTAAAATATTTTAGCCTATTAAATGTATAAATGTCTAAATATAGGCAATCTAATACTATCACACAATAAAAATTGTCTAAAAATACCATAAACTGCATTAGAATTATCTAAAATGTCTTAAATCTATCTAAGAATGATCCGAAATGTCCTAAATTGTCCATGATCTGTATAAAATGTATAAATATATTCTAAAACTATATAATTCTATAACATTCCTAACGTAACTTTGACGTTTTTAAATATTTTGAACATTTTAAAGTGGTGTTTGAACATTTATGAATGTTTTTAACATTCTTAAAGTAATTTTGAACTTATAACCCATTAAATGTCTAAATATAATCTAAAACTATCAAAAAATGAAGATTGTCTAAAAATATCCATAAATTGTATTAGAATTATCTAAAATGTTTTAAATCTATTTAAAAATAATCCAAAATGTCCTAAATTGTCCATGATCTAAATATATTCTAAAACTATATAATTCTATAACATTCTAAAGTGGTTTTTAAACATTTAAGAATATTTTTAATAATTTTTAAAGTAATTTTGATATTTTTGTGATTTTGGTTTAACCATTATTATATGTGAAATATTTTAGCTTATTAAATGTAGGTATAGGATCTGTTTAAAATGTCTAAATATAATCTAAAACTATCAATCAATAAAAAAAATTTAAAAATATACATAAACTGTATTAGAATTATCTAAAATGTCTTAAATCTATCTAAGAATGATCCAAAATGTCCTAAATTGTCCATGATCTGTTTAAAATGTCTAAATATATCTTAAAACTATATAATTCTATAACATTCTTAACGTAATTTTGACATTTTTAAACAATTTGAACATTCTAAAGTGGTTTTTGAACATTTAAGAATGTTTTCAATAATTTTAATATTTTTGACTTCATAGGCTTAAATTACACAGCGTTGCCAAGTTAATGCTAAATAACTCGCAATAAATCGCATGCACGGACAAAGCATATTTTGCGGACTAAATAAATTATATAATTTCATCCTTATAAGTATGACAATTTTGTGCTTTTTTTAATTTTGTTTACCTGACAATGGCTCTGGAAAAGTGGTCTGAGTGGTGGGACTGGCAGTCTGTCTAGGCGGGCTTGTCTGCCAAGATTCTATAAAAAATATATATAAAATTAATATAACATAATACTAATTCTAAAGGTAATGTAATTTTTTTTACAACAAGTAAATGTTTGCTGGAATAATGAAATTTGAATTAATTACAGTAAAGCTATATTTCACTGTAAAATTAAAAATTTCATTATTTTTTCCATGACTGTACAGTGTACACCAACAATATTTTTTAACATAAAAAAAAATTTAATTTTTTACTTGGATATCATCTAAATTATTTATTTATTTTAAAAATTTCATTTCTTTTAATCCTTCCTAAAGGACAACTTAATGGCATAAGAAAAAAAATCATAAATTTTATACAAAAACAAGATTGTATTGCTTTAAAGCCCCTCTACGTAAATCCAATTAACCCAGTTGGGTATATTATGCATAATGACCAACTAATTTAGTAAATAACTCATTCATATGCAATTTAAAATCTATAAATAAAAAGTATGTCTCATATCCTTAAGGGACTTTACCTAAACATTCTAAACTAGGAAAGCAAGGTAAAAAGAATTAAAAGGTATTAACTTAGGTAGACTTATAATCAATAGTTACTGGATTATTAAAATTGGGACAAATAAAAATATATTTTTAAATTTTCGCAAAGATTTCCACAATCAATAGACAGGGAACGTCTGGACCTACAGAGGTCATTCACCTGCACTGTGACGTCATTGTTTTATGCACTTTTTTTAAAACTTTTTTGACCCGCGCAAACCAAAATTATTAAGTATGACAGGAAATGCCATGAAGAATGTATTTTATGCTCTAATGTTATATTTAAAGTTACCTTAAAGCATACATTACATTTTTTGTTTGGGAAAGGTGTTTAAAATGTTTAATTTGGATTATTAATTATAATGTAAACAATAACAAAAAATTATAATTAGTGTCTAAAAGTAATAGGTACCTATATTAATAATTTTTAAGTGATAAAATATTTTATCTTTTTTATATAAACAGGTATCTCTCCATTGTTGAATTTGGCCCAAAAATTATGAAATTTTGAAAGTAAATAAACCTAATCAGCGCTATTTTTAACATTTTTCCATTAGTAGTTGTGCATTAATTATATGGTTTTTTAAAATATACAAAAGAAAAAATCGTCAAAATCAATGACCTTATAAACATTAGAAAAGTTGCCTTTGGGCCAAATTTAGGTTTGATTTTTGGCCCTGCTGACCACCAATCGAAATCGCTCGAAATAACCGTGCGGTAAGCGGCGATTTACCGAAAAACAAAGGCACATCGAGTCAGCCTCGTTCTCTATTTTGGAAAACAAAACAACATCTAACCCCTCGCCACAACGTTTCACACGAGTGCGGAAACAAAAAACTACTTACGTCCTCCGGATCCCGGATACATATTCTACGCGGAAAAACAACGCACAGGCACACAAAACACACCACTAAATCCAAATTAAACGTCTCTGGAATTACAAAAGATAGGCGGACGACATTTGCAATTTGACGTCACGCCATAAGGAACTGAATGCACATGCCCCAAACGCTCCGTCTCCTTCTAACATCGAACAGCGATGCCGAACTTCCTATTTGAACGCACTACCTGCGGAACACTTTGAAAAACAAGGTTAATACGTACCGAAGAAGAAAAACATCATTTTAACAAATAAAGTGACTTAAGTTGACAGCTGTCAAACTTGTTTACGTCGCCCAGGCAACAAGACAACGCCATGATTTACATTTATCACAAAGGGAGATACAAATATCTAAGTATATTTAATAACTCAGGAGGTGTTTCTTGAAATTTGTCTCTGGAGAAAACAATAAACCAGGAATTCTACACAAGTTTACTGCTTTCTATAGAAAGTAAAGTTGCAAATTTTAACTGGTGATATTTCAAACTTATTAACAAAGCAAAAATATAAAAAAATAATAAATTTAAAACGGTTCATTTTAATTTCAAAAGTGGTTCGGGTAAATAAACATGGCAACGTCTCAAACAATAAAACGTGCATACAATTGACAGTTACAAGTGCATTGTTCTTAACTTATTGATTATCGGGAAAATTTATAAAGAAAATTGACGGGAAATCATTACGGAAAACGCGTTTATTTTTTAAATGGAAAATGATTCATCAAGACGTTCTGATATTTATGCGTAAATAAGCGCCACAGAACATAAGCGCACGCCATCGTGATGGTAATGCGCATGACTGTTAGCAGTGTTGCCGGATGTATAATTGAAGAATTTTTTTATTTTTACAATTTTTGATGATTTAATTGTTGATTTTGATGGTTTTTTAACGTTTTTGATTAAACATATCCAAATTTGTTGTGTTTATTAGTTAAAATGGTAATATTTTCTTAAAATGAAGGGGATATTTTTGTCGATGCGACAACAATGCTTATTATTGAATTCCCTTTTTTTAATATTTAATGAGGATGATTTAAGTAACGACGTACGTTTTTTCTATGGAATATAAAAATCACGTTTACCAAGAAGGTGCATTTTTATGCTTTAAAAACATAACTTTGAAATTAATTGGTGTACTATTTTCTGACCTCTACATATACAGGGTGTTAGGTGTTAAAATGATTTGTATTAAAAACTAATATGCCAACAATTTTACAAAATTATTTTTTTACCATTTGGTTGAGAGTGATGCGTAATGTGGTTGCTTGTAGGCCCATTTACAACACTTTGGGTAGGTCTGTGCCCTATTAGGCTCAGAGCGGTTATATCCGGTAATAACTGGGGAATTCCAGCTTGTCTGCTGAGCTCCGTTTCAGCAGACATGTTTGTTTATATCTGAAACAAAACATATGACAAGTTTATAAGTTGTGTACCTACAGATTAGTGATGCAACGGAAGTGCCATAGCAGAAGATGATGCGGAAGTATTTGTACTATAAAATTTTTTTATAGTACTTATACTATTTATTTTTTATTTATGCTTTCGCTTCTGCATCCGCTTCCGCTTCCGTTTCACTTCCGCAAAAATTTGTCAATTTTATTTTTTTACTTTTCAAAATTTAATAAATAAAATTTCCAGAGAGTTTAGCAATGCATCCTATGTTAAAAAGTGTGCAGAACTTCCGCATTATTATTATTAAAAAACGTTTATTAAAAAATTACAATATAGATAAATGCTATTTTTTCAAAGGGGTTTTGTTGGAAGTTTGGGGCAATCTGAACTTCATCAATTCCACTATGGCCTGATTATAACTATATCTGTGATACAAAAAAAATTCTGGGTTTTTGTATTCCAAATTTTTTTTGGATACCCCTTCAAGGCTGACCACCTGTTCGCTTAGAGCAGGTGGACCCGCATCTATTTCTTCGCGCATTTCGACTCGACCAGATTTACCATCTTCATCGAGTTTCATTTCCACTATTATGCTTGTGGCGTCCTCTGTATTTTCGCCTTTGCACTTCTCGATATCAAAGGAGACGGATTTGCCTTCTTTATCGGAGTCTGATGAGTAAAATTGCTTCAAGATGCTGGATTTTCGTAAAAAATTACCGCGCAATGACATTTTTCTCAAAAGTGACATTTTAAATTGGCTGTCAAATACAACACTAGCGTGCACAGAGTTTTTAATATTGATTTGGATATTTATTTATATAAAAAGATGCAAAACCATTTTCCAAGGTCGTTTCAAAAATTATTTTTTTTTAATAATAACGGAGTTAATTTTTGTTTGCAAACTGTCAAAAAGATATGTCAACCATGTTAAAGTCAACACTTACGTCACAGGACGGTCACATTCTCAATTCAATTTATCATTTACATAACAAAAAACAAAAACAGTGTGTATTTATTATAATAGAACATTATTTATTTTTAGAAACTTCCTGGACTTCCATTGTCTACAATTTTCAAAAAAACATTTTTTAGTGACACATTGTATTAATTCGAATTGTCAATTTATCAAAAAACAAAAAATTGTAAAGGCGCCTTAGAAAACTATGTTTTGTTTAATATAAAACCGCTAGGGCATTAAATGTGGCAACCATGGATTTTCTGTGTCCGTAACTTCAGCTAGCTGCAGATGCCTTGTTTATTTTGTTTCCATAACAACCCTTTTTGGATGTACGACATTATACAATGTTGCCGAGTTTTTTAAACCAAAATGCCTGATAACTTGAACACTAATTGCCAGAGAACTAAATACATTGTTTCTTCTATAAATTTGTTCCAAACTAAAAGTTCTAAGAACAACACAGACACTTTAAAAAACAAACACAGCCGCACTGAGGACTTTCAGCGCCTATGTAATATTTGAGTTTTTAATAAAAAGATTTAAATTTTAAAGTTAGAAAACAAAACTGACAGATGTCACAAAATACATCTGTCAACTTTAGTTTCCATGACAACCATTATTTTATATTCGACTCGAAAATTACAAATTTGTTTTATACTTAAAATCGAGCTTAAAATATTAAAATCGATGTTTAATCTACAAACCTAAACATTTAAAATTTGCGGTGAATTCAGGAAATTACTATCACAATTTTTATAGAAAAACAACATAAGCAGTACCTACACTTTTATAAAGCTACAATTATTTCCTTCTATGAAGTGTTTTTATTTACTCGCAAGTAAAGCTGTTAAATGTTAAATTACCTATAAAAATCACCAGAGCATGTCGGACACAAATCACGTAAAAAACGCACAAGTCAAGTAAAAAAAAGTGAACTTAATTTACACCACATATGTATTATCGCCTATATAAACTATTTATTTGCGATATCTTTCGCGATAACACGCTTATCGCATGTTAAACAAAGTCTTTTGCTGTAGAATAGCGATCTAAGTAATTAAATCATGTAGTTTATGCATTCAAAACAAAGAAAAATCGACGACAGTCGCGTTTGAAAACAAAGCAGGCACGTTACGGCGTAGGCCGTGCAAAAACAAAAGGCGGCGCGTGTCTGAGGCATCCTGCTGAAATGTTGTTCTTAAAAGTGAAATCGGGCAGGCATGGGGACCTGTCCTAGGCCAACCAATCAACAAAAGTCAAGGCTAAAGGTGGATTTAGCCATCATTTAATGTAATGTAATGTAACGTAACGTAATGTAACGCAATTTAACGAAAAATTGTGCCATTTATACAACATTTAGTATAAGGTTGTAAGCATGCGCAATGCGGACGTGTTGGTGTTTTTTGAAACCGATGTTGGCACGACTGGGTGATAAGTGACATTAGTGAAGTGAAGTTTCTTTGTTTGTTATTTTGATTTTAAGTATGCTTTTGAAAAGGACGCAATTAGTAGCCCTTCATTTGGGGATTTTGGGTATTTTGGTCGCAGGCTTTCAATACCTTCAAGCAAGAAAGAAGAAAAGAATCCGACGATTTGGTGTAAGACCTATTAATAGGGCCCGCAGGACATTGGGCCATTTTAGAACCCTTTTTACTGCCATGAAAGAAATAGACCCTGAGCAATTTTTTAAATACACTAGGATGACGTCTGACCAGTTTGATAACCTGCTGGAATTGGTGGAACCTCATCTGAGACGTTACAACAAAAACAAACTACACTTGTCACCTGCAGAACGTCTGGCAATCACCATACAGTATGAATAACATTAGGAACTCATTTAGTATATTCTCAAATAGTTTTCTTTCAGAGGGTTGCTCAATGCAGCAATTGGCATGGGACTATTATATTGGACATGCAACAGTACATGTAATAGTAAATGAAACATGCAGAGTTTTATGGGATGTACTGCAGCCAATATATTTGCCAGCACCAAATAATGAAATGGAATGGGAAAGGATATCAAATCAATTTTATAGCCGCTGGAATATTCCCAACTGTATTGGAGCGGTTGATGGGAAACATGTAGCCATTGAAGCCCCAGCCAATTCAGGCTCTGTTTTTTTTAATTATAAAAAACATTTTAGGTGTGTATGCCAGATTGTAGCTTGCCAAGTACTCAAATATTTTTACTTTTATTTCAAGTACAAGTATAAAGTACTTGTAAGAAATTTTTTTAGTAATTATTAACAATAAATACAGTTTTGATTGTAGCATAGTTTTATTTATATATTTTTTGTTTTAGTATTGTGTTGATGGCTGCTTGTGATGCCTACTATAGATTCACAATGGTAGATGTGGGAGCAGCTGGTGGAAACCATGACTCTTATGTTTTTCGTGAATCAGCCTTTGGAAAAGCATTGCTAAATGGCCAGTTGGGCCTTCCACATCCCTGTCCATTACCAAATACCAATATAAATGTTCCTTATTTTTTGGTGGGTGATGCAGCTTTTCCACTACATACAAACCTTATGCGTCCTTACCCTGGTGATCATCTGGATGATATGCAACGTATTTTTAATTATCGTCTTTCACGCGCGAGACGTATAATTGAAAATACTTTTGGAATATTAGTGCAGAGATGGCGAATTCTACGTCGCACGATTATTGCAAATGTCGATAATTGTGAGGCATTCATCAAAGCTACGATTGTGCTGCATAATTATGTGCAAAAAAAAGAGGAACAAATTCCGGAGGCTAATCGCCAATATTGTCCCACTGGATTTGTTGACTATGAAGACCAAAACGGAGTTTACCATCGTGGACTATGGCGTAGGGATTTGGCACCGTTGCGACCAATAGGTCGTTTGGCTTCAAATAACAGTGCGCGAAGTGTACGAGAACGAAGAGACAGTTTGGCCAATTGGTTTATATCCCCCCAGGGTGCTTTACCGTGGCAATGGGACCGTATATATGAAGGGGGCTTGCCTGAACTTTAAAGGTCTTGTGGTTTTTTTCATAAATTTGCTGTTACACCTGTTTCCAATAAATAGCCTTGTAATTTTGGTTTAGTCTTTTATTTAATACAAAAATTTATTTAGGTTTATGGGGGGAGGGGTCGAGTCAAATCTCACGCGGGGGGGAGGGTGGTCCCGGCAAATATATTTTTAATTTTTAACTGATTATTTTTATACAAGCTTAGGATCCTTATATTTTGTAATAAAAAATATCTCAATATTCCCTGACTAAAAGAATATTTAAGACCATAATTGTCCCCCCTAAGTTTTTAATACCCATGTAGGTGGAATTCCGAGTAATTTTTTACTGATTACAAATACATTATGAGAACACACCAATATGACTGTTGCAACTTCAGAATTCATTTATTTTTTTTATTACAAAAGGATATAAGCATGGAAATAGTTGCATATGAAAATAATCAGTTAAAAAATTAAAAATATTAATAAAAAAGGTTGGGTCATCCAAAGTTTAAAACATTTATTAATATTATATATAATAACAAAATTTTGTTCTATTAATAAATTAATCGCTGTCGTCCGAAGCGTATTTATCTAAAATACCTAAAATTTCCAATCGAGCGCGTCTCCAGTTTTTTTTATTTTTTATATCCCTCATACTTAGCCCTACCATTTTTCCAAAGAGAATGCTTTCATCCTCCGGTGCTTCCTCAACTTTATTTAAAATATTATTTAAATTTGACATAACACCACTGACAGTCTCCTGGAAAACTTCTGCAGAGGCATCACTCTTTCTGCACCGTTTTTTATCCTGGTGGACCCTGCTAGATGAAGGTGTAGCCACTCCTGATGCAACTCCTGATGCCACTCGTGGTGCCACTGCTGATGCCACTCGTGGTGCTATTGCTGATCCAACTCCTGATGCCACTCGTGGTGCCACTCCTGATGCAGCCTGCCTGCTGCTTGGCCGAGACAGCGAGTCAGCCTCTGATTCCTCCTGAGACGAAGATCCAGGAAGTGAAAATAAAGTATCATTAAGAACTTCATCATAAATCATTGACTGTCCATATTCCCCACTTTCCACTGCATTAAAGTTGCTACTCGTTCTGCAAAAGCAATATTTTGTTAGAAAGGCCTCTAAGTTTAAGCACGTGCTATTTGAATGCCTTTACTGTACTTTAGGGTAACAGTTAATTTGAGTCAAAAAAATGTTGGTCATGCCACCACCTAAAGAGCTTTTAAATAACTTTTCTGTACACGTGTATCTGGATGATAAATAAATAAATAAAATAAATAAAATTATGTGGTCTAAAAATTTTAAAAGAGGTTTTTTGTTTAAAATCTTAAAAATATTTTGTTTAGGCTTTTTTTAACCCAAATTAACTTTTATTATATATAATAGTATTAATATACATAAAATTACAGTTTTTTCAGTTGTGTCTCTACATAAAATAGGAAACAAACTTTCACCACATAGTATACTGTACTTACTTTCTTTGTTTAACGTGAGTGTCCAGAAACGCCATGTTTTTAAATAAGGGCCACTCAGATGTTGCTCCTGACCCTGATGGAACTCTTGTAATTTTTTTTTTTTCAGCCGAAAACCTATTCCTGCATACATTCCATCGTTGCTGGACATCTAGTACTGCAAACATATCTCATGTATTTTTACCTAATTGTTGGCTTTAAAACTTACCACTCTGTTCCAAAATAGCAGCTATGCTGCTCCACGCCTGTTCTTTGTACTGTTTTTGTTTAAAATTTATATTGCTTTTATCGTACAAACAGGGATACGACGACACCAACTCAATTAATGCCTGATCGTTCATTATGACAAAACAATCTTTACTTTACAGACACAGGTTATAAACACAATAACGGAATAATGATGCTAACCTCCAAACTTTCGATAGGAAATTTCAGAGACAAAGGGAAATTTTGTTGTTGCAAATAAGGTTGGTATTACGCCACGCAAGCGCAGATTGATTTTCATGTAACATAATTTAAGAAAATTAAAAGTTGTCCAACTTTACCTTACATTACGTTACATTATATGATGGCTAAACGCGTCCATAGGGTTATATAGTTTTATCTCTTAAATTAAATTACGTTACGTTACTTTACCTTACATTAAATGATGGCTAAATCCACCTTAAGCCGGTGGTTGTTAAATAAAATCCGGGCAGACGTACCTTTTTCACGGATGACACTTTCGCTTACATGTCGCAATTGTTTCTCGACACTTTCACATATCACCACAGCACACTCCGTTTATTAATCGACGTTGATATTACTCGCGAATTTCACTGCAGCCGCGATTGTTTTGGACACCTAGATGTCTCGATTTTAGCTGATTACGGGCATGTGCACATGCGCATCAGCCGCTGGCACAATTTAATGCGTAAATAAAATGTTTTTTCTCGATTATTTTTTACTGCTGATATATCAACAATCTTGGTAGATCAAGTAAAGTCACTTAAATGCTCTGTTATGTTTTATTTAGTAGCGCTTTCAAAGACACGAGTTTTAGGACTTTTATTATTTAATGTTTATATTCGCAACGTGCTTTCCGACGCTCAAAATAGTCTTTAATTGAACCAATTCACTTTGAATTATTAATTTACATTTCTTCGTGTTTACACGGTTTAAACACAGGGGGGGCTTTGTTTTTACACGATTTTTTGGGTTCACCTTTGAAATTCACGCTTTGCTTTTGGTGAATATTGATTGCGCTGCTGACCTTGAATTCAACAAAACGTTGTCAAATACTGCCCTTGCGTCATGACCTTGAATATTCCCTAAACCGAATCGATAAAACGGCCCTGATTTTTTTGGTTCAAAGGTCAAACCAAAGCCCAAATTAATTATTCACAATAAAATAGCCAATTTACTGCAAAATTGTCTTTATTTACAAAAATAATTTAGGCTTAATACAAAAACATTTCAAACAGTTCTAACATACCAAATTAATTATTTTGTGCGAGTTATCTATATAAAAGGCAATTTACTGCAAAATCTTGTTTATTTACAAAAATAATTAAGTCTAAAATACTTTGGATGGTCTTCAAATTTTGTCTATCTTGCATCAAAAACAACCACTAAAATATATTAAGGAAAATATTGCTACAAAACTAAGAAACAAACAATTATAAAATTAAATTAAAAGGATACATCTCTTTGTACGTTTCTTGTACATAATACGATATCCACACTCTCTGCATCTTATGGGATCTCTGGGCCTTATTTCATTTTCATTGTGGCATTCTGGAAGTAAATAACACAATTATACCCCAGAAAACCAACATTAAACCTTTAAAACTTGAAACCATTATACCTCCACAAATATAAACCATTGGTGCCTTAGTGGCCGCAGAATCCTTGCTTGAAGGTTCAGACATGATTGTTTATACGTAAAAATATTATTTTTGTCTAAACTTTAACGTTTACGAACGGCACATTTACAAACAATTGTTTGAGGTTAGGTTACGGCGCTACCAACATTACAGAGCACAGAGTGACAGTTGAGCGGTACCAACATAAAAACAAGTTGTTTTGAGTTATATAGGTTTGTTCCAACGAGCAGTTTTTTTCTTGTAAGCATTTCTATTTTTTAGATAATAGTTTGAAGACTTTAATGATGTTTTAACAGAAATTTACAAAGCTAAATTATTTTACACTCAAAACAATTGATGGTCATTTTTTTTTAAATATGAAATACAACTGTAAAACTTAAAAATATTGATCTTTAAAAATCTTAGTTGAAATATTTTATTCTACAAAATTTTCGGTTTAAATTTGTTAAGAGTCATTTAAATAATAGTCAATAAATTAAAAAAAAAATACAAAAATTCTCACATTACATTTAAATGTAAGTTTTAAATTTTTAAGTGGTAATTTTTGGATTTAAAATTTATTGACTATCATTTAAATGATTAAAATGTATCAATTTAAATTTGTTAAAAATTAAAGTTATTTGTTTAAATTTGTAAAGTCATGATAGTCGATAAATTTTAAATTAAAAAATTACCACTTTAAAATTTAAAACTAACATTTAAATGTAATGTGAGAATTTTTGTATTAAAAATTTATTGACTATCATTTAAATGACTACAAATTTAAACCAATAATTTTGTAGAATAAAATATAACTACCTACAATTTTTAAAAACCAATATTTTAAACTTAATTAAGCTTAAGCTTTTACTTTTGCATTTTATATTTAAAATATTTTTTGAATATTAAATGTTATATGTATTTTGGTAGAAAATGTTTTATATTTGTTTTTATTTTAAATGTCTCGACACTATTTTTAAATACTAAAAAATTTAACTTTACAAATTTAGGATTAACGAAATTCTGCCGAAATAATTATACTTAAGAAATTACTGCTAGTAAATTTTGTCTTTCAACACATGATATTTGAAAATATTTTAAATTTATGTAAACCTAAAATTTTTAGTTAGGAAAATTTTAAACCATTAAATAAAAAATTATTTAATATTATTTCTATGGTTTTATTGATAGGAAAATAAAACAAAAGTTATTTTAATGTATTTATTACATAATTAATCAATAAATAAAATAGAGAACATAAAATACGTATTTATTGGCGTAAAAATTAAATGATGATATAATAGTTAAATTTTAACTATGAAGCATTCGGTTTCAATACAAACTGAATATGTCTGGTGTGTTTAATTTAAATAATTCCTAAAACTACTTGGATTGTGGTTCGACAAGCTGTTTGCTCGATTGTCCAGTGTTGTCTTTTAGAACACCTTCCAAATCTGAAACAGCTGCCGATACCTGAAACAGTCTCCCAAAAACGTCCGCCAAGTTGCATTCCTGGTTTGTTATCACGAAATATTCTAAAAGAAAACAAATTTTTAAAGTTTCATTTATTTTTATTCCGATCTGTTTTAAATGTCAAATGTCAAGCATTCTAACCTTAAAACATCAAATTTTGACAGTTTTAGTGTAGTTCTTGGGTATGTCATTTAAACGTCAAATGTCAAGCATTCTAACCTTAAAACTTCCAATTTTGACAGTTTAAGTGTCGTAACTATAGTTTTCTGCGATTCTTACCTGGTTTATCATGAACCAACTTTCTGCAGTAAATATTCAAAATGGACATCACGTCGTTGTTCCTATCACAAACGGCTTCGTTATCGCGCCAAAACTCGTCCCTGTTGCATTTGAAGAACAAAATGACCGAGGTCCATTTTTCGTTTTCGATCAGCTTGCACAAGTTCTGGATCAAGTTGTCGTTGCTTATGCCGGAAACGGAAGCGGAAATGCCGCCGTCGGCGTCCGTATCCTCGCTGGCCCTAGCCAGCGCGTTTTTCACGTTCAGTATGTCCAAAGATACGTCTTTGAACTGCAAAAAATAACGATGCGCTTTTTTTTAACGACCTTTATTATTTATGCGTACCTCCACACTCTTGAGGCTGTTGTGAAGCTGCTGCACCATTTTGTTGCCAGCTTCGACCAATAGCAACAGTTGGAAGTATAGTTTGTAGAGGGCCTTGCCCAAATCCAACAGATATTGCTCCTGATGGAAATCCGATTGTACTCCGCTCAAAAATTCCAGTTTTAATGTTGTTTTTACTGCATCACAGTACTAAAATGGTGTATTATGTGTCAAGTTTGATAAACCTCATTTATTATAAACAATTTTTTTATTACAAATATTATAAAAAATAATTTATTACCAATTAATTTAAGTATTTGTATAAAGCGACATTTAAAACGACATTTAAAAAACCAAATTAGTATTAGAAATCTGTTTTACCGGCTTTCAAAATGGCGTTTTTTGTTTGTCAAATGTTTCTGTAAAAATCGAAAATGGACTAACAACCGTTTAAATCCGATATAGAAGCAGTTTTAGGTTAAGTCAGAACATTTTCCGTAGACCAAAAAAGAAAGGCAAAAAAAATTCGATTCAAGCTATTCGCTAAGAAAGGCAAAAAAATTTCGATTTAAGCTATTCGCTAGGATTGAGCGTTACACGTTGCTTTGAAAATCTCAAAACTAAAAACTTCAAGCTTCAAATTGCATTTTTTACGGCTCCAATACGACCATTTTTAACGAAGATACAGCTATCCAAAAAATCGCAACAAAAAAATGTTTATCCTTTAATTTTTTCCATTAGTGTAGAAGTTTTACATTGTTATTGTTTTCTTATGTGGAAACTACCAAATAAAGATTTTTAAGTCTCAGTCAAAATTTCAATAATGAAAAAAGTGATATATTCTACATTTCACTTTATTATTAATATACAGGGTGTTATGTAATTAATGTTATAAATTAAAATACTGAATACCTTTTGACATAAGGAAATTGGGACCAGTTCACAGGTTAAACTTTAAACATTTAATTTGAGTAAATAAATCCAAAAGCACTTCCCTTAGTTAATATATTTACAATTTGAAAACATACCCTAAAATTTAAAAGAAATGCACTAGATTCTGTCATAAAAGTTGTCAGATTTTGTTTGAATTTACCTTCAGTACAAAAATGACATAACCAACAATTAATAAAAACGCCAAATTAACAATTTGCATTGTTAATTTTGTCATTTTTGTAATTAAGCTAAATTTAAACAATATTTGTCATCTTTTTTGAGATTTTGGAAACACTGTTACCAACCATAACATAATAAATCCACCAGATTAACCTAAAGTTCCTTTTTGGTAGGATAAAGGTTATTATAAATTATTTTTAGACTTTGGAATTTAGAAAAAAAAAGTTTCAGGTGCTTCTTTATGGACCCTAAGGAACTACCCATTTTAATATATAACATTAATTACATAACACCCTGTACATTTTACCCAAAATTTCATTTTGAAAAATTACTCCACTTTTTAAGTTATTTATTGACAGAATATGCTTTATTGTAGCGGATTTGAAAAAAACAAACAAAACCGTTTTTTACATCTCTAGCCACTTATAGGTTTTGTAACAAGATATTTGAAAAGTTCGTGAAACAAACTGCCATCCACCACATCTTCAGCCATGTGATATAAAACCACATTTTCATTTACCATTTATGCTTAGTATGATTGATTGATTTTTTACTTTTTGTTGATTGTGAGTATTTTCTTTGGGGTTTATTGATTTTTTATACTAAAACTTCTTGCAGCATTATTAATATGTTAGGCGAAGATTTCATGATGGGTACTCCCCCAAAATATGCTTTTAAAAAATGTCAAAAAAGCGTAAAAAATTATTCAAAAGAAAAATGAAATTTATGTAAAAAAAAATCTTACCATAGCTGCTTGATCTCTTTTATCACAGAACGTTTCCAAATGCTCCTGAACTTCCAGCATCCCGTATTTAAGCGTCTCGAAAAACTTTGAGTTACTAATCGCTAACGTGTTAAACCATATTAAATTTAGAGGTAAAACCCTGTAGGAAATGATGTCTATCATGGAATTTAATCGGGAACTTATCAGTTTTACGGTCGGCAATGGTAGTCCGCTTATTGAGGATTGCGACATGAACTGGCAAGATTCCCTGGTTATTTCGTTGGAAGAAATACAAATGTCCTAAAATTAAGAAATAATGCAATGAAGTTAAGTTTAAAGGCTTAAGCCTGATTTATAGATTGCCTTCCTTCCTCCCTTCCTCACGTAAAAGATGAACAATACAAAAACCGTTGTGCTGTTTATAGATTCCCGTACGAAAATCTATAAACGACACTACGATTTTCGTATTGTTCATCTTTTACGGGAGGAAGAAAGGAAATCTATAAATCAGGCTTTACAGTGTAAAGTTTACACTTACAGCGACCAATTTCTGAAACTGGTGAAAAAATTGCAGAGTGTTTGCTGGCGTTTGAAGCATATTGCTTTGAATGTACGTGGACCAATTCTCCAAAACATCACTTTTCGATCTAACCGGCATTAAGCCGGCAAAATTCGGTGACTGGTTGCAAGGTGTCACCTCCCCTAAATCACCCGCACTTGAACCACTACAAAAGTTAAAATTTAGACTCAAAAAAAAATTAAATCATCCGCGGCCAAATCTGTATGAATGCACGTCATCAATGCGATATAATGACGTCAGCATTACCAACTTAGAATTGTAAAGTTACTGTTTTTAAGGCACGGTACACGGTACGCTGGTTATGAAACGAAAACTCGTCGACTCCGAGCCTGTGACGTCACGTGCGAACCAGATTCGAATGTTACAAACTGTTTTGCATATGTATACGCTATGCACGGGTGTTTTACTACGATTTCTTTTGAGTTTTTTCCGGAATTATTGTGTTTTATTATTACTGCATTTATTGAACAGCACGGGTGTTTTATTCCAGGTTATTTATTAAGTTTGTGTTATATTTTTGGACTTAATAACTATTTAAAATATTCCAAGCTGTGCTGTAGCAGACATCAGAAATATGAACAGAAACTGCAAAAACCAACCTAACCTAACATTAAATATTTTCGATTTCCAAAAAATAAAGATTTGGCAGCACAGTGGATGAATGCATGCAAGGAAGGATTAAATGAAAATAAAAAACGGTAAGTAAAGGCAATTTTCGGTATACCCAATTTTCTGTTAGGTACTTATAGTAACTTTTCACCCTACCACATATTTTTTTACAGCTTGCATAAGTTCTTACTAATAATAAAAATTAAATCACCATTGTATCGGAAACCCGCTTCAAAAGTGTCACAGGTAAAAAAATCAGTTTTGAGATTTTTTTGTTACTTTTGAAACTTTAAGGCGGGCGTGCGTTATTATTACCTGTATCAATGCATTTTTATAATTTATGTTACATTAAAAAATGTAAAATTCGGTCTAGCGTAGGTTAAGTTTAATTAAATTAAATAAAAAATATTTTGAAAAATTTCCCTTGTGGAATTTTTTTTTCTGAAAAAGTTTTAATAAGTAAAAATAAGAGTTTTTAAAGTCTTACTTTCTCTTAAAAAGTCTGAATAAGACTTATTAAGTCGAAAAAAGTCAGAATAAGACTAATAGCAGAGAAATGGTAGGAACCCAACTATAGCGATTAAAATAAATATCCGGAATTATTCAGAGAGGTTGTATTTGATTATTATAAACTAAAACACAAAGAAAATTATTTATTAACATTTTACCAGGGTGGTAATAAGCCAAGTTTATTGCATAATTACCTATATAATAACATATGAGAGGTGTAATAATTATAACAATTATAGTTTTTTTTATATACGCAAATATTCATCTAACCATTGTTCCAAACAATTTTTAGACACCATATCGATTTTCTCAGCTGACCTATTAGAGCACAGCTGATCTGTCATGTGATGGCATCTTCCCGCGATTTCAAGATAGCTCTCCTGTCACTACTTACCAAGTGTTGCCGTTTTACCGTTTAGAATTATGAAGCGGGTAAAATCGGATATTTTAAAAATTTCGATCAAGAAATTTTCAGTAAATAATATTGTATGTTTACTAAAAATGCATAATTATTTTATTCTATATATGAATCCTGTTACATTTTTATTTACTTATATAAAAATTTTAAATTAATGTATTTAAAACAGAGCGAATGCGCTAGTAAATTTAAAATGTAACTAGTTTTGTTGGTATTTTGTAATTTTTGGTCGGGAACTTTTATCACATTCATCCGGCAACACTGTATAAAACACTGTTTTATGAGTTCGACTGTCGACCATATCATGCCTATGCGTTGCGAAGAATTGTTATATTTATTATACCTTATGTACTTAATCAACAAGGGATCTGTATGTACACAAACCAAACGTAATTACGTATCTTCCAAATGTTTTATTCTGTTCAACTAAAATAAAGTTTGTTTACCTATATTGTAAACATTGCTTCCGTGTTTTTTTAAGCCTTATACCAACACAAAAACAGTGTTTATAAATACTTTTCATTGTGCTTTCTTTTGCAATAACCAAATACAACATCTCTGAATAATTCCCGATATTTATTTTAATCGCTATAGGTACCTACCATTTCTCTGCTAAAAGTCTTATTAACTCTCAGAAGACTCCCAAATCTTGCTATTAGTCTTACTTACTAAGACTTATTCTGACTTTTTCCGACTTAATAAGTCTTATTCAGACTTTTTAAGAGAAAGTAAGACTTTCAAAAATCTGATTAAAACTTTCTCAGAGAAAAATTTCCACAAGGGTTAATAATTAATAATCCCACCCAGAATATATATTTATAAATTTTCGAATGTAACGTGTGAATAGACCTTAACGCTGACGTCGTATGCCGTTGATGACGTGCACCCATGCATATTTGGCCGCGACTATACCTTGTATCAGACCTAGCGCTGGAGTTCAGCTGAGAGCTGTGCTCTCTCAAGTTCAGAGAGTTTGGCGGAAAGATGGCGCTGTTATCCACAGTGCTATTATCGAATTCCGGAGCCGCCGCCATCTCGTCTAAGGGCGATTCCGAACCGAGTTCGTCGTCGGAAGATTCTTCAGTCATCAACCGCTAAAATTTGTGACAAATCGCACAATAAAAAACGCTATTGATCAACAAGTAAAGCCTAGCACTACATAAAAAAATGGGACGGCACTCACATTATGGTTAAAAGGGCAGATGTGTACCTTTCTTACAGTAGAAACGGGGGTTTTTTCGCTCAAACTGTCCTCGAGCTGTTTCAAATTTTGCTGGTCTTCTTCGCCTTGACTGAAAGGTCTTCTCCTCACCCCCCAGTTAAAGTTATCCGTGCTCTCCCCCTATAAAAAATAAACGTCATGTATGTACTAGACTGGGCCAAAAAAATCGAATATTTTTTTTGTAATGTATATCGAAAATATTGTTTGGGGCGACAAAAAAAATTATTGTGAAAGTTTGAGTCCACAATATTAATATTAAGAGGGCTATCATCGCAATTTTAATTTTTTTTTTCCTGAGCGAGTTTTTGTCTCAGAACTCCCAAACCATTGAGTTTAAGAAAATTGACTCACATATATTTTTTTAATGGAATTTAATGCTCTACAAAAAAGCTCTAAATGAAATTTTCCGTCAGATGAACCGTTTCCTTGAAATCATGCCTTAAAAATTGGTATAGTTTTACAATTTGATCTTTTACTTTGGAATTTTGTAATTCATGTAAAAATCAGTACCCGAAAAAAAAACGATAAATTTTCTTATGGGAAATCAAATGCTCTACAAAAAAAGTTTTGACTAAATTCACTCCATCAAAAGTTATTCAAGGTTAAAGTTGAAGACAAAACGAAATTTTTGTTTTTTCCTCTGTAGATTTTTTTTTTTGAATGATGATTTGATTTTTTTCTTTATAAATGAAATTTGTTGGATAATAAAAACAGAGATGTCGCCACGAGTGTTTATTCTGTCATCAGATGATAGAATATTTCATTTTGTAACACTTTACGGAATATATGTCATTCCATAGATAAAAGTGATATTAGAACGGTCAAATTCCGTAATAGGAGTAGAAAAATTATTTTAAAGCATCATTTAGAAGTATCATAACAACTAAACAATTAATAATATATAAATACAATACTTAAAAATAGTTATATACAATATTTAACAACAATAAACAAGGTATTACCAATATACATAAAATAATCATTGTAACACATTTGAATTAAATAAGATATAGTTAAGTGATGAGTGATGTATATCGATGATAGGGTTTAAATGGTTAAAGTTTTTACACATAACATTTACTGGAGCTTTAGGTAGTGCGTTGGTTCTGCAGATTTGACATTTAAAAGTGCGCATTGAGCGCAATTCAATTCTGGGTACGTTAAAATTGATTTTATTTAAGATTATCACAGTCAATTTTATTATTTAATAACTTAAATAGAAATGTCAATGACGTATTTATTCTTCTTGTTTCCAGGGATGTAAAACCAAAACGATCAAGTAAAGAAGAATGATTAAATCCTTGCGGAGGGTAAAAACCATTAACCTTTAAATTCAAATATTTCAAAAATTTACGATTGATTGATTCGACCCGCCTAATATAAACATTGTAAACTGGTGACCATATTAATGAACAATACTCCAGTTTTGTTCGAACTAAAGAATAATATAAAGTCTTAAGACATTTTTCACTTTTAATACCTGCAGAATTTCTAATTACAAACCCTAACATGCGTAAAGATTCATTACAAATATTGTTAATATGGATAGAAAATGACAAATTTTTATCAAATCCCTTATGCTAAAAACTCGATCCAGAGTAATATGGTTAATCTTATATTCAAACAAAACTGGAGTTTGTTTGTTTGTATAGCTCATTACTTTGCATTTATTAATATTTAAATTTAAACGATTTAACTCACACCACCTTTCTATGTTTTTAATATCTTTTTGCAGGCAGAGACAACTTTCAATATCCTTAATAATTTTAAATATTTTCAGATCATCGGCGAATAATAATTTTTCACAACCAATGTTATCTGGTAGATCTTAAAAAAAAATGATATTTTTCTAAAGAAAATAGTTTCTTAAAGCGAAAAAATTCGAATGTGTTATATATTTTTTTAATTTTCAGTAATTTTATCAATAACATAAAGATTATCATCGATAAAGAAATTAAAGTTTTTAACCAAAAATGTTAAAAGACTTTTTTATAGATCATTTGATTTCCCATAAGAATATCTATCGGTTTTTTTTCAGCAACTAATTTTTACATGAATTACAAAATTGTAAAACTATACCAATTTTTAAGGCATGATTGTGAGGAAACGGTTCATCTGACGGGAAATTTCAATCAGACCTTTTTTGTAGAGCATTCAATTTTCTTCAAAAAATATTTTTAAGCCAATTTTGTTAATATTAATGGTTTGGGAGTTTTGATACAAAAACTCGCTCAGGAAAAAATCTAAAATTGCGATGATAGACCTCTTAATATTAAAATTATGGAGTCAAACTTTCACAATAATTTTTTTTTGTCACCCCAAAAAATATTTTCGATATACTTTACAAAAGTATAGTCGATTTTTTTGGCCCTAGTATGTACGTGACGTTTTTTCGATGTTACCTCTATACTCTCGCTCTCGTACTCCAAAAAGTCGAAATCTTTGAAAACACCGAACTCGGCAGCGGCGTCGTCTCTCCTCGACCCGCCACTGACGTCGTTATTGCCGGCGGAGACCTCCTCAGTGCTCGAAGCCATACTGGATTGCCTCTCGATGATGTCGGAAGTTTGACTGAATATTACCGAAGGACTTTTCGGCAAACCGACCCTTTGACCGCACGTCGTCAAAAGATTGACCAGACATTCTCTCACACGACCCTAAACAACCACAAAGTAGAAATAATAGTGCCAACATGTACTTTGAAGACAGACGAGTATTTGGGTCATTTTCAAAATTCTTGTACATTTAAAGAAGAAAAAGTAAAAACAAAAACTTAATCTACAAACTTGTTTTTTACTTCAAATTTTGTTTATTTAGGAGTGTTATTTAACCCCTAAAAGTGGGCAGTTGGATTTTTTTAAATAAGCCCTTAAAAAAGAAAAAAGATTAAAAAAATGGTCCCCTGGGTCACCAATTTTACTAACATATTAAAAAAACTTATTTAAAAATGCCTAATTATTTTGAAAATATATTTTTTTGCTTGTTAATAATCCTTTTACGGTTTTATTTACACTAGGATTTGTTTAAAAAAAGAACATAAATTTATTATTTATAAAAAAAATGTTGACTACAAAACTAAGTAAAAGCAAAAACTATGTTCTATTTTATAAACTTTCTTACATACATAAGTATACCTATCATGAGCTGGCCAAATGGTTTGTAATTAACTAAAGGCCAAAAACTTAAGAAGAAGTACATACATAAGTATTTTTAATATATTTTCTGTATTTACAAAATGTCTATTAAAAAAGTGAGTTTAAGAAATTTTCTTTTAATGCGTATTAAAAATGTTTGTCCAATTTAACGAGCAATAAATTAATAACAATGTTTAGTTATTAGTATTATTAATAAAATAATAATAAAAAGTCAATATAAACATTGCATGGCTCCCACGGTTGAATTAAAAATTTTATTTAGGAACTTAGGTTTTTGTAAAATTTTAGAAGAAATAAGGTATGCAAATGAATTTCTGTAATTAAATAAAAACTCTACACTGTACTAAAAAAACGCGTCGATAGATTTGGCTAAAAAACTAGACCAAAATCAAATGATGTTATATTTAAATGTTGAAAAAAAATTTTAACTGTTTAATTAATAACTAACAATAATTGAATCGGTAAGATTAAGAAAAGTCCAAAAGTTAAATTTTTGACAAAATATTTCAAAAAAATCAGTTTTTTAGTTCTAATTACTTTTTTGTTAGAATATTTTATGAAATATAATATTAATATTCTGTAAAACAATTTATATCTTTTCACAAAAATGTATTTTAAATTGATTTAAGAAAGTGTTCTTATTCTCACCGATTCAATTGTAAAGTGGATCTTAATACTCAAAAATCTCATAATAAAATACAGCAAAACATTGTTTAGTATTTAAGCTGTCATTTAAAAGAAAATTAAAAATCCTTTTGTTTGATATGTATCGGTATGTACGGTATATTTTTGTCTAAAACAAACGAAATATGGCTAAAAATGACAATTTTGTAGAAGTTTAGGACTTGGGTTTTGTTTTTTAGGTATATTTTATCATTTTAAAAAGAATTTAATAAACTAGAACCTAAAAATATATATTTTTAAATTACTTTTTAAGAAAGATTTTTTAGCACAACCATCTTAATTAAACGCAGTTTTAGGAGATTGATGGCAATTTTAGGAGAATTTTAGGAATTTTCAAGATTTAAGCAAAATTTTAAGAATTTTATGATTTTTAGGAGGTGTGGGAGCCCTGACATTGTTTCGTTGAACTACTAAACATTTTTTTCCTGCTTCTTTGAGGCAAAATACATTGACTAGGAAAATTACTATTAAAAAGGTGGAGGACATTATTTTAAAATTGGCTACGTACTGTCAGAAACAGAAAAGGTGGAAGTTCGAAAAAAATTTCAAAAATATATTATAATTTATTTCTTTGGAATTGTCCCCTGGGTCACATAACTTTCCCCTGGGTCACACAATATGTGATCCAGGCGACGTGTGACCCAGGGAAAAAATTGTATGTTTTGGAACATAACCTCTTTAGTGTTTTAAAGATAAAAAATTGTATTTTCGCCCTTAAAACCATTACTAGGATACTTACTTTTGAGAATCAAACGAAGTCCACCTTTACTACTTTTTATTACCGTGACACAGGAGAATGCATAGTTTTGCCACGCTGGTATTAAAAATACAAAAAAACGTGTGGCTTTGAGATAGTTCAAAACACCATTTTCTACTAATTGCCGCAAGGGGGCAGCACCAAAAAATGTGCGCTCATTTAAAAAGGTCATTTGTAAAAGCTGTGACCCAGGAGACATAACCTAGGGGACCAAAACCAAAACTTTAGGGGTTATTTTAACCACTTGTATTTTTAAACATTACCACAAATGGGCTTTTTCTGTAATATTTGGTATATATTCTCATCTATATAAAAAAGGAGGATAATATTTTACTCTAAGATGTTTAAATAGCATTAAGTAGTACAAATTATTTCAAGTGGGACAGCAACTTGTCTGTACTGTTGAAGAAAGTTTAATTTTTTTATAGGGTTTAATTTAAAATTTTACAATTTTGCTAATATATAGTTGCTAAAACACTTAAACCAATTGATTTCGCTTAGAAAAGTTCCAAATGGCTTTAAACTCAATTTTTTATAAAATAATGTTGAGGGACAGCAAATGTACAAGAAATTTAAAAATAAACCATTTACCTGGCACATCCAGGGCCTTTTCCACCCTGATTGCGGATTTATATCGGCAGGACTAATAGAAAAAGATCTTCTCGGTGTTGCCAAGGTTTTAGCTTGACTGGTTTCGTCAGTTTTATGCAAAAATCTCCTTCCAATAACCGGCGTTTGGGACAAATCAAACGTAAAGTCCATCGTCCTACCTAAACGGAGATTTTAGTACCCTTATACCAAATATTTTCTATGAAAAGTTGCAAATTTCATGAAAGTAAAGTTTTGACTTACCTGGAAGCTCTTTTTTGGCAAAAACGCTGTCCTCGTTGAACGAGGGATGCAAAATGGAATTGAGGGAGCTTTCCCACTGCGGCTGTATCGACGTAGGTGGCGCCACGAGCGAGCTGGACCTGCTCACTACCAACTTGAGTATTTTGAGCGCCTCCCGCCAATGAGCGCCCTCTATGTATTTCACTATCACTCGCAAAAGATCGGCGTTGATTGGCTGAGCGGCCGCCGACGCCAGGTCGACGTAGTGCAAGATGCAGTGTATTATGTTCAGGACAGGGAGTTGCAGGTTGCTCGGGCCTTTTTCCAGGATTTCCACCAGGAATGTGAGCATGTTCAGACTCAAGTGCGAGTAAGTGTCGTACAAGTATTTTACAACGCATTTAGTCCACTGGAAGCTTTCTTTGCTGAAGTTACGGCGACTGTAGAGCGTCATTACGGTGCCTAGGTTTTCCAGTTTTTTGCTTTTTTCTATGCTGACCTATTATTGAGGAAATTTAGTTTCTGATACATTCAGAATATACTATGTGTGCTTTTTGTGTAATGATATCACATTTTGAAACTTACTTGGGCAATATTTTCTGCACTTCTAATGCAAAGTTCATTGGCATCCTCGTAATTCAGCAGCATATACGGCAACAGCGCGATCACGTTCATAGGAAACGCGATGCTTGTCGAAGGGTCCACAACCACAAAGTTTAACAGTGGGGTGAATTGCGACAGCAGCGCCACCACTGGTTCGTAGATATTTGCATGAGTGCAACCCTTTCAACAAAAAATACATTAAAGTCGTGCGAAGATATCGAAGACTAGAAAAGTTGTAAGCTAAGCTATACGCTAAAGAAGCATCGGGTTTTCGCAACGCGCGCGCCATCTGGTGGTGTTCGATACCATTGTGTGAATTCAAGAATTGCCAACAATACATATAAAGCATACGAACTGCAGAACATCATTTTTAAATAAGTAACTAGTTTTTTTACAGAAGAAAGAAAGGCAGAAGTCTTACTAGGAAAATTTTGTTCAATTGCACAGATAAATTGGAATCTCATGTGAACTTTTGAGTTTAAAAAATATGTATTATAATTCAAATTTGTTATCTTTAACTTTTATTTTTTTATTTTTATTTTATTCAAATAGGAATTTTTATATATGTAGATTAAGGTGTACTTACTTTAAACTTAAATACACTCACCGGCACGAAAAACGGAGCAGTTAAACTTTTTTAAACAAATTAAAATTTTAACGATTTGCAATGTTTTATTACTATAATATCTTAAATACAAACAAAACAACATGTTTTAAAGAAATTTATAACAAAAAATAAAAGATTATTTAAAAAGAAAAACTATTTTGTTACAACTTAAAAAACTAGGACGAAAAAACACAAAATGGTGCTGTCGCAAAATGATATTAAATTAGTAAAAACTGAAAACATGTGCTAGCAAAAACTGAAGATCATCATAATTAATAACGGGTGTTGCCTCCACGTGACTGAATTATAGCTTTTATTCTCCTTGGCATGCCTAAAATTAAATGGCGAATGTCCTCTTGAGGAATAAGTTCCCATTCCTCTAAAAGAGCTTGTTCCAACTGATTTAAAGTTAAAGGAGCAGGAACACGATTTCTTATTCTTCGCCCAAGCATGTCCCAAACATGTTCAATTGGGTTCGCATCTGGACTTAACGATGGCCACTCCATAACAGGAATGTTTACATCGTTTAAGTACCGTTGAGTGATTCTCCCGGTGTGAGGTGGGGCATTATCATGCATGAAAAGAAAGTCATCTCCAATAAAACCGACATAAGGGACAACAAAATCTTGTAAAATTTCCTCAATGTACCGGGCAGCAGTTAAGGACCCTCTAGGAACGATGTACAATTCTGTGCGTGCCTCCAAAGAAATTCCAGCCCACACCATAACTGAGCCACCTTGGTATCCTACCCTAGGACTAAACGTACATTCTGCAAAACGCTCGTGTGGTCTTCGCCATACTCTCTCACGACCATCTGGAGACCGTAGGCTAAACCTTGACTCGTCCGTAAACAAAACACGCGCCCATTCATTTTCAGCCCAATGCTCATGATTTCTAGCAAATTGTAGTCGCGCAACGCGATGACGCCTAAGAAGCTCTGGACCTGTTGCAGGTCTACGATTAGTAAGATTTGCTTCTCCAAGTCTTCGTCTAACTGTTCGTTCACTTATGTTGGTATTCCTAACGTGATGCAGTCGATTTCTGATTTTTACAGCTGTAGCGCGACGATTTCGCAGACTTTGTAAGATAATAAAGCGATCATCCTGAGCGTTACTTCTTCGTTGGGGACCAGTTCCAGGTCGTCTGGTGTAAGCTCCCGTTTCCAAAAAACGTGTATAAACACGGTGAACAGTGCTATTGGATGTGTGATATTGTTGGGCAACATATCTCTCACTTCTTCCGTCTTGAATCAACGCAACAATAGCAGCCGCTGTTTCGGGATAAACGGCCATATTTTTTTAAATAAAATAAACGCAGCACAAATTAAAAATGTGTTTGACACTTCTTTTGACTTATAAAATTTCATGGGTTCATCGCCAACTATGCTCTTTTAAGCAATAGCATCTATGCAATATTTAATTGATTTAAATTTTTATTTAAAAACATTTTATTTTTTTAAATAAATGTTCAATTGTATTTAGAAATTTCTTAAAACATGTTATTTTATTTGTACTTAAGATATAATAATAATAATATATCACCAAGCGTTAAAATTATAAGTTTGTTTAAAAAAATTCAACTGCTCCGTTTTTCATGCCGGGGAGTGTATGTGTTTATTACATTATAAGAGTAAAATATTTTTAAAATGTATTATTATATACAGGGTGTCCAAAATGTGATGGGATAGCATTGCTATCTCGGAAACGGTTACAGATGGAATAGGGCATCAAGGGTTCAAAAGTTGCGTAATTACATGCCTTTTATTATGACATCTGAAGATTGCACACAAAATCAGCGGTTCTCAAAATATTTGAAAAAAACTGAAAATTGGTTAAAACTTATTATCACTATTATTTTTTTATTTATAGAAATTTTGAAAAACTGAAAGGTTTACATGAAAACATACACAATTACATACGTTTTGATCCTTTTTGTGTATTTTTACGCCTACTAGATTCTGAGGTATGGCCACGTATGGCGGCCATAGGAGAAACAAAAGATATTTGCCGTATCTCAAAATCTAGTTGGCGTAAAAATACACAAATTGGATCAAAATGTATGTAATTTTATATGTTTTAATGTAAACCTTTCAGTATTTTAAAATTCCTAGAAATAAAAAAGTTATAGCGATAATAAGTTTTAACCGATTTTTATATTTTTTTTAATATTTTGAGAACCGCTGATTTTTTTTGCAAACTTCTATGCCATATTAAAAGGCATGTAATTACGCAACTTTTGAACTCTTGATGCCCTATTCCAACTATAACCGTTACCGAGATAGCAATACTATCCCATCACATTTTGGACACCATGTATAAACATAAATACATTTATAACTGACTAAACCTTATTATGTCAAATAAATATTACAAATAATAAAAACAATTTGAACCAAAAATATAAAAAAGTAGTTTCATCACATACTTCCAAGTATGTGAGTTTCATACACTGTGCCTGTTTTTGCTTTCGATCAAAAACAATTGTTTTTTCCTACAGGGTGTATTTTTTATTTTCTTATAAAATGCCTTTTAAAGTTGTATGGGGTCTATTCTGTAACTTTTTAGTTATATTTATCGGCTGGGTTATAAGTTTATTTATAACCAAATCGATATAATTTTAACTGTAATTCCCATTCTGTAAGTTATGAATATAACTATCAGTTATTTTTAACTTCATATCGTACAGGGTTAAAACTCGTAGTGATATTAGCTACAAACTTCAACGAACCATCTTCAACATTGACAAATGTAATACTTATTAGGTGTTTACGGAAAAATGTACTACCTAATTTTTAATAGAAATATTAAAACCTTATGATTTACATGAAATCTTATTAAGTAAATGTTAAATTAAATAAAATAAATCCTTCCATTTTAAAGTTAGTGTGGCAATAATGCGTAGCAAACTTCGTGTTTATTATTGGCGGGATAACTGTCAAATGTTGTCAGTGTAGTAACTACACTGACAACATTTGACACTGTAGTTTCTTTATAATCTGTGCAAAGGTGAAGTGTATAAAATGAATAAATAAAGGATAGATCGTCAAAAAAGCAATTATATGCCTTAGTAGCATATATAGAAGGAAACAAAGATATGGTTTATCCCAGCAACTTTGCAGTGGCAAAGGGGCTTAATAACATTGCAAGGCAATAATTAAGACAATTTGTGGCTGCTAGAGCATTTTGGGTAAACTGATATCTCAGATATTAGACCCACACCAAACTTATATGAGTTTATACTGACATTAAATGAACAAGTTCTGCGCAAGAAGAATTTAAATTTAAAAGTTTGCGAAAAAAGTTAGTTCTTCAGCGTGCCCCCTAATTACGATTATACAATCACTTTCATACGTTCACCAACGTTTATTGAAAAAATTTCAAAATGTATTAATAATTATTAATACCTACTTAAGTAGGTATTACAGATTTTATACCATTTTAAATTTGTATTTATTAACAGATTTTATACCATTTTAAATTTTTATTAATTTAACTATGATTTAAAAAGAATTAAAAATGGTATAAAATACTCTTGGATTTTCAAAATAAATTTTGACACAGTAGTCAATTATAAATTTCACCTCTTTAATTTGAATAATCTTAAATAGGGGGTGTAAAACTAACTAGTAACTCAGATATTGGTATACCCAAAATCCACCAGCTTCCAGACTGAAAAAGTTCCCAATTTTTTATGTGTACCTTTTATTTTTAAATGATTTTTAATTTTTATTAAAATATCTATTTTTTTATGTTTTTTTTATTTAAAGTTCGAATATGTACCTATATTATTTTTTTTTAAATATATTATTTTAGTTAGAATACCTACTTATTATTTCACTTGTATCAGGTAAATTGCGATTCATTATTCGTGCCGCATTATTAAATCAAAAAAAAAAAAAATGAAATAGTTTACCGTCTTCTCCTGTCTCTTTCATTTATGTAATTAGTAGCAAAAAAGTTTAGTACTGCAGCCATTTGTAATAATTTGTAAAGGAAATTATTCTTATAATGCACATTTGAAAGTGTTTTTTATATAAATCGAAATTATAACTCAAAAGTTATTTTTATCGCCTACTAATATACCTCACGATATACATTTCGGAATAACCAGCGTTATATCGGCATCGGGTTAAATTTTAAACCAAATACGAAGTTACAGAATCGCTCTAGAGATTTTAACCAGTCGATATGATATAACCCTGGGTTATTTATAACTAAAAAGTTACAGAATAGACCCCTATAACTGTTAATAATAATATAATATGTATATTCAATTTGAAATATCTACCTATGTTTTTGTCCCTCAATTTTATTTTCTTTTATGTTTAATAGTACCTACCTATATTTCTGAGCCGAAAAATAAATAGAGTGTAAATTTCCTCAGAAAAAAGTCCCCTCTACCTACTGTTTCTATTTGAAGAGCAAGCACAAAATTTAATTTAAGTTGAACATGGTCTAAAATTTAAAATTCTTTAAAAGTATTTAAAAAATAAGAGAAATATTTTTAACACAATTTTGTATTTATTTTATAATCCCTATTATTTATTAAATAGTACATATTTTTTTTAATCATCTACACATTTATGGAAGGTATGTATGTTTTTAATAATAAAAAAATTAATTAATAAATATTTTCATCCAAGTTCAATGTTAGGGATACCTAATTATTTTACAATGAAACCAAAAAACAGCAAAGATATTTGATATAATTAACATAGTAGTAATTTTATCTTTAAAAAATGTTATTTTTTAATTAAATCTTTTTTATAGGTATGTTTGCCTTCTGAATTTATTTTTTCATATATATTTACAAACAAAAATACTGTCTATTTTTATCCATATTTTAAATCAGTCGACTAATATAAATTTTATCAACCAATTTACATTTTAAATTATTTTATTGGCCAAAAAACAAATCTAGTAAACCATGACATATTAGCGAAATTATTTTCTATGGTTAAAATAAATAAATCTTAATGAAATTTTAATTCTTTTATGTCTAATTTAAAATGTCAATGTATAGAAATAGACTTTTTAGAGAAAATATAAACGTTGAAAGATAATTACCCAATTTATTTTATAAAACAACAGTTTTTAAAGAAAATTACTACGTTGCCATGTCGTGCAAAAACCTATATACACTGACATGCTAAATCAGTTGCTATAAATAAATCAACGTTTCTGCATACTGCCCTTAGTTTATTAAATGTGTGTGTAATTTTTAGCCAGTTTTACTGTTTTAAAAACATTCTCCTTTAAGGTGTCATAAAATCAAAACAATTTAAAAATAATTCTTTACCAAGATGTTTTTATTAAATTATCGTCATAAAAAGTTTTTAAAAATGGCGCTACTAGCGATGCTTCTTTAGCGTATAAGAGAAGGGTTTCACATTACCACCACATCGACATTTAAACTTACCTTCAACAGCAACGCGTGAACCCCCGGAAAAGCGTTCCACCTCAACTGCGACTGCAACTTCTCCACCTTATCCCTGGCATCGGGTCTGTCCAATGGCAGGCGATGCATGACCCTCGTCAGCAACCGCACGGCCAATAGGAACTCGTGCTCGTAATCGCTCTCCATTAGGGAGACGGCCAGCCAGAAAAGCTGCGCGAGAATCGTCAGCTTGTCGTCCTGCGTTGCCGTGTCTCCGAGCAACTTCAAGCTCTGCGCCGAGCGAGATCTCGATAAATTCGAGGCGAACTTGTTCCTGTGCTCGTTGGAGCGTTCCTTGATGTCGCTCGAAGTGGCAGCGGCGTTTTTTTTGAAGCCGTACGAGACCGAGTAGCTCGTGCTTCGCGCGTGACCGGGTTGCGCGCTCTGCGCATGCACCTGCGCGCCCACGATGCTAACCTGTAGGGATGGGAAAACTATCAGTAATGGGGAAGTTAAATTTTTTCTGACCTATACTTTTTATGGTTTTATTCAAGGCGTTTTGTAATTTTAAACATTTCTGTGAAATCGGAATTTCAATTGAGTTTACCGTTTTCGAGATATTTACAAAAAAAAATCTCCTAATTACGTCACTAGGCTATTGACAACGTTGCCAGCTTTTTCTATGGTTGCCAGTGTGTTTAGTTTAAGATTCTTACGATAGATGGCGCCACGTTATAATATTTTAGTTTTAAAACCACTTGATCTATAATTTTAGTTGAGAAGAAGAAGAAGAATTGAATTTTTGACGTTTCTTCTTTTCGGGTTATGTTTTTTTTTTAATTTAGATTATTGAAAATCAATGTTATTGTTATGTTATTTGTAATTGATATTAGATAAGTGATTTATTAATAACGGACTCCAAAGCAGAGGAATCTTGTGGAATGGTTGGTTACATTGAACATTGGAGCTTTTAAACAAATAAAGTAAGTACCTATAATTATAATTATATTTTGTCGTAAATGCATTTCATTAGTATAATGCCTAGTTCTTTATATTCTTTTAGATATAACAGTAATATTATACCTCGTAATAAGGAAGATAGGTACTTAATGAATTTGGTGACCATCTTTCACTCAACTGACAGTGACAGTATTTGTACATAACCTCTTCGGGTATTTTCTGACATAACCGAATGAAATCATTAACAAGACAACTTGACAACAGGGTAATTTTCAACCAACAGAAATCTTAGAATGTTGGTCACATGGCGAGGTTTGTGATGTCATAAAAATTTATATTTTTTGTAAATATCTCGAAAACTGTAAACTCTATTGAAATTCTGATTTCACAGAAATGTTTAATATTACAAAACGCCTTGAATAAAACTATAAAAAGTATAGGTCAGAAAAAATTTAACTACCCCATTACTAGGGATGGGATATTTAGGTACTAAAAACTAAAAAATAGGTAACTAAAAAGGTACTAAAAAAAGATTTTAGGTTAAAAAACAGCATTTTAGGTAAAAAAAACATTAAAAGTTCAAGTTTCTTTTATAATTTTGTTTAGCGTCATACCCAAACACAGAACATACCCACAATAAACTATTTCTATGCAATAAACTGTGTTTCACTGAGTGACACTCACTACACAGAAATTCTATGACAGAACATAAGCTCAATACAAAGAAATACTATGAAGAAAGTTACTGTTACAGTCTGTGACCCACAGAAATAATTTAGAATAATAGAATAATTTCTATGCTGTGACCATAAGAAAAAATTCTATACCGTTGAGTTGCACGCCCTGCATAAAATATTGGCGGAAAATTTAAAAAGAACACAAAAAAATAAAATAAGTAAAAATACGTAAAAATAGATAAAAAATATGTGAAAATAAACTGACAAATTAAAAAATATGTAACAAAAGTATAAAAAGGTAGTTTAAAGCAAAAACCTCCAAAAAAGGTAAAAAAGGTAAAAACTAGTTAAAAAAATAGGTAAGAAAAGTATAAAAAGGTAGTTTAAAGCAAAAACCTCCAAAAAAGGTAAAAAAGGTGAAAACAAGTTAGGTTCATATAAAAGAAAATCTTTTAAAACACATTTTGGCATTATTGGTTTTCAAATAGTTACATCAGTTGAAAAAAGGTAAAATAACTAAAATCCCATTTATCTAGTTATCAGGAAGGACAAATATCAATAGGTATCAGTAAGGGGTGTTGTTACTGATAGTAATATTTCTACTTGAAGAAATTTTTAAGATAACTGTAAAAACCTTACTTTCTCAGAAAACAATAAAATGCATATTACCCGGAAAAATCAATTCCTGACTTACCGACCCAGTATTTTAAGTTGTCTTATAGATTGAGCTAGCTCCATTTATGAGAAAACTTTAAAACTTCCCAGATACATCTGGTTATTTTGCATTTTTTTTGGTATCTCCGAGTTTTTATAACCTTAATTATAACTTATCAATAAGGTTTCTACAGTACAAATTCTACCAGAATCTAGAAACTTTCCAGATTGCTTTAACTCTAAACGAGTGATTTTGTCGCGTTTTTAAACAGTGTTGTTTTCTGACGTTAAAACATTCAGTTAGAAAAAAGTTCTTCAAAAAAAAAACCAAACTACTTTGCAATTTTTTCAAAAAAGTACAAGTGGACAATCTCTTACTATAATTATTTGAATACCTTTTCCTACTTCCTTACCAAAATTGAATAACTTTTTCCGCTTCTAAGAGGTGGTGGAAGAAGTTATTGATATTTGGGCGAATTTTCATTAAATGTACATTTTGTATATATATTTTGTCCAGGCAAGTCAATTTGATCGATTTTTTTTCCTTTGTGATAGAACAGTGTAATATACTGCAAAAAAATTCTATAAGTTTATAAATAACAAAAATAAACTTTAAAGAAATAAAACTTATAGGGTTAATCTGAAATAGGGAAGGAACACAAGGAAGAAATTAAACATTGTCCTCCTCCTAACGCATCTTCCTGAACGTTTTATGACACATTGCTTTTGACTTTTTCAAACGTTATTTTTCAGAAATACTGTTAAATGTAAATATCTTTCGGCATTTGTTTGGAATTTCTACTATGCTATAATACAAAATAAAAATAAAAAAGTTAACTTCTAAAACAAGAGTTTTATGTAGCGTTTTGTAAAAGACACCAAAAGTGTACGCAAAAAAATCTTACCTTTAAAATATTTATAAAAAAATTCACACACTTTACACGTGCTCACTTGTTGTTGCCGAACTATCAAACATGTATGCCCTCTAGAAATAACACGATAGTATCTCTATCTCGTGTCTCTATTTCGAAGCAGTCGGCATAGAAGACGACGTTAGGAAAAAGACAAGATTTTGGAATGTCAACTTTAATATTTTTTCTGTTTAAACTACTTTGTAGAAAACTATTTTATTTTTATATACGAATAAAAGAACTTTCCATTGTTCAAAAATAATTTATTTTTTCAGAAGAAACCTGCAAAGAAGAAGAATATAATAATTTAAATTAAAAAATCGCCTCTGGGGACAGTTAGGTTACAGGACATTTCACCTAGTTTTTCTGCCATATATACAGGGTGTTATGTAATTAATGTTATATATTAAAATACTGAATACCTTTTGACATAAGGAATAAAGGAAAAATATTTAAAAAAACATTTTTCCAAAGATAAAGGAAAAATATGCATTAGAAGTTTTTTATATTTTTTGTGATACGCCACTGGTTACACACTTGTTTATCTCTGCACACCAGTATTTTGTGAGTACATAGATACCAACCAACAAAGTAGCTATGTGTTGCCAGATGTAAAAAATTGTTACTAAAAATTTTTCTTGCAAAAAATAAATAAAAACTCAATAAATACAAAAGTTTTATGCCCTTAAAGCTCTAATACCCTTCTGTATTTATTTACTGATCCAGCTATTAGCTTAAGCAATGATTAGAAAATTTAGTACCTTTGAAATTTGAAATCCATAACCACAAAATTAATTTTTTCATCAGTTTTTTTCTCTGTTTACTCAGATGAAATTGGGACCAGTTCACAGGTTAAACTTTAAACATTTAATTTGTGTAAATAAATCCAAAAGCACTAAGATATTTACAATTTGAAAACATAACCTAAAATTTAAAAGAAATGCACTAGATTCTGTCATAAAAGTTGGCAGATTTTGTTTGAATTTACCTTCAGTACAAATATGAAATAACCAACAATTAATAAAAACGCCAAATTGACAATTTGCATTGTTAATTTTGTCATTTTTGTAATTAAGCTAAATTTAAACAATGTTTGTCAACTTTTTTGAGAGATTTTGGAAAAACTGTTGTTACCAACCATAACATAATAAATCCACCAGATTAACCTAAAGTTCCTAGTCGATCAGTGGCGTACTTTTTGGTAGGATAAAGATTATTATAAATTATTTTTAGAAAGTTTCAGGTGCTTCTTTATGGACCCTAAGGAACAACCCATTTTAATATATAACATTAATTACATAACAGTGTTATGATAACACCCTGTAGAAACATAAAGTAATTACAAAAAAAATACGATGGGTCCTAACAGGAAGGGGTATTTAAATATAATAAATACAAAACTTATCAACAAAGGTCAAAAATAAAAATAAAATTAACTGGGGACAGCAAATGTACATTTAACAAAAATTTGCCCATTTACTGATAGTTATCAGTAATTCACTTAAAATTACTGATAGTTATCAGTAGAAATTTTTAGTGATAGTTCCCATCCCTACTAACCTGCTGCCCCTCCGACGTTTTGCGGTTCAGCAACGCCTCCTTGTTGTTCAGATTCGGCGTGGATTTGAAGAAATCCTTCATCAAATCTAGCGGTCTGAAGTCGGATTCCAGCGAATCGACGGCGGCTTCCAGCGTTAAAAGCAACTCCGTGACGTAGCCTTGCATGTCCTCCCCCTGCTCCGCCACCGTTTCCACCAGCCTGCTGAGTATGTCGCTCAGCATCCTCGACGTTATCGGCACTCTGAGCGCCCTGTATATCTGCAGGGATCTCCCGGCGTAGTGCCGCGAGGAGCAGCTCAGACCCAGCTGCAGAGCCGTCTGCGCCCACCTCTCGTTCACGTGCGCGTTCGGCAGAGATTCGCGGAATATTTTTAGGACGTACTGCAGGAAAATGTCGATTTGCTCGGCGCTCTTGATCGTCCAAACTTTCGCGGTTATGTCCTCGTAGTTCCACAGCTGGACGTTTTGGCGCGTCGCCAGAAACTCGATCACCGATTTGATCACGACCGCGATCGTCACTTCGAGTTTCGTTGGCGGAGCGGGTTCGGTTGGTACCCCTTCCGCTATCACTATGACCGGCAGGATTGAGGTGTCCACCGGTTCGCCTTTTAGAGAAAAGTATGTGTTATCGAATTAGTCCAGTCAAACCGTCGCACAGAGCTTAAACGTGGCCAAATCTCAAACATTTTGGGTTTACATTTATAAATTTAAATTATGTTCAACAAAATTTACCAACAACAGTTCACTTCTGTATTAAACAATATTATTTCCAATCAATTTTTGCAAAAAATTTTAACTATCATTTTTTAATAAAAATAATTTATAAAGTATAATTTATTTGGGCAAAATGTTGTAAATCCTAAATAAATTTTTTATAAAATTGGTAAAGGGCCATTCCACGCTTAACGGATAGGACAGTTGCCGTGTTTTTATTTACAAAATAATATTGTTCTATTATATTACCAATGTCAAATTTTTATAAATAGTCCTTAAACAAAAGCTGTTTTTATTTGGCAAAATTAGGCAAAATTAGGTATCGTGATTGACTGTTCAATTCCTTAAAAATTAATAATTTAAAGCGTAACAAACGGGACTATTACAAAGTCCCGTCCGTTACGCTTTAAATTATTAGTTTTTAAGGAATTAAACAGTCAACCACGATACCTAATTTTGCCAAATAAAAACCTTGTTAAACAGCTTTAGTTTAGAACTATTTATAAAAATTTGACATTGGTAATATAATAGTACAATATTATTTTGTAAATAAAAACACGGTAACTGTCCTATCCGTTACGCGTGGAATGGCCCTAAAGTTAAATTTTTTAAAAGTTAAATTTTTATTCTCAAAACAATTGATAATCAAAAAATATTTTAAATATAAAATCCAAATGTAAAATATTCGTTTTTAAAAATCGTAGTTTTAATATTTTATTCTAAAAAATTATTGATTTCAATTTGGGTATTTCCATTGTAACGGGTGCGACACTGACACTGCGTTTTTTCATGATAATAAAGTGTTTGTTCATATACGAGGTGTGTTCAGAAAATATAGGGAATTTTCGTTTTTTGAAAAAAATATTTATTTATTCGTCTACATTAATGTTGTCGCCTTCAAAATAGTCCCCATTGGATATTATGCACATGTGCCAGCTCTTCTTCCAATACTCGAAATACTTCTAAAACTCGATCTTTGGGATAGCCTTTAGTTCTTTCAGCGATGCGCTTTTAATGTCATCTATGCTTGCAAAACGAGGGCCCTTTAAGGTTCTCTTTATTTTAGGGAATATGAAAAAGTCAGACAGAGGCATGTCTGGCGAATATGGAGGCATCAATACAGTATTGTTTTTGGACTAAAAGGGTTGTTCAAAATTTAACAATTTTGGAACAAATTTTGCTGCCACGCGTTTCATACCCAAAACATTCGAAAAAATTTCATAAGATGAGCCAATCGATATACTAACATCATCAGCGACTTCTCTGATGGTTTATAACCATTTCTTTCACTTTTTCCATGTTTTTATCGGTTGTTAATGTGCTTGGGCGTTCGTCACCTTCAACGTCTTCACGGCCATCTTGGAAACTCTTATACCACTTGTAAACTCTTGTTTTACTTATATCAGACTCACTATAGGCCTTTGTTAACATTTCACAGAATTTATTTAATTTTTTAAGCAAAATTGGAATAAAATTTCTTTGATCCATTTCTTTTAACGAACGAAAATCGCCGAGCTCATAAAACACGTCTAACCTTAGCGGCTGCCACAGACAAAGTAAACGATGAAAACAGCTAGTTTTTATCATACTTCGGGGGCATGTATACCAACATAATAAAATTTTTTTTATGACAACCGGACCCTCCGAACCCGCGAAATTTAACAATTCCCGTTATTTTCTGAACACACCTCGTATATCCAGATATAAATTGTATAAAAAATTAGGTATTTAACTGCCCAAATATTTTTTGCCACGTTTGAGGTCAAAATACATTTTTTCAGTTTTTAGTGAATATCTTGGCCCCCATATACTGCACAATAAAAATTAAAAAATCAAATTATTTTTTATAAAATTTCCTATTAAAGTGTTTTTTGTTTATACAAATATGTATAATTTGTGAAATTAATTTTTTTTTTCACTTTTTTGCAAATAACTCGCCAACTGTGTATTTTACGATAAATTATTATGATAAATATTTTGTAGCCCTACTAATTTTCAAAATGTTAATCATAATAATTTATCATAAAATATATCGTTAGCAAAATATTTGCAGACAAGTAAAAAAAACAACTTTTTCATTTTAACTAACTATATTTTTTTACTCTTTTGTTTAAACAAAAAATACTTCAGACAAAAATTATTGGAAATTTTATAAAAAATAATTTTGCTATTTTACTTTTTATTCTACAATATATGGGCGACGAGATCCTCGCTAAAACTAAAAGAATGCATTTTTGCGTATATCTTTGTTTGACTGGACTAAATTGGAAATATTAAGTTTTTTTAGCTACCTTGTCCCTCTTCGCTGGTTGATGAAATTTGCGATTGTAAGCTGGTATTGGCTGTATCAGTACCTTGCGGTAAAGGTACTTGAAGGAATTCTTCTATTAGTTTGTCATTTTCTAAATCAAAATATTTTTTTTTAGTCATCCTTATCCCAAAGAACTCATCTTACCTGTAAAAACGTGGTTCAGCACTGGCAAAGACGGCGTAGACAGACCCAACTCGAGCTGGTTGGTTTTGCTGTTGAGCAAAATGTGCGCAACGGTGAGATGATCGTTGTGGCGCGCCAAAACGATCAGCAAGTTCAGCAGCAGCTGTTTGCAGTGCTGGTACACCAGGGGGCGCGTGTGATCCAGGCCCAAGAATAGGATGTGCAACATCAGAGGCACGTGCACTGTCCAGTCTAGTTCTATGCCGTCGACGACGACGTCGCATAGGAGCATCACTCCGACGTTGCATCTTGAAAAATGCACCAAGATAAATATTACTTTGAACTTGATTTTAATATTGTATCGAGATTTACCTGTGAAATCCGGAAATGGGTTGAGAACTGTCCGGCAAATATTCAGTGAGGGGGGCAAAATACCCTCCGAATTCCGGCATCGGGAGGGGATGAGGTTGAGGCACTGAAACGTCGTTTTGATCGCGAATTTCTTCGCTATTTTGCGACTAAAAATACAAACCAATGTGAGCAGAAATTTAAAAAATGGTAGAAAAAATTCGCACAGTAGAATTTTTGGAAAATTCACAATAAAACATTCAAACAATAGACTGTACACGGTGCTGTTCTGAGAGTTGATTTTTGGACTTTCTGTGAAACCTAATTTTTTTTTATATTCTTGTTAATTAGGTCATAACTAAAATTTTAAGAGCAAAATAAAAAAAATTTGACGGTTAATTTTGTTTTAATTGGATGTTTATTAAAAATATGTATGCACACTTTCAATTCTCCAATTAAAACTTGCGATTTTATTTAAATATTATCATAACTTTTTAAATCAGATTAAAGATTAGTTAATTTCCTTAAAAAAGGTCTATACATCTTTTAGTGTTTTGTTGTAATACACGTTTAAAGTTTTAATTTAAGGTTAAATGTATAGTATACATTTATTAAACAATAATTCTAAGGGTGCCACATTTTATTTAGGGCCGATTTATTCATTTTTGATTTATTTAACGAATAATTTCTTTGGATACTAGATATTGCCAAGACATGAAAGTTATCGGCCCGATAAACTTTACTAAAGATGAATAAACCGGTCCTAAATTTCATGAATTTCTTCGTAACTTTTACTACAATTTTTCATTTTTGTTTATAAAAAACACTTTAAAAAACTAAACAAAAATTATAGAATACGTATACTGAAAATGACAATTCAAACGTCAAATAAATTTTTAATAGATCTAAGTTTCATGGCAACCTTTAAGGATATATTAATTAAGGGAACATAAATGTATACGTCAAAGGTTAGATTAAAAGTTTGAACGTTTATTGCAACAAGACAGTAAAATATATAAAAAAAATTGTAAAAACCTTTTTTTTAGTTATGCAAATATTAAATATTTAAATTAAATCGCTAGTTTTAATTGGATAATTGAAAGAGTGCATAATATTTTTAATAAACAGCCAATTAAAACAATTCAAACCGTCAAATTTTTTTTATTTTGCTCTTAAAATTTAAGTTATGACCTAATTAACAAGAATATAAAAAAAATTAGTTTTCACAGAAAGTCCAAAAATCACCTCTCAGAACAGCACCGTGTGTAGGGTGATCGAAAGATTTAAATTTAAAAGTTTTGTTTATGAATCTATAAAAATACTACAAAAACTGCAAAAAATACAAACATTGAAAAAAATTAACTTGGCTGTTTTACACATTTAGGTGAGTAATATATATGGAAACATTTGGTATATTGGGAAACAGCACAAAATGTCTTATAATAATAGTTGATAAAATAAAGTAATTCCCATAAATGTCTAAATTACGCACTGTGCGTGGTAATAGAATTATCACAGTAGCATAAATTTAAAAAAAATGGTAGGACAATTTCGCAGTTACTGTAGTTCAAAATAAAAAAAAAATGAGAAAAATTCGCAAGGTAGTATAAATTGAAAAAATGATGGGACAAATTTTCAAAATTGCGGATTTTTAAAAATGCCTGCATCCAAACAGGATATTTAAACAAAATTTGTGTAGTTCAATATTAAAAAAAAACAAATTTTCAAATTTTTTAAACAGAACCAGAATTTAAATAACTTGTTTGAAAGAAGTTTTACTTTTAAATTTAAAAGTTTTGTTTATGAATCTATTAAAATAGTACAAAAACGGCAAAAAATGCAAAAACTGCAAAAATTAAAAAAATGATGGGACTAATTTTCAAAACTACAGAATTTTGGAAATACCTGCATCCTATCAGGATATTCAAACAATAATTGTGTGGATCACCTGATGTTCTTACATCACGCCTCTGTTGACTTAACAACCGAGCATATAAGCTGAGGGAGTAATTTGTTTTGATTGTGTTCCACTACAACAAGTTGCCCGACACTGATGAGACCCAATAAAGGTCGAAACAGCTGTCTGTCGGTATTTGAAGTTGGTGGAACGCATTCGAAACAAAAAACTTTGGCGAGGTGTAGGTTCAATTTTTTCTTATATTCTTATGAATATTACCAGTGATGGGTCAAGAAAGTTTCTTAAAGAAACTAAGAAAATTGAATGTTTATAATAATTGTGTAGTTCAAAATTAAAAAAAATAACAAATTTTCAATTTTTTTAAACAGAACCAGAATTTAAATAACTTGTGCGAAAAAAGTTTCACTTTTAAATTTAAAAGTTTTGTTTACGAATCTATTAAAATAGTACAAAAACGGCAAGAAATGCAAAAACTGCAAAAATTGAAAAAAATGGACTTCCAACTCTAAAACGCCTTTCACAATCTTTATCCAAAATTTGATAAAAATACTTTAACTTATATCTATCTCAGTTTACGAGTTCAAGGGTTTTTCGAGAAAATATCCTTAAATCCTTAATATTAATAATAAAAAACGCTCGAGAAAAACTTTTATAGGGAAATTTTTTAATGTAAATAAAAAATATGCTGTGAAAGACCGTATTTTTGTAAGTATACCCTGAAAATGTTGTAACGAAAATACAGCGCTTCAAAGTCGTCAAAAATGACCACTTTTTAGCAAAATAATTAAAAAGGGGTCATTTCAGGGTATACTAACGAAAATACGGTCTTTAACAGCATATTTTTTATTTACTTAAAAATAAAATTCCCTAAATGTTATTTTTTGAAAATTTTTTTGATTATTAAATAAAAGGGCTTTAAAAATATATTCTCGAAAATACCTCGAACACGAAAACTGAGATATAAGTTGAACTATTTTTATACAAAATTACAAAGATTGGTAAAGGCGTTTAAGAGTTAGAATTTTGTTACTTATTATGCGTTAATTTTGACGCGCAGTGTATATGGAAATATTTGATATAATGGAAATCAGCACAAAATGTGCTATAAGAATAGTTGATAAAATAAAGTAATTCCCATAAATGACTAAAATTACACACTGTGCGTCGTTCTCACAGTAGCAAAAATGTAAAAAAAATGGTAGAAAAAATTCGCACATATACTGTAGTTCAAAATTAAAAATTCTGGAAAAAATTCGCACAGTAGTATAAATAGAAAAAATGATGGGAGAAATGCTCAAAAATCCAGAATTTTAAAAATCCCTTTGTGCTATTATGCTACCGTAAACACGGGTTGGCTTTAGCTCACTTTCAAACTTAAGCTTAAAATTTTTGTAGTTTTAACAATCATAAACATTAAATATAGTATACCAAAACTTGAGTCTTGAGTTGCTCTTTCATAATAACTATGTTATAATATTACGTAGGGCTGAGTTACAAAAATAAAAACTAAAAACTGGGTGCTAACCAAGGATCATCATTCCAGAGAATTGCGCATAATATAGAAATTGAAACGCGTGTATTTTTAAGAGTTTTGCACTTATGCAATATATACAACTTTAAAGTGTAATAAATCCCATTTATTTCTTTAACACACTGATTTTCCTGTAATATAAACTCAATAGAATCGCTCAATTGACAGGTTTAGATTAACAATTAGAAATGTTAATTTTATCGAGTGCGATAGATTTTTCATAAAAAGGTTAGTCACCCGCGGGGTGCAAAGCCACCCGTGTTTACGGTATTCGAACAAAATTTGCTCAGTAGTTCAAAATTTACCAGAACCCGAATTTAAATAACTTGTCCAAGAAAAGTATTTTTTGCATTTTTGTTTGAATAAAATGAAATAAAAAATATGGAAAACTACAAAATATCCAGTGTAGCCAAAAACGCTAAAAAGTACTTACATCATCTGCTGAAGCGTACATATCAATTTCCTGCCTGACTTTTTCGGGGCGAGACATTGAATAATCGGAAAAAACATTTGTTCCAGATTCCGATTTACAAATTGACATTTTTGAAGGATCTTCCCCACTATGTCTCTTGGTGTGAATAGTACCTTTCTCAATATCTAAAAAACGACACAGTAAAAACAGTATTTTTAATCCCCAAAAGTTTAGTCACTCACTCAAGTCGTTCCTGCTGTTGGAGTCACTTTGCCCGGAATTCCCGTTAGTGCCATCCGAATGGCTGGAAGCTTTCCTCATCACCGTAAGTCGGTAGAAAGGTGGAGTTTCCGTTCTTTCAATCAGGCAGTTTAACGTTTCCACAGTTTGCAGTTCCAACATCATTTCGTCCAGCAATCTTACAGGTTGCACCCTGGCCAAGTACAGGACCACCCTTTTAGCCTGCGAAGAAAGTTTTTAAAATGTGCAAATGCCCACGATACACAAAAACCTTTATGCTGATGCGCATGTTATTGCACCGTGTGACGTCATTTGCGAACCAAAAGCTGGCGGGTAACTGGGTTGGAATGTTATTTGCACTGCAACTTCACGTTATATTTGAAAATTTATAAATATAGGGACGGCCTGGGAGCAATTATTAAGTGTAACAAATGTTAAAAGAAAGTTAAATTGGCAGCAAGCGCTTTTAATACTAATGTAACAAATTTAAGCAACAATTAATTTCCTACCTTCCTATTAATATTTTTCAAAATATTTTGTATTTAATTGAATTAACTTAACTTACGCTAGACCGAATTTTACATTTAAAGCTCGTCCGCTTTAAAGTGTCAAAATTAAAAAAAAATGTCTAATGTCTTAGAGTATACATCGAGTTCTAATTGATCGATTTGACCAAACAAGTACTTAAATCAAAGGTAATTGAGCCCTCTACAACTTTCTCTTGTATAGTTTTGGTATCGGCTCAGTAGTTCGATACTGGCGATTTTATTATGTTGAAAAAGTCCTTTTTTACAAAAATCAAGGTCGAAAATTTACATATCTTTCTGGGTAAGATAGAAATCGAAAAGATAAGTCCAGTTTGATTTATTTTACGAATAGATTATACTTAAAGGAAAAAAAATAAGCTGCTGCTGATAAAAATCCATGGATAAATGGCGAAGTTATGAATTTTTCAGTGGAAGACCAAAATTCAGTTTTTCGAGAACTTTTACATTTTTTATTCATTTTATTGAATTATGAGTATGAGTATGAGCATGGGAACGTATGGCAGGCCCCAAATATATTATCCTCCACTAATCTCCCGGGGTTATTTTACCCCCTTTCCGTTCTCCTGCCTATCCCGCCAAATCACAGCATTAACTGTGTTTGTTGGATCCGAAGTTTTTACGCCGGCTGGTAGATCCACCCTAGGAGGTCGTGGATGACAGTGTCAAAGGTTAAGGCCGCTCCCGCTTTGGAGGACATTGAACTGACCCAAAACTAAGTACAATCCGGAATCCTCCTCAACCTGGGCCTTAGTAATAACCCCATTCAATTGGGATTCATGAATGGGGGTAGAAGTGTTAGTACGCTGCTAGAACCTGTCCTTGTTGGTGTATTTCTGAACATCTCTGTCCGAGTCAGTATTAGGTTCCTGGTAACCTCTTTAGAATTGTTTGCCCCCCTGTGTGATACTGAGTCTTGTCTTCCGTAGCAAAGTGTTGACGGCCCTGACACACCGTGGGTGCCCTCTCCCTTGATGGATATTCCTCCTGCCAAGTATCGGCTACCCATCTTGTATATTCAATATTTATTTTATTGTTAAATTAGTATCTATATAAATTCAATATAAATATCAATTAGTCAATACCAATACTAATACCAATTAATACAAATAATCAATACCAATATCAACCGATCAATTAATCCATCAATATTAATATTAATATCTATATCTATAATACCAATAATATTAATATCAACACCAATACCAACACCATTATATCAATACCAATCAATCAATCAATTAATTTATTAATTAATTAATTAATCACTTTAATGTAAATACCAATATACAAAATAGATAAAGCCGGCCCTGTAGTGTATGTAATGGAATGCGGCCATATGGCCTGCATTGGCTATTGAGTTCTTCTTATCTTCTGTGTATTTATTGGCTTTGATTTATGGCTGTGACCCTAAATGCATATACAATATTACCTATTCAAACACAACACTTATTTATGATATAATTTTTGTCTTCTTGCTTGATTTGGTTTATTTACTCTTACGCCTTTTTCAATGGTTGTTTATGATTTGTCTACTATGAGAAAATGAGGTTGTTTATTTAACCCTTACGGAAATGTTCTTATTATTTTTTAAAATTTAGTTTTTAAGACAAATAAAAAGAATTCTTAGATTTTTTGGCAACATTGTGAAATGATTATATAAACATTTAACGATTATACGGTAAGACATGCAATTAGAAAAATTACTTAGCTTGATTATTAGTCTATAATCCAGGTTTTTGGGACGCTCTGATCCAGGTGTGCCGGTTGACTTATCGTTGTGGCCTAGCCTTAATTACTTATTCACTTGCACACTTTTATAATAATAATAATAATAATAATAATTTATTGCCCAACAGAATACAATATTCCAATTACAGGACAAAATATGTATTTATAACAACATTAGTAATATTTAATATGCCTAAGCTTAACAATAAGGAAAAAATAAAGAAAATTAAACAATATTATAACAATAGAAAATATATATATATACATATATATATATATATACCCGTATACACATATAAACAAATACATACATACATATATCATTGTTCACGTACACTTGAAACTATTTCCCTAATGCTTGAATTAAACAAATCACAGTTACCACATATAGAATTAAAGTTATTGCACATTACTTGTACTGGAGATTTCAAATGCACGTTTGTTCTCGAAAAACTACAATAAAATAGTTTCATATTTCGAGCTCCTAAGCGGGGTATTAAAATATTAAAAAAACCTAAAATGTGACTAGAGTCAATCTGATTATTAAAAAGTTTCCACAAAAATTTTAAACTTATAACTTTGCGCCTAACTAAAAGAGTTTCAAAGTTAAATCTAGATAATAGGATATTATGATCATATCCTCTAGCGGGATAGACGTGATCAATTCTGTAGGAAAGCAGTTTTAAAAATCTTCTTTGTATCTTTTCGATAGAGTCAATATGTACATTGTAATGCGGATACCAGATGAGAGAGCAATATTCAAGTTTTGTTCTAATGAGATAATAAAACAGTGATTTTAGTGCTTGGATGTTAGAAAAACTAACAGAATTTCGACTTATAAATCCTAACAGCTTTAAAGCAGATTTAACAGTGTTATTGACATGAGTTGTAAATGAGAGCCTATTGTCAAAAAATACACCAAGGTCACGAATTTCATGACAGCGTAAAAGGATGATATTATTTAATGTGTAATTAAATATAATGGGCGTATTTTTAAGACTGTAACTACAGATTTTACATTTAGATACATTAAGATCGAGTTTGTTAACTTCACACCATCTAAGAATAATATTCAATTGTTGTTGAAAAAGGTCGCAATCAGTAGTATCAGAGATACTGGTAAATATTTTCAAATCGTCAGCAAAAAATAAATGATTACAATTAAGTTTCAGTGACAAGTCATTTATAAATAAACGGTGTTATCCCGCAATTTTCGCACTTGTTGCACTTGTTTGTTTATTTATTTATTTATTTATTAACGATTACCGATATTTCCGGATACTTTGTTTTGTTTTTGGTACTTTACGTTTGTATCGTATACGCTACTTAGGAGGGATCTATCTTGACGTGTCCGACCGCTTCGAGTGTCAAGACCCAACTGTTTATTCATTTTATTGAATTATATAAAATTTAATATTGAACATTGATTTTTATTTTAAACTTTAAATATTGAAATTAAATTATATATTGAATATTGAACAATAATTATGGAACATTGAAAATATGGAAAGTTTTATTTTGTTGTAATAAGCATAGGTTTAAAAAAATTCTGGCTCCTTCTTTGTTTTTTGTTGCTTTCTTGTTCTGTTTCTTGTATGAGGGACCAAATGGTCCAGATTGTCCGGGTTATTTACGCCCTCGAACTCTCTACTTCTTTTACTCATTTTACACTTTTTATTAACTAAATAAAACCATGATAAAAATACCTTGTTGAAAAATCAAAAAATAGCAGTAAAATGTCACTATGCCGAGAAACAAAAGAATTCGCGTTTGCGGAGTCATGTCAAATTTAAATTTTGAATGTTTTCGGTGAAAAAAGTAGGTAAAAAAGTAAAAAAATTCAAATCATGCAATTTACTTAGGTTTTCATTAAAGAATAAATATATTACAAAATAAAAGAAAAAAAAATAAAATAAAAATCGTCAAAAAGCTGAATTTTGGTCTTCCACTAAACTAAACTTCCCCATTTTTCCATGTATGTTTATCAACATTAGCATGTTTTTTTTGTAAAAATGTCAGCTTCACGAAAAAAAAAATTAAACTGGAGTTATCTGTTTGATTTAAACCTTTCCCAGGACGATATGTAAATTTTCGACCACAATTTTTGCCATAAAAACGAATTTTTTAAGTTATTAAAATCGCTAGCGTCAAAATACTTATCCGACATCAAAAGTATGTAAAAGAAAGTTTAAGAGGGCTCAAATACCTACCTTCAGTTTAAAGGCTTGTTTGACCAAATCGATCAATTATATTTCAAGCTATACTAAAAAACGTCAAAACACCACAAATTGAAAAAAAAATCATAATATTTCAAAAACGCTTATACTTCGAAAACACAATTATTTCGGAAAAAACTCAAAAGAAATCGTAGTAAAACACCAGTGCATAGCGTATGCCTATGCAAAACTGTTGGTAACATTTGAATCTGATTCGCACGTGACGAGTTTTCGTTTCATAATCAGCATACCGGTTTTTCTGTATCGAGGGTGGTATATAATTAAAACTTTAAAAAATGTATACATACGTAAGGTAACAAATCGCAAGGGGCCATTCCGGATATTATAATCAAATATCTGATTATCACTTTCATGTTATTTGGCCATGATGTACATAAGGTGCCCCAAACTTCTTCTATCTCTTTTGCATGACCATCTCCAAACTAAAAAAAGTTTACATAGAAACATAAATAAAACTACAAATTTAAATTTGTATTTATTCAGAAATTATCCTTGTGTTAACACCAAAGTAACTTACTCTGCGAAATAAAAATAACAAGGAGGATATTTAAAAATTTAGTGAATCTGTTTCTTGTATTTGTATTTTTTAGTTAAACACATATTAATTTGATAAATTGAGAATATCACAGAATTCTTTTTTAAATGCATTAAAAATATCATAGGAGATATTTTTGATTCAGTTGAAAATTTGGACACCCCTGGTATTCCAAACTAATTCTGTCGCTAGATGGCGGAACAATCACTGGGATCTACGACGTACGCGAGTTCGATGTCGCACTGACCCAGCGTGTGCTGAACAAGGACAGTGCACGTTAGTTTGTTGTTGGAGTGGGTCGGTTTTTGTGGCGTTTGGAACGCCAGGGGTATCCAAACTCAGTCGGAATGAAGAATATTACATTCAATAAAAAATATCTGCTTATTTAATAAAATAAAAAATAAATCGAATTAAAAATATCTTCTATGATATTTTTAATACATTTAAAAATATCTGCTATGATATTATTAATTCGCAGAATAAAAATTCTTATATGATATTGTTTAATTGACAATACAATTCATTAATATTAGAACCAATAAAATGCCAGTATTCCATAGTGACGTATTTTATCACAGCGGCAATAATTTTTATCATCTTGTTTACACGTTACTATGAATTTTGACGTTTTTTTGATTTGACATTTGTTGTCATTTAAATTCTGTTTTTGATATATTTCAATAAAATAATGAATTATAAACTCTAAAAGATCGATGGGTTGGTGTACGATAATGAAATTAAGGTAAGTTTGAATAAATAAGGTTTATTAAAGTCTTTTTATATTTTAAAGCACATTTTAATTTCAAATGTCAAACTAAAAATTCGTTAAATCCTAAAATTCATTATATTTTCTCACTAAATATAACTCGTGGTATGATTAATTATCGATGATATTTACTCATTAAAACCGAAGCAGCACATTTCAATTCGAAAATATCATCGATGATAATCATACCACTTGTTATATTATGGGTGAAAATATCACTCTAGAGCAGGGCTCCCACGGCTAAATTTAAAATTTTATTTAGGAATTTAGGAGGTTTTTTGGAGAATTTTAGGCGAAATAAAGTATGCAAATGAATTTATGTAATTAAATAAAAACAACTCTACACAAATAAGAAAAATTCTTTTTAACAAAAATATAAATAAATATGTATATATTATATACACAAGTAGAAATTCCACCACTTTTAATTTTATTTATAAAAGTCAATAGATATGGCCAAAAAACTAGGCCAAAGACCGTTTAGTTAATAATTAATTGTAATGTGGATCTTGTTACTAAAAAATCTCATAATAGAAGAAATATAAAGTTTGCATAATACAGCAAAACATTCTTTAGATTGTTTACTATTTTAGCTATCATTTAAAAGAAAATTAAAAAATCTTTTGTTTGATATAACACGGTATATTTTTGTCGAAAACGAAATATGGCTAAAAATGACAATTTTGTAGAAGTATAGAAGCTACTACATGGATTTTGTTTTTAGGTATATTTTGTTGTTTTTTAAGAAAAATGTAGGTTGTGATTAGAGATGTAAAAAACGGTTTTTTTTTTCAGATGTGAAAAAAAAACAAGAAAAAAAACCTAGAAAAAAACGTTTTTTTATTGGTTTCTTTTAAAAAGAAATTTTGAGTAAAATGTAGAATATATTACATTTTTCATTATTGAAAATTTTGACCAAGACTAAAAAATCTGATTTCTTATTATTTGGTAGCTTTTTGAAAAATCAAGCGCTGAATCAAAAATATTATATGTAGTTACTTTTTTTTAGGACCAAATCAAAACAAGCGCGGCCCTTATTGGTCAAATCGGTGGTTGTGGCGTGCATAACGCAAGACTGTATTTACATTTAATAATTGTCATTTAGTGGCTAATTTTAGTCCCTGGAAACATAAAAAATTAGGCAAATGGGACTAATCTTGAAAAAAAACCTAAAATGTGAAAAAAACCATTTGAAAAAAAACAATGAAAAAAAACTGAAAAAAAACTGAAAAAAACGGACCGTTTTTTTTCAAGTCGCATCTCTAGTTGTGATATATCATTTAAGAATTTAATAAACTAGAACCTAAAATAAATATTTTTTAAATAACTTTTTAAAAAATAATTTTTTTAGCACAACCACCTTTATTAAACGAAGTCAAGTTGGCCTACTTATATTTAATTTTTAGGAGTTTTAGGAGATTAATAGCAATTTTAGGAATTTTATTAGTTTTAGGAGGTGTGGGACCCCTCTAGGGTTAACATATAAAATTAATTTCTGAATAAAAAATAAAACGGCGCCCCATAGGGTGTTTAATATTGTTAAAAATTAAAATTAAAAAAACAATATTATTACTTACCTTTGCAGTTATGTAGAAAATATTGTTCAAAACCATTTGAGTAGCTTCAGCTGACCCCCACCCATCTTTTCTTTCCGTGGAAATTTCATTATTGGCATAAAACTACGTGTGCAAAAAATAAACAACAATCAAAAACTTTTCTTATCCCTCATCTTCGCTAAACTTTTAAGTGTCATTCAATATTTTCGTTAATTAAAAACTTTAATAGGGAAAAATTAAAACAAGCGTGGGTGAGAAATCCGCATTGAAATTTCGCTAATCCTTTTGCCCTTTAAATCGCTTTGTTTTGCTTATTAATTGAATTTTGTGTAATACGCCGCCGGCTCAAATTTTCATAATATTTTAATACCCCAGCATTATATTTCTCGATTTCCTTTGTGTATCTGGTTTTCAATTATTTGGGAATTAAATTGATTAAATCGGTTTATTTCTGAAATACTTATACACTCACAGGCAAAATAATCGATCCACACAAATTTTCGATGAATTTAAATCGCAAATAACTTTTTTATTTGCTGTCGGATTTAAACGAATATTAAAGAATATTGTAGATACATTAATGACGAATCGCTCACATTTTAAAAATTACTAAAAAATACACGTACGTTTATAATATATAGGTTTAAACAAAAAGATGTTTTTTACCATAAGTTTAAGACACTCTGTAGAGTATATAAAACCGTATATTGTTCTAAATTAAGTTTTAATTATCAAGTCACATCTATTTTCAACAGTTTTGTTTTTGGTTCACCTTGAAAAACACTGCAATTTCCAATATTTTTCCGGTATGGAGAACTAAGGTTGCTATGGTCCATCCATAGCCTATGGAGAATGACAGTGACAGTTTTGTTAAATCATCCCATACTTGGACATGTCATATACAGCTTTCAAAAGCTATCAAATTGTTTTTTGTAAATTATTGTGTTAATTTTGAGGTCTCTTCTTACTTTTAAAAATGTCTCCGACTGATGTTGCCCTTTGTACTTTACTTCTTATGACGTTTAAAACACTTGCCACGTAATATTGTGACCGTCCATCCTGGATTAAATTAATAGCTCTGGCAACATCAGTCGGAGACATATCCATTTTTTAAAGTAAGAAGACACCTCAAAATTTACATTAATTTGCAAAAAACAATTTGATAGCTTTTGAAAGCCGTGTATGACATGTCAAAGTATGGGATGATTCAACAAAGCTGTCACTGTCATTCTCCACAGCCTATGAATGGACCATAGCAACCTTAGTTCTTCATACAGAAAAATATTGAAAATTGCAATGTTTTAAAAAAAAAATCCATTTTTCCACAAAAATCAATATATCGAGGTGAACCAAAAACAAAACTGTTAAGAATAGATGTGACTTGATAAATAAAACTTTAATTTAGAACAATATACGGTTTTGCCACTCTACAGAGTGTCTTAAACTTATAATAAAAAACATCTTTTTGTTTAAACCTGTTTATTATAAACGTACGTCTATTTTTTAGTAATTTTTTAAAATGTGAGCGATTGTCCATTAATTTATCTACAATATTCTTTAATATTCGTTTAAATCCGACATCAAATAAAAAAGTTATTTGCGATTGAAATTCATCGAAAATTTGTGTGGATCGATTATTTTGCCTGTAAGTGTACTAATACAAATAAAAATAACCTGATACATGTGGGTGTTTGTGGGGGGCACGTTTGGGTCCACCAGTTCCATGTTATGCAACCAGGGTAGCAAGTATTGCAAGAGAAGCTGCCTTACTTCCGGGCGTGCAGTTTGGAATCTGTAAGTGATTTCTGAACAAAAAATAGCAAATTAAAAATATATCTGATGGTTCGAACATATTTCATATTTACCGGAAAACATTGGCATGGTCAGTTCGGGGTGCAAAAGTGACAATTGTCTGGATAAATGGGTTTGAGATCTACAAAACGAGCGGGCCAATATTGCGTCCAGAGTTCCTCTTACTTTATTTTCACCGTCTGAAAATGTATTTAAAAATAGTGTAATTAGGTTTATTGGTAAGTCCAAAAGTAACGAAAAAATACAAGATTGTATGATTTTGAACTTTATTTATATTTATAACTTAATAATAATTTTTAATGCATTATCGGCAAATACTAGTTTACTGCTGGCGAAATCAAAAGTACAAACGTGCATATAAAATTTTCAGATTGGCGTCAAACAACTATTTAATAATTTGGTATTTTTGTATTGAGATAATAAAATAATTTCCACAATTGGTATTATTTCACAAAAATTTTATTTCGATGATTGTTTGACAATGACTAAAACTTCATAAAGTCACAGCTTGCCAAAGTTTATTAAAAATGTTTCAAAAAAATTCTAAATCTAGAAAATAACAGATAATATATTTTCAAAAGTTAAGATGGTTACATAAAATTTAGCACATTTTTACGAAATATTAACTTTATAATTGATGAATACGATTTATTTAATGTTATTAGTTGGAAAAACTTTTGATCTTAGCCAAAAAACGTTTATTTTATATCGATTTTTAAAACTAAAACCAATAAAATAAAGAATACAAGCTAAAATAAACAATTCATTAAAATTTACCGAGAAGTTTAACTTAAAATAAAAATACTAAATGTTATTTTTTTTCATTAATAAAAATATTGCAAAATTTAACGAAATATATAGTTTGATAAGCAGAAGTGGGTGTTTCATATAGAGTTACTTCAGTATCCAAAACCAAACATAAGAACCTGATCTGTTCCAAAAATGTAATATACAAGGTTTCCCGAAAAAAGCGTACTAACGCCATGTCACGTTATACAAAAGTCGCCTTAAAGTTGTATGATCTAAAGATCCCAGAAATCTCAGAAAATTGTTAAAAAAATTCTACCTTCTACTAAAATCTTAAATCTATGAAGAAAACATTACGCTGACACGCACACAGGCTTAATAATTCTTGCATTTTCTAAACATTCTTTGAACACAAGATACGTATCACAATACTCACTAATGTCAATCTATCAAAAATTATAGCATTAGAGCTACTGGATGTCACTGACCTATCCTATATATCACATCACATATTTTTACCTCTAAATCCAATGATATTATTCATCCAAGCAAAAGAAACAGGTATGCGCAGTGCGCATTGCGCACAGTGTATTATGTAATATCAAGCAATCTTTTAAACTTTTAGTAGGTACTTTGTTATCATTGATTACTGAGAGTTCCGTTGTTATTGTGGAATCTCTGGGGCTACATTAAGTTAACACATTATAACAACACCGCAAAGTTGTCACTGCAGCGGCAGATAAAAGCCGAAATCATCCGGATATGATAGCAAGAGCGACACATCATAATTTTCTACGCCGCTGTCAACTTTGTGTGGATAATAACGGCGGGATAGTTGAACATTTATTATGATTTTGTGGAACGCTTAAAAAAAATAGCTACATGAACATCAATCGACGTAAAAAGTGAAAGGCAAAATTTAAAATCGACGGGAAAACCACGGAAATCTCGAGATACAATAAAAAGTAGGTATTGTTTTATTCAAAGTACCTAAAAATAGCTGAGTATGCAAAACAATTATCAACAAAGTAATCAATGATAACACAAATGTAAATTTTTAATTAATGTCAGTTGGCGGCCCAAAATTTCTACTTTACCTATAAGAAATAGCGCCAGTGAATGTAAAATGTAGTTATTTAATTTTACCACCAAGTTAGAATATTCTTTAGGTGTGATATTCTGCACTTAGACCATTTATTTAAAAAAATGCACTTGAAGCCCCTCAATTATGAAAACAAATCCAACTATCTTTCTTATAAAAAAGTGGAATAATGCAAAAATGATGAAGAAAAAACTTTCTTATTTTGGCGTCTACTATCATCCCCTTAAAGGTTGACAACTTATTTGGCAACACCCTGTATAATTTCGAATTTTTATTATCAATCATTCTCTATGGTGTGATGTCAACGGATAACAATCAATTAATCAATTAATTGTGGCGACAATTAATTGTTGATACATGAAGTAAAAATCTATACAAGGTGTCCCTGAAATGCCTGTACAAAAAAATCCCACTTATTCCTGAGACCAAAAGACCAAAAAACTTAAAATCACCAGACACTTGCTTTAAAAGTTGCCAGATTTAACAAACATTCACCAGATTTTATATTTTTTGCAAATTTTAATAAGACACATAATAATTAAAATAAAACTAAATATAATGCTTTAAAGCACATTTTATTACAGACTTTTCTTGGAAAAAAACAAAATTTACTATAATTTGTTTGATTTATATATATGTAGCAAACGGAAAGTTAAAACAGCAGTTTAAAATTAATCTTTCACCATGTAAAATTCCACTTAATGTTTTGGAGTCTAATCTATTTTGCATTTTTGTTTTTATTTATTTAAAGCTTTGGAAAGAAAATACCTTCGTAACTTTTTTTGGCATTACACACTTCTTTCCAAAATTAAGTTTTGGGCAAAAATATTAATGTTTTAGGGGCCTCGGTGGCGCAGTGGGTTAGGCGACTATGCCGAGACAAACTGCGTCCGAAAGGTAGCGGGTTCGATTCCCGGTCACAGCCTTGGGTTGAAAGTCGGTAGATATGGATTTTTTTAAAAAAACATTGCAATTTCTAATATTTTTCCTGTATGAAGAACTAAGGTTGCTATGGTCCATCCATAGCCTATGGAGGATGACAGTGACAGTTTTGTTGAATCATCCCATACTTGGACATGAATATTGGAAATGTTTTTTTTTAAATCCAAATTTTTCACAAAAATAAATATATCGAGGTTAACCAAAAACAAAACTGTTAAGAATAGATGTGACTTGATAAATAAAACTTAATTTAGAACAATATACGGTTTTGCCACTCTACAGAGTGTCTTAAACTTATGGTAAAAAATATCTTTTTGTTTAAACCTGTATATTATAAACGTACGTCTATTTTTTAGTAATTTTTTAAAATGTGAGCGATTGTCCATTAATTTATCTACAATATTCTTTAATATTCGTTAGAATCCGACATCAAATAAAAAGTTATTTGCGATTGAAATTCATCGAAAATTTGTGTGGATCGATTATTTTGCCTGTGAGTGTATACATAGAATATACGTTCTATAGAATTATTTTTAAGTGGTATGTATAATGCTGTAGAAACAATTTTTCGTTTTTTTTAACATACAACCTTGTTATATTAGGGTGACGATTTGTATTAAAACTAAGGCGCTAAAAGATATGACCATTTAAACGTATGCAAAGTGTCGCAGACAGCGCTTTCTTCAACCTACATTAATTAAAAAAAATATTTCCCGAAAGCTTCATAGCTCTTAATTTCCTGACACCCTGTACATCTTACGCAGGCTTCGGCGTACGCAACGCGCTTACATCGCGTCAAAACCGAATCTCTCGCCCGAATAATTTCAAACGTCCCAAAAATGTCGAACGCGACAGACGCAGAGACGGCGTCGACCCTGAAAAACTTTCAACTCTGCTACACGCCGCTTCTGATAACGACCGGCCTGATAGGAAACTCGCTCTCGATCCACGTGTTCCGCAACACGAAGCTGAAAAAACTGTCGTCGGCGTACTACTTGACGGCGCTCGCCGTAAGCGACAACGTCTTCTTGTGCTCGTTGTTCGCGACTTGGTTGCCGATCTTCGAGGTTAACGTGTACGATCGCGACGGGTTCTGCCACCTTTTGGTTTACGCCGGCGACGTGACGAGTTTCCTGAGCGTGTGGCTGGTTGCCGCGTTCTCTTTCGAGCGGTTCATTGCGGTGAAGTACCCGTTCTCGAGGCAGACCTTGTGCACCACGAAGCGCGCCAAAGTCACCATACTAGTGCTCGTGACTGTTTCCCTGATTATTTTCTCGCACAAATTTCTTTTCACGCGGATCAATTATTATAACGGCTCTCCCACGTGCGACGTAGATCCCTCCTGGAATCAGTTCTCCAACGTATTTAACATCATCGATTTCATCGTCTCTTACCTTGTACCGGTGACGCTGGTTATATTTCTGAACGTCTCTATAAGCAGGGCAATTATAACTTTATCCGGGATAAGAAAAGCTTTGACGCAAGGATTGAGCAGCAAAAATCGCAACAAAAATTTTATGCTGTCGCAAAACAAAATCACGAAAATGTTGCTGGTTGCATCGACGGTTTTTCTCGCTTCATCCTGCCCAAGTTACGTGGTCAGAACATTGCTATATTTGCACGAGGTAATGTAAAATAAAAGCGTAATAATGTCAAAATGAAAAACCATTTAGTTCTAAATATATGTTCATTTGCATAAAACCCACACTGAATCAATAAAAACGTTATTCCTTTTTTCTTTATACATCTTTTTATATCTGTATAATTAATTTGTACTGTGTATGTAACATTTGCACATCAGTTCAAAATTAAAAAAAAGGACGAATTTTCAAAATTTCCAAACAAAACATGAATTAAATAACTTGTCCAAAAGAAGTTTTACTTTTAAATTTAAGTTTTGTTTACGAAATTATAAATATAGTCATTTTTGCATTTTTGTATGATAAATAAATTTTACATTTTATTAAAAAAAAATAGGGAAACAAATCTTTTTATAAAAAAACAAGACAAATTAAAGTTGGCACACCAGTTCAAAATTAAAGAACAGGACAAATTTTCAAAATTTCTAAACACTACCTTATTAACTTGTCCAAAAGAAGTTCACTTTTAAATTTTTAAAAGTTTTGTTTATGAAACTATAAAAATAGCCATTTTTGCATTTTTGTATGACTATTTCCCTCGTCTTAATTTCCACCAATCACAAACGCGCAATTTGGAATTACAAATGGTTTCTAGGTGAAAAAACTGTGTGACAGCACCTGTCAGCAGTTTTTTCGAGTTTACCCGCGGCAAAACTTGTCACCAAAAATTGCAATTTATATTTTAATTGTTAACTGTTACTCATGAAATAGTCTTGTCAAATACCATTCGGGCATCTAATTTTTCCTGTGAAAAAAAAATCGAAAAAACACAATGCTAAGTAATATTTTTTTAACAAAATGCATTCGTGCAGGTGCAAAAATCCTCTTTGACTCGGATTTTTGTTGCCTCCAGCACTCATGCTTCTTGATAAAATATTATTTAGCAACGTGTTTTTTTGATTTTTTTCTGAAAAATTAGATGCCCTTATGATATTACTTACGATAAATACATTTTTGATTTTATTTAAAAAAAAAGGGAAACAATTTTTTTTATAAAAAAACAAGAAAAAATTTCTAAATTTCCAAATTTTTGAAAATGCCTTCATCCTATTACAATTTTCTAAAAATATTTGCAAATCAGTTCAAAATTTAAAAAACAGGACAAATTTTTTAAATTTCCAAAACAAAACACTAATTTAATAACTTGTCCAAAGGAAGTTTCACTTTTAAATTTAAAAGTTTTGTTTATGAAACTATACAAATATTTATTTTGTATGATAAAGAAATTTATCATTTTATTTTGAATAAAAACAAGACAAATTTTCAAAATTTACAAAATTTTGAAAATGCCTTTATAGTATTAAAATTTTCTTACATTTGCACATCAGTTCAAAATTTACAAACAGAACACAAATTTATAACTTGTCAAAAAAAGTTCCACTTTTAAATTTAAAATTTTTATTTGTCATTTTTGCATTTTTGAATAATAAATAAATTTTTGATTTTATTTTGAAAAAAAATAGGGAAACAAATCTTTTTATGAAAAAAAAAACAAGACAAATTTTTAAAATTTTTAAAATTTCAAAATGCTTTTATGCTATTAAAATTGTCTAAGAACATTTGCGCATCAGTTCAAAATTAAAAAAAAAAGGACAAATTTTCAAAATTTCAAAACAGAACACGAATTTAATAACTTTTCCAAAACTTTTAAAAATTATGTTTTAACGCCTTGACCCATTAAAAGTCAAAATAAAAAAATATACCAATAAAAATTTAAAAAAAAAACTGTTAAAAAATTATTATTATAATTATTTGCAGTGCTTAATTAATGGTTTTTTACTTGTTTATTTTAGTGATTATAATCACCAAAATAAACAAATAAACAACCATTAATTAAGCACTGCAAACTTCAGAGTATCGAAAAAAAACCGAAAAATTGGCGGAAAAACTGATTTTTTTCCGTTTGTTTTCCAGTCCTTGGAATTTTTTTTTTGAAAATATACAAATTTTAATAAAAGTAGCAATAAACAATTTAAAATTATTTTAATTTTAAAAAATATACTTTATTACAGAAAAAAACACAAATAATAGTAAACAATGAATTGAAATTAATTGTTTAAAGAAAATAAACGTAAAGTACTGTCGGTTGGGACCTTTTTGCAAAAGGGAGTCCATTGAAAGTATCCATTAAAAAAATACTAAATAATTTATAAAGTTAAAATACATAATTTTAATTTAATAAAACTATGTGTCAAATAAAATAATTATGTTAATACATATTCTTAACGAATTAAATTTGTAGGAATAATTATTATAAACATAATATTATGATTATAATCTCTATATTAGCATATCTTATCCGTAAAAATTTGATTTTTTTTAGAAAAATTGACTTTTGCATTCGTATTTGAATAAAATGAAAAAAATTACTAATTTTCCGCCGGCTCAATTTTTCCGGAAATTTTAAAACCCTACTTCAGAGACATCTTTAATTATTATAGATACTAATGTAAATTATGTGTGTAATTTTCATAATATAATTCTATATATTCTTTTACATGACATAAACAATTTGTTTCTTCTGCAACAATTACACTAAACAATTTATTTGTTAATAGCCAGTTTTTAGTTTTATTATAAAATCTTTTATCAAAAAACAAAATATTAATTGGCTATTAGCAAAAAATTGTTCAGCTGACCGCATTTTTGTTTAGTTTTTGGGTGCCCTGATCACAAAAAAAATCCCAGCTCTGTTGATTTTTTTAAAATTTATTATTTATTATTTTAAATGTATATATATTTAACAATTTAACGAAAAAACCCCCCATGGGAAAATATTTTATTCGCAATTTTATTTTTATGAATAACATTTTCATTATTATTTTTAGGCACACTTATGGGAAATAAAAGATGTGGATTCGTTTATCATTGCGCAACATTGGTCCCAACTACTTTTTTACACAACATTCAGTATAAATTTTTACGTTTACTGCGTCAGCGGTCAAAATTTTAGAAGCGCACTGTTTGGAATATTTAAACAGAAGGGACAAAGAACGGAAACTGTGGCTTTGGCAGGTGAGGCTTTTAAATTTATTATGCATATTAAATTTATACAAAATTGTGTCCTGTGTTTTCTTTTTTTAGATAGCAGAACCCTATCGACAGGTTCATCGGCAGCATCGAAAAGAAGAAAAACTCAAACAATCATCATAGAAAGTCAAGAAATTAAATTGCAGATGAAACTGTCCAATGAAGATTGTGTCGAACTTTAGTAGTAAAATAAAAAAGTTTAGTGTTTTTTTTATTGGAATGTTGGAAAAACTTACCGGAATCACCCTCAGGTAAAGGTCCAACACACCCAAAGAACCTTTTGTCCAAAAGTTGCAATAACTGTAAGGCAGTGTCTCTGACTACTTGCCTGGGGCACCCTGTATTCATCAAGGTCACGTTTATGATGGCTGTATAGTGATCACAAGGATATTCTCTGAAAAAAAAATAGATAACACATCTAACATAGATAACACATCTGGAACTAAAACCATTTAAATGTAATTAATATTCATTAAGGTTAAAAGGTAAGTTTAAGATTGCCAAAAAGGTAAAAATAACAATGAAAAATTGCAAAGTATTTATGTTAAAGTCAATACAAAGTTTGGCCCTATTAAATGTTATTATTAGGACATTTCCGCTAAATATTAGAATAAAACATCCTTTAGACTCTCTAAAGTTTAGAGAGTTGAATAAAAAAATTAAAAACATGTTTATTACTTAAAAAAAATAATTTTAAAAGAATTAAGTCCAGTTAAACAGTACAAAAATGGGTACTTTTTTTCCTTTGACTCGCTAGTTATGGACTTCTAAAGATTTAACGTAATATTACTTTTTTATCTTTATTACGTGAAAAAGGTGTACTTTCCAAAAGGTGTAACTTTTTTTGCATAATAAAGATAAAAAAAGTAAATTTTTTACAATACACTAAGGCGCAAAAAATTGACCATTTAAACGTGTGCAGTGTCGCAGACAGCGCCCTCTACAACCTACATTTATTTTTATAAGACATTTAGTTTTCCTGGCCTGAACAAAACACAAAATATCAAAAGTTATTTAATTAAATCGAAAATAACTTTAAACTTTTACAAGTGTAATTTGCAAAAAAGGTATTTTACGTTTTTTCGTAAAACGTTTCAAACGTTATATAAATTAAGATATAAAATTTAGCAAATTAAAGGGGTTTAAAAAAAAGAGGATATGGATGTGAAAATTTGAAATGGAATAAATAAAAGAAAAGTATTGGAAAGGAATAGAAATAATTAATATAATAAATACCGTAAACACGGGTGGCTTTGGCTCACTTTCAAACTTCAGCTTAAAATTTTTGTGGTTTTAACAATCATAAACATTAAATTTTGTATACCAAAATTTGAGTCTTGAGTTGCTCTTTCATAATAACTATGTTATAATATTACATAGGGCTGAGTTTCAAAAATAAACATTAAAAACTGGGTGTGCAAAGTTACCCCCTGGTTGCGGGTTACTTTGTCTCACAGTGTTTTTTCAGTATAAAATGAATGTAATATTATATTTTATTTTTATTAGACACGTGTTAGCAGCGACATATATCTATTGCAAGGGATTACCAATAAAAAGAATAAAAAATCGACCTGTAGTTAACCAAGGATCATCATTCCAATGGATTGCGCATAATATAGAAATTGTAAAGCGTGTATTTCTAAGAGTTTTGCACTGATGCGATATATACAATTTTAAAGTGTAATAAATCCCATTTCTTTCTTTAAAACACTGATTTTCCTGTAATATAAACTCAATAGAATCGCTCAATTGACAGGTTTAGACCAACAAATTATAAATGTTAATTTTATCGAGCGCGAAAAGATTTTTCATAAATGGGTTAAAGTCACCCGCGGGGTGCAAAGTCACCCGTATTTACGGTATACAAAATGTTAAGTGAAAGAGTAGCAAGTATTAGCTGTATATATAAATGCTATTTGGGTAGCTTATTGGAAAATATATAAATGTATTAAATAAATAAATAAAAAAAAATCAAATAATTTTTTTTCCAAAATTGGTTTTAGACCCAAGTGAAAAAAGTCAACTTATGAAATTCGAAAAAAGAAGATATTTTTTTTATTTATCTCAAACTTTGACCTTCGATGTCATTTAATTAAAAAAAATATTCTTTTTTTGCAAAACGAAAAATTTTCCCCAAAATTATGTCTATTTATTAGCGAATTATACATTTTTTATTTTCATTCTAATGTCATTTGGCAGGAATTTTTTTATCAAAATTAATTTTAAACTTTCATAATTTTTTGTAAACTTGTTTAATTTGAAAAACTAAAAATATGAACGAATTTCAGAATTTCACATCATTTTTCGTTGACAGTTACGCGTGACCCAAATGTCAAAATTTCGTATTCTTTATTATAATTCAAGTAATTTTGTTTATCAAAATAAACTTATGAAAACAAAAATGAAAATTATAGAGATTTTTAAGACCTACAAGTTTTATTCTAGGCATTTATGACCTCAGGTTGAGATGAAAAATAAAAAAAAAGCATTTTCAACATTGACTTATTTATACTTGGATGTTAGATTAATTAATGATAAGGAAAAAAGTTTCAAACTAAAGTTTTTGGTATTAGGTTTCTTAACAATTTCGGTAATAGCTATTTTTCACCTGGAGTAAATATGGAGTTGATCAAATAAAATCTAAACTTGTATAAAAATGTAGGTAAAAATATCTCAATAAAAAAATATGTTCTACACTGTATTAAATTGTTTCATTGTGGGATAGGTATTATAAACATTTCAAAAATCACTTGAGGAAAAACTTTTCCCTGTATATTTACGAAAAAATAAAAATTCCCAAAGTTTTAAGTAGACAAATTAGGTGACAAAATGATGAAAGTTGTTTCAAAATTCATTAAGTATTAAAAATAATATGGCCAATTATAAAAATGGTAAAAAAATATTTTAACAATATTTTAAAATAATTCTTACCTAGCACTAAAAATAGTGGCCAAAGCCAAAAAACAACCATCAGCCACTGAACAGGTTCCGGTATAGCACTTATCCACAACCCAGTCCAATAAAGGCCCCACATCAGGATTAGATTCCAACAAAAGAATTACTGTTTCTTGGGCCAAATTATAAACCTAAAAAAATGATATTTTATCCATCTTCCCACTTTTGCTCCAAGGTCTGAAACAGGGTTGCCAACTCTCCCAATTTTTCGGTAGATCTACCAACTTTTAGTGTCTTGCTCAAATATACTACTTTGCAAGAAAAATCTACCAACTTTTAAAGTTTTTAATTTTTTAAATTAAATCTTCCTAAAAGTGGTAATAATGCGTTGTGTTTTATACTTTTTCCATCTTTGAACATTTACCAAATTTCATAGAGTATATAGCGCGTTACTATAACGCCCCCTATTATCTATTACATTTATCAACGAAAGTGCGGAGCAACCTACACCTACTGAAAAATATTATAAATTATTCAATCAAAATATATATTTTTACCTTTTTTCAAATTTGTACCCTTTTGCTTCTAATCCCTTTAATTATAAATATATTTATAATTAAAGGGATTAGAAGCAAAAGGGTACAAATTTAAAAATGGAATAAAAAAAGTAAAAAAATAAAGAACGAATTATGAAAATTATCAAAATATGCATACAGTTGGGTTGTATACTCAAATTAATTAATTAAATATTTATAATCTGGAATTATTAAATTGCGATATAGTATACAACCCAAGTTCCTATAGGCACCATAATTATCTTAATTCGTTCTTTAATTTTATGACTTTTTTCTATTCCTAATTTGTATATTGGCAACCTGTAATTCTGCTTTATTATTTTTATTATTATTGTTTTTTTATAAAAATACTACTACAAAATATTTTGTATCCATCAAAATATAAATTCAAAGTGCCAGATTTCTTACTTTGGAGTCTCTGGAATACTTGAAAAATATAGGTGCTAGATCTACTAACTCTTCAAAGTAAGATTTGTTGGAAACTACCAACTTTTAAAATTATATCTACCTCCTAGACCCATTTTGGGTTGGCAACACTGGTCTGAAATAATAAAACCTTAAAAGAAACCACTTACTTTTTCATCAGAACTGTTCAACAACCCATTCAGCCACAAGTAAAACATGCTGTCTTCGCTTAAATCGTTCGTGTCGAAGCAGGGGCCGCAACACAAAATGGAACTCATAGCCTGCAGGGAAATAAATTGCAGTTCCGCATTTTTTTTGTTCACCGTGTCTATGTCCGACGAGGGGACGTACGGTATGGCGTATTTTCCTACCCAGTTCGAAAATAGAATGAACAGGTTGCGTCTTAGGTCTCTTTTGAAGAGGCTACGACATGTCTCCACTAAAAAAGTCACATACGAGTCAATCCAAATGAAAACACCAAAAACGAATTTAAAAGTGCGCTGCATGATTTTTTATTTTAATGAAAAAATTTGAGGATGATCTTTTAGGTATCATATATGAAAAACCGTTGCCGTTTTAATTTTTAGTTACTTTATTTTTAATCGGCACCCTTTAGAAACCTGAAATCGTGTCATTTTCTTACTCTCTTATAAGAGGCTAAAACTTTTCTTCTGTGGCAATTATTGTAATGCCTAGTAAGTATGTTTTCAATATTAATTACACTAGTAAACAATAAAAAAGGTCGGTAATAAAAATAGCTCAGTCCTATAGATTTTGACCTGCTCGACGCAAATCCGGCGACCAAAAAATTTTCTGAAGTCTCATTTAGACTATAAGGGCAGGACCATGATACAAAGAAAAATTGTTAAATAATAACGATAAAAATTAGTAAATAAAAAAGGTCGGTAATAAAAATAGTACACTCCTATAGATTTTGACCTGCTAGATGCAAATCCGGCGACCAAAAAATTTTCCAAAGTCTCCTTTAGACGATACGGGCAGCACCATGATACAAAGAAAAATTGTAAAATAATAACGATAAAAATTAGTAAATAAAAAAGGTCGGTAATAAAAATAGCACACTCCTATAGATTTTGACCTGCTCGACGCAAATCCGGCCACCAAAAAATTTTCCAAAGTCTCGTTTAGACGATACGGGCAGCACCATGATACAAAGAAAAATTGTTAAATAAAAACGATAAAAATTAGTAAATAAAAAAGGTCGGTAATAAAAATAGCACACTCCTATAGATTTTGACCTGCTAGATGCAAATCCGGCGACCAAAAAATTTTCCAAAGCCTTGTTTAGACGATACGGGCAGCACCATGATACAAAGAAAAATTGTTAAATAATAACGATAAAAATTAGTAAACAAAATAATTTGAACGATAAAAAACATCAAAAAAACATGCCTTAAATTATTACAATATGTACAGATATGTTGTTCATGAAATGCTGAAATATAAGTTAAAAGTATCGTCATCTTAAAATTTTCAAATGGCGTATCTATGCAATAAATGGTACCAAAATACTGTGCCCCTATTTTTTATTTAAGACTTCAGAAATTTTTTTTAAAAACATTTTGGATCTATTTCAGTTATAAACAATCGAAAAATTCTATTTTTAACCAGGACCTTTTTTTTAAGTTAAAATTTGTTGCCTAGTGTTATTATTATCTAATTAGTTCATCTCATAAAAGAATGGTAAACCACTAAAGATTTGTAATCATTTGCCAATTTTTGTGATTTTTGTCCTGCTCCTGTGCCTAATCTGCTAAATCTAGAAAGTTGCTTTTTTTTCAGGTATCAAGTACTTATACAATATTTTGTTATTTTAAGTTTCTAGACTATCATTTTCTTTATTAAAAAAATTATTGAAACTTGATAATTTTCAAAATTAGCTAATTTTTCCCTCAAAAATCATTATGTTGAGGAAAAAATAAAAATCTGAAACTTTCAGGAAATGTAGTACCCACCTTCATCTTTTTAGTCTAGTTAGTCTTGTTTTGTTATTTTTATCCATGTAAAAGTTAAGAAGCGATATTGTTAGTTTTATTTATAATTTAAAATTTAGATGGCTTTGACTTAGTCAATTCATGTTTGGTAGAGAAATGTCGAAACTGTCAAACATATTTCATAAATATTATTTGTGCGTATTAAAATTGTGATTTCAAAAAGTTTGCAAGTTTGCAAGTGTAATAAATGACGGAGTGTTCGAGATTCATGAAAATATTCAAGTTCTGAGAAGTTTTAAATTGTTAAAAATAAGCAAAAACCATAATATAACATAATCTGACATATTATGTTATAAACAAAATTTACCAAAGAAATACGCACAAATAATATTTATGAAATATTTTTGACAGTTCTGACACCTTCACCAAACATGAAAGTCATCTAAATTTTAAATTATAAATAAAACTAACAATATCGCTACTAAACGGGCATTAAAAAAATTAATATATCTTTTAAAGGAATAAAAATAACAAAACAAGACTAACTGGACTGAAAAGATGAAGGTGGCGACTACATTTCCTGAAAGTTTCAGATTTTTATTTTTTCCTTAACATAATGATTTCTGAGGGCAAAATTGACTAATTTTAAGAATTATCAAGATTCAATAATTTTTTTAATAAAGAAAATGATAGTCTAGAAACTTAAAATAATAGTTACGTTTTCTATTGTATAAGTACTTGATACCTGAAAAAACTTTCTAGATTTAGTACTGTAACGTTTTTAACTGTTCGTAGTGTGAAATAAAACACGCACTGGTTAATTAACGAACTAAACTATTTATTTAATAACTTAACTACACTTAAAACACTATAAAACTAACTAAACACTTAACTACTAATTATTTATATCACTACTAGTTTATTTATTTGCACTTATATTTATTTATTTCTTCGCGCGTACCAAAGCTCAACTGACTGCTCTGTGTTGCTCCGTTTCTTATATATTCAGCGCCCAAGTATTCTGGAACATTCCAGCGAGCTCCACACTCTCGATTATTCGAGCGCTGAGTCACCGGCGATGACTCACCGGCAATGACTAATCGGCGATGAGTCATCACTCCGATATCCAGGGCGGTACTCGCTACAGTACAATAGGCACAGGAGCCAGACAAAAATCACAAAAATTGGCAAATTATCATGAATCTTTAGTGGTTTACCATTCTTTTATGAGATTAACTAATTGGATAATAATAAGTTATATCGAAAACACACTTACTGAACAATAAAACAAAATTAAAATCATTTCAATATTTGTCACAAAAAAAAAGTTCTGGCCCACTATAAGAGAGTAAGAAATTGACACGATTTCAGATTTCTAAAGGGTGCCGATTAAAAATAAAGAACCCAAAAATTAAAACGGCAACGGATTTTCATATTTGATACCTAAAAGATCAACCTCAATTTTTTTTATCAAAATAAAAAATCAAGCAGCGCACCCCATTTGGTGTTTTTATTTGGAATTACTCATACCGGAATTTTTAATAGATTTTAAAATTTAGTCCATACAAAAAAGAACCTTATGAGGTAAATTAGGTACTTACAGCTAAAATTCTTGATCATCTTCCTGATGAAATAGCAAAAATGCAACGTCAAGTCCTTCACGCTGCTGGAACTTTTGTCGGGTTCGTTCTCAAGATAAAATCTGACGCCCTCAACGTACTCTATGAGAGCGGGGTGCAGGGATTGAGTGTCTTTGTCCAAAACGCAGGAGCTGACGCTGAAAGTGGCGTTCTCGGCGATAATTTCCAACATTCTCATCAATTGCAGACGCAGGGCGTCCCTTCTCCTCCTGCGGCGAACGTTTTCCTGCTTTTTGTCGACGGCTTCGCGGATGTAGACCACCAACTCTTCCAGTAGATCCCTCAAAGCGCTCTCGTTGATGTTTCCAATGGCATAGACCACGGAATCCCTCATATCATTCACCTCGCATCTCAACAGCGGCACAACTAATTTATACAAACCAGTCGGTGAGATGTTAGCAGGGCACATCTTGTTATCTGAACGTTCAGTATTATTTAAACTGTCGGGGGAAGAACTACAACTTAAATATTAAAAACCGTGTTTATTGTGTGGAATAGACATGGTACCTTAGGCTTAAGTCTGGGCTTGCGCACCTCACGATGGGGTTTGAAATAAGGGGTACCACCTTAAAGGCAAAAGTAATATAGTTTTTCCATAGGTGCATATAAGCGTCCCTTTCCGTGGGTGGTTTTTTCACCGCAGTGGCGCTTCTCAGTAAAGAGGCCCTGTTGTCATTTAACGGACTGAAACATTAAATTGTGTGCCTAATTTTCACGTATTCAGAAAAAACTTAACTTATATCATAGCAACTATTAAAAGGTTTTTTTTTTAATATCTCCAAATTTTTGATTATTTTTGGTAAAGTTGTAAAGTTGTTTGGTAAAATTTTAATTTATTATAAGTATTTCTTTTATGGATTTTTAAAAATCAAGAAATTTACCAATTTTGCCTTTCCAGGCTCTTAAAACAACAGATATATCTCAGGAACTGCCTATAAAGAGCATTGAGTATTAGCTTGTTTTAAAGGTATTTTGAAGCCTTTTCAGATGATGTATCACATGAGTCATGTGAAATGACTTTTTTTTTAATCGAAATTTAAAAAAAAAATATTTGTAAATATTTCAAAAACACCATTTTATTTTTTTTCTAAAAAATATATTCTTTTTATCAATGTTTAAGTAGGATAATTACCAAATTTCAGAATGGAGAAATGAAAAGTTCAGTTTAAAAAAATTAAAACCTATATTAAAATATTAAAATTAACCTATTATTAATTTTAGTATTTGGACCATACAATCTTTTACCGAACTTGTTTATTTCTGCTATGCTTGAGACACCTCTTTTCTCTTGTTTATAAAAATAACAGCCTTTTCTGCCACCTCTAGGATGGTATATTTAAGAAAAAACCTTTATAACAAATATTTACAATGCAAAAAATGTGGATTTAAAAATAAAGGCATCTTATAATACCCTTTTTTATATATAAATTTATTGTATACAGTGTTACATGCATTTCCCAAAACATCATAAATACAGGGTGTCCTGAAATTAGTGCACCATACTTTAACACCAGATTGTACGTGCAAAAGTAAGAAAAAAAGTCCCTATAAACATAGGTCAAGAAATGCCTCTTAAGGGAGCTACAGCCCCCAAAAGGAAAGCCCCTGAAGATGGTTTTTATTTAATATCTCCAAAACCGTTAAAGATATTAAAGTGAAATTTGGGGAATTAATTAAACTTTTTATGACCAATAAGACGTAACAATAACAATTTAAAAAATTTTATGAGGTTTGGATCAGATTGATAGGAAGTAGGGTTAAAACCACCTTAACTTTTTAGTACGTATCTTGTACCAGAATTTGGTTTGGATTATGAAATTTTAGAGTTTTGCACATAAAAAAGGTCATCTTGTTGAACTTCGATAACACACCGTTTTCGCATAAAATCGATTTGAAAATTATTTTACATGGCATAAAAATTCACAATTAAATCACAACCATAGAAATGGACTCGCGTGGCAGGTTGTTTCTACTTTTTTATTTATATTAGATAAAAACCATCTTCAGGGGCTCCCTTTTCGGGGGCTGTAGCTCCCTTAGGAGGCATTTCTCGACCTATATTTATAGGGACTTTTTTCTTATTTTTGCACGTATAATCTGCTGTAAAAGTATGGTGCACTAATTTCGGAACACCCTGTATATTACCTCTGGCAACATTATTAAGTTGCAAAAACAGCTTTATAAATGTTGTAACCTGTTTAAAATACATAAACATTCTGGAAACCTTAGAAACGTTACAAAAAGAATATTTTCTGTTAAAGACTTATACCTTAACCAAAGAAATGTTTGAATCTTCAAAAATTAAAAAAAAATTAAAACAAAAAAATTAATACATGGGTGGTTCTACAAAAGTTGGACAACTTGATGTCATCAGTCAATAGAGTAGGTATTTTAATATTTTTTGTAAATATTTTAGTATATTACAAAAGATCCAGGTTTTTTTAACTTGTCCACCCAATTTTAATGTATTTTTTGTAGAAAAACAAAATAAATATTCAAAACAAATATTTGAGTGATTTTATTTAAAAATATATTCAATTTATCTTAAATTTTTTAATTTCACTAGAAACTATAAAACATTAAATAATGTATTTTTCATATTTTATCAAAGATTCGATTAATAGCAATTTTTAAAAAATTGATAATCTTTGTACTCACTTTTACCTGTCAGTTCTGTGTCCAATGTTAAAATTCAAAATTCCTGCGAAATATTGAAGTTTAAACGTAAAGTCCTCGTTTTAACTCAAGTGTTGGTAAAAATTACCTACAGAGCCCGCCCTTTATACGACAGTCATCTTGAAAACAATGCAAGCGGCGAAGTTGTGGTAAATGCACGTATAGTTCCAGTCAAAATTTCAGAACTGTGGTGAGTAGTTATTTTCTTACGTATATATTTCATTGTAATTTATACAAGGCTATATGTGAATTGTTGATAAGTAGCATCCACTAATAAAAAATATCAGTAAAATACTTAATTCCTAATTACAATCTCAAATTTGTATCCCATTTCGCAAACTTCAATTTAAATTCTGCTTGCGCACAAAATTGTTTATTTAATGTCATTATAAACTCATAAAAATTTGGTGTCTAATAATTTAGATATCGGTATACCCAAAATCCACTGATGGTATTATTTGATTTTAAGATATTTAATGTATAATATGCTCAAAGTTGCAATAAATCTTATATTTTCCAATAAATTATGTATTTAATTAGTACCCTGGTATACTCATCACTTCCCTTGCATTCAAATTTGGAAAACACAGATACTTCAGAAACTGTTTGAAAAAGTGACTGGCTCGATCTGGAACAGTATATTTATTCTCATAACAAAATACTGTTTTTTTTTTTAAACAAAATGAGGTCAAAAGTTGCCCAACTTTTGTAGAATCACCCATATTCATAATAGGTTCTATTTTTAAAATTAAACCGTTATTTTTGCTATGTAATAATATTTTAAAAAAATGTTTACAATTAATTCATAATTTCTCCATTCTAAATTTTGGTAAATATGTTGCTAAAACATTGATAAAAATATTTTTTTTTAATTAAAAATGATGTTTTTGAGAAATTTCCATTTTTTTTTTAAAACAAGCTATTTCTCAATGTTCTGTGACAAGCAGTTCCTGAGATATATCTGTAGAGGCAAATTGGTAAATTTCTTGATTTTCAAAAATCCATAAAAGAAAAATAACTGTTTTTCGAGTTTTTCAATGGGAAGAGCAACTGTACCAAAATTCATCAAAATCGAAGATGGTGTCTTCAAAACCTTTGGTTGATTTGATATAAAATTACCCTTACGTTGGATCCACGACGGAATACAACGAGTTGAGTCTGTTGTACACGGTGGGCCAGCTGTGCATGACCATGATGGGGCACTTCGTCAGAATCCTCTCCCTTTCCAGACACCCGAAAATGCAAATACTCCACGGATCGTTGGCGGTGAAAACGTAGCTGGCCCCGTTTTTTATGGAACCGTCTTCGGCGAGTCCGGCAGTCCAAATCGAAGAGCTCCTTTCGCACACCCACTGCAGGTCCACGCTGGGCATCGCCTGTATGTAGGGTTGGGACAGTTGAAATTTTCAAATGAAAATTTCAACTTTGAAAGTTTCAAACTTGAAATATTTCATTTAGTTGGAAAAGTGAAATTTTTAAAAATTTCAAGTGAAATTTTTAATTCGAAAATTTCAACATTGCCTGTGAAACTTTCAGAAATTTCATTGAAAGTTTCGCAATTTTCTGAAAATTTCGCATAAATTTCACATGCGGCCTCCCCTGGGACCTTTAATAATAATTTACAACAGATTCTGAATCGACCAATAAGAAGAGTTATCAAGCGTGTGGGCGTTTTTGTTTAGTTCGGCTTGGATTTGAATACACTATAAGTAATTATTGTTACTTATATGCATAAATTAATTTAAATAATTTAATTTAGTTACCAATTTAATTTGTAAATTAAATCAGACTGTAATTTTTTTTTAAAAGTCATGAATAATTTAAACTTTTACTTTTGCTATAATTGCATCGGAAAACGGATAAAAAATGCCTTTGGCTCATAAAATTTTGATGAAGTTTCTTCAATTTTTGTAAAATTTCAGTAAAATATATAAAAATAATAAATATATATAAATATAAAACAATGAAAGGGGCACAATCTCGTTAGGTTACCAAAAAGTGCTATATCTCTCTTAGTTTTAGTAATTTTAAAAATATTTTAACAGTAAATCTCAAGAAATTTGTGGTAAACATAGGTATTTACTATTTATATTATATTATTATTGGTGCAGGGCCCACAGAGGGGTAGGAGGTAAGAGAGGCAATTTGCCATGGTCACCGAGTGGGCTTATTTCAATATTAATATATTACACTTAAAGTGATTGAAATTTATTGAAAGTTTCAATAAATTTCATAAATTTCATAAAATTTCAGACATTTAGGAAATTTTAATAAATCTCATAAATGTCTTGAAAATTTCAAGTGAAATTTCAAGTACAAGCAAAAAGTGAAATTTTCCCAAGCCTACCTGTATGGCGGATTTCTCGCTGGCCGGGATGAGCGGCAGGCATTTTTCGACGACTTGGGGGAAGCACTGATCTATCACGTCGATGACTGGAGGGTTTTCGGAGCAGTTCAGCAACTTCAAAAGCGCCTTGACCTCCTTAAGAATCAACACCGACACCCTACGCGTCGTGAGCCGGTAGTTGCACAGCATTACGAACGCTAGAGCCTCCACCAGATGCAGTACGGACGATAGAGGCTCCGACTTGCTATTCACGTCGGTTCTCTTGTTTAGATTCGGATCGTACACCGTGTGAGCCGACTTTATGTCGCTGTAATCTTTCCCGATCTTCAGGGTAGTCACTGGGAAACTGCCGCTGGATATGGCTGTTTTCCAGCTGCACAACAGCGTCAGGATCATCTTGAGACCGTTGTCCATTAAAAGTGGAAACGTGTCTAGCACTTCTTTTGCCAAGAATTGGGTCAAACCCCAGAGTACGTCTTGCCTCCAGTCGGGGAAGTCGATTACCAGAGTTTGTAGGCTTTGGAAGGCCAGACCGCGCAGTTCTTCGTCCATGTGGACTGTGAGGCGGCTTAGGAGTTCTACTAGTTCACTGCCTAGATTTAAAAATGTAGTTTGAAGCACAATCCTTACAACAAGGTCTGTTTTATCTCGTTTCGCGCATACTCACGATTTTACTCCTCTTTTGTAAAAAAATAAACCTTACCATCAAACTGTTAAATGCCAATTTTAAGGTTAATCTGTGGGTGTGACAAATTTGACATTTGACAGTTTCATGATAGCCCTGATAGAATAAGGTTTATTTTTTAAAAGAGGAGTAAAATGGTTGTCCTTGGCACTTTAAGTCTTCAATTGAGGCTTACCTTATTAGGTCGGAATAAGGCTTAGTAATAGAAATATTTGGGAGTCTTCTAGAAGACTTTTAGCAAAGAAATGGTAGGTACCTATAGCGACTAAAATAAATAACCGGAATCATTCAGAGATGTTGTATTTGGTTATTGCAAAAGAAAACACAAAGAAAAGTATTTATAAACACTGGTTTTGTGTTGTTATAAGGCAATGATGACAATATACAGTGTGACCCATTTGCGACTCACCCTTGTAAAATCTTATTTATTGTGTGATTTTATCCGGATTTGTTTTAAAGTGTAGATCTTGATAAACTGTATTTTTGGAGCAAAAACGCCATGGCAAATATGCATATTTGTACAAAATACAAGGCCTACTATGTTAGTTTTTAAGAGTAGGTATTTTTTTAAGAATTCATATTAGCGATTTTTAAACAAAATCTAAGCTCGGCACTTTATTCACCACACATCAGAACGACCCCTTACAAAAATTTTATTGAAAAGTAGAAAAATGCACAATAATAACTACAAAAAATTATTCTGTCAAGTTATCCATGAAAAAAACATTGAAAAAAACTTATAGTACAGTCGACTATAAGTTTATTTCAATGTTTTTTTCATGGATAACTTGACAGAATAAATTTTTGTAGTAATAGTAATAAAATTTAGTAAAGGGTAGTTTTGAGGGATGGTGAGTGCCAATATTAGATTTTGTTTAAAAAAATCGCTAATATGAATTCTTAAAAATTTACTCTTAAAAACTGACATAGTAGGCCTTGTATTTTGTACAAATTAACTTTAAAACAAACCCGGTTAAAATCGTACAATAAAACAGTTAAGACATACGTTTGTTGTTTACATAAGATATAATAACTATAAAAATTCTTCGAAAACTAGTTACCTATATTTTATATTTATAAGCGCATTCGCCGTTCGCCAGTCAGGTTCTAGCGCTTGAGAAGGCACGACGCGATAGTGAAAGCTCTTAAAACGTTTAAAGATTAAAACCAACAATAATTTAAAAAAAAAAGTGCAAACTAATTATAGTGAAACAAACAATTTTCATAGAGTGCAAACTAAAATAGTGTAACGGTCATTGAGGAGTGAAGTGTTAAGTGATATGAATGAGTTAAGTGCCACCTGTCATTGGACGCTTTTCACTGGACAAGCAAGGGAGTTCAAACAAGAGGGGAGGTGGCCATCTGCAAAAAAATTGATAAGTTACCTTAAGAATATGCATGACCTAATACAAAATCTGCAATTTAAACACGGCAGTTATCTTTGAAACGTAAGAAAGCCACACGGCGTAGGGCAATAAATCTGTCAACAATAAATGCGTAATGCAATCCCAAACGAAACCGATAATAAACACTAGACTCACAGAATAAACTAACACATTAATCATATAACCCTAACGTAGTAAAAAAAAAGCCTAATAACCAAACTCTACTAGATTTGTAAACATTAGATAACAGAATAATTGCGCTTGTCATTTGTTTAACTAATAAATAAATTCAATACTTAATTTTGGAATTTAAGAAAAAAAGACAAAACTACCACAAAACGTGCTTGGGACAAAATTTACGCAAACTTGAACGGAAGATCATTACCCTACTAACGACAGACTTACCCGTCTACCATCACCAACATCCCCGCGACCTGTTAATGGGCAAAACCATTACCAAAAGAGTAAGAGTAGCCCATTTAAAATACTGGGCCCACGTCACTCGTAGGCAACGCAACAACATACTACAAGCTAACCTTAAACTAGACCTTACAGACAGAAAAGTCGGGAGACCATGCTTCACATATCATGACACGTTAGCACAAAACATGCACTTCTCATAAATTAACAAGACCAGTTGGGAGCAACTAAGCAACAATAAAAAAAATAAAAAAATAAAAACAACTGACATACTTTACCAAGTGCAGGAACTATCTGACCAGGACACGGACAATGACAATACCGAACAAGACAAAGACCTCGACTAGGAAACTACACTCCTGCAGCAATAACAACTCCCCAACTCCAAATAGTAATCCCAAATGTTTGGAATAATACTAATCGACTGGTCTAGGGGGATTCCGCGTCGTACTTAGTTTTAAGTCGGCGTAATTGTCCCCCAAAAACCAACACCCTCCCGTGCCTCCTCCTATACCCTACTGGGCGTATAGCATCGGCTCGGCGAACCCGAGAATGGCTATTAAAACTATTCGCATCTCGCTCTCGAGCCCCAAATAGGGGACAGTACGGAACGCAATGGATATTCGCACCCAGCAAACACGGGTGAAGCCGTGCAGTTGCTGGGGGCGAACAAAAATCGGCGTAAGTAAACATAGGCCAGTACGGGGTCCGAGAGTGATGATGAAATGGGGCTGGTTATACGTCTCTTATACTCATACTCATAAGCGCATTCGCCGTTTTGAAAAATGAATTAAATTAATTTAAAATTTTTATATAGGTTATAGATAAATAAAAATGTAGCAGGATAGAATAAAATAATTATGCATATTTAGTAAATATACAATATTATTTACTGAAAATTTCTTTAGTTAGTATTTTGATCGAAATTTGCAAAATATCCGATTTTACCAGCTTCAAAATTCTACCCGCAAACATGACGAAAATACCAGATTTTCGAGTAAAATACGGTTAAACGGCAACACTGGGTACGTAGTGGCAGAAGAGCTATCTAGAAAACGTGGGAAGATGCGATCACATGACGGTCAGCTGAAAAAATCGATATTGCATCTAGAACACATGTGTTGTTTTTAGAACAATTGTTTGGAACAATGGTTAGATGAATATTTGCGTGTATAAAAAGAAACGTCAGTGGCAACTGTACACATGTTATTATATAGGTAATTATGCAATAAACTTGGCTTATAACAACACAAAAAATGTTAATAAATACTTTTTTTAGTGTTTTATTTAATAGTAACCAAAAACAACCTTTCCGAATAATTCCGGATATTTAATTTAATCGCTATAGTTACCTACCATTTCTTTGCTAAAAGTCTTATTCTGACTTCTTCCGATTTCATAAGTCTTATTCAGAGTTTTTAAAAAAAAGTGAGACTTTCAGAGAAAAATTTCCACAAGGGTACAAGCGCGTCTGTGAGAAACACAACGTTTAAAACGATTTCTAATCTGTATAAACAGCATAAACCCAAAGCATAACAATTGTAAACAACCACAGGTTATAAAGGTTAAAACAACATTAAAATGGCCGCCGTTAGAGTCTGTGCATTGATTTTTAGAATGCGCCAAACGAGATAGAACAGACCTTGTTGGGTGGACTCTTAATATTTAATATGGTTTCGGCATTCTAAAATGTATTTTAAACGCTCTAAGAGGTTTAATATAAAACGACAAAAATAAATACTGCGCGTTTCATTTATAGTCACACAAATTACCTGTCATGCCATCTGGTGTCAACCTTGGAACTGCGGCGACGCAAGTCCTAAACAAATCGATCCTGGGTTTTCTCTCCCCGGTTATCATTTCATCCGGTTCCTTATTAACATTCTGCGTGTTGGTCATCATGAGAGGCCTACCGTAGTGAGTGTCCAAGGCCCGCAAAATATCCACGAACACCCTACGAACGTGCGGAAAATACGCGTTCATCCCGATACTCTTGGCGGCATCTTCCGTCAAAGTTTTATTGAGGAAAGTTTTGCGCACCCTCAAGGTATTACCGCTGGGTAAAACCCCCACGGAACGCGGCATGGGCGGCTCCCCCTCTTTCTGCTGCAAACTGTCGGCCACCACCAGAAACGCCCTCAATCCGATGCTCATGCGCTCCGGGGTCAAGATAACTTTGAAAGGTCGGCCTACGGACAACAAATCGAACACGATGTCTCTCATGGCGAAATCGAGACGCTCTTGCGCTATGAACTGGATTATTTTCACGAATATGTTCAAGGGGGTGTCGCGAGGCACCACACCTTTAGATCCCTTGGGGAATAGCGAGTTTACTATGCTTTGTAGGCGCGATTGCGTGGCTGAGTTGCTTTCGCACTTAATGCGGATCATGTAGACCCACAGCAAGCGGTAAAGGGATTCTGAAAGAAACATGAACGTTTGCAAGATACAATCATTTGTGGCGATGATAGTACACGCCAAAACAAGAAAGTTTTCACTGACCTATTCTATATATCTTCATTGTTTTTACCTCTAAAAACCAGGGTTCGAAAATATCATGATATTTATATAAATATCAAAATATCGGATATATATATCGATATACATCCGGTGTGCAAGGTGTCCCTAAACATATAGTTTTTTTAATATAACCTCTACTATGGTAGTCTTGGAAATGTGATATTTTGCGAACAGTCACTTACTACCAAAACACATATTCACACATAATTATAATTGTTTGGGTGAACACAGTGTCGTAGAAACGGGGGTTGCTTTAAGCTTATTGTCCCATACAAACTTTGAGGTTAGGTTTTTATAACATTTTATGCAATTTTTAGATTACACAGTTCGGCTACCATTAAAAAGGTGTACCTCTCGAACTTCGATAAAATAAACCGTTTCCGAGATATTCGACATTACAATAATTGTTATATCTGATTATTTAAAAGGATTATGAAAACAAATTTTATTTTTTATTTGAAAAAATTAAAAAGGGCGTTCCATGAGCCTCGGGACTTTTTGCCCTGACCGTCACATTAAAAAAATTGTAGTTTTTTCATTTAAAAAATTTGTTATCTTATATCCTTTAATGCGATATAACAATTATTGTAATCTTGAATATCAATTGTAATTATGTGTGAATATGTGTTTCGGTAGTAAGTGACTGCGCAAAATATCACCTTTCCAAGTCTACCGTAGGGTCATTCCACGTTACTCGGGGATTTTTGTCCCGCCCGTCACAATTAAAAATTGTGAGTAAAAACTACACGTTATAAAATTTATTTAAAAATATTGTTTTATTATGCTTTTAATAAATTGTAAGCACAATAAAAATAATATTATCAAATATTAATTTTATAACTTGTGGTTTTTACTCACAATGTTTAATTGTGACGTGCGGGACAAAAATTACCGAGTAACGTGGAATGCCCCTATAGTAGAAGTTATATTAAAAAAACTGATATGACAAGTAACACTTTATCACCCTGTATCTTTTAAATATACCTAATTAGGAAAAATATTTATTTAGATTTTCGTCTTATTTTGGCGTGTACTATCATCAACTTAAAGGATGACAACTTATTTGGCTAAATTACAAATTTTATTTGGGATTTTAGGAGGTGTTTTGGAGAAATAAAGTATGCAAATGAATGTTTGTAATTAAATAAAAAATTACACTGTACTTAAAAAAATAAGATAAAATAAATCATTCTTTTTAACAAAAATATAAATAAATATCACTTCTTTTGTACAAATAAGTTACATTGACTAGTTTTTGGCCAAATCGCTCGACGAGTTTTTTTGAATAAAATTAAAGGTGAGGTAAAATTACTACTATGGTATACAGTGTGACCCATTTGTTTGCGACTCACCCCTGTAAAATCTTTATTTATTATGCGACTTTAACCGGATTTGTTTTAAAGTGTAGATCTTGATAAACTGTATTTTGGAGCAAAAGAAACATATTTTTAAAAAATACAAGGCCTACTATATGTCAGTTTTGAAGTAAATTTTTTAGAATTCATATTAGCGATTTTTTATAACAAAATCTAAGCACGGCACTACCTCTCAAAACGACCCTATACTAAATTTTATTGAAAAATTTTTAGTAGAAAAATGCACAATAATAACTACAAAAATTTATTCTGCCAAGTTATCCATGAAAAAAACATTGAAATAAAATTAAACAGGTACTATTACTATAAGTTTAATTTTATTTCAATGTTTTTTCATGGATAACTCGACAATAAATTTTTGTAGTTCTTATTGTGCTTTTTCTACTTTCTCTAATTTTTCAATAAAATTTAGTATAGGGTCGTTTTGAGGGGTGGTGAATCCAGTGCCGTGCTTATATTTTGTTTAAAAAAATCGCTAATATGAATTCTTCAAAATTTACTCTTGAAAACTGACATAATAGACATTGTATTTTGTACAAATATGCCGTTTTTTGCAAACACTGTATATCCAAGGTATATACACAAGTAGAAATTTCACCTCACTTTTAATTTTATTTAAAAAAACGTGTTGATAGATTTGGCTAAAAAACTAGGCCAAAGTCAAATGATGTTATGTTTAAATTTTGACAAAAAAATGTTAACTGTTTAGTTAATAACTAACAAAAATCTTTAATAAAAAAATATGAAGTTTGCATAATAAAGCAAAACATTTTTTAGATTGTTTACTATTTTAGCTACCATTTAAAAAAATTAAAAATCCTTTTGTTTGATATGTAATACGGTATATTTTTGTCGAAAAACAAACGAAATATGGCTAAAAACGACAATTTTGTAGAAGTCTAGGAGCTACTACATGGATTTTGTTTTTATGTATATTTTGTTGTTTTTTAAGAAAAATGTAGGTTGTAATACCTATTTCTGTTTAAAAAGAATTTAATAAACTAGAACCTAAAAATACATATTTTTTTAATTTCTTTTTAAAAAAGGATATTGTTTAACACGACAACCACCTTAATTAAACGCAGTCAGGTTGGCCTATTTATATTTAATTTTTAGGAGTTTTAGGAGATTGATGGGAATTTTAGGATAATTTTAGGAGGTGTAGGTATTAGGGTGGGCCGATTTTAATATTTTTCAAATATCAAATTGTGCAATGGTGGAAAAGTTGTGAATTTATAAGGCCAGAAAAATATTATAAGAGTTTTTTTTTTAATTTTAATTTCTTAAACTGCCGCAAGGCCTTGAATGATCTTAATGTAATTTAGTATCTTTATACACCGGCCTCGGTGGTGTAGTGGTCAGAGCTCCTGGGTACGAGCCGAGAGGTCGTGGGTTCGAATCCCACTTGGGTATGGTTGTTTATTTGTGTTTGTCCATTGTGTATAGTCCTTCGGAGGGGACTTTAAGCCGTCGGTCCGTTCCTACCCCTAACCCGCACAAGCCATTCAGTTGGCTTATGGGACATCTTAGTTTGGATGTAAGGGTGGAACTAAAAGAGCACTTTATAACTTATAACTTTATAAATACGAAAAAAATTATCTGAGAGAAAATAGGGTTAAAAAAAGTTTTGAATGATAAGTATTTATTAAAAAAAAACAAAAATAAAAATGAATTTATCATCAACACAAATTTAATTCAATTTAAAATCCTGTTTTACCTGCCATTTTTCACAAAAATTTCTATTATTCAACTAATTGATAATGTCAAAATATTATAATTTATATAAACAGTGAAGCCAACTGTCAACTGTCCTACGTCAAACACGAAAATCTTAAAAAATATTTATTCTCCATTTTACGCCGTCTCTCCAATAATTGCAATTATTGCAAAATTTATTATTTACAGTTTAGACTTCATACGTACATACACTTCAACATTAAAAAAGAAAAAAAATATTAAAGGAAAATAGTTTACTTTCCTATTTCACAACTTTTTGTTAAATGCAGAATTTAATATTTTTAAATTTTAGAAGTTAAATATAAAATCGGCCCACCCTAGTAGGTATAGTAAAAATACGAAATCTGAAAAACCCAAAAAATTACTCACCCAAGGCTACTCTGCACATCTTGGGATCTCTGTTTTTCAAATGCGACAAGCACATGGCCAAAAAGCAGTGCCAGTTTTGCAGGAAAAACGTTTTTTGACTGACGCACAGTAGGCAAGTAACCAGAGGAAATAGAGCAAGTCTGTGTTTTGATTTCGTACTGGCGTCGAGAGTTTGCGAGTACAACATGTCGACGAAATTCTTCAGGCACGGGACGTTTACTTCGTTTTTGACCGCCTAACGTTCAGAGAAATATTTTAGAAACACATATAACACATGGATGGAGTGTTATGGGTGATTCTACAAAAGTTGGACAACTTGATGTCATCAGTCAATAGAGTAGGTATTTTAATATTTTTTGTAAATATTTTAGTATATTACAAAAGATCCAGGTTTTTTTAACTTGTCCACCCAATTTTAATGTAATTTTTAGAGATGGGAATCGGAAAGTTTCCATTTTAAGGAAACTTTCCGTTTTGGAAAGTTTCCAATTGGGAATTTATTTTCATTTTGAAAGTTTCTTTTAAGCTACCGGAAACATTCCTTGGAAACAGTCCTTGGAAACTTTCCTTGTTTTTTTCATTTAAATGTCAATTGTTTAACCGCTAATTTTCGTTAAGGCCATGATACAAGGCCAAGAAACTTATATCTAGGATTTACTAGCAGTGAATTTCTAGTAGTAAACATTTTATTTTTATTTTGTAGGTTTCAGTACACAATAGGAATATTCCAAAGTAAAAGATACTAAAAATAGTATTGCAGTTACATTCTTATTAACATTTTTTTTATTAATAAAATTTGACAAAAAGTTAATGTGTTATATATTTTTGAAAATCCCTGGCATAAAAAAAATATTTTCGCAAAAAAAAAATTTTTTTGAAACTTTCGGAAAATTTCGGGAATTTTCGATGGAAAGTTTCCGGGAATTTTCGTCAAATGGGAATTTTCCCATCTCTAGTAATTTTTCGAAAGCACGTTTGTAGAAAAACATAATAAATATTCAAAACATCAGTACCTTGGCGTGTCACAGCTCTTGAATGAAATATTTGAGTGATTTTATTTTAAAATATATTCAATTTATCTTAAATTTTTCAATTTCACTATAAAACATTAAATAATGTATTTTTCATATTTTATCATAGATTCGAATAAAAGCAATTTTTAAAAAATTGATAATCTTTGTACTCACTTTTACCCATCAGTTCAGTGTCCAATGTTAAAATTAAAAATTTCTGCAAAATATTAAAGTTTAAACGTCAAGTCCTCGTTTTAACTTAAGTGTTGGTAAAAAATTACCTACAGAGCCCGCCCTTTGCACGACAGTCATCTTGAAAACAATGCAAGCGGCGAAGTTGTGGTGAATGCACGTATAGTTCCAGTCAAAATTTCAGTACTGTGGTGAGTAGTTATTTTCTTACTTATATATATATATTTCATTGTAATTTGTATAAGACTATATGTGATTTGTTGATAAGTAGCATCCACTAATAAAAAATATCAGTAAAATACTTAATTCCGAATTATAATATCAAATTTGTATCCCATTCATCAGTACCGTGTCGTCAGTTCCATGTTCGATGTTTCGGTTATCTTTTTTTCGCAAACTTTAATTTAAATGCTGCTTGCGCAGAACTTGTTTATTTAATGTCATTATAAACTCATATAAATTTGGTGTGGGTCCTATATCTAATAATTTAGATATCGGTATAGCCAAAATCCACCAGCCGCCACTGATGTGTGGTATTATTTGATATTAAGATATTTAATGTATAATATGCTAAAATTTGCAATAAATCTTATATTTTCCAATAAATTATGTATTTAATTAGTACCCTGATATACTTGTCACTTCCCTTGCATTCAAATTTAGAAAACACAGATATTTCAGAAACTGTTTAAAAAAAGTGACTGGCCCGGTCTGGAACAGTATATTTATTATATTACACTATGAAACAAAATTTGATTTTTGTTTTGTTTATTGGATTTTTTTGTTAAATTATCAATATTTGTGTACCAAAAAACTATTTTAAGTTAATTTAAAAAATGTAGTGATAAGTTTTTATTTTTTTAAGGGGTATTTATATAATATAATCAAACCCAGATTTATCAAAAACAAAAAAAAATATTGACAAGAAATGGCAAAAAATTCAACTCAGAATTATTATTTTAACAAAACATACAATCTAGAAAAATATTTTTTAACATAGATTTTAAATCTTGGCTCAAAAATGAATTTTAATAAGACTTTTTCTTCTATATGATGCATTTTCTTCTCGAAGTAGATTCCAAACATAGTCACCTATCATTGTCGCATCCCACCTTCCTTGTTATCACTTTTCCATTGCCCGAATATCTTGATGAAATCTTTCTTCATGTCTTCGCTGACATCTCCCAGATTTTCACGGAAAAAGTCAAGATGCGAATGCAAATAGTGTAGGTACTTTCAACGACATGCCGCATCCCATTTCTTTTAAACTTCCTTATAAAACTTTGACAAGGTCAGTATAATTTTCTCTTTTGTGGTTACCAAGGAAACCTTTCATTTAAAATCTCACGTTAACTTTTGAGTTTAAAAAATATGTATTATAATCCAATTTTTGTTAAAAAAAAATATTCATTTTTTTTACATGTTGTCCACAAAGACAGTTTAATGGCCAAAATCTTACGTGAGGGATAGTGGGGGGGTCTACCAAATCTTACCAAGGGGGAGGGAGGGGTCTAAATTATCAGAAAAATGCCTCACGTAATTAAAGGATGTCCCCTAATGACACTCAAAGCCATCAACACGATCCGACGGCTGTCGTTGAAAATTTGACAGTTTGAAAAAACAAATGTATGTTACGTAATCGGGGGCATGGCCTACTACGATTTGTGTAATAAAATCCAGATAAACAAATATCATGTTACATAGTGTTATCTATGTTCTCATAACAAAATACTGTTTAATTTTCTCCGAAAACTATATAAACAAAATGAGGTCAAAAGTTGCCCAACTTTTGTAGAACCACCCTTATATACTTACAGCTGCCACTGGTACTAAGATCTCCACAAACAGACCGGCCAGCGCGTGCTTGATGTCCTTATCCTTAACCTCCAAAAAATACTGAGCGCACTCCTGCATGAACTGAAAGGAGGCCTCAAACTCCTCTATTGGCACCATTTTAACTCTAAAGAACTTCATGCCCATCAAGAGACTTATGATGCTCTGGGTGTTGTGAGGACTTGACTCCCTGGTCCTCAACTCTTTCAATTCCGACATGAACCGAGTCCTAACCGACATAAACCGAGACTGCGCGAGCGCCCCTATGACCTCTGCGTACAAATCGGAGATCATGTGGATGTTCGCTCCGTTTGGACTTGTTTGTATGCTGGAAGAGTGTAAAACGAGCCTTTGTAGACGTGTTAAGTACTTTCAGGATTTTTTGAAACAAGACTTAATTTTAATTTTATCCTAAAAATTAGTTTTCTCGTCCTAAAACGTTTATAACTTAATTTAACGAAATAAAAATATCACTTTAACATTTCAGCGTAAACTTTATATATATTTGCTCACAATGAATTAAAAATGTCACATGTGAATTTTAATTCAACTTAAGTAGAAATAAAAGTTGCAATTTTATCTTTCCCACTTGAAAATTGAGTAAATTAAAAATATTGATATTGCTTTGATATTTTTATTTCATTTAATTTTGATTCTCTCTAAAAATGACGAACTGTCATAGCGAAAAAGCAGCCACTAATAATTCTCGTCAATAGCAATTTGTATTCCAAACATATACCAGTCAATTTTCATGTAAAATTTTCCCCTGAATCCGAAAATTTCGTCAAAAGTTAGAAAAGTAGAACAGTTTTTGAGATATAGTCAATTTTCCATATAATATGGAATTGATTATATTTCAAAAACTGCTCTACTTTTAATATTTTTCGGACTCAGGAAACAATTTTACATAATAATTGGCTGATAAATGTTGGGGATACCATGGTATCCCATGGTTAACATGGTATAAGTGAAAAAGCAGCCACTAATAACTGTAACATTAGTTATTTTTCACTAATTCATTTTTAGAGAGTAGGTATGCCTTTGAATTAAAAATACAGTTTAATATTTTTAATAATATTTTAAATTAGAATGATGCAAATATCATTTCCTATAGTACTATTAACTAAAATAAAAAAAATCCTGACAATTAAAAATATGGTTTTGACATTTTTTATTCAATTAAATGAGATTTTTAATTCCGAATTTTTAAAATGCGTTTGAATTAAAAATATCGTTTCATATTTTATTTTTAATTTTAACTTGGAATATGTCCTATAGTCGGGGCTCAGGTTAAAAAGTAATATAAAAATCTGAAACTTTCGGAGTATCTTCAGAAGAGTCTAAAAGTAATAAAAACCTTTTTTGAAAAAAAATTGTGATTTTTTCCCACTTTTTTAGGATTTTTAAATTTTAAAAATTAATTTAAAAATCTAAAACATTGGGTCCTATAGAAGTAAAAAAAACCTCGTTTGAAAAAAAATATGATTTGTTCCCACGTTTTTAGGATATTTTTTAAAGTGGTTAAAAAGGTTAAAAATTAATTTAAAAACTTTGGGAGTACCTTTAGAAGAATCTAAAAGTAAGAAAAACCCTCGTTTGAAAACAAAAATTTGATTTCTTTCCTAAATTTTTGGGATTTTTTCTGATTTTTTTTTAAAGTGGTCAGGGCTCAGGTTAAAATTAATTTAAAATCTGAAAGTTTTTGAGTACCTTTAGTAGAGTCTAAAAGTAAGAAAAAATCTCGTTTGAAAAAAAATATGATTTTTTTCCACTTTTAATTTTTGAGATTTTTTTTTTTAGCGAGTTAAGTTAAAAATTAATTTAAAAATCTAAAACTTTGGAAGTATCTTTAGAAAAATTAATTAACTTTAGGAGTACCTTTAAAAGAGTGTAAAAGTAAGAAAAAACCTTCATTGAAAAAAAATATGATTTTTTCCCACTTTTTTAGGATTATTTCTTATTTTTTTTCTTAATGTGGTCAGGGTTTAGGTTACCATTAACTAAAATAAAAAATACTAAAAAACTAAAAGTTTGACATTTTTATTAAATTAAACATATCAAAGATTTTTAATTCCGAATTTTAAATATGCCTCCGATTTAAAAATATCGTTTAATATTTTTAATTTTAACTTTAAATAATACTATATTATTTCCTTTAGTACTCTTAACTAAAATAAAAAAATCTTGACAGTAAAAAACATGGTTTTGATATAGGTATTAATTTTAAGTTTAAATATCGAATGAGATTTGAATTAAAAATCTCATTTGATAGGTATTTAAAATTAAATTAAAAACAGCAAACAATATTTTTAATTCAATGAATTTCCAATATGATATGAAATAAAAATTATAAGCACTCTTTTCCCACTTGGTAATTCAGTAAATTAAAAATATTGTTTAATATTTTTAGGTCATTTAAATATCTTGTTTGATATTCAAAATTATGGAATAAAAGATGCTTTGGCGTTAAGAAGATATTGACTATTTCACACAAAAAATTCGAAAAACTAAAAATTATGATATAAATACACAAAAAGAAAAAGAAAAAAAATAACTTTTAGATAGTACTTACCCCTCTCTATACTTAAAGTGCTTCAGCGCGATATTCTCAATGTACTGAACTAGATCTTCGTGTCCAGGATGAAAGCTCAGCTGTTTGAGCACTTCAATCAGCACCAGGCAAAAAATGAATTCCACCGCTAAATCCCTTTTTTCCTTCTGTATATCGGCTTCGGACCGCTCCACAGTTTCCGTGGTGTTTCCGGCAACTATATTGATGATGCTCTTCTGTTTGATGTCGGATTTTTTGTGTTCTTGGCTTTGTACCTCGGACATTTGCCGTTCGTACCACGAAAACAGAGCTTTCAGCAGGGATGGGAGACAATGTTCGGCCACAGAGCCGAACGCTGACAATAGCTGGTCGAATTGGCCGTCTTCGCCGCGTTGGAGGGTTTTCGAGAGAGGTTTTTCCTAAATAATATTGTGTTCTATTAAAAAATTATTAGAGATGGGAAGCGGGAAGTTTCCAGTCTGGAATTTATTTTCAAGGAAACTTTCCCTGTTTTTTTATGTAAATGTCAATTGTTTAACAGTTGATTTGCGAAGTTAAGGACAAGAAACTAAATAAGAAGTTAATTTGTGTTAACTCAAAGAAGAAGAAGAAGAAGTATAGTATTAGTTATGTTCTATGATTAGTTTGTTGAAGATCTCATCATTATAATTCATAAATCGTTTGCGTGGGTTTTTTATGGGTAAGGGTAGTCAAAAATGTTGATTTTAAGAACTGCAATACTATTTTTAGTATCTTTTACTTTTTGATATTCCTATATAGTTACTTTGTTCCTTTATATTTTTGTATGAAATATCTAATGATTCACTAGTAGGGAATTTTCAGCATAAAATGCATTTTGTATACATTTTTTTTTCTTGATAAAATTTGACAAAAATGTAGCACTTGCAATCCTCCTGACACAAAAAACTCATTTCTGCAATACAATTTTTTTTTGAAACACTCGGTAATTGCTGTAATTTTGATGGAAAGTTTCCGGGAATTTTTGTTAAATGGGAATCCCTAAAAATTATTCTTTAAATATTTTTTCCAACACGTGAGTTTTTTATGTTTTTGAGGGTGCTAAATTCACTTCTGTTATAAATTTTCAAAAATATTTGGTATTCAGGAAGGGGAGTCTAGCCAAATGTTTGAAATAAGTAATCATATAATCATATTTTAGTTTTTTAATGTATTATTTTATATTTTTTCTCTGGGCAAAACAAAATTTTTTATCATGAATAACCTAAAAACCATTACCTTCAAAATATCAAAGATATATTATTATATCGACATTTCACATTTTACCGTACTTTTTTAACCTTTTGGCTAAATTTTAACCAATGTGATGGTTGAAAATGGGAAAAACTTTAATTTTTATTTAAATTCTCCTCTTGCTTGTTTCAAACATGAGATTCCCGTACAAAAATTGTACTAACCTCTTGAAGCATTTTACTGTTTTTTTTTTCATTCCTGGGCAGAAATTTTTATAAAAAATTAATTTTTCCGTTAAACGCATTTTATAAAAACCTAAATAAGTTTTCTGAGCACCTTGTACATTTACCTAATTAAAAATGTTTGTATAGGAATCTTATTTTTTGAAATAAGCAGGATTTTTATGAATAATGATTTTTTGCGATTCCCATACGAAAATTTTACTACTATCTTATTTTAATATATGTAATATATTTAAATCCTGTACATTTAATTCATTTTTTATGGAAGTCTAAGTTTTAAACCATCAGATATTTTCATAAAGAATTCATTTTCACAGTTAATTCAAAATGTTTTTGGGCCATTCCACGCTTAACGGATAGGACAGTTGCCGTGTTTTTATTTACAAAATAATATTGTTCTATTATATTACCAATGTCAAATTTTTATAAATAGTTCCAAACAAAAGCTGTTTAACAAGGTTTTTATTTGACAAAATTAGGTATTGTGGTTGACGGTTTAATTCCATAAAAACTAATAATTTAAAGCGTAACGGACGGGACTATTACAAAGTTACTGTTAAACAGCTTTAGTTTAGAACTATTTATAAAAATTTGACATTGGTAATATAAATTATATAATAGAACAATATTATTTTGTAAATAAAAACACGGCAACTGTCCTATCCGTTACGCGTGGAATGGCTCTTTTATAGAAATCTTATTTTTTTTAACAGGCAGGTGTTTTTATGAAAAATGTTTTTTTATAACATAATAATTTTTTTTTTAATAAATTAAAAAAACAATAGTATGTAATAGGTGTAAAAAAAAATTATCATTCTTAAATACAATAATTATTGTCAAATTTGAAAAATATATTAATTTTATGACCAGGTTGGCGGTAATTTTGTTGACCTTTTTTAATTTTTGCATAACTTTCCTATAGGCATGTATAGGCAGAAGAATTTTTATAAAATCGGAGCTGGAGGTCCATATTTTCGAATGCACTAGGTGGTTCTGGGCAAGTAATTACATTTTTTTACTTACATTCCATTTATTATTACACAAACTTGAGAATTTGTAGGTTAAAAACGCTATATTTTCGACTATTTCCCTCGTCTAAATTTCAACCAATCACAAACGCGCAATTTTGAATTACAAGTGGTTTCTAGGTGGAAAAACTGTATGACAGCACCTGTCAGCAGTTTTTTCGAGTTTACCCGCGGCAAAACTTGACAGCTGTTGTCACCAAAAATTGCAATTTATATTTTAATTGTTAACTGTTACTCATGAAAGTCTTGTCAAATACCATTTGGGCATCTAATTTTTCCTGTAAAAAAAAAACATAATGCTAAGTAATAATTTTTTAACAAAATGCATTCGTGCAGGTCCTCGTCTTAGACTCGGATTTTTGTTGCCACCAGCACTCATGATTCTTGTTAAAATATTACTTAGCAACGTGTTTTTTCGATTTTATTCAGAAAAATTAGATGCCCTTGTGAAATTACTTACGACAATTTCCCTCGTCTCAATTTCCACCAATCACAAACGCGCAATTTTGAATTACAAGTGGTTTCTAGGTGGAAAAACTGTATCACAGCACCTGACAGCAGTTTTTTCGAGTTTACCGGGGCAAAACTTGACAGCTGCTGTCACCAAAAATTGCAATTTATATTTTAATTGTTAACTGTTACTCATGAAATAGTCTTGTCAAATACCATTCAGGCATCTAATTTTTCCTGTGAAAAAAATAGATGCCCTTATGATATTACTTACGACAAATAATCCAAAAAACACATTTTAAAGATGTATTTAAAAAAAATTGAAAATTTAAATGACAAGATTCCAGAGTATTTTTGACAATGCTATCATGTATTTGTTATAACGCAACGCATGCGCAGTAACTTCTACTTCGCAGTTTAAAATTTTAGGTAATCTGTCAAGAACAATAGTCATAAAAATGCGTTTTTAAAATGTTTTAAAAATTGGGTTTTTGCCGCGTAAATTTACTGTGAGTTAGTGGGATAAGTGTGTTTGGGGTTTGAGATATAGGGGGCGTTATGATATAGTGCTTCTTACCTGAGGCTCTGTCAACACAAACTCGATTTTTTTCTCGGCCAATATCGTAAAAATCCCAAACAAATTTCTCATCACAAATTCCCCAGGTCTTATATCCACATCCACATTCGACCCAGAAATAATTTGAGGAATTCTTTCTTTTTGTGCACCCCATGGCAGTAACATACCCCTGTTGAGTACTGCCACAATATTGGAGCACCTCTTTTCAGAGCCTAAAATATTTTTTTAAGAAAAGAATCCACAGAAAAAAATATAATAATGTACAAAGAGTTAGTATGAAGCAAATAACTCAGTAACTTAAAACTATAGCTATTTATCATTGTATACAAACAAAATAAAGCTATATAAATGGTTATGAAAACAATTGAAATGAGGCAGCTAAGGTTGACATGGTTGCCAAATGTATTTTCTAAGAAACAATTTCCTTTATAAATATAAAAAAAATCTTTAAATGTGTATGTTTATGGAGTTACTGGGCTATATGGGCGAAAAAAGCTGTACAAAGCAAGAAATCTCACCGATAGGGAATGTGGGCAAATTTCCCACATTTTCACCTTCACTGGCAGCTGATAAAGCATGAATGGTACTTTCACTTAGCGTACTCTTTTCAGTTATAACAGAGGCAGACGTATTGTCACTGTGAGTGTCCGAACAAACACTCTGCGAACACTCCAAGTCAGAATCATTCGATGCCCCTACATCTAAAATGGGGGGTGAAAAAACAATCTCAACAAAGCCAAACAATTAATTTTTTAGCATAAAACGCTACAGGGTTTTCCCATGTTGATATTTTTATTTATTTACACAAAACAACCTTGATGTATCAACACAAAAATAACCCTATAATAATAATTAAAACAGATTATTCATACCAGCGTCTAATTCTATTTGGTGGTCCGACATTTTAGCCACTTTATTTCGTTGGTTTTTAAAAACCACTGATATGTATAAATTCTTCACATATTTTTAACCCAACCCACAATAAATACAAATAAACAGATTTACAGATTAGGGCGGTATTTTGACAGATATCGCTAAACACATGACAGTAGAAGCAACGTTGCCGCGTCTACTTAACATTTTCCATAGACATTTTCAGAATATTTTGTACAAAAAAATTCATTAAACCACTAAAATACGTACAATATATGAAAAACTTTAAAAAAATCTTAATACTTGCAGTTCATGATATTTCACTCAGTATCTTTTAACAAACAATTCCGGTTATATTACATCTGGCAACTATACGTCGCCAGCATGACATACGAAACGTCATTCGAGCTGTCATAGGTTTTTATTTATTTAATTAATTCGCCTAATTTGACTGAAACAATGAGTACAAAAACGAAGCTTGTAGAGAAAAACGGCGTGTCCAAATCGCCGACAAAATCAATTTTGAGTAGGGCGCTCACATCGAACTCTGAATGGCCGGATAAAGTAAGTTTGAGGTTATGTTAGAAAATTTAGCCTTAAAAAGTTGCGTTTTTTTGATTGTAGGAAGAGTTTTTGGATGTTATTTATTGGGCCAGGCAAGCTATTGGGATTATTTTGGGGGTTTTCTGGGGATTTTTGCCTCTGAAAGGAATTATTGGCTTAGCACTGTAAGTACAGTAAAAACTGATTCCCTCATATTTAAGTGTCTTAAGAATGCGAAATTAAGCTAGATGGGTCTTACAAAATTTAAGCAAAATACAGGGGGATAGATTTGAATTTAAAATTAGGCAAATTCTCATTATATCATGATATTTTTTTAGGTTTGCATTAATAAACGCTGGTGTAATATACTTTTACTTCACAAATTTCCAAAGTGTGGAAGAAGAGGAGTTTGGCGGGGCTTGGGAGTTAACAAAGGAAGGTTTTATGACTTCGTTCGCCGGTTTTTTGGTGACGTGGATTATAATATACTCGGGGCTTCATTACCAGCCGGAATCGTTGACGTAGCGAACAAATTTAGTTTTTGTAACGATTTTGTACTATTTATTTTATCAGTAATATATGCCAAATAAAGTGAAACATGTTTAAATAAGATTTGGGATTTTTTTTGGTCCAATTTTTTTAAGTTACACACTGAAATTACTTTTATCCGAAATCGGCAGTAAAGTAGTCAACAATCGGCAGTAAAGTAAAAGAAATAGGCAGTAAAGTAGAACTTTACTGCCGATTTAATACGAGTATTGTATGCAACCCTTTATACATTTTAAGATGTGTACTGCTCCTCAGCAGCTAAATATTTAAAAAAAAGCACCGTCGCGGAGGTCGATTGGACCCTTTCATAAAATGTTTTTTAATAAAAATAATAAGTTAATTTTATTAATTAGATTAAAAAATCGCCGCGGCGGGCAAATATATAATAACCGTCGCAACAAACAGTATACGTAGACACTTTCTACATTCAAATGACATTTGATTTGATCATCAAATGACATTTGATTTAATCATCAATATTAATTATTATAGTATTATTAAATGTGATTTCGGATAAAATTTAATATGCACCTCGGCATTAAGTCATATTTATCACTCACGTGATTATTTGCCTCGGCTTTCGCCTCGGCAAATAATTTCCCCATTCGTGATAAAAAATACGACTTTACTGCCTTGATACATAAATAACTATTTTTGTTGTTGATATTTTTCACTTTGCAACCATGGGAGCAAAGCTGTACAGCTAGTAAAAAATGATTAATTATGAATACATGTGAAAAAGAATAAAGACAATATACTTTTACATCACAAATATCAATGGTTATAAAATGAAAAAATATTAATATTTTGTTTATTTGAAAATTTACATTAAATGTTATTTTTAAACATACCTATTTAAAAAAACTTCTATGCAGGTTCCAACAATTATTAATAGTTAATTTAATGTACCTATTTTAATATTTTTAATTTTACTTTAATTTGCTAAACCATGATATGATATTTTTTAGGACAGTTGTTTGACAATTTGCATTAAAAGATTAAAAGGCAAATATAAAATAAAAATTTCTTATTTTAAGTCTTTTATCATTTGTAGCTACCACTTTATCGTTGCTAAAAATTTGTAAACGTGGTTTTTGAGGTCGCTGTTTACAAATTTGGTATCCATTTTTTTTATTAAAAAAATAGTGCCGGATCCAATATTTTTTCAAAAAAATATTCCGATCCGAAAATAATCATAATTTCCATCTCAAAAATGTTCATAAATATTTAAAAAATTTAATAATAATTATATTTTTTTTTTAATATTTCTGAACATTATTATTTCAAAAGTTTCTGTTTTTAAAATTTTAAATTCGCACAGTAGAATAAATTTAAAAAATGGTAGGATAAATTCGCACACTATATATAGTGTGCGAATTTATCCTACCATTTTTTAAATTTATTATATATATAATAATATATATATATATAGTGTGATGCGCAGAATTGAATGTTGAACTATAGTTCAACATTAAATTCTGCGCAGTCTTAACCCTAATTCAGAGAGGCTCTTATTGTTAATTTAGAAAAAATTATTACATTGCAGACAATACATGCAATATTGCAATCTTACTGCAAAAGTGCTGTCGCACGTATCGCACTTATATCGCGTCAAAACCACAGAAGAATTTCTGTGGTCAAAACCAAACATATTATCTTTGGTCAAAACCAAATCTCTCACCAGGAAATTTTCAAATGTCCTAAAAATGTCAAACGCAACGGATGCAGAGCCTTCGACTTTAAAAAAATTCCAACTTTACTATCCGCCAATTTTTATAACAACCGGCCTGATAGGAAACTCGCTTTGCATCCTAGTGTTCTGCAAGACGAAGCTGAAAAAATTGTCGTCGAGTTATTACTTGACGGCGCTCGCTATAAGCGATAACGTTTTCTTGTGCACGATATTCGCGACTTGGTTGACCATTTTCGAAGTGAACGTGTATGTTGGCTGGTTTGCTTACGTTTTTAGTTACGCTAGTGATGTGACAGCTTGTTTGAGTGTATGGCTGGTTGCCGCGTTTACATTCGAGCGGTTCATAGCTGTGAAGTTCCCGTTATTAAGAAAGACCTTGTGCACTAAGGAGCGCGCCAAATTAATCGTATTAGTGCTTGTGATTGTTATTTTGATTATTTTTTCGCCGATTTTTTTTCAAACACGCAACGTTACTGATCAGTTGACAATCATATTTTTTATTATCGATTTTATTGTCACTTGCCTAATACCAGTACCACTGGTTATAATTCTAAATATCTTTATAATTAGGGCAATTTTAACATCATCTGGAATTAGGAAAGCTTTAACGCAAGAATCGAACACCAAGAATCGCAAAAAAAATGTTGTGTTGTCTCAAAATAAACTTACGAAAATGTTGTTGGTTACGTCAACGGTGGTTTTGGTTTCAGCCTTTCCAATGTATATAACCCAAATATGTTGGATATATTTGCACGAGGTAAAGTAAAATAAGAGCGTTTAAAAAGTATACTTAATAACCCTGCTGAAAATGACGGATGATTGCGGATATAAATGCTTCGTCAAAACCGGATAAAAGCAGATGATTGCGGGTATAAATTCTTCGTCGAAGCCGGATAAAAGCAGATAAAAGCGGGTAAAAATATCATCTGATAACATCTGCTTTTGTCCGCATCGCTATATCCGCGAACACCCGGTTGGTTGGGTTTTATGTCCGGTTAGTGCACCCCCGCAATCATCTACAATCATCTGTTTTTAACCGTCTTCACTGTGTTTCGTTTATATCTGAATTTGTCCGGAATTATCTGCAAACGTCTGCTTACGTCTGGTTTTAACCGCGATTACCTGCATTTTTTTGTCTATTTTCGTCTGGTTTTATCTGCAAATGTCTGGTTTTATCCGCGAGCATATGCTTTTACCCGCAAACGTCTGCCTAGTCCAATTTCACCCGCCAACATATGCTTTTATCCGCGAACATCTGCAATCATCCGCGAACATCTGCTTTCATCCGCGAACTTCTGATTTTATCCGCCAACATCTGCTTTTATCCGCGAACATCTGATTTCATCCGCGAACATCTGCAGTCACCCGCGAACAACTGCTTTTATCCGCGAACATCTGCAATCACCCGCGAACATCTGCAATCACCCGCGAACATCTGCTTTCATCCGCAAACGTCTGGTTTTATCCGCAAACATCTGCTTTCATACGGTTTCACCCGCAAACATCCTTTTATCTGCGAACGCCTGATTTCATCCGGTTGGTGCAAACATCTGCTTTTATCCGCAAACATCTGCTTTTATCCGCAAACATCTGCTTTTATCCGCAAACATTTGCTTTTATCCGCAAACATCTCATTTTATCCGCGAACATCTGCTTTCATACGGTTTCACCCACAAACATGCTTTTATCTGCAAACATGTGATTTTATCTGCAAACATCTGCTTTTATCCGCAAACATCTGATTTTATACGCAAACATCTGCTTTTATCCGCAAACATCTGCTTTTATCCGCAAACATCTGATTTTATCCGCAAACATCTGATATTAATCGCAAACATCTGATTTTATCCGCAAACATCTGCATTTATCCGCAAATATCTGCTTTTATCCGCGAACATCTGCAAACATCTGCTTTTAATTGCAAACCTCTGCTTTCATCCGCGTTCAGTTTGCCTGCATTTCCTTTGTCCATTTCGGTTCTGTTTCGTACGCAAACGTCTGGTTTCATTCGCGCTTTTTGTTTTCCTTTTTCTCGTGTATACTTTAGTTTAGTTTACCTGCTTTGTCAAATTTTACTGAGCTTTAACTAACTGGTTAACTGTATAACTCTAAAAGGAATTATTTGAATAAAAATAACCTGTAAATTTACAGGGAAAATGTCGTGTTGAATAAACTTATTTCCTTAAGGAAATAAGTTTATTCAACACATTTTCCCAATGGAAAATAATTTAATTATATTCACCAGATTTAAATTTAAAAATCAGGTATACTATATATATTATAGTTATGTTTTTCCGAATTTCCAGAGCTCAAAAACAATATTTCGAGAAAACGACTAAATTGACGGTTAATTTCACTTTAACCTTGAATAACTTTTAACCAAGTTAACTTACAGAAAAATGAGTTTATACCTTTTTTGTAGAGCGTTCAATTCTCTACAAAAATATTTCAAAAAATTTTAAATGAGTCGGGTAGACTCGCCAAAAAAGTTTAAAAACCCAAAAATTTCGTATAATTTGAACTTTGACCTTAAATTTCTTTAGAAGGATCAAATTTATCAAAAAATCATAAGAAACCTTTTTTGTAGAGCGCTCAATTCTCTACAAAAATATGTTAAGAACTTTACAGTACGACCTATTGTTCGTTAGCTACAAAAATAAAAAGAAACAAAATAATTTTTTCGATGTTATTCTTATGGAAAATCAAAAAGTGCGATGCGGAGCATTTTAATTTTGAAATTAAGAGATTATTTTTTCACAGGCTCATTTTTATATCTATACCACACTTTTGAGCGTGGTTCCGAAAAACAAAACAAAAAAAAACTTTTTTTGAAACACCCTAATATATATATATATATATATATGTAAAAAGATTTTAAACACAGATTTTTATTATTTTTAGTCAGGGTCTAATATCAGAAACAACTCCCCTGATATGGATTCGGTTGTCCTTTCAATGATGTGGTCCCAACAAATGTTTTTCACATCATTCGGTATAAACTTTTACGTTTACTGTGCAAGTGGACAAAATTTCAGAAGCGCACTGTATGGAATGTTTAAAAAGAAAGGACAAAGAACAGTAGCTGTGGATTTGGCAGGTTAAGGTAATTAATAATTACTAATTATAGTACATTATAGACCAGGCGGAGAAAGCACATATTATTGTCCAGCATACATTTCAGTAGGTATAGAGTCAATTTATAGATTGTGTTCTAAAACAATGGTTGGACCGACATGATGACATTTTCCACCCTGTATAATAATTTTATTGTTTTGTGTGGAAAATTTTGCCACAAAAATGTATCGCCACCAAAACGTATTTTATATAAAGCATAGGTATACATATATATATGTATACCTATGCTTTATATAAAATACGTTTTGGTTGCGATACATTTTTGTGGCAAAATTTTCCACACAAAACAATAAAATATATGCTTTAAGGTATATATTGAAACTTATATACATAGATACCTCAGAGTATATAAAACTAGAGTATACCTATACATTAGACTGGGCCGAAAAAATCAACTATTTTTTTTTTGAAAAGTATATCGAAAATTTGGTTTGGGGTGACAAAAAAAATTATTGTGAAAGTTTGAGTCCATAATATTAATATTAAGAGGTCTATCATCGCAATTTTAATTTTTTTTCCTCAGCAAGTTTTTGTCTCAGAACTCCCAAACCATTGAGTTTAACAAAATTTACTTAAAAATATTTTTTTAAGAAAATGAAATGCTCTACAAAAAAGGTTAATGTGAAATTTTCCGTCAGATGAACCGTTTCCTTAAAATCATGCCTTAAAATTGGTATAGTTTTACATTTTGATCTTTTAGGGTTGGTTTTGACTTCAAATTTAACCTTGAATAACTTTTGATGGAGTGAATTTAGCCAAAAATGATAAAAGACTTTTTTTGTAAAGCATTTGATTTCCCATTAGAATATTTATCGTTTTTTTTCCGGGAACTGATTTTTACATGAATTACAAAATTACAAAGTTAAAAGATCTAATTGTAAAACCATCTTACTCAATGGTAAAACTATACAAATTTTTAAGGCATGATTGTAAGAAAAAGGTTCATCTGACGGGAAATTCCAATTAAACCTTTTTTGTAGAGCATTCAATTTTCTTAAAAAAATATTCCTCCGTCAAATTTGTTAAACTCAATGGTTTGGGAGTTCTGAGACAAAAACTCACTCAGGAAAAAAAATCTAAAATTGCGATGATAGACCTCTTAATATTAATATTATGGACTCAAACTTTCACCATAATTTTTTTTTGCTACCCCAAACAATATTTTCGATATACTTTACAAAAAAAATAGTCGATTTTTTCTAGGATACATATGTGGATTTTGTTTTTTTTTAATGTTTTATAATGTATTTAAAAGTATTTTTAATAATTATATATTTTTTTAGATATTCAAACCATATCAACGGGACCAACGAGTTCATCGCATTATCAAGAATAAAAACTCAAACAATTATTATATATTAAATGTCTAATAAAATAAAATAAAATAAAACAATTTTTTAGTTTTTTTATATGGGAGTTTTTTTGCACAAATTATGGACAGTATTTTTTCTCAACCTGGAGAAAATGCTAGTTTTGGAAATCAAGGTTTGACGAAAGTCGTACATATATTTAATTCCAAAAAACTCAAGCAATGTTAACAATGTTATTATTATCAATTATTTAAATGCACAAATGCATGCACAAATATTACTGAAGAACAAAAGTTAAGAAACGATAAAATGTTATCAAGTTTGGTTATGCAAATACGTGATAATTATTTAAATAATTATTAGCTTAGTCATTTTATAAATTTAAATATATGTATATATACATATATATATATATATATATATACTTAAATTTATATTTAGTTTTTTTATATGGGAGTTTTTTTGCACAAATTATGGACAGTATTTTTTCTCAACCTGGAGAAAATGCTAGTTTTGGAAATCAAGGTTTGACGAAAGTCGTACATATATTTAATTCCAAAAAACTCAAGCAATGTTAACAATGTTATTATTATCAATTATTTAAATGCACAAATGCATGCACAAATATTACTGAAGAACAAAAGTTAAGAAACGATAAAATGTTATCAAGTTTGGTTATGCAAATACGTGATAATTATTTAAATAATTATTAGCTTAGTCATTTTATAAATTTAAATATATGTATATATACATATATATATATATATATACTTAAATTTATATATATAAACTGTTTTAATAGAAGACAAACTTAGATATAATTTTTGATTCCAACATTTATTATATTTTGCTCTAAAAGAAAAATAGGAGACTTCTCTCTTGGGGCAATTATAAATGTTCCTAGTTTATGACCAATCTGTAGTAAGTACAGAGTTTGTACATTCCTTTTCAAGTTTTAAAAATCTAATATTATTTTTTCGGGAAGCAAAACTTTTTATAAAAAGTAACTTTTGTCGTAAATTGATTATAAAATAGTTTCCTATATGTAAACAACTCAAGCGGACACGCACTAGAGCAGTTATACATAGATATAGTCAAATAATATACAGGGTGGTCTTCAACTCTTGCCCCGCTGAAAAAGGGATAATGGCAACAACAATAAAGATGAGCCACATATAAAACCTTGGTAAAAAGCTTTGTTTAAAATAAAGTACAATGTTATCCCGTATGGTCTAGGGGTTAAGATACCTCGCTCTCCCCCACGAGACTAGGATTCGATTACAGGTACCAAAATACTTTTTTTAATTTTTTTTCGTCTGTCAAAAATACTAGAAATATTATTTAAAAAAATCCTTTATGACCAAATTAACTCAATTCATTGTGGCACTATTAGTTTTAAACCAAAGACAATCATTTTGTAGAGATTGATCGTGAGTGAGAAGAATTTTGAAGAGGTGAACCTTATTAGTTTATATGTTTTTTTTTTGTAAAAAAGGGCACTACAATTTTACAGGAAAAATATAAATCGAAGGTCACAGCGCTTATATCGCGACAAAACCACAGAAGAATTCCTGTGGTCAAAACCAAATTTTTTACCAGGAAATTTTCAAATGTCCTAAAAATGTCAAACGCAACAGACGCAGAGTTTTCGACTATAAAAAATTTCCAACTTTACTACATGCCGATTTTAATAACAACCGGCCTAATAGGAAACTCGCTTTCCATCGTCGTGTTCTGCAAGACGAAGCTGAAAAAATTGTCGTCGGCGTATTACTTGACGGCGCTCGCTATAAGCGATAACGTTTTCTTGTGCTCGTTATTCACGATTTGGTTGGAGATTTTCGAAGTGGACGTCTACAATCGCGACGGGTTTTGTCACGTTTTCACTTACGCTAACGATGTGGCCTTTTTCCTGAGTGTATGGCTGGTTGCCGCGTTTACTTTCGAGCGGTTCATAGTTGTGAAGTACCCGTTTTTAGGACGGACCTTGTGTACTAGAGAGCGCGCTAAAGTTATCATATTAGTGCTCGTGATTGTTTCCTTGACTTTTTATTCGACGAAATTTTTTTTCAAATGCAACGTATACATAGAAGTGTTCTCAAACATATTTTTTTGTGTCGATATTATTGTCACTAGCCTAATACCAGTAACACTGGTTATATTTCTAAACATCTTCATAATCAAGACAATTTTAACATTATCCGGAACCAGGAAAGCTTTAACGCAACAATCGAACACCGAGAATTGCAACAAAAATGTTATGAGATCACAAAATAAAATTACGAAAATGTTGTTGGTTATATCGACGGTTTTTTTGGTTTCAGCCTTTCCAAATTATATATTTGTGATGTATTATATATATTTGTACCAGGTAATGTATAATACAATTTTTTAAATATAAAATACATCTTTACCCTTAAAAATATTGATCAAATCAAAATCAAATCAAATCATTTATTGGTGTTATTTACATGGAGTTGTATTACACAAGTCAGATACAAAAAGAACTTTACATGACATAAAGAATATATAAAAAATAAAAAACATACATGACAATATTTATGTGAACAAAAGATGTATAAAAGAACATTTATCACAGATTTGGTATATCACAGTTTAAAAACTCATCACAGTTATAGAAAGCCTTATCATTAAGGAACATCTTAATTTTAGTTAAAAATAGTTCTGAATCTAGGTTTCTAACAGCAACAGGAAGTTTATTAAAGTATTTAGGTGCAGTGAAGGCAATACTTTTATGGGATTTTGTAAGTCTATACTGTGGCAGTCTTAGGTTGTTCTTATATCTGGTGGTGTAAGGATGATTTACATTAGTTAATGCTAACTTTTCCACATTCAGCTTAGCATATTTTAATACCTCATAGATATATACAGATGGTAAAGTCATTATACCCAGTTCCACAAATGTAGTCCTACAATCATCTCTATATCCCAAGCCTGCTAGTATACGAATTACCTTCCTCTGCAACCCAAAAAATATAAATAAATATAAATTTTAAAGTGATAATTTTTGGATTAAAAATTTATCGACTATCATTTAAATTACTCTTTACAAATTTAAACCAAAACTTTTTATTTTTAACAATTTTAAATTGATACATTTTTAATTCAAAAATTACTACTTTATAATTTAAACCAATAATTTTAGAGACTAAAATATTAAAACTACAAATTACAAGTTTAAACGTAGCTTTAGCAGACTCTTTCTAGAACGGTCAATTTTAAGCATAGTCCATAGTCGGTAAAATGTACAAAGCGCGAAGTGTGAAGTTTGTGTTAAAAAAGTGTCATTTTTTTAAAATCATTTAAATGATAGTCGAAAAATTTTTAATCCAAAAATTACTACTTTAAAATTTAAAACTAACATTTAAATGTAATGTCAAAATTTTTGTATTAAAAATTAACCAATATTTTACATTTGCATTTTATATTTAAAATATTTTTGCAAAAATTATTGATAGTTGAAAATATTTTAAATTTATAAATGTAAACCTAAAATTTTTAGTTAGGAAAATTTTAAAAACCAATAAAATTTTAATTTAAAAAATTATTTTATACCTAAATGTTAAAACGGCGTACCATAGTTGTCCCATTAATTGTCATATAACGGCTTTTTATCAATATAATAAATAAATAGTTTAAATAACAGACTGAACAGATAAAATATATTTTATTTATACCTACGTGTCAAAAGTTCTTGAACACAGATTCATGGACAATTTTTTTAAATTGTTTTTAGGCAGGCTTAGAGGCTCATTTGGTTTCGTTTACTCTTCCAAAGTGGTGCGAAATAATTTTTTACACAACATTTTGCATCAATTTTTTCGTTTACTGTTTAAGTGGGGAAGATTTTAGAAGCGCACTGTGTGGAATATTTAAAAAGAAAGGACAAAGGAAAGGACAAGAAACTCAGGCTTTGCAAGGTAAAGTTATTAAATTTATTACGCAGGGTGTCCAGAAATGATGATGGAACAAGCAATATAAGACATTTTTTTAGGTATTTAATCCATATCGACAGGTTCATCGCATCATCAAGATAACCATCAAATTGCAAATAATAATAATAATTATAATAATTGTCTAATAAAATAAAATAACAATTGTTTAGTTTTTTTACTGAAATGATAAAAAACTTACCAGGTTAAGTTCCAACACATCCAAAGAACCTTTTCTTCTGCCTTTCACTATTTTCCTGGGAAACTATATAATCTATCTCTGAAAAAAAAATACACAAAGAGAGAACGAGAGAAACGTATTTTTTGAAAACCAAATCTTATGCAAAAAATCACTTCAAAACTTTTTTTATTAAAAGAAAAAAGTTAAAAGAAAGGCAAAAAGGTTTTAAAAAATACTTTTTTATTTTTAACTAGTGGGCGAATGTTCGAATATGACGCACATACTGTTATTTTAAGCTAAAACGTAGCCAAAACTCAATTTTGTTAATTTTAATTACTAGATCTAGAACCAGCTAAAACTTAGCGCTTCTTTAAATCGTACGTCTTCGTTAGCGACACTCCACAAAAACACAAATTTTCACCGTGTTGTTTCTTATGTTTAAAGTGATTTTGGTGAAAAAAGTTTATATGGATATCGTCAATCAAGGTAGGTACCTATGTACAATATTTTGAGCAACATTTTATTTGTTTTATAAACTTTATTTATTCATTACTATATCCATCTAACTAAAAATATTAAATTTTCTTTTTGAACATTTTAAATATATGCAACACCTCGCAACGGCATCCAACCCACGTTTTATTAAACTTCAGGATATCTAGAATAACTGTAGCCATCAAAAACATTCACAAGTTTTCACATCACGAAAAAATTTTCCCTTGAAAACAGACACTTTACATATAAGATTTTTAGGTAATGAAAATATTTTTATTTTTTAAAGGGCTCAACAAATTTAATATATGTTTAATTTTAATATTTTTATTGCATTACTTGCATGTAATTAGTTACTTTGGAAACATTTTTAATACAACTTTCCAAAAAATTAAGGAAATTAAAAAACTGATAAATTATGAATGCTTGTTTATTTTTTTAAAGTATAAAAAGATTAATACAATAAATGGAAGCATTATTACACTGCATGTGTATTTAATGTTGCATAGTATGCACATTACACATGAAAAATAATAAAGAAAATATACTTTTACATCACAAATCTAAATGGTAAAAAACGAAAAATACCTCATAAAATTATTGACTTAATTTTTTGAAAATATCCTCATTAATCGCGTAGAAGCTATTAAAAAAATAATTTATATACAAAAGTGTAGATTAAAAAAACTCGATACAGAATTTTTGTTCCGATAATATCACATTGCAAATAATAAACTACGTAAATACAAATACAAATATAGTTTGGCATATGGCTGCAACAAATTATAATACTAAAAAAATATATGGAATGAAATTAATTTAAGAGAAAAAAGAACAGATTTTATCTGTTTATAAGCATTTTTAAAAGAAATGCTGTTTATTAAACCTACAAAAGTGAATTATTAACTTGTAGATATAAAAATCTACTATTATAGACACTTTCAACAAAAATCAAATATTTGTGAACGTATGAAATACTAGGTGACAAATTTTGCTGTTAACTGTGCCTTGCATAACAACATTTTAAATTTTCTAGAATACTACAAAAATACATTTTAATGTGTTCGCTAATTGAAAGTTCGTTTTCAATCCTAAAAGAATCGTGTGAATAATAAGTGATGCGTTTATAAAAAATATGTAGTTTAAGTCAAAAACAATAAAATTCCTCACAAAGTCGATAGAGTAAAAAGTCTAAAAAATAATTTTGTATCTATACGTACAATAAAATGGCAGTCAGAAATTTTTGTATAACAATACTAATAATTATTGTAAAGAATTAGAAAATTGTCATCTGGAGACGAAGCTACCAAAAAGTTGAAGAATAAAAGAAAGTAGGGATTCAATCTACACATTTTTCCCTAGGAAATTATTGTTAGGTTGGTACCTAAAAAAATGGGTTCATCTACTAACATGCGCGTCTCCTGTGTTTTTACAGTTGAAATTGTTGTCCCTCCTTTCTATCGGATTCACTGATTGCACTGGTTTACTAGTTCCCATCCCCTAAACCATTGAAAAACATTTTATTTCCTGTCAAATGGGAATTTAATTCGCATAGCTTACAAAATTTACAGGGGGTCCCGAAAGTGGCGTTATATCAACTTTTATTTAAATTTAGCTATATCTATGGGGCGCCATTTTATTTTTTATTCAGGAATTAATTTTATGTGTTAGCACTAAAGTGATATTTTCAATTAGATAAAAAATATAGGATTTTTTATTCTGCGAATTAAAAATATCATACCTAGTAGATATTTAAAAATTTAATTTAATTTTCATGCCAAACTGACATTTTAAATTTAGTTCATTTAAAATATCTGTTTATTATATTTTTTATTAACTAAATTAATAATATCATAGGAGAAATTTTTAAATGCATTAAAAATATCATAGAAGATATTTTTAATCAGTCGAAATTTAAAATATCACATTCAATTAAATATATTTGCTAATTTAATAAAATAAAAATTCAATCGAATTAAAAATATCTCCTTTGATATTTTTAATACATTTAAAAATTTCTGTTATGATATTTTTAATTACGAATTAAAAATATGTGTTTAGCAAAAAAATACAAATATAAGAAACAAATATTTTAAATTAACTAAATAAAAAATAGAAGTTTGGCATAAAAATTAAAAATAAATTTTTAATTACGCGAATTAAAAATGTGTTTGACAAAAAAATACAAATATAAGAAACTGTTATTTTAAATTCACTGAAATAAAAATATCAGTTTTGCATAAAAAAATATCTGCCATGATATTATTAATTCGCAGAATAAAAATTCTATTTTTTATCTAATTGAAAATATAACTCTAAAGTTAATAAATACAATTAATTCCTGAATAAAAAATAAAACGGCGCCTCATATATGTACATACAGTGTGTCCGTAAAGTCCCGGAACATGTGATTATTTTGAAAACGGTAATTTTTTTTAAAAAACGCTGAAACACGCCAACTTTGATATTTTTCTAGCAATTTTTTAGCATATGTAGTTGTTCCAAATTCTGCCGCGTGGCGGCGCCACAATTAAAGTCAGTTTTTTTTAAATTGCAACCCTTTATTTTTGTTGCATTTTTGGATAGCTACCGTTGTCCTGATTACATTGATGTGCCACATCTGGGGGGTTACATAAGAAAATTTTTGAGAAAATCAGGTTTTTGCTGCCGAATGAGATTTTGGTATTTTGTCAAACTTACACAATCTATGCGTTGTTAATGTTTTTGGAAAGCCAATCAGAGCAGTTGCTCAAAGTGTCCACCGTAAACTATTTGGAAATGGAACAGCCTGTCTACAAACGAGCGTTGTACGTTTGCCAGTACCGCTGGAGTGATCATCTGGATCTCGGCTTGAATGCGGTGTCTTAGGTCGTCCAAATTTTAAGGCCTGTTTACATAGACGCGGTTTTTAGGAGGTCCCCATAAAAAGAAGTCTAAAGGGTTCAAATCGGGCGATCGCGCTGGCCACTCAATTTGACCCCTTTGACCTATCCAGCGATTGGGAAAGACCTGATTTAAATAATCCCTTACTAGCAATGCATAGTGCCCCGTAAAAGCGAATAAGTTCGTCAAAACCAAAATCTTAATCAGCGGCAAAAACCTACTTTTCTCAAAAATTTTCTTATGTAACCCTCCACATGTAGCATATCAATGTACTCAGGACGACGGTAGCTATCCGAAAATGCAACAAAAATAAAGGGTTGCTATTTAAAAAAAACTGACTTTGATTGTGGCGCCGCCACGCGGCAGAATTTGGAACAACTACATATGCCAAAATATTGCTAGAAAAATACCAAAGTTGACGTGTTTCAGCGTTTTTTAAAAAAAAATACCGTTTTCAAAATAATCACATGTTCCGGGACTTTACGGACACACTGTATATCGCATTATTTTGGTCTACGGAATATGTGGTATTTCAGGAACACCTTGTATAGTATCGCCCCACTAAAAACGTTTCTGTACATATATGCCATTAATTTTTTTTTACTTTCAAATACCATTTTTTTTAAATTTTTTCTTTGTTTTTATAATTAAATAAATCTAAAAAATAGAAAAAATGGGGTTTGGGGAATTAAAAAATAAAAATAAATTAAAAATACTGAATTTATGTTTTTTTCTAAAAATTAAAAATTTCAAATTTTTTTTTAAACACCAAATTTCGAGTGGATAAAAAAATAAAAAAAAAACGTTTCAGTGGGGTGGTAAATATTAGGCAAAGGGGTGAAGTTTAAAAATTTCGTAGGATGTTTTACTTTTGAGAAATAACAAATGATCGAAAACCGACCAAAAATAATTTTTACCAACAAAAGTTCAGTCCAAAATGTTCAGAAAAATCTAAATTGCAAATTAACCATCGACAATAAAAATGTCGTGTGGCATATCCTGGGGGTTTTAAATCAAGCCAAAACTTTTATCAGGGATGATATTTTCTGAGAAATGTAAAATTGTTTTATAACTTTTTTAGTGCGCCATTTTCGGGATACCTGTATAACATTGTTAAAAATCTTTCAACAAACTTTGTTAGTATACTTAATTTTATGTGATGTGTTAAATAAAAGATGAAAATGCATTAAAAAATAGCAAATTAATAAAATACCTTTTGAGAATAAATAAATAAATAAAATTAAAAAAAAAGAAATTAATAATACCTTATAACGGGCAAGGAAATCGCCACGATCGGGAAAATAACTTGTCAAAATGCCTTTAGAAAAAAAGAATAATAATAATAAAATTAAATATAAAATAAATAAGAATATAAAAAATATTAAAAAAGCATGCAATGATATGCCAAAATGAATAAAAATATTATTTGCAGAAAACTCTCTCTTCTAAAATAATCTTTAAACATACCGGGTAATTCATTGCATAAAATGAGAGAAAAACTTTGCTTCGTTTTTAAAATGAAACGATCAAAGAGTGGCTTAAAATGAAAAACAATGATTTTTTTCTGAATAAGTGTGTATTTTTTCACTTTTGAAGCAAGTGTAAAAAATAGACACATGCTCAAAATGTATGGATTACATCAAATTTTGTTAAAGTGCAAAATAAAAACTAAACGTTTTAATCAAGTTACCAAGTTAAAGTATCAAATTTGCTTTTCTCGAAAACGAAGCGAGATGCGAAAATCAGTGAAGGTACAAAAAAATTTTACTTTTAATTGTTTCAACTGGAACAAACATTAAAAATAAAAGCAGTGGCGTGCCATATCTTTTCTGTATAAACTCAAGAAGAGAGTTTTTAAATGGTTTTAGTTTTCAGGCAGTTTTAAAACAGTTTTAAAAGAGTTTTAAGACGGTTTTAGGACATCTCCAAAATAGTTTTTAAGCTAAAACTTTTATTTAAGAATTATCAGCAGTTTTAGGTCAGTTTGGGGACATTTTAAACAGTTTTATAACAGGACAGGACAGGACGGTTTTATAACTAAAACTTTCATTTAAGATAGTTCTAAGACAGTTTTAAAACGGTTTTAGTTTTCAGGCTAATTTAGGACAGTTTGGGGCCATTTTAAACAGTCTTAAAAAAAGACAGTTTTAAGTAGTAAGATGGTTTTAGAAAATCTTTAACAGGACTATTATTAATAGAGTTCTAAGACGGTTTTATAACTAAAACTTTCATTTAAGATAGTTCTAAGACGGTTTTAAAACGGATTTAGTTTTCAGGCTGTTTTAGGTCAGTTTGGGGACTTATTATACAGTTTTAGAACAAGACAGTTATTAAGGGAATTCTAAAACAGTTTTAGAACATCTCTTAGACAGTTTTAAGCTAAAACTAGGCTTTAAGGTAGTTCCAAGGCAGTTTTAAAACGGTTTTATGAATTTTTAGGCAGTTTTAGGACAGTTTAAGGACATTTTAAACAGTTTTAGAACAAGACAGTTATTAAGAGAGTCCTAAGATGATTTTATAACTAAAACTTTCATTTAAGATAGTTCTAAGACAGTTTTAAAACGGTTTTAGTTTTCAGGCTGTTTTAGGACAGTTTGAGGACATTTAAAACAGTTTTAGAACAAGACAGTTCTACAAGGCAGTTTTAAGCTATAATTTGTATTAAATACAGTTTTTAAACGATTTTAAAAGTTTTCAGGCTGTTTCTTGTGTTCTAGTATTAAGAGAGTTCTAAGATGGTTTTAGAACATTTCTAAGACAGTTTTAAGCTACAACTTTCATTTAAGATAGTTTTATAACGGTTTTAGGCAGTTTTAGGACAGTTTGAGGACATTTTAAACCGTTTTAGAACAAGACAGTTATTAAGGGAGTTCTAAGACGGTTTTAGAACATCTAAAAAGCAGTTTTAAGCTAAGATTTGTATTAAATACAGTTTTTAAAAGTTTTCAGGGTGGTTTTTGTTTTAAGACAGTTATTAAGAGAGTTCTAAGATGATTTTAGAACATCTCTAAGACAGTTTTAAGCTAAAACTTTCATTTAAGATAGTTCTATAGATAGTTTTATAACGGTTTTAGTTTTCAGGCAGTTTTAGGACAGTTTAAACAGTTTTAGAACAAGACAGTTATAAAGGGAGTACTAAGACGGTTTTAGAACATCTCTAAGACAGTTTTAATCTAAAATTTTCATTTTAGACAGTTTTTAAACGGCTTTAGGAGTTTTAAGGCAGTTTTAGGACAGTTTGGGGACATTAAAGGATTTCTAAGACGGTTTTAGAACATCTCCAAGTTTTGATACAACTAGAAAAAACATTAAAAATAAAATCAGTGGCGTGCCAAATCTTTTCTGGTAAACTAGATTTCAACATTAACAATATTACCCATTATTTTAAAAGAAATAAATTTATCTGCAAAAAAAATCACAAAAACACTACAACTTACCCCCTCTTTTAAGCTTGATATCTTTCGCGTACTTCCGATCGATAGACGAGTTTTCTGAGCTGTCCAGAGCCTCCGCCGAGTCCGGAGTGTTTCCGGTGGAGTTGTTCGGGGAAGAACCGTCGCTCAGCAGGCTCAAATCCCCGCCCGACTTGGCCTCGGAACTCACCATCGACCAGGGCCTCGGTTTCGAAGCCACCGAGGGAGAAACGTGCTTGAGCTTCACGAACGGCTGCTTCAAGTCGGAGTCGTCTGGTCATAAGAGAATGTTGTGTCTCGGGTGTGTGTTTTTTTGTTAAAGAGCAATGGGGTAGTTAAATTTTTTCTGACCTATACTTTTTATGGTTTTATTCAAGGCGTTTTGTAATATTAAACATTTCTGTGAAATCAGAATTTTTCAATTGAGTTTACCGTTTTCGAGATATTTACAAAAAAAATCTCCTAATTACGTCACTAGGCTATTGACAACGTTGCCAGCTTTTTCTATGGTTGCTAGTGTGTTTAGTTTAAGATTCTTACGATAGATGGCGCCACGTTATAATATTTTAGTTTTAAAACCACTTGATCTATAATTTTAGTTGAGAAGAAGAAGAAGAATTGATTTTTTGACGTTTCTTTTTTTCGGGTTATGTTTTTTTTAAATTTAGATTATTGAAAATCAATTTTATTGTTATGTTATTTGTAATTGATATTATACAGGGTGTCCGGGAAAAGGAGGTCAATCCGTTAACCATATATTCCTTGAGTTAAAACAATAAGACTTTCATAATACCATTTTTCAATTTAGAGCTTCATGTTCGATATACAGGGCGACAAAGTTTGAAATTTAAAACTGATTTTTTTTAATAATTCGAGTAATTGATAAGATATTAAGTTCAAGTTCGGTACACTTCTTTAACATAAATAGTTACATTTTTTGAGACGAACAAAACAAAAAACAATTGTCAAATAATCAAAATAGGGGGGTCCAGTACCCACTGACTCTCCCTATTTTTTAGTACGTGCGCCAATGACTTCCAAACGGTATTTTTTCAGGTAACCATTTATTGTTAAAAAAAAATTGTCTCTTATAAAATTTTGATAAAATGATTTGTTTTAGAGATAATTTGTAAAGTATGGGTCAGTCCATATCAAATCAACCAAAGGTTCTTCCCCCACCATCTCCGATTTTGATAATTTTTGGTAAATTTGTTTACCTCACTAAAAAACTTAAAAATCCCACATATGAATTTTTTTCGATAGGTGGTTTTTGTTTTATTGATTTTTGAAAATCAAAAAATTCCGATAAATTTGGGTCTTGCAAGTACTTACAAAAATAGCGATATCTCCTAAAATATTAAAAGTAGAAAGGTGAGTAATGGCTTATTTTAAAGGTCTATTAGAGACCTTTTTTATGATATATCACATGACCAAAATTTTTTCAAAAAAAAATTAAATTTCGAAAATTTGATATGGACTGACCCATACTTAACAAATTATCTCTAAAACAAATCATTTTATCAAAATTTTATAAGAGACAAATTTTTTTTAACAATAAATGATTACCTGAAAAAATACCGTTTGAAAGTCATTGGCGCACGTACTAAAAAATAGGGGGAGTCAGTGAGTACTGGACCCCCCTATTTTGATTATTTGACAATTGTTTTTCATTTTGTTGGTCTCAAAAAATGTAACTATTTATGTTGAAGTAGTGTACCGAATTTAAACTTAATATCTTATCTATTACTCGAATTATTAAAAAAAATCAGTTTTAAATTTCAAATTTTGTCGCCCTGTATATCAAACATGAAGCGCTAAATTGAAAAATGGTATTATGAAAGTCTTATTGTTTTGACTCAAGGAATATATGGTTAACGGATTGACCTCCTTTTCCCGGACACCCTGATTTATTAATAACGGACTCCAAAGCAGAGGAATCTTGTGGAATGGTTGGTTACATTGAACATTGGAGCTTTTAAACAAATAAAGTAAGTACCTACCTATAATTATAATCATATTTTGTCGTAAATGCATTTCATTACTATAATGCCTAGTTCTTTATATTCTTTTAGATATATCTTGGACTTTAAAATATCAAACAGTAATATGATACCTCGTAATAAGAAAGATAGGTACTTAATGAATTTGGTGACCATCTGTTTCTCTACACAGAAGAAATATTTATTGTACTGGTTGTAAGTTTTGTTTGTATATTATAAAATAGAAGACAGTATTTTTATTTCGAAGGCATGGAATGAATTGTTAGGTACCTATTTATTACATTTTATTAGGTTTCACACGGGTTTCAATGTGTAAACCTATCAATAAAACTTTTAATTTCAGAATTTTCTTTAACCTCCTCTTATTTTTCTTTCACTCAACTAACAGTGACAGTATTTGTACATAACCTCTTCGGGTATTTTCTGACATAACCGAATGAAATCATTAACAAGACAACTTGACAACAGGGTAATTTTCAACCAATAGAAATCTTAGAATGTTGGTCACATGGCGAGGTTTGTGACGTCATAAAAATTTATATTTTTTGTAAATACCTATCTCGAAAACGTTAAACTCAATTGAAATTCTGATTTCACAGAAATGTTTAATATTACAAAACGCCTTGAATAAAACCATAAAAAGTGTAGGTCAGAAAAAATTTAACTACCCCATTCTTACCTGTTTTCGAACCGTCCGGGGACATTTTCGACATGGTGCTGCCCGGTGAGTGATCCAACGTCGATTCGGCCGCCAAACTTCCGTCACTACTTTCCTGCGACATGAAACTGTCCCCCGTGAGTCTTCTCGTCAAAGGTGAGGACTCGAATGCGGCTTTTTTCGCAAATGATGGCGAACATTTCTCCAAGTTATCGATCGATCTAAAAATTAAGCTGCATAAATACTTAATTTAGTACAGCTTAATTTTACCACGTCGCATTTTATATTAAAACAGTCTTAAAACAGTTTGAGGACATACAACTAAAACTTTTATTTTAGACACATCTAAAAAAAATTTAGTATTTTTATAATCCTATTTTCAGACCTGTTTTCAAACTGCTTTAGGAGTTTTAGCACAGATTGGGGACATTTTTAACAGTTTAAGAACAATACAATTAAAAGAGTTCTAATAAGGTTTTAGAACATCTCCAAGACAGCTTTAAGCTAAAACTTTCATTAAGAAAGTTTTAAAGGGGTTTTAGGAATTTTTAGTCAGTTTTAGGACAGTTTGGGGATATTTTAAACAGTTTTAAAATAATACAGTTATTAAAAAAAGTTCTAAGACGGTTCTAGAACAGCTTTAAGCTAAAACGTTAATTTAATTAAGATAGTTATAAGACAGTTTTGAAACAGTTTTAGTTTTCAGTGAGTTTGGGGACATTTTACAAGTTATTTGGGGAGTTCTAAACACCTTTAAGACAATTGTAAGCTAAAATTTTTATTTAGGATAGTTTTAAGACCGGTTTTAAAAGTTTTCAGTCAGTTTTAGGACAGTTTAGGGACATTTTAAACAGTTTTAGAAGAATACACTTATTAAGAGAGTTCTAAGACGGTTCAGAAAATCTTAAATACAGGTTTTTAAAAATTTTCAGGCAGTTTTAGGACAGTTTGATGACATTTTAAATATTTTTAGAACAAGACAGTTATTAAAAGAGTTCGAAGATAGTTTTAGAACATCTCCAAGACAGTTTTAAGATAAAACTTTCATTTAAGATAGTTTGTAGATAGTTTTAAAGAGGTTTTAGGACAGTTTGGGGACAAGACACTTATTAAGGAAGTTCTCTAAGAAGGTTTAAGACAGTTTTTAAACGGTTTTAGTTTTCAGTTTTAGCAGTTTGGGGACATTTTAAACAGTTTTAAAAGAACACACTTATTAAGATAGTTCTAAGACGGTTTAAGAACATCTCTAGTACAGGTTTTAGAAATTTTCAGTTTTAGGACATTTTAAATAGTTTTAGAACAAGACAGTTATTACAAAAGTTTTAAGACGGTTTTAGAACATCTCCAAGACAGTTTTAAGCTAAAACTTTCATTTAAGATAGTTTTTAGACAGTTTTAAAGAGGTTTTAGGAATTTTTAGTTATAGTTTTGGAGCATAGTGCATCCCGTGGGATTTTTTGTGAAGGGAAGATGAAACTATCTGAAATCAGTTTTTTATACACAAGGCAGTAGTGTATTATCGGGTGTTTTGTTTAAAAATGTGTCAATTTTTTATGACGTCATTAATCCGATACCCAACTGTTATTTCAGGTATGCGTTTAAAAAATGTCGCATAATTTCGTAATTAGTGGTCCTATTAAAAATATATATATATATATATATATATACATATATATATATATATATATATATATATATATATATATAATCTCTTAAAATAACCATAAAAAAGAAAAAAAATTATTTAAAACATTTTTTTTATCTCAAATGGTTAAGAAAATATTGGCTTTTAAAACTGACATATTGTTATATTTTGCATGGATCGATTTGGAGCCATTTTGCAAGAAATTTGAACTTTTATGAGCTGTAACTCAGCTATTTTTGATTCGATTAAAACGATGCTTTTACCGTTGGATGCGAAATTTAACCACCTTTCAAACCATATATCGGATTTGCTATACCCTCTTGATGCTGATTTAAGTAAAATCTTAAATTAAAAAACAAAAATATACCGTCATCTAGGTGAATGCCCAAATAAGAAAAAAATGATTAAGTTTTTTGTTTTTAGCGCACCAAAATCACCCTAAAAATTTAAAATAAAGTTTCTATTTTTCCTTGTAAAACAGTGTAATAAATTATAATTAACAGGAAATGGTAATTAAATAGGTAATATTATTTTAAAAGAAAACTGTTAAAATTAAATATATAGAAATTAAAAATGCTTTTAAATTCAATAAAATACTATATAAAATCAAATTTAAACACAAAAACATACCTTAAATTAAGAAAAACAGCAAAACAGTATTAAAATCGTAAAATACTTTTGACAGTTCTATGTAAACATAAATTGATAAAGTCAAGGCACCCTTAATTTATAAGCAACCAATGAAACTACTTAAAACTGCTAAAACAGTTTTATTTCAAAAGTCACTGTTGCTATAGGCTAAAAAAATTGATGGTCCATCAAATTTGACGGCCCATACAATTATACAATTTTTTCGATACACGGTCGGTGATATGACAATCAAAAAAAGTCAAATGTAATTTATTTCAAAGGGCACAATAATAGTTATTTACGATATAAGTGGGATAAGAGCTTTATTAACGTACACATGCGAAATTTGCCCAACGAGTGCGTAGCACGAGTTGGGCAATCGCAAAAGTACGTTAATAAAGCGTTATCACACGTATATTGTACAAATTTTTATCTACGCCTCTAAATGAAAAAATAAACGGTAATTATTTTTGTCTAAGACTTAATTTAGGGTTATTTTGACATTTTGACTTTTTTATTTGATTGGTTAAAAGCAGAGAAAAACGCGTGCGTTAATGAACTTCTTATCTCACTCAAAATGAGTGGGATAAGAAGTTCTTATCTCACTGGCGTAGATAAAATTAATTATTTGGCATTTTATAAATGAATGTCGAAAATGGTGGACATTTTGGATTAGAAATGCTATAAACACCACCAGACATATTTTCAAGGTAAACACCCGGTACCATACAACTCAAAAAGGTATAAAAAAGCTATCCCATTTAGTCCCATCATCCCTTCATAACAAATCCCACGGAGAATATTTTATTGCTTTATGCTCCAGGACTAAGTTTTAGGACAGTTTAAGGACATTTTAGTTTTAAAACAACAGTTATTAAGGGAGTTCTAAGACCGTTTGAGAACATCTTGAAGACAGTTTTAAGCTCAAACTAAGGCAGTTTTAAAACTTCTAAAACGGTTTTAGGCAGTTTTAAAAGACATTTTAAACAGATTTAGAACGAGACAGTTATTAAGGAAGTTCTAAGGCGGTTTACAACATCTCTTAGACAGTTTTAAGCATTTAAGATAGTTTTAAAACGTTCTTAGGAATATTGGGATCATTTTAAAAACTTTTAGAACAAGACAGTTACTAAAAAAATTTTAAGACGGTTTTAGAAAATCTCCAAGACAGTTTTAAGCTACAACTTTTATTTTAGGTAAAGTAAAAGTAAGTACAAATAATGTTTGGTATAATCAAAAGCTAAAACGTATGAAAGATTTTTTGAATTTTTTAAATGATAATCTAAAAAATTCTAATCGTAAAGAAGATTATAATTATTATAAAGAGTATAAAAAACTCTATAGACTTGAAATAAAAAAATCAAAACTTAGTGCAAATAGCAACTATATAAATAATAGTGCAAATAAACAAAAAGCTGCTTGGAAAGTTATTAATAACAATAGGAATGCCAAAATTACTTCACAGAGTACAATAGATGCGAAAACTTTTAACGATCATTTTTTGCAGACAATTAATAAGGTAATTAATAACACCAACATAAATAATTTTTCCACTGACTTTGGAATAAGTGATGTTAGGTCATTTTTCTTATTTCCTGTTTCTTATAATGAAATGGCTAATACGATTAATGATCTTAGTAACTCCTTAAGTAAAGATGTGTATGGCCTGAATGGCAGAGCTCTTAAGTTGGTTTCTGGTATAATTGGCGATCCTTTGGTTTTGTTAGCGAATGAGTGTTTTGTTCATGGTATATTTCCAAATGTTCTTAAATTTTGCAAAATTGTTCCTGTACACAAAAAGGGTAGCTTAAAAGACCCAAACAATTTTAGACCAATATCTATTACACCTATTCTGGGTAAGGTTTTAGAAATCTTAATTAAGGGCAGACTTCAAAAATACTTTAATGAAAGACATTTTTTGAATACTTTTCAATTTGCATATAGAGATGGTCTCTCTACAATGTCACTAATTAATTCCTTAGTATGTAATATTGTGAAATCCATGGATGAGGGATGCATTGCTAAGGGAATATTCTTTGACTTGTCTAAGGCGTTTGACGTTGTGTCAAGAGATCTTCTTCTGGACAAGCTTAATCATTATAATGTAAGAGGCGTGGCCCTTGAACTAGTTAAGTCATATCTTTCCGATAGATATCAATGTGTAGAAATTGACAAAATAAAATCCGACTTTGTTCAAATGAAATTTGGAGTGCCGCAGGGATCTGTTCTTGGGCCTTTGCTATTTATAATTTTTATGAATGACTTTGTTGTAAACAATGCTTCCGTTTTTATGTATGCAGACGATACAACAATTTTATGTAAAAGCAAGGATGAAGCTTGTCTTGAAGAGGAGTCCTTGACTGCAGCAAGTGATGCCAAACTTTGGTTTGCTGATAATGGTTTGCTTTTAAATGAGGAGAAAACCCAAAGCATGTATTTTACTTTACAACCTTCTTTTAATAATCAGCTTTCAATTAAATATTTGGGAATATACCTGGATAGCAGAATGGACTTTAAGGCACATGTTTTAAGTTTACTAAGTAAGTTGTCAAAAAGCATCTATTTGCTCAGACAACTTCGTAGTCTATTATCGAGAAGTGTACTCAGAATGACATATTTTGCTGTTTTTCATAGCCATTTATCCTATGCTACTTTGGCATGGGGAAATTCTTCTAATGCTTACAAAGTTTTCCTTTTGCAGAAGCAAGCTGTGAGAGCTATTTATGGTGCTGGATATACTGATCACTGTAGGCCAATTTTTAAAGATCTGAAGATTTTGACCCTTAGTGGTCAGTATATCTTGGACTGTATCTTGTATGCTCATTCTGAGGACTATCAGTGCCAGGGGGATCATCATGGTCATGATACTAGGAATAGAGGCTTGATAGCTCTGCCGAAATGCAGGCTTTCTAAAATGCAGCAGTCTTTTAAATACCAATCTGTGATATTTTACAACAAGATTCCACCTAGTTGGAAAAAATATTCTCTAAAAAAATTGAAATCTTCTTTAAAATTGTTTTTGTTAGAGCATTGTTTTTATAGCACGAAAGAGTTTTTGGAATATTGTGATAGTAATGTAATGTATTGATGCCATGTAGTGTTTTGATTATTAATGTTTTTTAATTGTATTTTATTTTTTTTTTTAATTCTTTTATTTGCTTGTTTATATTTGTTGTATTCTTTATTTTATTATGCAACTAATTTTTCTTGTATTTATTCTTTTATTTATAATTAGTGTAGTTGATAATTATATATTTATTAATTTATGTTCCCGACTTGTGCACACAATTTTGTATTGTTTTTAAGCATAAATAAAGTATTATTATTATTATTATTATTATTTAAAACAGTTGGGGACATTTTAAAGAGTTTTAGAACAAGACAGTTACTAAGGGAGTTCTAAGACGATTTAAGAACATCTCTAAGACAGTTTTAAGATAAAAATTTTATTTAGAATAATTATAAAATGGTTTTGAGATATTTCAGGAAGACTTAGGACAGATTGGGGACACTTTGAACAGTTTTAGAACAAGACAGTTATTACGGGTGTTCTAAGACGGTTTTAGAACATCTCCAAGACAGTTTTAAGCTAAAACTTTCATTTAAGATAGTTTTAGAACTAGTTGGGAACATTTTAAAGTTTTAGAACACGAAAGTTATTAAGAGAGTTCTAAGACGGTTTTACAACTAAAACAATTATTTAAGATAGTTCAAAGACAGTTTTAAAACGGTTTTAGTTTTCAGGCAGTATTAGGAAAGTTTGGGGATATTTTAAACACTTTTAGAACAAGACATTAAAAGAGTTCAAAGACGGTTTTTAGAACATCTCCAAGACAGTTTTAAGATAAAACTTTCATTTAAGATAGTTTTGGGATAGTTTGGGGACATTTTAAACAGTTTTAGGGCATGAAAGTTGTTTTAAGACGGTTTTATAACTAAAACTTTTATTTAAGATGATAGTTTTAAAACGGTTTTAGTTTTCAGGCAATTTTAGGACAATTTGGGGATATTTTAAACACTTAGAACAAGACAGTTAAAACATTAGGTAGTTTAGAAGACATTTTTAGAACAAGACAGTTATTAAGGAAGTTCTAAGGCGGTTTACAACATCTCTAAGTCAGTTTTAAGCTAAAACTTTCATTTAACACGTTGATGGACACAGACAAATTTTTGGCGGGACCTGCTGCGTCACTTACACAGGCTCGTCATAAATCAGCTAGAAAATTGCGACTGCTATAGCCGTCGTGTCATATTGGGCCCGACGGCATTTGCAGTCCTGTCCATGAACGTGTTAAGTTGGGTTCAAAACCTTTTTAGGAAATTAGGGCACATTTTAAAAAGTTTTAGAACATTTCTAAAATATGGAACGCCGTTTTCGTTAATATTATTTGTTTTCAACATTTTTTAAATAAAAATCATTTTTATGATTCTTTACTTATATTGTTACATTTAATTGATTGTTTAAAAACCCTGTCCATATAGATTGAATGATGAAAATGTTTCTTTATATTTAATTTTTTATTTTAAATTTTTAAATTTAAAAAAGGAATTCAATTTATAATGTAACAAATTAATTTAACAATAATTTAAATTTAAGTAACATAAAATAGCCACCATTTAATTTAACAATTTAATTCAAACATAATAATGTAGCGAATTATTTTGACTGATGAATTAAAATGTTACATGATTTAAAATGACTGTTAATAAATTTAATTCTTTCATTTTAATTTAGGAATTAAAATTATCAACAAAATTTTAATTGGGCGCTGGAGATGGCAGGCAATGTGAATACTACTTAAAAAGTTTACTTGGCAACTTCGCATCTTTATTAAACCGCAGAAAAGTAACCTTAGGCACATGCAACGTTAAAACCATTGATTATTATACCCACAGACCTGTGATTATACCCCTTCACTAAACGGTCACGTCTTTTCGCGATTTTCAAGATGCAACATTGCCACGTGAACCTTTTAAGTAGTTCTCATATCGCCCGCTAGCTGCAGCGCCCAATTAAAATGTTTGTTGATAATTTTAATTCCTGAATTAAAATGAAAGAATTAAAATTATCAACAGTCATTTTAAATCATGTAACATATTAAATCAACTAACAAAAAAATAACAAACATTTAAATTAAGAAATTAAAATTATTAACAAACGTTTTAATTCCTGAATTGAAATGTTTGTTGTTTTTTTGCTTGTTGAATTATTATGTTACATGATTTAAAATGATTGTTGATAATTTAAATTCCTTACATTAAATTCAAAGCTTTTACGTGCCTGTTTAAACCTAAAAAAAAAATTTAAATATAAAGAAACATTTTATTTAATTAATCAATTTAAATGGCACAGTTTTTAAAACAATCAATTTAAATGTAACAAAATAAATAAGGAATCATAAAAATTATTTTTGGTTTAAGATATTAAAAAATTTATTTTTCAATTAAAAATTAATTTAAATGATTTTCTATTTATTATGTTACAATTAATTGATTGTTTAAAAACCCTGTCCATTTAAATTGAATGATGAAAAAAATGTTTCTTTTTATTTAAATTTTTCTTTTAAGTTTTTATATTTAAATAATGAATTAAATTTATCATGTAAAAAATTAATTCAACAATCATTTTAATTCAACTAACATAAAAATAGCCACCATTTAAATGAAAGAATATAAATTATAAACAAACAATTTAATTCAAACATAATAATGTAGCGAATTATTTTGATTGATGAATTAAAATGATTGTTTATTTAAAATGTTTGTTGAAATAAAATGTTACATAATAATTCCTTATTTAAATTTAAAAATTTAAAACAAAAATTTAAAAATAAGGAACTATTTTTTTCATCATTCAATTTAAATGGGCAAGGTTTTCAAACAATCAATTAATTGAATAAAAATAAATAAAGAATCATAAAAATGATTTTTATTTAAAAAATGTAAAAAACAAATAATATTAACTAAAACGGCGTTCCATACTAAAACAGTTATAAACAATTTTAAGCTATTTTTAGTTTATGGGTATTTTAAAAAGTTCGATTTTGACGCATTCTGAATGTTTTTTAGGCTAAAATAACACTCTCAATTTAGAAAGTCTTAACTAGGTTTATAATTTGACGATGAAACCAACTTTTCAACCAATAAAAACCTCAACGTTTCCCAATTTCCAGCCAAACAAAACCTCGCTTACCTGGACCTGGGAGTGGGGGTGATGACGCCCCTGAGCAGCGGCGAGTTGCGGCTCAGCTTCGGCGTTCGGCGGTCGTCGTTCAGGATCGGCGAGGCGAAGTCGCGGTTCGGGCTGCCGTCCGCCTGGAACGAGTGGCAGTCGTCGGAGGTGGGCGTCACCGAGCCAGGCCGGAAGAACGAGTCCAGCCCCTCGACGAGGTCTTGACTGATCGAGTCGGCCACGTCGGGCGGTTTGACCAGCGGCCGCGTGGGGGCGCGGGTTTTCGCTCTCCTCGGACGACCTAAGTTTAACATGATTTTATATTTTTTTTAAACAGTTTTTTCGACATTTAGGATAGCCTCAAATAGTTTCGAGGAATTTAAGACAGTACCATGCTCAGAAACTTTCATTTAAGACAGTTTCAGAATAGTTTGGAAACATTTTAAACATTTTAGAACAAGAAAGTTATTAAAAGTGTTATAAGGCAGTTTTAACACGGTTTTCAGGCAGTTTTAAAAGAGTTTGGGGACATTTTAAACAGTTTTAGAGCAAGATAGTCATTAAGAGTTCTAAGACGGTTTTAGAACATCTTTAAGACAATTTTAAGCTAAAACATTTATTTAAGATAGTTTTAGAATAGTTTGGGGACATATTTAGAAAAGGAAAGTTATTAAGAAAGTTTTAAGACGGTTCTTAAACTAAAACTTTCATTTAAGATAGTTCTCAGTTTTAAAACGGTTTTAGTTTTCAGGCAGTTTTAGTACATTTTGGGGATATTTTAAACAGTTTTTAGAACAGAACAATTATTAAGCGAGTTCTAAGACGTTTTTATAACTAAAACTTTCATTTAAGATAGTTCTAAGACAGTTTTAGTTTTGAGGCAGTTTTAGGACACTTTGGGGACATTTTAAACAGTTTTAGAACAAGACAGTTCTTAAAAGAGTTCTAAGACAGTTTTAGAACATCTCCAAGACAGTTTTAAGCTTAAACTTTTATTTAAGATAGTTTTAGAATAGTTTGGGGACATTTTAAAGTTTTAGAACAGGAAAGTTCTTAAGAGAGTTCTATTAAGGTTTTATAACTAAAACAATTATTTAAGATAGTTCAAAGACAGTTTTAAAACGGTTTTAGTTTTCAGGCAATATTAGGAAAGTTTGGGGATATTTTAAACACTTTTAGAACAAGACATTAAAAGAGTTCAAAGACGGTTGTTGAACATCTCCAAGACAGTTTTAAGATAAAACTTTCATTTAAGATAGTTTTAGGATAGTTTGGGGACATTTTAAACAGTTTTAGGACATGAAAGTTATTAAAAGAGTTCCAAGACGGTTTTATAACTAAAACTTTCATTTAAGATGATAGTTCTAAGACAGTTTTAAAACGGTTTTAGTTTTCAGGCAGTTTTGGGACAATTTGGGGATATTTTAAACACTTTTAGAACAAGACAGTTATTAAAATAGTTCTAAGACGGTTTTGAAACATCTCCAAGATAGTTTTAAGCTAAAACTTTCATTTAAGATAGTTTTATGACAGTTTGGGGACACTTTAACAGTTTTAGAATAAGACAGTTATTACGGGTGTTCTAAGACGGTTTTAGGACATTTCTGAGACAGTTTTAAGCTAAAACTTTCATTTAAGATAGTTCTACGTTTTAAAACGGTTTTAGGACAGTTTGGGGACATTTTAAACAGTTTTAGAACAATATATTAAGAGTTCTAAGACGGGTTTAGAACATCTCCAAAACAGTTTTAAGCTAATTCTTTCATTTAAGATAGTTTAAGAATAGTTTGGGGAGATTTTAAACAGTTTTAAAACGGTTTTAGTTTTTAGGCAGTTTTAGGACAGTTTGGGGATATTTAAAACACTTTTAGATCAAGACAGTTATTAAAAGAGTTTAAAGACTGTTTTAGAACATCTCCAAGACAGTTTGAAGCTAAACCTTTCATTTAAGATAGTTTTAGAATAGTTTGGGGACAATTTAAATAGTTTTAGAACAGGACAATTATTAAGAGAGTTCTAAGACGGGTTTAAAACTAAAACTTTCATTTAATTTATTTTTAAGTTTTCAAGAGTTCTAAGATGATTTTGGAACCTCTCTAGAAAGCTTTAAGCTAGTTTTAAGGAATTTGACCAGCATTTTAAACTTCTTTTGCTTTCAGGAAAGTAAATTTAAAAGTGTGTTTATTATTTAATTTTACCTTTGACTAGATGCTGAAGTTGGTAGGACGTATTTGGCAACTCCGTAACCGAATCCTCCTCCTCTGAATTTCTCGGTATAGATGGTAGCAAACTGGGTATATCATCTGCAGATAGACCTTCAACACTGTCTACCACCGATTTCGGACGCAATTTTCGACCGTGGAGGCTTTTTCTTTTAATCGAAAGATGCGGTGTTGCCTAAGTTAATAATTAGTTAGTTAATTTTGTGCCCCATCTGTTTGGGCTCTTTTTGAGATAAATTACAAGTGCAGAATTTCTATTGAATGTATAACAAAAGTTAAAATAAAACCAAAATTTAAAAAAAATATTACACATTTATTTTTTTAAATAGGTAGGTACACAAAAATAAAAATACCAAATCTACACTAGCAAATATAAAATTAAATACAATGTGCAAAAAAACTAAATAAAAATACAAAAACAGTGGTAAAAAATATTCTGTCAAATCATGCAGAATATAACTCATTTTAATAATACTTACTAAGTTCAAATATTCCAATTTCTGCATTCATCAAAGAATAAATATTAGGAATTAGTCAAATATAAAACTATTTCATAATGTTAACATTTTTTAAATGTTAATAGGCGCAAAATTTGTATAGATAAAATGACAAAAATATAGTCCGAGATTAAATTTTTTTAATCGATATAAATTTCGACTTTTCTTACCAAAGGCGAGTGATCCGACTGGTGGCTGCTGTCGGTGATGGAAATGTCGCTGGCGCCGTGCCGGGAACTATCAGAACTACTCAACCTAGACCTTCTGGGGGGCGAGTCTATTCTTATTGCACTTGCGTCGCCGACCAAAATTTTGTAGCTGCGCATCAACGCCTCGTGAATCTCGTCCGTTATTTGCTCGGAAAGATGCGACGCCAAAACGACGTTCAACTCCCTAAAGAAAAAAGTCGTTTTTTGATTGACCCTCGTAAATCGGTTTTAAGACGTTTTGAGATATTTCACATTTCTAAAACGATTTAGATTAGTCTTAAGAAGATTGGGAGACATTTTAGACAGTTTCGGGACATTTAGAAAGTTTAAAGAAGGTTTTGGGATATTTTTAAACAATTTTACGAGTTTTAAGACATTTTTAGATAGTTTTATGGAATTTTAAACTTCTAAGAATTCTATTTAAGAAGACTTGAAAACTGATTAAAGTTTTGGGACATTTAGAAACTCTTAAGAGAGTTTTAGGATATTTTCAAGCAATATAAATAGTTTTAGAAGAATGTTGGATAGTTTTGGGGAATTTTAAAGTTGTAAGATAACGATATTACATAGGTCAGTTTTAGAAAGATTTGAATCATTTGAGACATTTAGAAAGTTTTTAACCGATTTTAAGTATTAGGACATTTTTTAAAAGTCTTTGGGGAATATAAAAGTTCTAGTGTTTAAAAAACTTAAGGGTTGTTTAAGGATCCCTATTTTCAAAAAAATTTAAAAGACATTTAAGACATTTTTTAAAAAGTTTTGGGTAATTTTAAAGTTCTAAAAGTTTAAAAACGATTTTATTTCAGTTTTAAAAATATTTGAAAACTTTTTCGACAGTTTCGGGACATTTAAACATTTTTAAGTCGGATTAAGAATAATTTCAAACAATTTTCAGAGTTTTAGGACATGTTTATATAGTTTTGGGGAATTTTAAAGTTTTAAAACGATTTTGGTTTGCAAACTTTTTAAAGTTTCGGGACATTCAGAAAGTTTTTGGATATTTTCAAACAGAGTTTTAAGACATTTTTTGAGTTTTGGGAAAGTTCCAAGAGTTCTAAAACGATTTTAGGTATGTTTTAAGAAGATTTGCAAACTTTTTAAAGTATCGGGACATTCAGAAAGTTTTTAGATATTTTCAAACAATTTTAAGAGTTTTAAGACATTTTTTTATAGTTTTGGGGAATTTTAAAGTTTCAAGAAATCTAAAACGATTTTAGGTAAGTTTTAAGTAGATTTGAAAACTTTTTAAAGTTTTGGGACATTCAGAAAGTTTAAAAACGGTTTTGGAATATTTTCAAACAATTTTAAGAGTTTTAGTACATTTTTAGATACTTTTGGGGAATTTTAAAGTTCCAAGAGTTCTAAAACGAAAGTTTTAAGAAGATTTGAAAACTTTAAACTTTCGGGACATTTAGAAAGTTTAGAGACGGTTTTTGGATATTTTCAAACAATTTTAAGAGTTTTAAGACTTCTTTAGATAGTTTTGGGGATTTTAGGTAAGTTTTAAAAAGATTTGAAAACTTTTTAAATTTTCGGGACATTTACAAAGTTAAAAGACGGCTTTTGGATATTTTCAAACAATTTTAAGACATAAAAAAGTTAAAGGGGGGCGACTTTATAGGGGATCACCCTGTACAAAGCAACCAGGTAATAGGGACCAGAAAAAGGTAGGCAACCTAGCTGTTACATATTCTGTATGTTGTATGCTTTCCATTGGAATTTCGTTCATTTGGCAAGCAAGTCGGTGAAATTTAAAAAATTAATTATTTTTTTTTTAGTTTTTTATTTATTATAGATAGCCTTGATCATATTTTTTATGGCAACCCTATTGGTTTATGTTCAGAAACATATTTTATTTGATAAAATATAATTTTCATCTGGTAAGCAGATGGGTGAAGGTCGACCTTACTTGGGATCCTCTACTATTAGGAACATTCTCAAAGATTAAAAACGATTTAAGGATAAATTCCAAATTGGAATTTTCAATAAAGAATTCAATTGTACTAATATAACGATCGACCCTCGTATAAGCTTATCAAGCAACCCTCGTTACGAGGGCCTCGTATAATACAGGATACACACACACTGGTATGCTATTTAGTCGAACCAAAATGAGTCGTTTCTGCGCATTACGTCATCTGGATTATTTCTGTTTTGAAAGTTTGAAAGTATTTGAGGTTAATCGCTTTTATTTTTGTGTTTTTCTATGGTTTATTGTGTTTTCACCACATAATTATGTGATTTTAATATTTGTAAACATTGTTATTGTGTATTTGTGCAGTTAAAATGTCAAACTGTGCCGTGGCAACTTGTAAAAACTATGTTCGAGTTACAAAAGGAACAGAAATAAAATATTTTCGTTTTCCAAAGGACAGTAATTTGTCAAAACAGTGGATTTTAGCATGCCCTCGAGATGACGAAATTAACTTAAAAAAGTGTCAATTACATACCTACATTTTTTAATTATAAAATTAGATTTATTAGATATTATTCAATTAAAAAAATAGATTTTTACCAACCAAAGAGGAAGAGTTCTATGAACCAACCGTAGAAAAAATATATAGATGGTAAAAATATATTTTTTTAATTGAATATTATCTAATAAATCTAATTTTATAATTACCTTAAATTAAATTTAAGGGGTTCTCAGTAATTAAACTATTAGTCGCTGCAATCCAATAATTGAGTCCAAATACAATGCAAAAATTAGTCCCAAAGTAGGTTTATTTATCAATTTTCACTTTTTAAAAATATAAACAAGTAAATTTATCAAGTTTCACAAAAATTAGTCCCAAAGTAACAGTAAAAATATAAATAAGTAGGTATATTTATCAAGTTTAACTTCTTAAAAATATAAGCAAGTATATTTATCAAGTTTCACTTCTTAAAAATAACATATCTTCGTACATTAAATTTTAAAATTTAAACGCTGCAACAACATGTCATGCGCAAGAGAATACAAGCGCAAGAGCATACCAGTGTGTGTGTATCCCACAAAACTAGTTTTGTGGTGTATCCTGGTATAATATCAAGTACTCTTCTTCTTCTTCTTCCTCAACTGTCATATCCTTTTTCTATGCCTTTGAGGTTATGTTTACCAATAAAACGTGAATTCCGATGAAATTATGGAAGTAGTCCCGAATATAAGGCGTGAGGCGCCCAATATATTGGTAACGGGCACTCCAGGTGTGGGAAAATCGACTCTGTGCCAAAAATTAAGCGAGCTAACGGGCCTACAGTGGCTGGAAATATCGAAAATTGCCAAGGACAACAATTGTTTGGAGGAATTCGATGAAGTGTACCAGTGCCCCGTTTTAGACGAGGATAAACTATTGGACGGCCTGGAGGAAGTTATGCGTACAGGTGGCAACATCGTGGACTATCACAGCAACGAGTTTTTTCCTGAACGCTGGTTCGATGTTGTTTTTGTGCTACGAGTCGATAATACGACTTTATACGACAGATTAACCGCTAGAGGTTATACGGGGAAGAAGTTGAAAGACAATGTGGACTGCGAAATATTCCAGACGGTTTTGGACGAGGCCAAAAATTCCTACAAACCTGAAATAGTTCACGAGTTGCGCAGTTTAACTCCCGAACAATTACAAGACAATTTAAACCAAATATGTTTGTGGTTGCACCAGTGGATGGCAGACAACCAAAATTTATCTTAAACTAAGCCAATTTTAACGTTATTTTATTTTACATATTAGGTAATTAGGTATGTATATTTTGTTAATATAATAAATATACTATAAAATTATAACACTTACTTTAATTTATTCATTATGTCGGCCCCCGCTTGTTGTTTAATGCACGTCGTAACAAAATCGATGGGAATTTGTTTCTTTTTGTTGCATTCTTTTTTGATTTCTTGCACCCTTTCATCATCGTGCAATACATAGGGGCACTGCTCTTTGCAACATTTAAGCATTTTGTCGGTTGTAGCCTGAAAGTGTTGGAAGAAAAAAATTGTAGTTTTTATTATTCTAAATTGTATTTCTGATTTTCTTCTTACATAAAAAAAACAGTTTTACACTAAAAAATATGTTTTTAATATTCCAAAATGAGTGATTAACTTCCTAAAATTATTTTAGGAAGTTAATCACTTATTTTGAAATATTAAAAACACATTTTTTTTAGTAAAATAAAATTTTAAATTGTTTTCTTCATAAGTTTGACATTCTTAGATGTGGTATTTTTTTTTTATAATACTGCTTTTTGTATATTCTGAAAAATAACATTTTATTTATAAAGAATACATTTTGTGTACATTTTAAAACGTATTTTTTACGTTTTAATTTGACTTAATTTTCTTTTGATTACGTTTGAGTGTATGGCAAGCCGTTTCACTTTTTAATTGGATAAGAAATATTAAGTTAAATATTAATACTTTAAAAAATAAATTGCACAGATTGTTAAATTATTTATTTAATGCAATATTTTTGTGACACATTAATATTTAACTTAATATTTCTTATACAATTAAAAGTAAAACGGCGTGCCAAAATTGAATTTTTATTTTATAATTATTAATATTATGACTATATAATGAAAATTTTAGAATTAATTTTATGTTTACACATAAAATTGATTTGGCGCTGCGAAAGTGCGGCCGAAAGTGGCAACTGCAGTAGTTCCTCATATAATTATCACAAAACTAGAACCTTCTAGTTTTGTGAATTTTTTTTGTTTACATAAAAATAATTTCTATAATTGTTGCCACTTCCTACCGCATTCCCAAAGCGCCAAATTAATTTTATGTGTAGACATAAAATTAATTCTATAATTTTTATTATGTAAAGTCATAATTTTAATTGTAACATAAAAATTCATTGCATTAATTTTATGTGTACACATAAAATTAATTGTATCATTTTTTATTAGAATTAAAATTATATATACACATAAAATAAACTGTAAAATAAAATTAAATACTTGGTTTAAAAATCTTGTTTAAAAAAAAATTGTTCAACAATGTTTTTGGTCTCACCATAATTCCAATATAAATTTTAAAGTAAAAAAATAAAGAACCTCATACAAAATAAAAATGGACCAAATTTAAATGACGCAAATATTAATTCAACTAACGAAATAGTATTTAAAATGTAAAAATATATGTCGGGTAAAATATTGGAATGTTACAAAAAATGCGTATCAAATTAAAATGTATCATAAAAAATAATTATTATGCCTAGACATAATAATAATTCGCTATTTTTCCTATCAGTTTCCATTAAGTTTGACAATGTAAAAAACTGTATAGTCCATAATTTAAAAAAAACGACTTCAATTTTCTTTTACATTTAAAACATTTACGATTAAAAAGTGGAATGACGTGCAATATAAAAAGTTACACATTTTAGTTCAAAATTTAGCAAAAAAAATCATTAAATTACTTGTTAATTCTTACCTGCATGTAGTCGCAAATGCTGCCGTGAATTTCGTTGGCCACCTGTTCCAACTTGTCCTCCACAGGATGCAAACGTCGGTCGTCGCGGTGTTGCGCGACTTCCTGCAACCTAACCAGCAACTGCTTGGAATTTTCCGCGTCCTGAATGACGTCGGACGCGTGGTTCATGTCGCTTTTCGACGCCATCGAATCGTTGGCCATCGATTTTATCGCTTCCTGCGTCTGAGAAACCAACCTAAGAAAAAAAAGGAAAAACGTGTTTTAGGGACCAAAATTTTGTTTTTAAGTTGCTAAATTATATTACTATACTAAAATTTGCAATTTTAAATACAGATATATTTGTAAGTCTGATTTAACCATTTTAAATTTTTTTTGCATTTTAAACGATCTAAAATATAGATGACATATTATGTCATCTATATTTTAGAGCCAAAATGGGTTTTTGCCATGGCATTTATAAAATTATGATATTCATAAATCTTTGACAATTTTGAATGTTGAAAACAGAGTCTGTTTTTATGACTCTAAAATGTTTTTTTTTCATTTTAAAATTACGTTTTGCCACTCAAAAATATAGATGACATTCCAAAATGTGTTTATGGAATTTATAAAATTATGACATTAATAAATCTACGACATTTTAGAATGTTAAAAAGTCTGTCATTCTAAAATGTTATTTTTGCATTTTGAAATGACGTTTGGGCGCTCTAAAATATAGATGACATTCCAAAATGTGTTTATGGCATAAATTTATAACATATGGAATGTTTAAAACAGGCTCATTTATAAGTCTGTTTTTATTGTTCTAAAATGTTTTTTTGCATTGTAAAATGACGTTTTGGTACTCGAAAAATAAAGATGACATTTCAAAATGGGTTTTTGCATTCATAAATGTATGACATTTTAGAATGGAAAAACAGACTTATTTATAAGTCGGGTCTTATCACTTTAAAATGTTTTTTACATTTTAAAATGACATTTTGACGCTCTAAAATATAGATGACATTCCAAAATGTATTTATGGCATTTATAAAATTATGAAAATTATAAATCTATGACATTTTAGAATGTTAAAAAGTCTGTATTTTAAAATTACGTTTTGCCACTCAAAAATATGGATGAGATTCCAAAATGTTTTTATGGAATTTATAAAATTATGACATTAATAAATCTACGATATTTTAGAATGTTAAAAAGTCTGTCATTCTAAAATGTTATTTTTGCATTTTGAAATGACGTTTGGGCGCTCTAAAATATAGATGACATTCCAAAATGTGTTTATGGCATAAATTTATAACATTTTGGAATGTTCAAAACAGACTTATTTATTTTGTTCAATCGCGAATTAGATATGGAATAATGTTCTGGGGAAACTCCGTAAACAGTGGAAGAATCTTCACATTACAAAAAAGGTGCCTAAGAACCATATTTAAAATGGAACCACTAGATTCGTGCAGGGAGGCATTTGTGAATAATAATATCCTTACTTTACACAGTCTTTATGTCTATGAATGTATAATGTTTGCAATAAAAAATAGCTCCACCTTAACAGATCTTCAACATGATCATATATATAATACTAGAAACAAGGATCTGCTATATCCTGATCGAGCAAATTTCTCTTACTTGCAAAAAAACATATTATATATGATAGTCAAAATCTGGAATATACTACCCACATTTTTCAAAACATTAAAGATCAACCAACAAAAAGCAAAACTAAACAAGTTTCTAGTCAAAAAATGTTACTATAGTATTAATGAATTTTTGGAGGAGAAAGATTTCCATGATCTAGAATGTATTATACTTTCCAGCACTTGATGTATTGTTTTAATATTTTAATGTATGGTTTTAATATTTTAATGTATTGTTTTAATATTTTAATGTCTTATTCTAACTGTAGTTTTATCCTTTTGTAGAATTTTAATTGTGTATACTTATGCTTTTATTTTGAATTATTTATTGACACGATCTACACCTTTAGGGTACACTGTATAATAAGTTAAGTTTCTATTGTACATATGATCATTTATCGAAATATACTATATACTATACTATTGTTCTAAAATGTTTTTTTGCATTGTAAAATGTCGTTTTGGTACTCGAAAAATAAAGATGACATTTCAAAATGGGTTTTTGATTTCATAAATGTATGACATTTTAGAATGAAAAAAACAGACTTATTTATAAGTAAGTCTGTTCTTATTACTTAAAAATGTTTGTTTGCATTTTAAAATGACATTTTGACGCTCTAAAATATAGATGACATTCCAAAATGTGTTTTGGCATTTGTAAAATTATGATATTAATAAATCTATGACATTTTAAACTGTTAAAAACAGACTTATTTGTAAGTCTGTCATTCTAAAATGTTATTTTTGCATTTTAAAATGACGTTTGGACGCTCTAAAATATAGATGACATTACAATCTGTGTTTATGACATTCATAAAATTATGACATTCATAAATCTATGACAATTTAGAATGTTAAAAATTCTGTAATTCTAAAATGATATTTTTGCATTTTGAAATGACGTTTGGGCGCTCTAAAATATAGATGACTTTCCAAAATGTGTTTATGGCATTTATAAAATTATGACATTCATAAATTTATAACATTTTGGAATGTTGAAAACAGACTTATTTATAAGTCTGTTTTTATCGTTCTAAAATGTATTTTTGCATTGTAAAATGACGTTTTGGTACTCTAAAATAAAGATGACATTTCAAAATTGGTTTTTGCATTCATAAATGTATGACATTTTAGAATGGAAAAAACAGACTTATTTATAAGTATGGTCTTATCACTTTAAATTTTTTTTTGCATTTTAAAATGACATTTTGACCCTCTAAAATATAGATGACACTCCAAAATGTGTTTATGGCATTTATAAAATTATGACATTTATAAATTTATGACACTTTAGATTGTTTAAAAGTCTGTTATTCTAAAATGTTATTTTTGCATTGTAAATGACGCTTTGGTACTTTAAAATATAGATGACATTCCAAACTGTATTTATGGTATTTATAAAATTATGACATTCATAAATTTATAACATTTTGAAATGTTAAAAACAGACTTATTTATAAGTATGTTTGTATCATTCTAAAATGTTTTTTTTGCAAGTTTTGACGCTCTAAAATATGGATGACATTCCAAAATGTGTTTTTCATTAGAACAAATACGTAGGTCTATAGTTTTTTTAATCTGAAGTGTCACTTACCTATCTAGAACCTGTTGTTTTGAAGACAGCAAAAACCCTGGCTGCAAAGGCAGCGTCTGAGTCATGTGTTGCTTCAAAGAGACATTCCTATTTAGCGCATCCTGTATTTTCCTCATCACAACGTCGGTTTTTTCCGCGCTTGCCTTCATACAGGGCGCGATATCGAAGATGGGAAACGGCATGTACTGCACGGTCTTGTTACTCTCCAAAGCGTACGCTATATCGTTGTACCCCTGCAGAGAAATGTTGTTCCTGTCGTAGATGATGGTCTTCAGCTTGTTGTTTATCTGCAAGGCCTTCGCCAGAAGCCTAGCACCCGAGTCCCCGATCAAATTCCCGCTTATATCCAGCGTTTCCAGGGACTTGTTGTCTCCCAAAGCGTTTAGGAGATTGAACGTGTCCGATCGAAGTCTGCAGTCGGGGATTATCAGGGACTGCAGCAGACATTCGTCATCCTGCACAATCTGGACTATCGAGTCCATTATCAAGCCCATGTGCTTCTTCATGCTGCGCCCCATGTTCAAGTGTTTCAGGGACTTGTTTTTGCTTATTGCTATCACAACGTTACACAGATCGGAGTCCATACCTATGAGAGTGCAGAGTGCGGTATTTAAATGTTTAAACTACGGAAACATCAGCGAGATGTATGCGTTTAAACCAGGAGTGTGAACCGTGACAAAATTTCGGTCAAATTTCAAGATTTATTAAAATAACCAGAAATATTTTATTTCCTATGCTAGATTGTTATACAGGGTGTTACAACGAAAAATTTTCAACAAACATTTTCCAAAATGACGGCTGTCATAATGACAGGTCTTGAAATGACAGATACCTAAATAACAGCTGTTAAAATCACAGGTGCCAAAATAACGTCTGTAAAATGACGGATGCCAAAATAACAGCTGTCAAAATGACAGGTGTTAAAATGACGACTGTAAAAATGACAGCTGTCAAAATACCAGGTGCCAAAATGACAGGTGTCAAAATGACAGGTGCTAAAATAACAGCTGTCAAAATAAAAAGTACGAAAATGACAGGTTCCTAAATGACAGGTGTCAAAATGCAAGCCCTCAGAAAAAGTCGTCAAAATAACAGCCGTCAAAATGACAAATGACAACTGTTAGTCCAAATGTCAGCTTTCAAAATACCAGATGCCAAAATAACAACTGTCAAATTGACAGGTGCTAAAATAACGGCTGTCAAAATAAAAAGTGCGAAAATGACAGGTTCCTACATGACAGGTGTCAAAATGCAACCTCTCCGAAAGAGCCGTCATAATGATTGTACTCTTTAATTGTGTATGAGCACTTAATTTATGTTAAGCTTCATTTTAAAGACTATAAAAAACTCTGTGATACCCATTCCTATGATTCCAGAGGTGAAGACCAAATAATGGCATATCACTTTTTAATAGTCTTCCTATACACGTAAGACAACTTCAATTAAGTGTATTTAAATCAAAAGTAAAGAAAAGTCTGTTGTGTAACTGTTTATATCCAATATAAGATTTTTATGTTTGTCAATAATTTTAACCGTGAATTGAAAAAAAAATCATAAATTAATTTTAAATCTAGTTTTGAGATTGTTATTCATCATGTAAACAAGTTTGATCTTAATAATATCTATTGTGACGAGTCCTGAATGTATTTTTCTAAATGGATTAATAAATAATTAGAATTAGACAGATGTCAAAATGATAGCCGTCAAAATGATAGGTGACTAAATGACAAATGTCACCTGTTAAATTGACAGACCTGTCAAAATGACAGGTGCTTAAATGACATCAGTAAAAATGACAGATGTCGAATAATGGCCGTTTTTTTATTTTTTAATGCAAGTATTTAAGTTACGCACGAGCTTGAAAAATGCTTTTCTCACAAGTGAAACACAATGTATTTTATACAACAAACAAATGGTAATGTTTTTTCAAAATTTATAACCAATTTTATTTCAAATTTTACCTGACAAGCGTAAGCGGTTTTAACCTCACTTTTTACCAATCTGACTTTTTTGCTCGCACAGGTCGACCTGTCACTTTTTAAACAGAAACGTCACTTTTCATTTGAGTTCTGCCTTGCAAATGAAAATATTTAATTTCTTAGAAAGGGCGCCGTAGGAAATTTTTTTAATTTGATTGTGACAAAAAAGTAATAAACAAAATAATAAAACCAATAATAATAAATGTTTGGACCGGTCCAAAACTGCTTCAAAACTCTTCACCGGTTCACAACCCTGGTTTAAACATGTTTTCCTACAACTAAAGCAAAGAAAAACTTACTGTTATCGGAAATGTCGAGACTAGAAATGCAGCGGACCCCGTGCACGCAGGACTCCAGCACGTGTGCGCCTTGGCTGCCCAAACCGTTATTGCTTATGTCTAAACTCATCTCTTTGGTAAACTCGTTGCAGGCCAAGCCCAGCAGAAGATTTTTCAGCGCCTCTTGCGGCAACTTGCAGTGCGACATGTTCAAGCATTTCAGGTTCAGTGTGGTGCTGAAGAACTGCTTGAACGAGATGGGCGCCTCTTTGCTTTTCTTGCTGCTGAAAGGGTTTCGCGAGATGTTCAAGTGCACGAGGTTGGTCGTGCAACCTTTCACTAGCGCGCCGAAAATCTAAAGAAAACTCGTTTTTTTTTCGATTTTTTTTCGCACAAAATGGGGTAGTTAAATTTTTTCTGACCTATACTTTTTATGGTTTTATTCAAGGCGTTTTATAATTTTAAACATTTCTGTGAAATCGGAATTTCAATTGAGTTTACCGTTTTCGAGATATTTACAAAAAAAATCTTCTAATTACGTCACTAGGCTATTAACAACGTTGCCAGCTTTTTCTATGGTTGCCGGTGTGTTTAGTTTAAGATTCTTACGATAGATGGCGCCACTAGACTGGGCCAAAAAAATGACTTTTTTTTTTTTTTTGAAAAATATATCGAAAATGTCATTCAGAATAACAAATAAAAAATTTCGTGAAAATTTGAGCCCCTAATATTAATTTTAAGAGGTCTATCATCGCTATTTTTGATTTTTAGTCATAATTTGATGTTTTACGTTAGAACTGTCAAAACATTAAAGTGAAAAAAATTCCTTTTCACTTATTTTTATATAAAATTAAATTCTCTACAAAAAAGGTCTGATTGAAAATTTTCGTCAGACTAGCCGTTTCCGAGTAATTGAGCTCAATAAATCGATGTGTTTTTTCGATTTGCCCTTTTTACTTTGAAATTTTGTAACTAATGAATCAATGAATATTTTAAAAAGCTCACGTCGGATTCTTAAAGGAAATTTAATGTTCTACAAAAAAGGTCTCTTAACATTTTTGCCTAAATTTAATTCTTCAAAAGTTATTCACGATTAAAATCGAAGAAAAACTTAAAATTTCAATTTTTTCTTCGTGAATAACTTTTGAAGAATTAAATTTAGGCAAAAATGTTAAGAGACCTTTTTTGTAGAACACTAAATTTCCTTTAAGAATCCGACGTGAGCTTTTTAAAATATTCATTGATTCATTAGTTACAAAATTTCAAAGTAAAAAGGGCCAAATCGAAAAAACACATCGATTTATTAGGCTCAATTACTCGGAAACGGCTCGTCTGACGAAAATTTTCAATCAGACCTTTTTTGTAGAGAATTTAATTTTATATAAAAATAAGTGAAAAGGAATTTTTATCACTTTAATGTTTTGACAGTTCTAACGTAAAACATCAAATTATGACTAAAAATCAAAAATAGCGATGATAGACCTCTTAAAATTAATATTAAGGGCTCAAATTTTCACGAAATTTTTCATTTGTCATTCTGAACGACATTCTCGATATATTTTTCAAAAAAAAAAATAGTCCATTTTTTTGGCCCAGTCTAGGCGCCACGTTATAATATTTTAGTTTTAAAACCACTTGATCTATAATTTTAGTTGAGATTTTTTGACGTTTCTTTTTTTCTGGTTATGTTTTTTTTTAAATTTAGATTATTGAAAATCAATGTTATTGTTATGTTATTTGTAATTGATATTAGATAAGTGATTTATTAATAACGGGCTCCAAAGCAGAGGAATCTTGTGGAATGGTTGGTTACATTGAACATTGGAGCTTTTAAACAAATAAAGTAAGTACCTATAATTATAATCATATTTTGTCGTAAATGCATTTCATTAGTATAATGCCTAGTTCTTTATATTCTTTTAGATATATCTTGGACTCTAAAATATCAAACAGTAATATGATACCTCGTAATAAGGAAGATAGGTACTTAATGAATTTGGTGACCATCTTTCACTCAACTGACAGTGACAGTATTTGTACATAACCTCTTCGGGTATTTTCTGACATTACCGAATGAAATCATTAACAAGACAACTTGACAACAGGGTAATTTTCAACCAATAAAAATCTTAGAATGTTGGTCACATGGCGAGGTTTGTGACGTCATAAAAATTTATATTTTTTGTAAATATCTCGAAAACGGTAAACTCAACTGAAATTCTGATTTCACAGAAATGTTTAATATTACAAAACGCCTTGAATAAAACCATAAAAAGTATAGGTCAGAAAAAATTTAACTACCCCATTACTTACGTTTTCTAGGATAACGTCGGTCGCCGATATATCGATGTGTTGTAGAGCGTTCGATTGAGAGAGAAAATTGTGTAAAGACTGCAAGAAAAAATACACTGCATATTTTGGCGAAAACTTGATTCAAGAAGCTTACGCTAATGTCGTCCTTAAGGCTATTTCCGCTTAGATTGAGGTAGGTTAGAGTTGTCAGTACGCTGCTATTTTCTATTAAAGCGGCCGCCACGTGGTTCACGCCTTTTGAGCTAAGCCCGCAATGAGCCAGGTTTAAGTGAACCAAACCTTTGTTGAGCCTTTTTATACACGCGGCTGTATAAGTAGCACCTAAAAAGAAAAATGATAACGGTTTATTTTTGGCCAACGTTCTTGTTTTGCCTTTTTTTACTTTTGCAATTTTAATTATTAACATTTTATTTTTTGAGGGTTTTCCTATATTTTTTGTTTTCTTCCTAAATGTTTAGGTTTAACATTCTAATTTTACTATTTTTTATGGTTAACATTCTTATTTTGCTGGTTTTTCGGGTTAACATTCTAAGTTTTATGGTTAACATTTTATTATTATGCTTTTTTCTAAATGTTTATGTTTTTACTTATAATAATCTATTTATTTAAGGTTAATTTTGAGGTTTTTTCTACTTTTGATAATTTATGGTTAACATTATATTTTTTACGGTTTTTTGAATTTTTGTGTATACATCTTTTGCTAATTTTTTATGGTTAGATAAGATTCTACTTTTGCTAGTTTTTAACATAGGTACTATTTTTATCTTTTTTCAAGTTTCTAGAGTTAAAAACCTAATTTTGCTAATTTGCCATTTTAAAATTTCAATTTTTATAGTTGACAGTATATTTTAATGTTTTTAAACGCTGTTTTTTCTGCTTTTATAGTTAACATACTAATTTTTTATGGTTAAGATTATATTTTTTCTGGGTTTTTTCTGCTTTTGCTAGTTTTTATGGATACCATTCTAATATTTATTTTTTATAATTTTTTTGGGTTAACATCCTTTTGTTTCAAAATTTTTAGGGTTGACATCCTTTGCTATTTTTTAAAGATTTTACTTCTGCTGTATTTTTTCTTTTGCGAGTTTTTATGATTAACATTCTTATTTTTGTGGTTAAAATTATAATTTTGCTGTTTTTTCTACTTTTGCTAATTTTTATGGTTATTTCTAAATTTTTAGGGTTTACCTTGTAACTGCTATTTTTTATGGTTACCATTCTAATTTGTATAGCTTTTTGTGGTTAACATTCTACTTTGGCTGTTTTTTTAATTTTGCTTGTTTTTAGGGTTAGCAATAAAATATTTTGTAATTATTTAAGGTTCAGATGCTACTTTTGCTAGCTTTTATAATTATAATTTTGCTGTTTTTTCTGCTTTTGCTCATTTTTATGGTTATTTCTAAATTTTTAGGGTTAACATTGTAATTTTGCCTATTTTTTATGGTTAAAATTCTAATTTATATGGCTTTTCCTAAATTTGTATGGTTAACATGGTTATTTTGTTAACTTTTTATGGTTAAGATACTACTTTTGCTGTTTATTTCTGGTTTTGCTAGTTGGTATGGTTAACATTCTAATTTTTGTTATCTTTCTAAATTTTTTTGGTGTAGAAATCTTAATTTTGTTAATTCTTATGGTTAACATTATAAGTTTGATAATTTTTTCTGCTTTTGCAATTTTTTATTTTTAGGACATTGTAACTTTGCTAATTTTATGGTTAACATTTTTATTTGTATTACTTTTCTTAAATATTTATAGTTATCCTAATTTAGCTAACTTTTTATGGTTAACATTCTTCTTTTGCTGTTTTTTTTTCTGCTTTTGCTAGTTCTTATGGTTAACATTCTAATTTTTATGTTTTTCCCAAATTTTTAGGGTTAACATCTTAATTTTGTTAATTTTTATAATTATTGAAATTTTGCTGTTTTTCTGCTTTTGCTAATTTTTATGGTTAACCCTAAATTTTTGGGGTTATCATTGTACATTTTCTAGTTTTTTATGATTAATAGTCATAGACAATAGACATTCTAATTTTTATGTTTTTGCTATTTTTTATGGTTAACCCTAAACTTTTGGGGTTATCATTGTAATTTTGCTAATTTATATATAATGGTTTACATTCTAGTTTTGCTCGATTTTTGCTTTTGCTACTTTTTATGGTTGACACCTGGGTAACATTATGATTATGCTGTTTCTCTGTTTTTGATAATTTTGATTTTTTTAGGTTTTATGGTTCACATCCTAACTTTGCTATTTTATTATGGTAACATTCCACTTTTGCTGTTTTTTTGCTTTTGCTAGTTTTTATGGCTAACATTCTAATTTTTATGGTTTTTCCTAATTTTTGTTATTAAAATTTTAAGTCAAGCTTATAAAATTGGTAATGTTATTTGGTAATATACTTTTATATCCATTATGATGTTTTTAGACTGTAAATAATTGTTATTTTGTCTATTTGTTGCATTAGTTATGGTGGAGGATAGAATGCGGCACCAGTCTTGTTTAATTATAATGAATTACTTACCTTTATCTTCAATTGGATTACATGATAAATCAATGGTATGTAAAGCAGTGGCTGGATTTTGTTTCAAAATATTGGACAATTTGTTGACGAAATCCGACTTGAGGCCCAAATTATCCAAATAGATCTCCTCCAAATTCAAGGACTTGCGCAGGACCCCGAAAATCCTGTCGACATTGTCGTGCGACAGCTTCACCTGATTCGCGCGCAATTTCGTGAACCACGTGTTGTATTCCAGGGCACTTATTATCGGTATCAAGTCTCTAAAACAAAAACAGAAGTTTAGCCAGTTTTTATAAATATGTACTTACTTGATGCCTGTCATAGCAAAACCGACAATCTCCACTTTTGGTCAAAAATAAGATTTTTGGCGGAGACTGTACTTCAACTAATTATCTAAAAGATGATAAAGTTTATGTGCTGCAAAAGGAGCTAAATCCTGCCTAAAATCCTATTTTAAAAATGACATTTAGTGCAAAGTCGACAATCTCCACTGATAGATTTGCAGCAAAGTATACAATCTCCAATTCCACCATTAGAAATTAGTAATTTGTCACCTAATATCCTAACATTTGATGTTATAACGTATTTTAGAGATTACATTTTGTGTTTTTTTACTGGTACATACTGTTAAGTTCTATTCCAGTAAATTGCACTTAAAAATATATTTAAAATATATATACGTTTTATTGTTTTAAGAATTATAAAAAGTTATCTTGTTTATTTTGTGCTATTATACCATATTAAGACGGTAAAGCAAGATAAACATAATGTCAAAACATTGCAAGTAAAACATTACGGGGCAAAGTGGGAAGAAGATGATGAGTTGTTGTACTTTTTTTTGCATGAGGCAACCTGGTCCCAGATTTAGAAGAAACTCCAGATTTATGTGGTCCAGTTCAGAATTTTCCCACATTGATTGTATAGTTAAATATTATAACCATTAAAGGAAAAAAATACAATTATTTTTTTGTTTATTTTTCTAAATCACCTTAAACGTTTACAACAAAATGAGCAATCTCCAGCAATTCATATCAAAGTCAGCAATCTCCAATTTATAATTATAGATTTCACCTATACTATGCATCCTGGAGACCTTGTAGTTTGATACTAGACTAACAACAACAATATTTCAATATAAAATTAAAAAAAATTACAAATCTAGAATTTAAAATAACAAAATCAATTATCTCAATTTACTCAGTTTTAGTCTGACGGGAGATTGTTGACTTTGCTCTGACAGGCCTCACTTATAATCTTACTTTTGATCGAGATACTCGAAATCCTTCAGGCTCAGTTCGCGCGTGTTCAGAGACACGTAAATGTTGTCCACGTCCCAGGCCACCTCCTCCCTGTAAGTCATGCTGTGGAAGTCGCACATGCACGCGTATTGCGTGGAAAAACCCCCGCAAGGCCCCACTTCCCGCCTACTGCTCGCTATCGCCTCCATGTCCCTCAGCTGCTGCAACCTCGTGTTCGGGATCACCTCTATCTAAAGAAAAAAAAAGAAGACGCCTTGAAGTCCATTTGTTCGTTTGTTATTTACTCCGTCTCACAGTGTTTCAATTCTCGAAATTATCGGCAAAATATCAAGGAGTAGTCGGATTCTCCTAAAAATCCGTATAAAGAGGTTTTTGGGGTCGCTGATAACGAATCTGGAAACAGAATTCCAAAATTCAAAATGGTAGATCCAAAATGGCGGACCTATTTGTCAAAAAATTGACGGAATAAATTGAAAATCACCATACAGGGTTTTTGGGGTCGCTGATAACGAATCTGGAATCAGAATTCCAAAAATTTTAAATGGTAGATCCAAAATGGCGGACATATTTGTAAAAAAATTGACGGAATTAATTGAAAATCGCCATACAGGGGTTTTTGTGGTCGCGGATAATGAATCTGAAATCAGAATTCCAAAATTCAAAATGGTGGACCTCAAATGGCGGACATTTTTATCAAATATTGTCGAAATTAATTAAAAACCCGTAAGAGGTTCTTTTCAAAATGTAATAAAATATCTTTTTATAAAATAGCTTAATTTAGTTTATTATAATTACATTTATATGATATTATTTAATACCTACATATATATTAAACAGTCTCCGTCACTGGATTCGCTCGTTGTATCATTAGCAGAGCATGGGAAACCATCAGAAAAGAGCAACAGTTTTATTGCTTCGCGGGACAAAGATTTGCTCTTTTTCGGAGCAAATTTTCTGAAGCTAGAAATATACGGATCGGAAGATGCCATAAGCCAATGGAAAACATCTTCCATCGTTTTATCCCGAGAAACTTTCAACATTTTTTTATAAAATTTAAATATAGATTTTGTACTAAGTATTTTAAATTTGTTTTATTTATTTTACTTAATATTTTAGCAACGATTTCTTAATTCGCTAAAAAAATTGTCAACACAAATAACCACAATTCAAATTTGACATTAACACACTACAATGCGCATGCGGAGTTGTTTTAACGCACCTACAAGAGGTGGGTTAAATATGTAAAATCGGTGTTAAATATCTTAGTAGTCACGAACGATTTACGCAAGTGAAAGTCTAGATACCGCTGTTGTAATAAACGTTTTGAGTTAAATCCGAGTGAATCCAGTAAACGTCATAAACACAATCCAGAAATAAAAAAAATCTTATATTTTGTAAAGCAAAAACACAGATACGCGCGCGACATAGGCTTAAAATCGCGATGTTTTTTTACCACAACCATGCCTGAGCGCCCAAGAACATGTAGTTTTAAAGAGCCTGGGGCAAGTTGGGGCAGCTAATTTATTGATGGCTTGATAGACAAAACTCTAAGCTATTCAACGGATCTTGAACTGATGCCTTACAATTCATTACAATTTTTGTAGCTCCATTGTTCTAAAAGCTCGATTCAAAGTTTGCGATTTTAACAGACCGATCTTGTCGGTTACAATAACCCGTTCTACAAGCAAAATCTACGAAAAACAAATACATATCTGAATTTTAGATACCTTGAAGATCACCCTTCATCAAACCGCATAACAATCGGATACACCAAACACAAGTTAAACAATAAACAATTTTCCGCAGCGATTGCGTGTAAAGTACCTTCAACTGAAAGCGTCAAGTTTAAACTGATGTACAAGACAAAATATACGTATTTTATATAATTTTTTTTCAATACTGGATGGAGACAGGCATTAACTACCCATCTAACTCAAAATTTACCTGAAAAAAAATGTCAATTTTTGAGGTTTTGCCGATATTTTCCAGAATCGAAACACTGTGCGTCTGTCAAATAAACAGATGGGGTTTCTTTGGTACCTTTTTGATGATGTGGTGCAGGGGTACGGTGGGAAAAATGTTTCTGATGGCGTTGTTGAGGGCGCCGATCATGTTGTCGACTTCGGTGCTGCACGTGGAATCTTCCCCCGTCAAAAACGAATAGTTTTTGTCGTTGACCGTGAGGCTTAGATGGTTGCCGCGTTTGCTCTCCAACGCTTGTATTTCCAAATAGTGGAAATGGCAGTCGATCTAACGTAAAATAACATAAATGTTTGAATCTTCTAAAATAGAGCTGCATTTCATAATAACGACTTAGTTCTTTTTCGATTTTATTAAATAACTTTGAAAAATTTGATTTATAGGAGTTTTTCAGGCCGGTAAAATTAAATTTCTTTAAAAAAATTAATGTAGGTTGTAGAGGGTGCTGTCTGCCACCATTTGCATACGGTTAAATGGTCAAATCTTTTTAGCGCCTTAGTGTATTCACGTTTTTAGTAACTTTTTATTTTTATTATGTGAAAAAGGTATACATTTTACAAGTAGGTAATTTGTATGGCTTTTCCTAAATTTTTACGGTTAACATCCTAATTTTGCTGTTTTTTCTGCTTTTGCTAGTTTTTATGGTTGACATTATTTTGTGTTTTTTTGCATTTTTTAATTTTTTATCGTTAACATTCTAATTTGTTTAGCTTTTCCTATATTTTTAAGATTAACATCCTAATTTTGCCCATTTTTATGGTTAACATTCAACTTTTGCTGTTTTTTCTCTGCTTTTGCTAGTTTTGGTTACCATTTTAATTTTTATAGTTTTTGGGGCAAAATTTTGATAATTATTATGGTTAACATAATAATTTTGCTGTTTTTTTGTTGATATTGCTAATTTTTAGGGTTAACATTAAAACTTTTCTAATTTTTTATCGTTAACATTTTAATTTGTATAGCTTTTCCTAAATTTTTAAGATTAACATCCTAATTTTGCTCATTTTTATGGTTAACATTCAACTTTTGCTGTTTTTCTCTGCTTTTGCTAGTTTTTATGGTTACCATTTTAATTTTTATAGTTTTTTGTGGGTAAAAGGGGATAAGTCAAAAAAAGCAATTTTTCAGTAGAGCCTTAAACGTATTCGTATTAATTCAGGAAACATATTTATGGTTAGCGGGTATACCCTTTTGTTAGCACATGTCATATGCTAACAAAAGCGTATTATCTTTGCGTATACCCGCTAAACATAAATATATTTATTAATATATGAATAAAAACAACACTGTTTTAAAGTTTCACTAATTTATATAATATTTATAAATAAATTAGTGAAACTTTAAAACAGTGTTGTTTTTATTCATATATTAATAATATGGAGTTTCATCAAGTAAAGGTCGAAACAATCAACAATAAATATATTTCCTGAATTAATGCGAACACGTTAAAAACTCTATTGAAAAATTGCTTTTTTTGACTTATCTCCTTATGCCTTTTACCCACAGTTTTGTTGTGTTTTCTACTTTTGCTGAATTTTTAGGGTTAAAATCTTAATTTTGCTGTTTTTTTCTGCTTTTGCTAATTTTTAAGATTATAACTTTGTTAATTGTGTATGGTTAACATTCAACTTTTGCTGTTTTTTCTGCTTTTGCTAGTTTTTATGGTTGACATTATTTTGTGTTTTTTTGCATTTTTTAATTTTTTATCGTTAACATTCTAATTTGTTTAGCTTTTCCTATATTTTTAAGATTAACATCCTAATTTTGCCCATTTTTATGGTTAACATTCAACTTTTGCTGTTTTTTCTCTGCTTTTGCTAGTTTTGGTTACCATTTTAATTTTTATAGTTTTTGGGGCAAAATTTTGATAATTATTATGGTTAACATAATAATTTTGCTGTTTTTTTGTTGATATTGCTAATTTTTAGGGTTAACATTAAAACTTTTCTAATTTTTTATCGTTAACATTTTAATTTGTATAGCTTTTCCTAAATTTTTAAGATTAACATCCTAATTTTGCTCATTTTTATGGTTAACATTCAACTTTTGCTGTTTTTCTCTGCTTTTGCTAGTTTTTATGGTTACCATTTTAATTTTTATAGTTTTTTGGGGCAAACATATTAATTTTGATAATTGTTATGGTTAACATAATAATTTTGCTGTTTTTTGACTTTTGCTAATTTTAGGGTTAAAATTATTACTTATATTAATTAGTATTTTTAATTAATTTTCATAGCTTTTTTATATTAACATACTAATTTTGTCTATTTTTTATGGTTAACATTCAACTTTTGCTGTTTTTTTCTGCTTTTGCTCGTTTTTATGGTTACCATTTTAATTTTTATAGTTTTATAGGCAAAAATATTGATTTTGATCATTTTTATAGTTAACATTATAATTTTGCTGTTTTTTTTGCCTTTGCTAATTTTAAGGGTTAACATTATAACTTTTCTAATTTTTATGGTTAACAATCTAATTTTTATAGCTTTTCCTAAACTTTTAAGATTAACATCCTAATTTTGACTATTTTTTATGGTTAACATTCAACTTTTGCTGTTTTTTTTCGCATTTGCTAGTTTTAATGGTTACCATTTTGATAATTTTTTTTTATATTTTATATAAACAAAAAAGAGGTAAAAAAACTACACAAAATTTTTACATAGAGCTTGCGGAAAGTTTAATTGAAAAATATGCTCGCGCTTTATAGACCGACATTTTCCATCAATATTTCCACCTACGCCAAATAAACAAAAAAAAATAAGATACTGGTGTTTGCAATGTAGAACCGGCCTATGTCCGGCGCCCTGTTTCGGTGTTTATCACAGTAAACAATAAAAATTGGGTTTTTATTATTTTAACTTATTTTTTGGGTAAAAACTAACTAATACCTCTATTTGCTTTTTCCTGGTGTGTATACATATATGACGTATATATTCGAAAGGATATTTTATTTAGTAAATTTAAATATAACAATTTGATATAAAATGTATTTAAAACAAATAGAACTTGTTTTTTTGCTTATTATTATTTTTTATAATGAATATGACTTATACATTCGCAAGTGTCCACCACTTAACCTTAACAGAGCGACCAGTTAAGAGGTTAAGAGACGCTACAATTTTAGTTACTGTCCAACTTCGTCATTGTTTTTCAAAATTGTATGTATAGAAATAAACAATTTAATGCACGTATCTTGAAAACGGTTACTTGGAGCGACATTTACAAGGTGTACCTTTTTTGCGAAATATAGATGAAAAAGTAATATTTTTATTAAAACCAATACCAAGGCGCAAAAAAGATGTGACCATTTAAACCTATGCAGGTCGCAGACAGCGCCCTCTACAACAGACATTAATTTTTTTAAGAAATTTAATTTTAACGTCCTATGATAAATACTTTATTTTGTAATTTAACTTACCTTTGTTGGCACTTTTGCGGTAAGCAGCAAAATTCGACATGGCGAAAATACCTAAAATAATATTTTGTTAAAATTGCAAACAAATCAAAATGTTTATTTTAATAATACTTTAATTGGAAAGAAATGTAAAAAAATGCTTTATACTGATTTTGATTCATTTTATTTGGCACTAATTTCTGTTAATTTGTTTTAAACAGGGGTCTCGAAAATGCGGAGGGTAAGTATAAAAATAACTATTTTTATAAACTACTTTGAACATATTTTTTTATAAAATATAAATTCTTGTAAATAAGCAATAACAGCAAGGCCAAGTCAAAATAATGGTTTAAATCCAAAACATAGGGACCTGGACTATGTAGTAAATAAAATGAATTTTATTGTTCTGCTATTAAATATTTTTAATATAACTTATGTACCTAAAATGCTTATGCATAAACCATAAATTATAATAATTATTACTTATTAAAAACAAATAATTTATAACCATGTTTATTATATTTTAAAACTTAAAATAAATATTTAAAAATAAAATAACTAAAAATAACTTTTTTAATAAAATTAATCATTATAAATATTAAAACCACATTTTTACACAATGATACCACAATTGATAAAAAATGCTATATCAAAGATTTCAAGAATCCAGATTAGAGGTTTTTTATCAAATTCATATTTTTTTTATTAAAAACAAATAATTTATAACCATATTTATTATATTTTAAAACTTAAAATAAATATTTAAAAATAAAATAAACCAAAAATAACTTTTTTAATAAAATTAATCATTATAAATATTAAAACCACATTTTTACACAATGATACCACAATTGATAAAAAATGCTATATAAAAGATTTCAAAAATCCAGATTAAAGGTTTTTTTATCAAAATCAAAAAAAAAATAGTTGACCACAAAAATCAATAAAACCCAAAAATGCAATCAAAATTATTTATTTTATTCTTATAAATTATTTATGTACAAAACTTAAAAATACTGAATATTTACACATTTTATGAATTAGCTACGAATCATCCAATTTACAGACATCCTCATATTGTATACCAGTCAGTTTTCTGCCCTGCAATACACCAGTTGATATTTCAACCTCAACACAAAAATTTTTCTCATCTATTGACAGTAAAGTGGCTGTTTCACCCCTGTAAGCCCCATTCACTATTTTTAATAATTTTCCAAAAGCTGGAATAACAGTTTCTAAATGTGCCTGGTCAAGTTTAAGTTTTTGCCCGGATTCAAATAGTTTTACAACCGCAACATATTTGTCTATAACTTCACGAATAACCCCTTTTTGCTTGTGGTATTTCTCTCCGAGGCTTTTTGTCACAACTTTAACCACAATGTTTTCTGTGAGCCAGTAGTCTTTACGGTTTCTCAGTTCCTTCTCCTGTTCTTGCAACTCCTTTATCTCATCCAGTGCATTCTTTTTTCTGTTGTCCAATTTTGATGGTTTTTTTAAGGTGTCAGGATCTGCAGGTTTTTTAAATAGTTTGCTTAGCGGTACCTCAGATATTTGCTTTCTTTGCTCTAATTTTATATCAAGTTTGACTATTTCATCCCCATTTCTCTCCAATTCCGTAAACATGGGTTCTACAGATGGTCCAGCTTTTTCCTGTGCCAATTGAGCTTGTTTCTCCACAAAAGCCATAGTTTTTTCTTCATCAGTTTTGTCCATCTTAATTTTTTTGTTCTTACGTTCCTCTCGTTCTATCGTATCAGGATCTCTATCAATGTAGGTTATAAACCAACCCTTCTCTGTCTCGTCGACTATACATTTACCCGTTCTACCACACCACTTCACAAACCCTGTCAGTGTGACCCACCTGGTACCATTCATATGCACATGATTTCTATCAGCAATATACTCCTGATAAACCCTGTTCGCACTGACTCGTTTACTCCCAAACTGCCTCCTGAGGATCTCCAAATACCCCTTGGCAAACTCATAGGAAAAATCGTCGATGTACCTCTTGGAATTATCGGCAAACAGCAACAATTGCCGCTGATGCGACTCCGACATAGTATGGCATTTAAACCCATTCTCGTCTCTGCATTGTTTCTGACACATCTGGCAGTACCAGCGCAACTTCTGAAGCCCCTTGGCCTTCATTTTGTTGGCTAGGTACTTGGGGGTACCCACCTCTGCACGCGGCATCTTAACTTCTTAAAAATAACACGAAAAATACGTCAAGTTTTGATGTTTTCACTGAAAACATTAAAATGACACCCTATTATGACAGGTGGATGGGCGTGAAGTTTGACGCATCAGTACTGCCAACTGTGGGCAGTTTATGGGTATTTTTAACGCGAATATTGTAGTTCATGTTTATGTCGGTTATAATACATAAAAATTACATAAAACCTGCTAAAAGTCTCGGTTCTTTTAGTTTATACAAGACTTTTAAGACTTTTAAGTGGAAAAATAACACAAAACAATAAATTACACTGAAGTTTGACGCGTTAGCAGTGCCAACATTGTGAAAATTAAGGCGTTTTTATCGATTTTTTAATTCGAATTTTGTTGTATTTATGCGGGTTATAATAAAATTCACTTACCAAAACCCTATTTTCAGTCTTGTCTCCTTTAGTTTCCAGTCGAACAACATTTTTGAAAAGTATTTTTACTTTATTTCCAACAGAAGATTTAATACTCTCTGAAAATTAAAATAAACCAACTATTAACAATTGAAATACATTATAATTTATAATTTATGCATCAGGCATCAATAAATTACCATCAGTTAGTTTATCTAGCACGTTTTTATTTACTTTAATACATGACCACATATTTAAAATGCGCTAAAAACAATAAAGATAATTGTGAAGCTTCATTATCAGATGAGTAAACACAAATAAGCAATTGCATGACATAGTGGGTGATTCATATTAATATTGCATATTCTGTAGGCATATAAACCACGTAAAATTAAATATAAACGATCAATTACAATTCATTATCCAAGTGTATAGGGTCAGTGGGTCAAATAATGTGCCATTGGTCATATTATGCTACCTATTTAACTCTTTAATAACTTAAAGTCAACCAATTAAACGCTATTCTACTCGTTTTAAATTCCCCTGTATTGTAAATATTTATATTTCAAAACAATTCGCACTTTGGCAATGACACTCCCCTTTCCAAGGTTTCACAAACTCCGTAAATGTAAACATAGCATACATACCATTTAGGTCTTTTGTTAATTGAGATCTGGTAGACATAATTTACACAAATAATAACCAGGTTCTTCATTTAAATGTTGTTTCTTTTAACCATTTCATAGTTTAATTGATTACAAATTAAATTCGTTCAGCTGTCATCGTCATTTTTCGGGTTATTAGGGTGGTGTCAGTGGGTTTTGTGTGTTTTGCAAATTCTACCACCACAAAAAACACCCCAACCACTAACACAAAAACAACTCAAAATCAACACAAAATTAAATCTTACACAAAATAATAAACTTAATACGCGTTTTTTGTTATATTATAATAGGTATAACATTTTATTGCCTAAATATTTAAATTATTTATCGATTGATGAATCACGCGTCGCCAACCTATAGAAGTGAAAATTCCCCAGTTGTTAACCCCGATTTGCTAAAAAATATGTCAAAGGGGAAAGTTTAAAAAGATTTCACCAATAATTATTCTTAAATGTGAATGAAAAATGTCGCTCGTCACCCTGTTTAAGTCTGTTAGAATCAACCTACGATGTGAGTATTTTTTAACCCTATTTTATAGCAGTTTTTTTGTAACCTATACGTCAAACAGTTTTCTTTCAATTGTGTGCAAAAAACTACGTGTGAAAATAGTATAGTGAAATCCATATCTATCGCCAAAACTAATTTCATATTTTTTGTCATTAGGATGTACAATATTTTAAACTGTGTGAAATTGTCAACATTTTAAGAAAAATATGGTTAGATTTGGTTTTTACTATGATGACATTCTTAAAATTATATCAAACTCAATTTGACATTCTTAGCACAGTTACCACACACAACTTGACTTTCTTAAAACCGTCATATCTATTAAATTTTACATTATAAGGCAGTTACCTATATCTAGCTAAAGTTGACATTCTTAACCCTTAAGCAGGCACGCGGGGTGTACAAAACACCCCAGCTTCCTAAATATAGCCACCGGTCTCAATTCGTTTCGAATAAATGGCCCTTACTTTCAGTACCTTCCTGTCAAAGTATTGTCAGTCATATTATATTGCCGATTTCGAAGTTAATGTAATAGGTTGTCTGATATTTTGTTTCAAACAGGCTCTGGGTGCTGTGGACACCCCGTGCGCCTTTCCACGTACAATTATTTTGCATTAATTTGTCAAGCTGATTTTTTCAACTTTTGTTATTACTTCACATTAAATAAGGTTATACCCTGTAAAAAAGTAATTAGAACGCACGACAAAATATTTATTTTTATCTTGAAAGCATATGTGTTATGTTTTGCTTGTTTCTGTTCGTTCTAATATTTTATGTAAACAACAAATAAAAATTTGCCAAAATTTCTCTGCCCAATAATTTTCAAATTATTAGTTGCCGGTAAAGAAGGGCAGATGTGTAATTTGTCCAAGGCATGCCTTTTTGCAAAAGTAGAAGGTGTGCCAAAAACATGTGCATGGAGCACAGGAAATATGTTTGTAAAGAAAGCTTTGATTCCATAGTAAATTGTAGTATCGAAATTGAGTGACTTTGAGCAGGCTGGGTTTAGCCTCCCTATTGACTTTTCTTTACCAAATCATAATTACTTGTAAAAGTAAACCTTATCTTATGTGCTTAGTGTTTTTTTTTGGTTTTTATTATTATTATGACTTTTAAAATTTGTGTTTTTTAAATAAATGGTTTATTTTATTAAAATTGTCGTCTTTTGACATTTTCTTTTTTTGTCATCTTTTATCAAATTTGAACGCAACGAAATATGTTCTCATTGTCTCTAAGCTTATCTTATCTTGATAACTTTGAAAAAAAAAACAAAAAAAATGTAAATAACACTCAGGGACGCTTTGCCATCAGGGGTGTCTCTGACACCCCGCGCGACCTACTACGTTGCATAAAGAGGTGCGCCTGCATAAGGGTTAATACAGTCTTATCCAGATAAAGTTAACATCCTAAAGACAGTTATATTCCAGCTTAAATTGAAATATTTAAAACAGTTATTTTTAGATAAAATTGACACTCTTAAGTTATACTAGGCTTAAGTTTGAAATTCTCAAGACAGTTGTATATCTTGCTTAATTTGACATTTTCAAAACAGTTATATCCAGCTAAAATTGACATTCTTAAAACAGTTATATATTCCAGCTTAAATTGACATTTTTGAAACAGTTCTATTTAGCTTAAATTTGACATTCTTAAGCAAGTCATATCTAGCTTTATTTGGCATTCTTAGGACAGTTACATCTAGCTAAAGTTGACAGTTATAATATACATATATAATAAAACTCTTAGGGCTTGAGTTGACATTGACAGTTATATCCAGTTAAGTTGAGTCATATCTAGCTTAAATTGACTGTAATTTTTTGTCATTAAGATGTCCAAAACTGTTAATTGAAAAACTCTAAAAAAAAATAAATAAAATTCTGTATAAAGTAAAAAACACAAAATCCTATAAAAAATATACATTATACATTTTTATTATGTTGGACATCTTAAAGACTCGGCGATAGACTTGGTTTTTACTGTATTTCATTGCAGACACATAAAAATGGCCCAAGAAAATTACAGTGACTTTGTGAATAGTATCCAAAAAAGTTTAGAAGAGGGAAACACAGTGCACGCCCTAACGATTTTTACGGACAATAAACACAGTGCCGAAGTTAAAAACAATTCGTGGGATTTAATTCCAGTGATATCAAAATTTCTTGATGCTCAGACTGAGAGTGAGAACATTGAAGTGTTTAAATGTTGCGAAAAACTCATTACCATCGTGGCCGAGCAGTCGAATCCTGAGGAAGCTTTGCTACAATTCATAGAAGAAATTGAGGAATCAGTTGATGATGTGAAATTTATTGTATTACTAAAACCACTATCAAAAATATTCTTTAGAGTGCCCGATAAACGTCTGAATTCACTTGCATGGTGTTTCAATGCTATTGAAGTGTATTTGAAGAAACTTGAAATACCTGAAGATTCAAATTTGGTGGGGAAAGAAAAATTATTACTGGATTCCTCGGAAACATGCCAAAGAATAACAAGGGTGTACTCTGATCTACTGCCTTTCTATGATATGTTTATTGATGAAGTTAAAGTGAATAAAAATGAGCTAAGGGTTAAGGTTGTGCAAAAATTCTTGATACAGTTATTGGGAAGGCCTCTAGGATGTCTGGATATGGAAGTTTTTGACGATATAAAAAGTAAGGCAAGAATAATCGCGGAAAATATCGTCGACAAACTTGTCGACATTAATTGCGACCCCATAGCGATTTTCAAATTGAAATATAATGAAAAAGATGGTGAAATGATAAGACCGCATACTTTGGGTGTAGGGGTGTTTTTTTACCTAATATATTCGGAAAATTTAGGGGTGTATCCCAAAGTTTATTCTCCAATATATTTGTTTCAAAATTCGCTGTATTTGGTGACGGAATTATTAACGGAAACGAATCAAATTTTGATCGAAAAAGGTCTTGATCTTGCCTATGGTTTATTAAAGCATGTAGAAAAGTTGCATTTACCACATGCTTTATTAGACTCAGAGAAGCATTGCCAGTTTTGTAAGGCGTTATCCAATGTTATAGTATACAATGAAGCGGAATTTGTACGCAAAAAAGGATTGAAAATATTCGAAAAATACCTAAACTCTTTTGATAGTAGAGGAATATATTTGATTGTCTATAATTTTATTACAATTTTAACTCATTCAGGCTTAATAGGTTACACTATAACTCAATATAAAGAGCAACTAGCTAAAGAATTAAATGACAACAAAATGTCTGAATATTATAAAGATTACCACCTATTCAGCATGATAAAGTTGTTCTGTCATCTACCTAAAGGCCCTGAAACCGATTTAATAAACATTTCCGACCAAACCATGTCCACACTAAACCTACTTCGATTTCTAGCGCTAAGAGACAAAAATAACGCTACGAACATATGGCAGTACTTCCCGAAATTGGAAGAAACCTACTTTAAACCCCTAAGAGAAGCCCTGGATCTATCCAGAGCGCATTACGAGTTAAAAATCAGGGAGTTGAACGAAGGAAACGCACAAGGCGATAAAAGTGACGTTGTCGTTACCGTTTCCGGAGTGAATTTGCCGGAAATGCCCCTTAATGACAAGTTGAGAGTGTTGAATTCCTCCTTAACTGCTTTTGATATCATGGATAGTCTGCTGAGCAGGGTTGTAGAATGTATTGAGAAAAAATAAAATGAAATGAATGTGTTTTTTTAATTTAAAATCTTGTATTAAGTTAATTATATTTTTTGTAAATTGTTTTCAAAAAAATAATATTTAGTTCCGAGTTTGAGTGTTTTATTATCAGTGTCTAAGTAGTCCCAAACTAATTATAATTCTTATCAAATAATTTTTTTTAACAAAGACTAAACATTAGACTGGGCCAAAAAAATCAACTATTTTTTTTTTAAAAGTACCGTCATCCGGGGTGATTTCGGACAATTTTTGAGTATTTTTTCAAATAGCAGCTACAATTTTTATTAAAAAAATTTCAAAAAAAAAAATTAACATACTTAGGCCTCCTCTCTATCCATTCCATACAAGAAAAAACTATATTTTCATGTCCTAATGTTTTTTTTTATATATAAATTGTGTCCGAATTCACCCCTATGTGTGGGGTGAATTTGGACGCCCATTGTTTATACCTTATAATCAAATTGTGACATACGCTGAGGTGAATTCGGACAAAAAAATTTAAAAAAAAAGAAGTTTCGCACATTTTTTGAGTATTTCGAACAATTTTTGGGCATGAGAAAATCACAATAATTTGAAACATATATATTTATAAACATTTGACAAATAATAAACAAAACTTATTAGTTAATTAAAAATATATATTTTCGTAAATAAATAAAAAAAACAAATATTCTAACATAATAATAAAAAACATATTCTTAAACTAAAATAATATATCAAACTAAAAAGTGCTTATATTCTTCGAAAATTTAAATTGATATCGTCCCCTTCGCGCATTTTACAGATCGGAGGACAAGGATTAATTGACGTCTTTCAAGGACACTTTCATCTTTATTTTGGGGGTAATAATAATAATCTTCCATCTTGGAAGAATCGTGCTTTCTTAGGAAATGAACCATATATGTATCAGGATCAACAACTTCCCTGACACAGCCGACATAGTTTTTTGTTGCCTTTTCGTTAGTCAATTTAACTATTACAAAAGTGTCAGTTGTAATAACTGCATTTTCTGGATTCTCAAAAGCACTTGAGTCCCTCTGAACTTCTTTATTATGTTTGTTTTGGTTAGAATGTGAACTTGATGGAGAATATATATCTTCTCCATCAAGTTCACATTCTTCCACACTTTCACTCTCAATTTCTTCATCGGCTGCATCCTCATCTGACCGATCTAGCTCAGATGATGAAGGGGAAATCTTTCTTTTAAGATTTTTTACAGCTTTTCTCGAAGCAACATTTTGCCTCTTCTACAAGTCGGTTCAATTTCTTCATTGGCTGCATCCTCATTTGGCAGCTCTAGCTCAGATGATGAAGTGGAGACCTTTCTTTTGGGATTTTGTATAGCTTTTCCCGAAGCAACATTGAGCTTTTTGCCCCTTCTACGCGTCGGTTCTTCAGTAAATCGTTTATCTTTGAGTAAGCCAACAAACGTTTGAGACCATTCATTAGCATTATCCTCATCCTGGCTGTCCGAGTTCACCCCACCTAAGAACACATTTTTAAATAAATCCCCTAGACAAAAAAACCAAGGTCAAAAGTCACAAAATTTTTATGCTAAATTATTGTACATGCAACACTTTTTAACAATAGATTAAAAATGCAAAGCAAAATGTTTCTCAATTCTCTCCACATAAGTTTCTTTTCGTTATTTTAAAAAAGGCAAAACATCCAGGAAAATTAGGAGCCATGAAATAAATACTAACCTTAAGTTGACTCTTTATACACTTTACACACTAAAACTACATGTATTCTTGGTCGTATCTAAATGTCAACTGACTTAAAAATCTAGAATATACTAGCGATTCTAGAATATACTAGCGTTCGAATACACTGCGTCCGAATTCGCCCCTACTATCCGAGTTCACCCCGTATGACGGTATATCGAAAATATGGTTTGGGGTGACAAAAAAAAATTATTGTGAAAGTTTGAGTCCATAATATTAATATTAAGAGGTCTATCATCGCAATTTTAATTTTTTTTTCCTCAGCAAGTTTTTGTCTTAGAACTCCCAAACCATTGAATTTAACAAAATTGACTCGAAAATATTTTTTTAAGAAAATTAAATGCTCTACAAAAAAGGTTAAAGTGAAATTTTCCGTCAGATGAACCGTTTCCTTAAAATCATGCCTTAAAAATTGGTATAGTTTTACATTTTGATCTTTTAAATTGGAATTTTGTAATTCATGTAAAAATCAGTACCCATAAAAAACCGATAAATATTCTTATGGGAAATCAAATGCTTTACAAAAAAGCCTCTCAACATATCTGTGGGTAAAAGGCATAAGGGGATAAGTCAAAAAAAGCAATTTTTCGGTAGAGACTTAAACGTGTTCGTATTAATTCAGGAAATATATTTATGGTTAGCGAGTATACCCTTTTGCTAGCATATGACATGTGCTGGCAAAAGGATATACCCGCTAACCATATGCCTTTTACCCACAGATATTTGGCTAAATTCACTCAATCAAAAGTTATTCAAGGTTAAAATTTTGTTTTGACTTCAAATTTAACCTTGAATAACTTTTGATGGAGTGAATTTAGCAAAAATGGTAAAAGACTTTTTTGCAGAGCATTTGATTTTCCATAAGAATATTTATCGTTTTTTTTTCAGGGTACTGATTTTTACATGAGTTACAAAATTCCAAAGTTAAAAGATCAAAATGTAAAAGTATACCAATTTTTAAGGCATGATTGTAAGAAAACGGTTCATCTGACGGGAAATTGTAGAGCATTCAATTTTGTTAAACTCAATGATTTGGGAGTTCTGAGACAAAAACTCGCTCAGGAAAAAAAAATCTAAAATTGCGATGATAGACCTATTATGCACTCAAACTTTCACCATAATTTTTTTTGTCACCCCAAACAATATTTTCGATATACTTTACAAAAAAAAATAGTCGATTTTTTTGGCCCAGTCTACTAAACATCTAAACATTAAAATACAAACATTTCTAGTTTTTGTGGTATAAGTTTTTTAAATAAAATTAATTTTGTTTTGTTTTAAAATAATTAATTTATATAAAAAAATTATGTTTGAAATTTGATATTTTTTTAAACAAAATAGGAAAAAATGTTGAATGACGACATAAAAATAAAAAATATTCTAAACCAAGGTGTTTCTTGAAATTTACGACTCTACTATCTATAGAAAATTATGTCTATAGAAAGTAATAAATCAATCACAGCACGGCATTTTTCACAGCACACTAGATGCGATGGAGAATGCCGCGTTCTGATTGGCCTATTGATTTCTGTAGAGGTCATTTTTTATAGAAAGTACTTTATAGTCTTAAATTAAAAAAAACAATGCGTTTTTAGAAATTTTTACTCTATACCTATAAAAACATAAAAAAATTCTTTTCGATATTTTAGCGCCATGCACCTTGGTGTCGGCTTGTCGTTTCAACTCGACAACAAATAATACAAACAACAACTCCACGGAGCAAAATGAGCAGTACGAAGAAGACATCAAGGAAAAAATTTTGTGCGCCTCGCTGAAGTTCGTGCCCGAACTGGGTTGGAGCAAGGACGCGCTAAGCGCAGGCGCACAAACAGTCGGTTATCCTGGCGTGACCCACGGCCTTTTTCACAGCGGTGGGGCAGATCTAGTGCACTATTTTCAGGTTTCTTCCAACAATAAATTGGTGGAAATACTCAAGAAGGTAACAAATAGTTTTAGGTTATAAAATTTGACATTTCAAGGTCAATCGACGTAGGTCGTTATTTTTTAACTTAAAATATAAAAAATTAAGTGAATTAATTCAATTTTTTGAATTGTTTTTTTAAGGCAAAAAAATGAGGTCAAATTTTGACATTGCCACATTTTTTTTACATATTTTTTTTTGTTTGAAGTCGATATTTTGAACAACTTTCACCAAAAGTACCGAGTTGGGTAAATTTGTCGTTTCGGAATTATTTTTTTTGCTTAATGCTATTTTCCAGTAAATACGTGGTTCATCGCAAAAATTTGGTATTTTATATGGATTCATATACATATTTAACATATTTTTGTCAGTTCCGGTTTCACCGGAAATAGTCTTGGCTTTTTATTTTGTAATGAAACACCCTAGGCATGTTTTAAATAAAATTCTGAATACGTATTCAGAATTTTATTTAATATGAATGTACATTCATATGTCATTTATAAATTTTTGACAGGTCAAATCATTTTTTGATTAAATTTTATTTCTATATCTAGAGTATTGAATTGGCTTTTCTGCTTCATGTTGGGCCAAGTAGTCTGAAAAAAAATAAAATTTTATTCTTTTTTTGCAATGCTGCTTATTAGGAGCTTTCAAAAATTGAAAAACCATACTTTATGTCAAAACTATTTTTTTTAATAAAAGAGGGTGGTTTGTTGGTTATAAAAGAATTCCACTGTTTAAAATTTGATACCAAATATAAATGCATTTTTTAATAATATCGCTTTCAAACTCTTAATTAAATTTAAATGTTTATTGAGTGTGGACAGAAGTAAGGTGTATGTATCTTGCTTTGAAACCTTTGTGTTTAAAAGAAGACTTTGTATCAGATTTGACAGTTCGTTAGTTTGTTTTGATGGTAAGTGAATATTAAACATTTTATTTTACTATAAAAACATCGCTAAAATTTTTTATAAAATAAAATAAAAATAATAATTGAAGGGGTGTAAGTCATTGCTAAACATTTTTTGGTTTTTGGTACTAAATAAAATCATTCAAATATTTTGAAACGATTATGAAATAGTTATTTGTTATACAAGTGTTAAAAAGCGACTTTTTCATGCGAGTGTTTAATATGAGCTTGAAGAAAGCGAAAGTGAAACACAATGTTTTTTCTACGACCCTTTTATTTTTTATTATATTCAAATACAAAACAAAATATCCTAAAAACGTGTTTGACAGCTGTTAACATTCTTTCATCTTATTCTTTTAATTTTTAAGGTATAAATTACTTAAAATCAATAAACTTCTTCTCAAAAAATAGAATTTATTATACAAACACAATTAATTGTGTTCTAAATGATATTTAGACATACATATACAAATACAATACAAATTTTAAAACGAATGTCAAACGATGCTGTCAATTTCTTTTCATATAGACCTGTCACTTTTCACACAGAAATGTCACTTTGCCAATGAAAAGATACATTTTCTAAGCAACGAGGCCAAAACGAAATTTGACTTACATACAGTTCATTTTTTTTTATCTGGACTCGTGTTTTTTTGTTAGGTTGGTGACTTATGCCAGTTTGACTTAGTATTTTTAGTATTTAAAAATGGTACTTCTGCTAAAGAATTTAATTAAATACTTTTACACTGTCAAATTGACAATAATATTTATTATTGATAATTTATTTGTCAATTATAAATAAAAAGATAATTATGCCAAAAATAATAGCAACGAATTCGAATGTAAAAGCTCTTTTGAGGGCAAAACTTCATTTTGATGAAATTATGCCAAATGCCACAATGGGAGAAAAAGTACACCGCCTTATGGAAATTTTTGGAGTAAAAAAGTAACGAATTTGGTTTTATAAATATTACATCACACATTATTTTCACATTATTCACCATTGGACAACATCATAGACAAGGGATTGGTTGGGTGGGCGGGGGGTTAGTTAGATAGGCAACTTAGTATTAAAGTTTTGTTCCCTGACTACTGCGCCATCTAGCGGGTGTAGTCAAAAATATATATTAAAATTATTGTTTAAATTTTTTTACTGGATGGTACTGATCCTTTTTTTTACCTCCACTAGATAAATAATTTTAATATTTTTCAAAGGAAAGTTCAAAGAGGAATAATAAAACATAATAAAACTACATTTTTGTAATTATTTTATTTGTCAAAATTATATAAAGGCAAAAATTCAAAACACAACTTAAAATCATATGAACTTATCTAACTATTTCATTCCTATTCCTATTCCTATAATATTATTGTATAAGGTAAAATAAATTTATAAATAAAAGAACAATAAAAATTTTAATACTTGGTGCTTAGAGAATCAACATATTTTTTGTTATTTGGGCAAAAAGCGGGACATACCTTATCTTTTTTGGAAATCGATGCATTTTTACACTATCTCCCCTGCTTTTGCACTTTTGTACACAACAAGAATAAACCATAATAATGAATACACAATACAAACTTAAAAGGTTATAAAACTTCACAAATTTAAGTTATTCGTTCGTCGAATTATTATGACAACTGTCATTATGACAACGGTAGTCTCGGTGACAAAAACAATTTTGGCGACATTAGCGCCTCTGGTAAGCGTAGTCTAAACTTCTCAGCGGACAAGTTTTTGTACAGTAAAGATGCACAACCATGGACAACATTTACGTTCACAAAAAATTTTAATTTCTTTTATATAAATTCTTTTGAAAGCGAAGATTATTATCCGCTAGGAATACTTTCTCTTCAGGGCCGTAAAGGAACCTATAATTAACTACTTTTTTTATATGATTTTACTCATCCAAGCACCACCAAAGCCAAATTAATTGCATTTTTAACTACGAATTTCGACAACTCAACTCAATTAGATTTATAACTAGCTTAGTTTGTTTTAATCAATGCGACCAACTTGACAACTGTATTTACCAACCAAAACCCTAAATTTGTAATGTTGCCGCAGTCCAGATAAAAAAATGAACTTTAGTGGTAGTAGAAAAAGTTCTATATATAAGCCCCATAGTGTGGCCATTGTAGGGAATCTGCGGCAGTGTTTCCAGAGGTGGTATTTGTACCTTTTTGGTACGTTTGGTGCTTTGGTGGTACAAGGACTATTTTCGTACATTTTCATGAAATATTTGAATTTTGATATATTTTCTTTTCAATAAAGTTGCTGCTTTGTTTCTCTTACCTCGCGGTCATTTCGTAGTATTCCGCTTCCTGTCTTACAATAGCGTTATTAAAATCGCCTATCTTTATTCGTTTTATTTTCATATTCGTCTGTTGGCAACATCGTGCTATATTTAAAAACGAAAAGCCCAAAAACGTTTTTGTTTATTGCATTTAAATGCGAGGTACATTTCAGGGAAATTTGGTACATTTTAAAAGTCGAATTTGGTACTTTATCTTTCCAACCACTGGCACTGCCAATCAAATGAAAGTTTGTTATTTCTGAACATAATTAACCTGCGCATTAGTTTCTGAACCTCTTAGGCTTAATACTTATTTCCCTTCCTGAGTCTATCAGTGATAGAGCCCCAGTCAAAAAGTTTCGAGATTGCCTCACTCATATCTGTTAACCGACCAAAATTTGGTCGAAATTGTTGGGGTTCTGCATTTTTTTCAAATCGCGATTCAGTTTCTTGTTCAATTGATTCATTACTTTTAGGTATGTAATACTTACTTTTTATTATTTTAACCAAAATAACTTACAAACCTATACCTTTTACATATTTTAAAAGTAACACATGCGCAAAATATTAAAAATTATTAAAATATTAAAAATTTACATTTTATTATAAAATCTTTAATAATTTAATTAACTTACTTAAGAGAATTTCCGGTGAAATGAGAAGTGACAAAAATATGTTAAATATGTCAAAAATTTCCTTCGGGTGAACAAAACAAATTTAAGCAAAAAGAAAAAATACTGTAAAAAAAAATTTGTTGAAAAATAACGACCTACCCCTTTTTGCCTGGTCGATTTGAGATGGAAAGACCCATCAACCGATACTTTTACAAACTTCTTTTTAATCCTATAGTTACAAGAAGACAGTAACCCTCTGCCTCCAGTGGAGTTCGTCGAAAAAGCTTGCAAAGAGCGTTTGCAAATGGTCGTGCCTTATTTAGGAAAATGGCCGCAGGCAATCGCAATCATGTCTCTACCTCCAAACGTGCCCAACTCTTTGGCAACTCTATTGACAATGGTGGACGATATTTGCTACTATGCGGGCGATAGATCTGTAGATGTGAGCAAAAAATAAGTAAACTTAACGTGCAGCGACATCTTACGTTTGTTTTTCGCAGTTTAATTGGTACCTGAGAAGAATAGGCATAGCGGGTGTGTATAAGGCGACGGAACTGTACCTGATTCAAGACAAATCGGCGGAACATGAGGAATCGTGGAGATTTTTGAACAGGCGTTTAGAAGACGCCGTGCAACTTCACGATTTGATCAGCAAAAGCGACGTTGCCAGCCAGGGCGCCAAGGACACCGCCTTGTCTGCATTTGTAACGGTAATTTTGTTTCTTTAATAGAATAGTTCTAGTGTAGCATTAAAATTACATTAAACAACAAATAATGCATTTGAAAATAATTAACTTTTCTATTTTTTAGGCAAGAAATATCCTTGGTCTAAACTGGAATAGATAGTATTATGCGAAAAATGCACAATTTTAAATTAATTGCTTATTATAAAATATTATTTCAATTGGTGTGTACTTTTATGATACAAATTATATTTTACACTTGTTATTATTTAATGTTTATTTTTGTTATTTCAATTTTTTTAATTCCCAAGTTTGTTCCACCCCCATAACTATTTTTATGTAGCAAAACAAAAATAAAATAAAACAGTTTGTTAAATTTGATTATTTTTATTTTTATCACAAAATTTATAAATTTGACAATACAATTAACAATAAGGATAACAATAACTATATTATTAACTTAACTTAATAAAGCCTTGATAAATAAATAAAAAAATGCATGTAAACGAACATTTTTTACTTACTTAGGTAATAATATTTTTTACTATTTATTATGTAATAACTATTAGGGTGATAAAAAAAATCGAATACTTTTTTTTTACTTCTGACACTGAAAAATTGGTTCTTAGGCACCTCTAGAAAGTACTCACCACAATTGAGCTCTTAATATTAATATGAAGATCCTCCTAACACTTTTCCATTTTTTCTTTAATCCCTTACAAAAAAGACCATATTTCATTATTAATCAATCGTTTAATCAAACCTTTATACACATTTTTGTAGGAAATTGAATGCTCTACAAAAAAAGACTGATGTGTTTAAGGGATTACACTAACCATTTAAAAGATTCAAGATCAGTTTGAAAAAAAAAACGTTTTTTAATAAATTTGTAACTCATGAAAAATAATTATTGTATGAAATATTTTTGTGGAAAATTTTCCGCTCTACAAAAAAGGCCTGATGTGTTTAATTGATCACTCTAACCGTTGAGAAGATATTCGTATCAGTACGCATTGAGATTCGGATACGAATATCTTCTCAACGGTTAGAGTAATTAATTAAATACATCAGACCTTTTTTGTAGAGCATTTAATTCCCTACAAAAATATGTATAAAATTTGATTAAAGGATTGATTATATATGAAATATGGTCTTTTTTATAAGGGACTAAAGAAAAACTTGAAAACTGTGATGAGGAAAATCTTCCTATTGATATTAAGAATTCAAATTTGGTGAGCACTTTCCAGAGGTGCTTAAGAACCAATTTTTTAGTTTCGGAAGTAAAAAAAATCGATTTTTTTAAATTACCCTATGACGTGTTTCAAAAAATGACGAGACCTAGTAAAAAAATGACGATTATGTTTTAAATGTCTTAAAAACTTATTTCTGTATATTATGAGTAATAATTTCAACAAAATATTTAGATTAGTAATAAAAATTATTCTTGAATATACAGTCAATGCAAATTAATAAACCAACATTTTATTTATATGTAAAAATCTACTCATTATTTATGCTGAGTATTATAATAATAATAATAAATCTTCAAATTAAAAGGCCCAAATAGGTCTAGAAAACCAAATCTTTTGTCCTAAACGTCACTAAAACTGTCGATTTTTACTACACAACTAGAGGCGACATCTATGTGTAAACCCATAAACATTTACATTTTAAAACGTTTTATATAGAAAAAGAAGTTGTCTCATTAACTTTGTTACCATAAAACAAGACAAGATTTGGTTCTCACTACACAAACATGGAAGATTTGAAACCACAAATAAACCGAAAAAAAAAACAAAACATAGGAACTGTGGCAACCCCTCAAAAGTATACAGACCCTCCTTCTGCAAATAATCCATGACCAGGGGAGGCACAATTTTAAATTAATTGCTTATTATAAAACATTATTTGAAATATTGTGTACTTCTATGATTCAAATTATATTTTACACTTGTTATTATTTATGTTTATTTTTGTTATTTCAATTTTTTTTAATTTTCAAGTTTGTTCCATCTCCATAACTATTTTAATGTAGCAAAACAAAAATAAAATAAAACAGTTTGTTAAATTTGATTTTTTTTTATTTTTATCACAAAATTTATAAATTTGACAATACAATTAACAATAAGGATAACAATAACTATATTATTAACTTAACTTAATAAAGCCTTGATAAATAAATAAAAAAATGCATGTAAACGAACATTTTTTACTTACTTGGGTAATAAAATTTTTTTACTATTTATTATGTAATAGTTAACTATTAGGGTGATAAAAAAATCAAACTTTTTTTTACTTCCAACACTGAAAAATTGGTTTTTAGGCACCTCTAGAAAGTACTCACCACAATTGAGCTCTTAATATTAATATGAAGATCCTCCTAACACTTTTTCATTTTTTCCTTAGTCCCTTATAAAAAAGACCATATTTCATTATAAATCAATCGTTTAATCAAACCTTTATACATATTTTTGTAGGAAATTGAATGCTCTACAAAAAAAGACTGATGTGTATAAGCGATTACACTAACCATTTAAAAGATATTCAAGATCAGTTTAAAAAAACGTTTTTTAATAATTTTGTAACTCATTAATAAATAATTATTGTCAACTGAGTATGACATATTTTTGTGGGAAATTTTCCGCTCTAGAAAAAAGGTCGGATGTGTTTAATTGATCACTCTAACCGTTGAGAAGATATTCGTATCAGTACGCATTGAGATTCGGACACGAATATCTTCTCAACGGTTAGAGTAATCAATTAAATACATCAGACCTTTTTTGTAGAGCGTTAAATTTTCTACAAAAATATGTCATTTGACAATAATTATTTTTCAATGAGTAACACAATTATTTAAAAAAATAATAATAAATTCTTCAAACTGATTGATTAATAATGAAATATGGTATTTTATAAGGGACTAAATAAAAAATGGAAAACTGTGATGAGGAGGATCTTCCCGTTAATATTAAGAACTCAAATTTGGTGAGCACTTTCTAGAGGTGCTTAAGAACAAATTTTTCAGTGGCGGAAGTAAAAAAAATCGATTTTTTAAATTACCCTAGTAACTATATGACGTTTTTCAAAAAATGACGAGACCTAGGAGAGGTCATCATAAGTAAAAAAAATGACGATTATGTTTTAAAAACTTATTTCTGTATATTATGAGTAATAATTTCAACAAAATATTTAGACTAGTAATAAAAATTATTCTTGAATATTCAGTCAATGCAAATTAATAAACCAACATTTTATTTATATGTAAAAATCTACTCATTATTTATGCTGAGTATTATAATAATAATAATAATAAATCTTCAAATTAAAAGGCCCAAATAGGTCTAGAAAACCAAATCTTTTGTCCTAAATGTCACTAAACCTGTCGAATTTTACTACACAACTAGAGGCGACATCTATGTGTAAACCCATAAACATTTACATTTTAAAACGTTTTATATACAAAAAGAAGTTGTCTCATGAACTTTGTTACTACAAAACAAGACAAGATTTGGTTCTCACTACACAAACATCTGGAAGATTCGAAACCACAAATAAACCGAACAAAAAACAAAACATAGGAACTGTGGCAACCTCTCAAAAGTACGGACCCTCCTCCTGCAAATAATCCATGACCAGGGGAGGTAACGGCAACTTCGCGATGTCGTTCATGTTGGTGCACTGCTTGATGACGAACCGGCACAAATATTTTAACGGCCTGACGGTGGTGAACCTGGAGATCGGCTTCGTCAGGCGCACCGGATAGTTCGGGATCAATCCCGCGCTTTTAGAGTAGCAGTAAATCGAGTCGCTCGAGGCTTTCATCGCGTTATCTATCAAGTCTTTTATGTTGCAGAAGCCTTCCTGATCGTACAAACTGTATCTACCTGAAAGCGGATGAACGTCAAGTTTTTGACATCCTGACCTTAATTTTTTCAATACCAGCCACCGGAAACAATTTATTCACGGTTTTATCAAATTTCGATTTAAGAAATATCTTAATGCTCCGCATCGCACTTTTTGATTTTCCATAAGAATAACATGAAAAAATTTTGTTTTGTTCCTTCTGATTTATGTAACTCACCAATCAAAGGTCAAACAGAAAAATTGTTCGGATATTTTTATACAGAATTAAATGCTCTACAGAAAGGTTTTGCTTAACCAATTGGTTAAAAAGTTATTAAAGAATAAAGTTCAACTCACCATCAATTTTACCGATTTTTCGGTATTGCAGCGATACTACTCAGTTTTTAAAAAAAATTGAACACGAAATTTCATGCGAAACATAAATTTGACATTACAAGAGTCGTTAAACAATATTTTTTATCCGAATTCGGCAGTAAAGTAGTCAACAATCGGTAATAAAGTAAAAGAAATCTGCAGTAAATTAGAACTTTACTGCCGATTAAGATGTGTCTACTGCTCCTCAGCAGCAAGTAAATAATATTTTTAAAAAAAGCACCGTCGCGGTGGTCGATTGGACCCTTTCATAAAATGTTGTTTAATAAAAATAATATGTTAATTTTATTAATTAGATTAAATAATCGCCGCGGCGGGAAAATATATCATAACCGTCGCAACAAACAGTATACGTAGACACTTCAAATGACATTTGATTTGATCATCAAATGACATTTGATTTGATCATCAATATTAATTATTAGTATTATTAAATGTGATTTGGGATAAAATTTAATATGTACATTAGACTGGTTCAAAAAAATCGAATATTTTTTCTTCTTCAAAGCCCGCATTGAAATATCTTTCTAGTAGTGAAAAAGGAAGCCTGTGAAAATTGTAGCTCTTAATATTAATATTTAGAGGTCGCTCACCGTGAATTTCTATTTTACGTTTAAATAACACAGGAGTTCTTTTTTCTTAACTTTGAAATTTTATAACTCGTTTTTGAGTGAACATATTGGAATAAGCGACACATATTTTTAAAGAAAATTGAACGCTCTACAAAAAATGTCTCCTATATTTTTTTTATAAATTCACTTCTTTTATAGTTATTCAAGGTTGAAATTGGACATATAATAAATTTAACGTTTTTTTTTCAATTGGTGGCATAATAAAAACCTTATCACTCATTATTGTACAGGATGGTCCAGTTTGTAATGCATTAATTTTAATAGCATCAAAAATAAGGTAGACTTTCATAAAAAAACATTTCTTAAAAATGTTTTCTAAGAGAAATACAGGCCGTCAAAGTTTCCAAAAAAAATAGTTTTCTCTTCATAACTTTTAAACCACAAAATTAATTTGGCACACAATGTAATATAGTCAGTGCCTTAATAATGATGTAGATAATTATTATAAAAAACATCAGTGCCGCAGTTACTTGGGGGGCTGCTCCCCTTTTCACCTCAGTCTTTGACGCCACTGGAAATTTTAAAATAATAAATAAATGTTTAGGTCAAGTTTTTAATTAAGGGAAAAAATTTGCTCTTGTAAAATTTTGATTTGGGGCTTCCTTTCTAAAATATTTGCTCAAAAATGTTTCCTCGCAATATACATTTTTAGATTGTTTAATTTAGGGTTTCGTTTTTGAAATATTTGGGAACACACTCCAAAAAAACTGCGGCAAAAGTATTCTTGGATAAATAAATTAATTATTTAAAAAATAAAGCACTAAATCAAAATTTTACATGAGTAGTTTTTTTCTCTAAATTAAACAGATAATCTAAAAATGTGTTTATTATTAAAAAAAATTCCAGTGGCGCCTAAGGTGAAAAGTGGAGCAGCCCCTTAAGTAACTGCGCCACTGATGTTTTCTTTAAATAATTATCCACATCATTACTAAGACATTGACTATATTGTGTACAAAATTTGATAAAAATTGATTAAGTGGTTTAGAAGTTATGATGGGGAAACGAGTTTTTTTTGTAAACTTTGACGGAAAGCGTCTCTGCGAGGAAACATTTTTAAGCAAATATTTCAGAAACAAAGACCCAAATCGAAATTTTACAAGAGTAAATTTTTTCTCTAAATTAAAAACTTGACCTACAAATTTATTTAAATTTTTAAAATTTTTAGTGGCGTCAAAGACAGAGGTGAAAAGGGGAGAAGTACCCACACATTATTATTAAGGCACTGACTATATTACATTTTGTGCCAAATCTGATGAAAATTAATGTTGTGGTTTAAAAGTTATAAAGAGAAAACTAGTTTTTTTGTAATCTTTGACGGCCTGTATTTTTCTTAGGAAACATTTTTGAGAAATGTTAATTAATGAAAGTCTACCCTCAAATTAATGTATCACAAACTGGACCGCCCTGTATAATCTTTTTTAAAAATTTTATATAAATTATGTTTCTTAAAAAAAGTTATCGCTCATTCCAATATGTCCACTCAAAAAAAAGTTATAAAATTAAAAGTAAAAAAAAATTCCTGTGTTATTTAAACGTTAGATTTATTATATGTCTAATTTCAACCTTGAATAACTATTAAAGAAGTGAATTTACGAAAAAATTATAGGAGACATTTTTTGTAGAACGTTCAATTTTCTTCAAAAATATATAGAGTTCATTCCAATATGTTCACTCAAAAATGAGTTATAAAATTTTAAAGTTAAGAAAAAAGAATTTCTGTGTTATTTAAACGTAAAATAGAAATTCACGATGAGCGACCTCTAAATATTTATATTAAGAGCTACAATTTTCACAGGCTTCTTTTTTTACTACTAGGAAGATATTTTAATGCGGGCTTTGAAGAAAAAAAATATTCGATTTTTTTGAACCAGTCTAATGTACATCGACATTAAAGTCATTTTTACCACTCACGCCTCGGCGTTCGCCTCTGCAAATAATTTCCACATTCGTAATAAAAAATACTTTACTGCCTTGATACATAAATAACTATTTTATTGTTTGTATTAAATATTTTAATACAGCACTGTGATTGGTCATGTCAAAGACCTTTACGGTGAAAGATAAAACTTAAAAATTTCTACGGGAGGAAGGAATGCCGTCCATACGGTACGGGAATCTATAAATGGCACTACGAAATTTCGTATTGTTCATCTTCTACGGGAGGAAGGAAGGAAGGCAATCTATAATTCAGGCTTAAGGCTCTACTAAAAAGTTGCTTTTATTGACTTATCCCCTTAGGCCTTTTACCCACAGAAATAATTTAAAAAATTGCTCAACTTATGTATATTCAAAATCAATTAGTAAAAAATGTTGGTGGCATATTGAGTTATCAAATACCAACAGAAATTTCAGGCAGCAAAGTTAAATATGTTTTCATAACAAAAATTAAATTAAAAAATAGTTATTTATGTATCAAGGCAGTAAACTCACGTGATCCACATTCGTGATAAAAAATGACTTTAATGCTGAGGTGCATATTAAATTTTATCCGAAATCACATTTAATAATACTAATAATTAATTTTCATGATTAAATCAAATCTCATTTGACGATCAAATCAAATGTCATTTGAATGTAAGAAGTGTCTACGTATACTGTTTGTTGCGACGGTTATTATATATTTGCCCGCCGCGGCGATTTTTTAATCTAATTAATAAAATTAACTTATTATTTTTATTAAACATTTTTAAAAGGGTCCAATTGACCTCCGCGACGGTGCTTTTTTAAATATATTATTTAGTTGCTGCTGAGGAGCAGTGGACACATCTTAAATCGGCAGTAAAGTTCTACATTACTGCCGATTTCTTTTACTTTACTGCCGATTGTTGACTACTTTACTGCCGATTTCGGATAAAAAATTATATTATTTTAGTAAAGTGTTCTGTTTACATTTGTAAATGAAAAAAAAATTGGTTAACGACTCTTTTAATGTCAAATTTATGTTTTGCATAAAATTTTGTGCTCAATTTTTTGATAAAACTGAGTAGTAGCGAGTTAAACTTTGATTTTTAATACCTTTTTAACGAATTAGTTTAGCAAAAAATCATAAGAAACTTTTTTTGTAGAGCGTTTAATTCTCTACAAAAATATCCGAACACATTTTCTGTATGATAAGTTACAAAAATCAAAAAGAAAAAAACAATTTTTCCCATGTTATTCTTATGGAAAATCGAAAAGTGCGATGTGGAGCATTAAGATATTAAAATTAAGAGCTCATATTTTCACAGGCTCATTTTTATACCTAAATAAAACTTTTGAGGCTGTTTGCAAGAAAAAAAACAATTCCATTTTTTTATTACTCACCCCTAGAATACTCAATTCTGCTGTGCAGCGTTTTGCCCATACTCCTGAAAGATATACTAAACAAATAACTAGATGAAGAGGAATCCCTAATTAAAAAAGCCCCATCGGGCATACTGTGCAGCTTCTCTTCAGCCTCAGTCCTCGATAAAGGCCCCCAATACCAATAACAACTGGCCAAACTTTGTATCTCATCTATTGGGACTCTTACACTCTCCAAATGGTCCCTGCTTTGAGAAGGTTCTACCCTGGGCGACAGCTACAAGAAACTTGTAGTATTTGAGGTTATATTATTATTGTAAGCTTACTGCGCGAGCTGGGATTTCCGGGGGTGTCTCGATAACCGGCATTATAGCGCTAAATCTACTTAACGGGCCGTACGAGTATATGTTTTCTTTGTTTCTCGAAGGTGTCAGCAGTGTAACCTAAAATGTATGATTTAGCACTGATTTTTCCAACAAGATAGACCTCAAATGTTACTCTATGCGAGGAAGGGTTGGAACTGGAAGTATTTCCTCTACTGGGGCTGTTTGTAACGTGTATTGTGTGTCTGTTGTGTGATCTATTTCTGGATACAGCATTTTTCACTCTGGTTTGAAATTTAATGAAGCTCCTTCGAAAGCTACTCCTGGTTTTTGAACAAGTCGTGGTGTCATTGGAATTGCTGGGCTGGTTTCTCCTCAACACCACATTTTCCGTGCCCAAATCGTTTCTCTCATTGGAATTCCTTCGTCTCAGCCTTAAGTTCTTGAAACTGCTTATCCAGCTGTTTTTTTCCATCTCTACCTCCGCACGATCAGTTTAAATCGCTCACTTGAACATTTTGCCTTCGGAAATTGTGGCAAATATTCGGAAAAAAATGTTTATCAACAAGGAATTTATCTGCACAGCGTTGTCATTTTTCGCATCCTGACATTTCCGAGAGGATGAGAAGGTTATGGGAGTTTTCGCAGTGTTGCCGCGTCCAACGGATATCCTCATCAGGATCTTTGATCGGGATATTCGGTTGCGGGTTTGTATCTTTGTTCCAGTCGACGCAATAGTGTACCAGGTTCGCACATATAATAAAAATTTGGCCATCAACCAGTATGCATTTGAAAAAAATAAATAAAGATCTGGCAACACAGTGGATGAGTGCATGCCAGAGAAAGGATAAAATAAAAACGGTAAGTAAAGGCAAATTTTGAGATTTTTTTTTCATTTTGACATCTTAAAGCGGACGTGCGTTATTCACAATCCACACAACAAGGTCTGTTCCAGGTCTGTTCGATCTCGTAGTAGAAATACTAAAAATCACTGCAACACTGCACATCATACGATGGCGGCCATTTTTGTTGTTTATTTTTTTACAAAAGAGGAGTAAAATGATTGTTCTTACCACTTTGAGGTCTCTTTTAAGGTTTTCAAGTCTCTCTGTAAGAAAGACAACGTTTAAAACGTTTATTAATCTGTACAAACCCAAAGCACAAGAATGTAAACAACAAAAATGGCCGCCGTCGTATGATGTGCAGTGTTGCAGTGATTTTTAGTATTTTTACTACGAGATCGAACAGACCTTGTTGTGTGGATTGTGGCGTTATTATTACCTGTATTATACAAGCTGTATATTTTATTATTTATAGAATTTTTATAATTTTAAAAAATAATAGGGAGGTCGGAAATAAATTGTTGCGCTTGCTGCTAATTTAACTTATTCTCAACATTTGTTACACTTAATAATTGCACCCAGGCCGTCCCTATATTTATAAATTTTCGAATATAACTTGAATTTGCAGTGCAAATAACATTCCAACCCAGTTACCCGCCAGCTTTTGGTTCGCACATGACGTCACACGGTGCATATCGGTTTTTGTGTTTCGTGTATTTTGGACACCCTGAGTATGTTCCTCAGAATAAAGTTGGCAACACTTCATAGTGACTAAAATTTGACAGGCCACCGCCTAGCTGAAAAACTTTTGCGGTTTTTCGCGTTTTTGTCGAAAATAACTTGAAAAAGTTCGCTGAAAATTCGTGTCGACTGACCAGAGTCCGCGAATATTGAACAAAAGTAAGGAAACCCGCCTTTTTTTTTAACATTTGAGGTTAAATTCGAATTTTTTTTTAGATGACCGAACAACACAGATTTGGCGGGTCTGTAAATCCCATAACGTGCCATGCGTGGAACGGAGACCGAAGCCGTAAGATTAACCCTCTTATAATAAATATAACCCCCTACATAACCTAACTTTGTAGAAATTGCCATATCACCGAACAATAATGAAGTTCAGGTGTACAAGCATTCAGGCGCCGATTGGAAGCTCTTGGACACGTTGAACAAACATGATTTGCGCGTTATGGGGATAGATTGGTCCCCAAACTCCAACAGGATTGTAACGTGTGCTGCCGATCGTAATGCTTACGTGTGGACACAGGACGAAACAGGCAAATGGAAGCCGACGTTGGTTTTTTTGAGGATTAATCGCGCCGCAACGTGCGTTAAATGGTCGCCGAACGGGAACAAATTCGCTGTGGGATCGGGGGCCAGGTTAATTTCTATCTGCTACTTTGAGCAAGAAAACGACTGGTGGGTTTCAAAGCATATAAAGAAGCCCATTAGGTCCACTGTGACTACCATCGATTGGCATCCAAATAACGTTTTACTGGCGTCTGGTTCTACTGATTACAAAATCAGAGTTTTTTCGGGTTACATTAAAGATATTGAGAAAACACCTGAGGCTACAGCATGGGGTTCAAAAATGCCCCTGGGACAACTAATGGTGGAGTTTAACAACTCTAACGCTGGAGGAGGGTGGGTTCAAAGCGTGACCTTCTCTCCCGATGGTAATAAACTCTGCTGGGTCTCACATGATTCAACCATCAACTTGGCCGATGCCACTAAGGGGAATGCAGTGCACAAACTGCGCACAAAATACTTACCTTTCCTCAGCTGCAGTTTTATTTCAAACAAATCCATTGTAGCTGCAGGACACTCTTGTGTCCCCATTTTGTACTGCATCAACTCCAATGGGGAGCTTGTGGACAGTGGCCGTTTAGACACCTCGCAGAAAAAAGATACTGGAGGCCTATCGGCTATGAAAATGTTCCATTCGCTGGATAAACAAGCGCGCCTCGAAACAAACGACACAAATCTGGACTCCATTCACCAAAACGCGATCACTTGCGTCTGCATTCACACCGGAAATAAGGCCAAAGCCACCAAAATAAGCACTTCCGGTCTGGACGGACAGCTGGTCATCTGGGACTTGAATTCTTTGGAAAGGTCCATCCAGGGCTTGAAAATCGAGTAATAACCGTGGGATTTTATGCATTTTTTAACGATTTTATCAATACAACTTATATTACATTTTAAAATGCGTCTTATTACCTCTCTAAAACGTCAAAATGACAATATTTTGTTTTTATTAACGCCACCTATCGAAAACCAATCTTACTTCAATAGATCACGCCATCTATGGACAATAATCGCGTTTAAAAATCATAACCTCAAACTGCAAAAAATCATAACCTTAAATCCTGCACAAAACTTTGTTTTTCTTTGCAAAAATGTCGGATACAGCGGTGGTGATCAAAGCAAAACCGCAACGAAAAGTGATAAAAGCAACGAAAGTGACGAGAATCCCGGAATCCATACTCAACAACAAAAAATTGCAAGCTGCCATCGAAGTGCTTCCAAAAAACTACAATTTCGAGATTCCCAAGACGGTATGGCGAATACAGGAGTTGAAAGCCAAAACAGTTGCTCTACAAATGCCGGAGGGGTTGTTGTTGTTCTCCACAACGATTGCGGACATAATTAAAGAGTTTACTGGGGCTGATTCAGTGATAATGGGCGATGTTACATATGGGGCTTGTTGTATTGATGATTTAACCGCTATAGCGCTCGGAGTGGAGTTGTTGGTGCATTATGGACACAGTTGTTTGGTTCCTGTGGATCAAACGAGCGGAATTAAGGTGCTATATGTATTTGTAGACATCAAAATTGACCCGCTGCATTTTGTGGAAACAATCAAGCTTAATTTCGAGAAAAAGACTAAAATTGGTTTGGTTAGTACAATACAGTTTGTGACCACACTACAGGCTGTGTCTGGAATGCTGAAGGAAGAAGGTTACGATATTTCTATTCCACAGTTTAAGCCGTTATCGCCAGGAGAGATTTTGGGGTGTACAGCCCCTGTTTTAAGATGTGCTGAGGTTGTGATTTACTTGGGGGATGGTAGGTTTCATTTGGAGGCTGCAATGATAGCTAATCCAAAGATACAAGCCTATAGGTATGACCCGTATGACAAAAAGTTTACTAGAGAGTATTATGATCATTTGGAGATGGAAACAATAAGGAAAGACTGTATAGATACGGCCAAAACTGGGGGTAAATTCGGGGTTATTATGGGGACTTTGGGTAGACAAGGCAGCTTCAAAGTTGTAGATCATTTATGTTCAAGACTTGAAGAGAACAGCAAAAAAACGGTAGTAATACTATTATCAGAAATATTCCCCAACAAATTACAACTATTCACACATTTAGATGCTTTTGTGCAAATTGCTTGCCCTAGATTATCTATTGACTGGGGTAAAGCCTTTACAAAACCCCTTTTGACCCCATATGAAATGTCCATAGTTCTGGGAGATTCCCACTGGCACAAAAATGGTGAAAGTTACCCCATGGATTTTTATGCCAATGCAAGTTTGGGGCCCTGGACCCCAAATCATAAGCCTGATGCTGATAAGTTGAATAAATGTTGCGGAAAATGTCCATGATTTTTTATAGATGGGTAAATTTTTTTAGTATGTTTTATTGGTAATAAATTAATTTTATTTATGCAGTTTTGTGTTTTAATTTTTAATTGTTTTTCATTTCATTATTGTTTGTTATTCAGGGGAACTCTTTGTTGCTTAAGTTTATTCAAAAGAAAATATTCTACATTCAAAATTTGTAATTACAATAAATAAATAAAAAACAAAGACAAATAGGTTTTATAAAACTCAGTAAAACTAATTAGAGTTTTTAATTGGGAACTGGAAACTTTAGTTTATTAGTATTACCTACAGTCAGCGGAATTGGTAAAAATTAAAAGCTGTTGCAAAAGTTAATTTTGCACGATTTTTTGTTTATTTTTAAATAGAAATTGCTCTATTATGATTCTTGTCAACAGTTTTATTTAGGCTTAAACCAGTGGTACTACCTCTTTAGTAAAAAAATAATGTAAATAAAAATAAAAAAATGTTTTAAGATTTTTTTTAAATCATCAAAATTTCCCATAAATGGGAAAGAAATTTCTTGGAAGGTTGTGTCACCCACACTGTAAAGGAACGGAAAAAGATATCGATTTGAAATTTTAAAAGCGTTTATAATCCATTTAAGTCTATTTTCTAAAATATTTTAAACAAAATGCCACTTCGGGTTTAACCGGAACATCAACTTTGTTATTTCAAATAGAACACCCCATATATTTTTACAATTTTAAATTCTGTATAAAATTCTGAATAAAATTACTATACCAAGTGCTATACCTAGAGTGAATAGTTTTCGAGTTTTTTTTTAGTTAAAATTTGACGAAAGCGCGTCAATCATAAACAGAATATTAATAGTAATTACTTTGTTTGTTATTAGGGAATCTTAAAACATTGTTTAAAAGTGTCCATGTCAATTCTTTAACATTTTTTAACAAATTACCTGAGAAAACCCAGGATAAATTAGGCTTACTTAAAGGGTTAATAACTTTTTATTTTAAATGTAACACCCGGTATGTTTTTACCTAATCAAATAGTAAATTAAAAAACCTTTTGATTGATGTTACTATAATAATTCCCTATACCTAAAGTTGATAATTTCAGAGATATTTAGCAATTTCTAAAATTTTAAATATTTTTTTATATCAAGAAAACTGTGACAGTTGAGTTGACGGTATCTATGGTTACCACGTAATCTGTTCATTGTTCAAAATTTAATGGCGTAATTTTTAAAATTAAATTTACATTAAAAATTTAAAAAGCTATATAACTGGATAAAGCACTAGCTAAGTGGACACAATAAAATGTAAAATTTATTTTATAAAATATTTTAATAAAAATAATGCGTAACTGTTACAATTTAAGAACCCAACAATATTTTATTTAACAAGTTTTATTACTTACTAATTTATTACTAAATTTTTATTTACATTCAAGCATTTCTTTAAAAATTCCACCCCCATTTCCGCAAACCTAATAGCAAAAACGTTACCTATATGCTATTTTTGATTGACGCGCATTTTTCAAATTTTAACGAAAAAAATTAATAACTCAAAAACTATTCACTTTAGGATAGGACATAGTATAGTAATTTTACTCAGAATTTTATGTAGAATTTAAAAATATATGGGGTGTTTTACTTGATGTCACGTTTTGTTTGATATCACTTCCGGTCAAACCATAATGCTTTTTCTTTAATCTCGCACAGGGGTCTGGAACGAGTCAAAACGAGTGTTTAAATTTTCGAAATTTTCGGCAAAATGTCAAGGAGTAGTCGGATTCTCCTAAAAACCGTATATAGAAGTTTTTAGGGTCGCTGATAACGAATCTGGAATCAGAATTCCAAAATTCAAAATGGTAGATCCAAAATGGCGGACATATTTGTCAAAAAATTGACGGAATAAATTGAAAATCACCACACAGGGTTTTTGGGGTCGCTGATAACGAATCTGAAATCAGAATTCCAAAATTCAAAATGGTAGATCCAAAATGGCGGACATATTTGTAAAAAATTAACGGAATTAATTGAAAATCACCATACAGGGGTTTTTGTGGTCGCTGATAATGAATCTGAAATCAGAATTCCAAAACTCAAAATGGTGGACGTCAAATGGCAGACATTTTAATCAAATATTGTCGAAATTAATTAAAAACCCGTAAGAGGTTCTTTTTAAAATGTAATAAAACATCTTAATAAACTTAATTTAGCTTATTTATAAAAATTTTTATAAATAAGCTAAATTAAGTTTATTATAATTACATGTATATGATATTATTTAATACCTACATATATGTATATTAAACAATCCGTCACTGGATTCGCTCGTTGTATCATTAGCAGAGCATGGGAAACCATCAGAAGATAGCAAGTTTTATTGCTTCGCTCTTTTTCGGAGCAAATTTTCTGAAGCTAGAAATATACGGATCGGAAGATGCCATAAGCCAATGGAAAACATCTTCCATCGTTTTCTCCCGAGAAACTTTCAAAATTTATTTATAAAATTTAAATATAACAGATTTTATACTAAGTATTTTTTATTTGTATTATTTCTTTTACTTAATATTTTAGCAACGATTTCTTAATTCGCTAAAAAATGGTCAACACAAATAACCACAATTCAAATTTGACATTAACACACTACAATGGGCATGCGGAGTTGTTTTAATGCACCTACAAGAGGTGGGTTAAATATGTAAAGTCGGTGTTAAATATCTTAAGATATCTAATTAGTAGTCACGAACGATTAACGCAAGTGAAACTCTAGACACCGTAATAAACGTTTTGAGTTAAATCCGAGTGAATCGAGTAAACGTCATGAACGCAACCCAGAAATAAAAAAAAATCTTATATTTTGCAAAGCAAAAACATAGATACGCGCTCGACATAGGCTTAAAATCGCGAGTTTTTTACCACAACCGTGCATGAGCGCCCAAGAACATGTAGTTTTAAAGAGCTGGGGGCAAGTTGGGGCAGCTAATTTATTGATAACTTGATAGACAAAACTCTAAACTTTTCAACGGATCTTGAACTCATGCCTTACAATTCATTACAATTTTTGTAGCTCTATTGTTCTAAAAGCTCGATTCAAAGTTTGCGATTTTAACAGACCGATCTTGTCGGTTACAATAACCCGTTGTACAAGCAAAATCTACGAAAAACAAATACATATCTGCATTTTAGATACCTTGAAGATCACCCTTCATCAAACCGCATAACAATCGGACACACCAAACACAAGTTATTCACTTTTAAAGAATAAACAATTTTCCGCAGCGATCGCGTGTAATGTACCTTCAACTGAAAGCGTCAAGTTTAAACTGATGTACAAGACAAAATATACGTATTTTATATATATTTTTTCAATACAGGATGGAGACAGGTATTAACTACCCATCTAACTCAAAATTTACCTGAAAAAAAATGACAATTTTTGAGGTTTTGCCGATATTTTCCAGAATGGGGTAGTTAAATTTTTTCTGACCTATACTTTTTATGGTTTTATTCAAGGCGTTTTGTAATATTAAACATTTCTGTGAAATCAGAATTTCAATTGAGTTTACCGTTTTCGAGATATTTACGAAAAATATAAATTTTTATGACGTCACAAACCCCGTCATGTGACCAACATTCTAAGATTTCTATTGGTTGAAAATTACCCTGTTGTCAAGTTGTCTTGTTAATGATTTCATTCGGTTATGTCAGAAAATACCCGAAGAGGTTATGTACAAATACTGTCACTGTCAGTTGAGTGAAAGAAGAAGAAGAGAAGGTTAAAGAAAATTCTGAAATTAAAAGTTTTATTGATAGGTTTACACATTGAAACACCGTGTGAAACCTAATAAAATATAATAAATAGGTACCTAATAACTGTCTAAAGCAGAGTTTAATTTATTTCATAGAAAAAAGTGGCAAAATAAAGTTGAAAATGAATGAAATAAATTTACAAAAAATAATAATATATCTAAAAGAATATAAAGAACTAGGCATTATACCAATGAAATGCATTTACGACAAAATATGATTATAATTATAGGTACTTACTTTTTTTGTTTAAAAGCTCCAATGTTCAATGTAACCAACCATTCCACAAGATTTCTCTGCTTTGGAGTCCGTTATTAATAAATCACTTATCTAATATCAATTACAAATAACATAACAATAACATTGATTTTCAATAATCTAAATTTAAAAAAAACAACCCGAAAAAAAGAAACGTCAAAAAATCAATTCTTCTTCTCAACTAAAATATTATAACGTGGCGCCATCTATTGTAAACTAAACACACTGGCAACCATAGAAAAAGCTGGCAACGTTGTCAATAGCCTAGTGACGTAATTAGGAGATTTTGTTTTGTAAATATCTCGAAAACGGTAAACTCAATTGAAATTCCGATTTCACAGAAATGTTTAAAATTACAAAACGCCTTGAATAAAACCATAAAAAGTATAGGTCAGAAAAAATTTAACTACCCCATTAAAACACTGTACGTGCGTCTTAGAGATGTCATAAACGTCCGAGTCCGACATCTTTAAGATATCTTTGAGAATCTCAAATTGAGATGTCTCTGTGCTTTCTAGTAGGATCAGATAGGATTTGCGTAAAAGGTGTTTATTAATGCGGTTTTTGTTGTCATTTTTTTCTTTTGACTTTTGACCCGTGCTGGACCCCTGCGCTCGGGCCTTGCATAACACCAGGGGCGAACCGCAACACCTCTGCTCGAGAGCAGGCATCATCAGATAGCGTGGCGCCACTTCTAACTGCAGCAGAGAATGCGCGCGTGCCGATCTCCGCTTTAACAGAGGGGGCGAGTATTGATCCGGCCGGCCGCGATCCGCCACGCACGCGAGGGCGAAAAACTACCACAGTAGTGGCCGAGCACCCGCGCGCGACGCACCGACCGACGCGTAATGAAACCGACGTGGTGACTGTCGAAGAAAATGTCGTCGATATCGGCCCAGGGGGTCGTGGAGCGCGCCTCCGCCGAGCTCAGCAAGAGGATCAACGGCCTGGGGCTGCGCAAGCACCACAGCGCCAAGGGCAGCGTGATGGAGCGGGTCACCAACGTGTTCTGCGGAGGCAGCAACGCGGCCGTCGCGGCGCCCGAAAAACCGTCGCGGTTGCTGCCGACTCGCCTCAAAACCACCCCCAACTCCATCACGATCTTCCCCCAGAAAAAGCACCGCCCCCTCCCTCTGCACCTAACCTTGGATCAGCTGTTCTTGGACGAGCAGTTCCTAAACAAATTCTTCTCCTACTTCACCCCCTACGACAGGTGCATCTTGGCCCAGGTGTGCACAAAGTGGCGGGACATCCTCTACAGATCACCTAGGTACTGGACTGGACTCGTCCCGGTGTTACAGTGCCGGGAACTGAGGAACTCCCTGGGTAACGATAGAGCTCGATTGTACTCTTCCTTACTGGGACGAGGTTTCCACAATTTATGTCTGATGGGAGCTTCTGATGAAGACGCGATAGATCTAGTGAACACTTTCCCTCTAGCTTCAAAGCACATTCACACCATCAGTTTACGGTGCTCCAGCATTACAGATCGGGGTTTGGAGTCCCTTTTGGATCATTTGCAGGTTAGTATAATGTTGCACAAAAGGGTTAGTTGAAAGTGAAAGCTGTCCCCGACGTAAACAGTTGCTCGGGTTAATCGTCTATTACGTAAAGAGACTAACGGGATTAGCCTGTTTTTGCTAAAGTTACATTATTATTATTATTATTATTTCTGACAATTCGTAGATCGATATTATATCAACCTTACGTAATTTAATTAGTTTATTGCCCTTATTCATCAGCTGGAAGGTGCGTATGATTGAATGATATCAATATCGAATGTTTGTTTGGGTGCAGTAAATATGCACCCCTTCTATATAACTCCCTTCCGCGTTTTCCTAATATGACTGGGGTGTTTATAAACAAGTTCATTCATAAAAACTGAATCAATAACCAACGGGCTTTAAAAAGATTTTTTCTTGAGGTTCGAGGGGTCACAACTTCCAAAATTTGATAGCGCAAGTTTATCATTTAAAAGGTTTGCTCAACTAAGGGTCATAATAAGTTATAAATCTATTGATTTCTTAAGAATGCAAATTTTCTTTAAAAATCAAAAATATTTGGGCACTTTTTCTGTATCAAAAGGGTAGCAAATTACTATTTCTAGAAGTATACAAGTTATTTATAAAAAAATTACAAAGTAGCTACTTACATGCAAGAAATACCTCAGTTAGTATGCATTTTACAAAAAAATGTTTAAAATAAAAATTAAATAATAATAGATGGCGCTGTAATGAAAAAAAAATCCTTTTTCTTCTTAGAAAATTCTGCAATAATTTTTCTATTAAATATCACTTTTTTTGGTAATAATTATCTTATTAAAATAAATCTGATTTTTTTAAGTACCCACGATTTTTTAACTAATATTTAAGTTTCCTTTGGTTTAATTTTTTATACCTCAATTAGGATGAAATTAGTTAATTGATAAAAATACCTTAAATGAGGTATTTTTATTAAAAATAGTACAATAATCCTTTAAATTAAAGAATTTATTGCTGGCAGGTAAAAAGTGACCATGGTGCGCAATTGATAATTATCACCGAATGAAATAATGTATAAATTACACACTCCACACAAAACTCACAACCTATAGGTTTATATGTATATAAAGCTGTATTAAGACTAATTTTTCTATGCAGGTAAAAATGAACACTGCAAAACTATCAACTTTTTAACCAGTTTGTTAATTAACGTTAATTTAACAGCGAGTTAAAATATATTTGTTAAACTAAACCAAAATATGTATAAAAAATAATAGTTTTAACCATTTTCAAAGGTTAAAATTAGAAGTTAATATAACGTTATGTAACTTCTAAAATAACCTACTTTTTAACTTATATATAAGGGTGATTCTACAAAAGTTAAACAGTATTTTGTTATGAGAACATAGATAATATAATAAATATACCTACTGTTCCAGACCGGGCCAGTCAGTTTTTCAAACAGTTTCTGAGATATCTGTGTTTTCTAAATTTGAATGCAAGGGAAGTGACGAGTATGCCAGGGTACTAATTAAATAAATAATTTATTGGAAAATATAAGATTATTGCAACTTTGAGCATATTATACATTAAATATCTTAAAATCAAATAATACCACACATTAGTGGCGGCTGGTGGATTTTGGGTATACCGATATCTCAATTATTAGATGTGGGACCCACACCAAATTTATATGAGTTTATAATGACATTAAATAAACAAGTTCTGCGCAAGCAGAATTTAAATTGAAGTTTGCGAAAAAAAGATAACCGAAACATCGAACATGGAACTGACGACACGGTACTGTTGAATGGGATACAAATTTGAGATTATAATTCGGAATTAATTATTTTACTGATATTTTTTATTAGTGGATGCTACTTATCAACATTGAAATATATATACGTAAGAAAATAACTACTCACCACAGTACTGAAATTTTGACTGGAACTATACGTGTATTCACCACAACTTCGCCGCTTGCATTGTTTTCAAGATGACTGTCGTGCAAAGGGCGGGCTCTGTAGGTAATTTTGTTACCAACACTTGAGTTAAAACGAGGACTTGACGTTTAAACTTCAATATTTCGCAGGAATTTTTAATTTTAACATTGGACACAGAACTGACGGGTAAAAGTGAGTACAAAGATTATCAATTTTTTAAAAATTGCTATTATTCGAATCTATGATAAAATATGAAAAATACGTTATTTAATGTTTTATAGTTTGTAGTGAAATTGAAAAATTTAAGATAAATTGAATATATTTTAAAATAAAATCACTCAAATATTTGATTCAGGAGTTGTGACACGCCAAGGTACTGATGTTTTGAATATTTATTATGTTTTTCTACAAACGTGCTTTTGAAAAAATACATTAAAATTGGGCGAACAAGTTTGAAAAACCTGGATCTTTTGTAATATAGTAAAATATTTACAAAAAATATTAAAATACCTACTCTATTGAGTCAGAAAAACATAATACATCAAGTTGTCCAACTTTTGTAGAATCACCCATAAGTAATATTACTAGTTAAATATTTAAATTATTCTGTATCTATGTAGAGTGCGTAAAGTGAGGTCAAATAAAATTGGTTTTATTATAAAAATTTTCGTTCCACGAAATAAAGTGATTAGTGTTTTCTCACTTAAAACAAAGTAAACAACAAAAAATAAAAAGTTTTTTTCATGAACGTAAACTTCGGCAAACCAATTAAGATTTTTAATTTGGAACTTCCCGGCGCGTCTAATTAATTAAAAAGTCGTTTAGTTTATGAGAACAAAAACGGTTTTATCTCGAAGGCGGCTGTGATTGGTCGAAACAAATAAATTTCGTTGCCAAGACGTTGAATAACGCTTTTTCGTCGCCAAGGCAGTTTTAGTTTTCCTCTATCCCGCATAAATTAAATTGCCTGTAAAGTGGGATATTCTGCCAACTCGGTGATTTTTACTTCTGTTGTGTTCAACCGAATAAAAATGAAATATAAGGTGTTAAGGGAAAAAAATAAGACACAAAATTCAAGATATAAAAATAAAAAAGTTTATTTCATGGAAAAACTTCAGTCAAAATTTATAATAATTGCTCTATACATTTTAACATTTTAAAAATATACCAAGTGATTTTTTAAAATACACATTGGCATGCTGTGACTTTATTACGTTTTAGTCACGGGTTGAAGTTAGCTTTAAGTTTGTTGACAGTTATTAAACGTCATAAAATCGTCAAAATAAAGTGGAATAATTATTTTATTATCTCAATACAATAGTATAATATATAATAATAATATTATTATGTATCAAGTTTCATTTATATATATATATATATATTATACTTTTTCTACGACATATACTTTCTAAAATAGTATTTTATGTATCAAGTTTGATAAACTCCATTTTATACACGAATTTAATTTAGGCACGAGCCAGCTTGCGAGCGAGCGAGTGCTTAAATGAATGAGTGTATAGAAAAGTTTATAAACGAGGTGCATACTATACTTTTTCTACGACAAATACTTATTTTTATCTTAAAATGTGTGTATCACCGTCAAATGTCAAATTTCTATTTATAAACACAGATTATAAAGGTTATAAATCAAAATGTATTTCTTGAAAATTGACAGTTTTTCACAGTGAAAGTAAAGAAAATGTTTTATGAGCACTTTGCAGTGGAGCCTGTGCCCGAATTTAGGTTATACCTAGTTTACTGCCGGCGAAATTAAAAAGTCAGTACAATGTTCATATAAACTTTTCAAATATTGGCGTTGAGAAACTATTTAATACTTTTGTATTGCAATATCATGAGATAATAAAATTATTTTCACATTTAGTATTATTTTACAAGAAAGGCACTTTATTTTAAAAATTGTATGACATTTGACAACTGTCAACTAACTTAAAACTAACTTCAGCCCGTGACTAAAAACCTGTTGCTAACTTCAGCTCCTGACTAAAGCGCCATAAAGCCACAACTTGTCAATGTGTATTTAAAAGGTCACTTAGTGTCATGGAAACATGTACGATAAAGGGCGTTTTAATGTTTTAAAGATGGGAGTAGAAAAAATGATTTATATGAAATATTTGTATAAAGCAACATCTATACGAAAATAAAGTAACCATCCCAATAAACATTTTTGACGTAGTTTTCACCATTAATATTGCACGTTATTATTTTATTTAATCTTAACAATTATTGATACTTTAAAATATTAAAATTACTTCAAAATATGATTATGTTAAGAAAATATTTTATCCTTTGATTTTTTTTATTACTATAATTGCAATATTTTCACAAGTATCTATTAAAAATTCTTACACGGCAAATGTGATTTGGAATTCCCGTTAGAATTTTTAACTTGTAAACTGTAAATCAAAATTTATCCCTTGAAAATAGACTAACAAATTGTTAGTAACAATCGATATAGAATCAGTTTTTCTTAGTAAAAGAGAAGAGAATGCATAATGGGCACTGTAAGCAAAATTTTAATGCTATATCAGTTAAATCTAGTTGACTACACTACTTTGGCGATATCAATACAGTACAAACGTTCATAATATGAATATTTGAAAAGATTATATTATAATCTTTTCAAAAATTGGCGCCAAGAAACTATTTAATACTATTGTATTTTTGTATTGAGATATAATAACATAATTTTTAACATTTAGAATTAAAAAAAAAGTCTTTATTGGGTTAACCAATATAGTATACTATGTATGAAGTTTGAGAGCGAGCGTTTAAGTATAAGTGTCTATAAAAGTTTATAAACGAGTTGCATATATTTATTATTTATTATTATATACTTTTTCTACAACAAACACTTATTATTATCCAAAAATGGTTTGAATTAAATATTTGTATATAGCTACATCTATAAAACAATAAAGTAGATAATCAAATAATTTTCATATTAAATAAAGTGCCTTTCTTGTAAAATAAAGGCACTTTATTTTAACGATTGTATGATATTTGACAACTGTCAACTAACTTAAAGCTAACTTAACAAAGGTGGGAGTAGAAAAAATAGTTTATTGACCCCAATCTTTA